CACGAGAAAGATACATTCATCAAACATGATCTGAAGTACATGAAAGATCCTCGATCGCTCGCAAATAATTCAATTACTTGCAATAGAAAGAATAGATATAATATCGAAATAAATATTAAAGAAAAATCCAATTAAAAGTTAATTTATAACCAGCTAGTGAATACAAAGAATGATAGAAACGTTGATCGTTGTGATGATTGTCCAACCAAATGAATGCTATGCTACTGACATCAAATAAATTAGTTTTAAACTTCCTTTTGTTCTGTAATAATTATACTACTAAAACAAGAATTTGATACATTTATAATAAATATTTGATGTGAATATATGTCAAATTATAAATTATTTAACAAAGAACTTTTATCTGAGTAAAACACAAGCTTCGATTAATCGCGATTAATCAATATGATTTTTTGGCGATTATACGATTAATCGTTCTTTTCTCCAAACATTGCGATAAAGTATGTTTTAATCATTAACTGTTCTGTAAAATATGATTAATCAGTACTTTACGCCGATTTTTTTCAAAATCACAAAAATCGCGGCGATTTTCACGACATGGGTTCTTTTCGCTTTCTTTTGCTTTCTTTCGACTTTTCCTAATTTTTTTAAATGGAACTGAACAAGAAACATAATTCTATCCTCTAGAAGACGAAAAAAGGAAAGAAGGTTTTTGGCTTTCATTTCCTTCCTTTTTTTTAAATGAAAGTCGAAAGCCAGAAAGCTTTTCTTTCCAAAAAGAAAGGAAAGCGCCACCCGTAGTGTAACGAACAACTGGATTAGAGTAGCTTGTGCCACTCTCGGCAAAGATGTTTATTAGGCTACTTCAAGTTATCCCAAGTGTAACGACAAAACTAGAGTGTCGCCTATGCCCGTCGGCATGATGGTGTATTGTGTCATCTGACATCTCCAGAGTGTCACAACTTCATACATGACGCACGTATATATAGGAGAGAGATAGAAGAGAGACAGGAGAGAGATACATTAGAACAATGGAAAGAGAACAGAAAGAGAAGGAAGGAGAATCATCGAAGCGTGCCATCAATATCGGCACACGTAGTATTTATCAGTTACCATTTTAATCAACACACAAAAATGCATGATTATTGTGTACAAATAGTTATGATTGATTTAGTTCCTGTTTTTCTTTCTCAAGCAACAAAACATCGAAGATTCAATTTTTGTTTGATCAAGTAATGTGAAATCGAAAACGTTTTCTTTTACAATTATCAACAAGGAAGATAGGAGATTGTTTGTATAATAAAATAAAGTGGATAATGTGAAATTTCGTTCATCGATCTATTAATAGATGGTGGTACATTGTTTGTCGAGCCTGGATGTCTTGTTGTCAAAAAATACTTTCTATTTCTCCCTGTTTCAGCGGAGGTTTTTTTCTACGCAGTTTTACCTATCAGTATAAAAAGCAGATCTACGAACTAAATATAAATCTATGTTTAAAACTAGACAGTAGAGGTAAAAATGCGACTGACACGAATGATGTTGAGAAATAAAAACACGTCCAATATACCGAGAGAAAGAAAGAATATTCGTTATAGCGTTATTGAGGGCACAAATTATCGAAGATTGAAGCATGTATCAGTTTTTTTCATCGGACACGTTTCTTTTCTTTTCTTTTCTTTTCTTTCTCCGACTTGATAACCCTGCTGTCTGTCATAGTATTTACTTGAAACGCTTTTTCTTTCTTTTGTTTTGTAGGTGAATCAAGCGTCATACGTAAAACGATGCGCACATATTATTCAATACAAAATATGGAATTTTTATTTTTCAAATAACCTTTTAAAAATAAAATTACAAGGCGAAAATTTCTTTTGTTGCTATTTATTAGGCATCTTATATTTATTTTTAGATTTAATAGGATTAAATATAAAACAATAAATAGTAAATGATATAAAATGGCACAAGAACAAGAAAATGATTTGTGGAAGATGTTTACACCTGATGACATTTCATCAGATTCTTCATTTAATATTAGTTTAACCAATAATAGCAAGTCAACTGGTAAACGTCCAAAACCTTCTCTTAAATGTGCTGTTTGTAGCGATGATGCTTATGGTATAGAGTCTATTGCGAACTTATTTTTAACCTATGAATTGGTTCATTTTAGGCTACAATTTCGATGTGATTTCATGTGAATCTTGTAAAGCATTTTTTCGTCGAAATGCATTACGACCACCGGTAAAGTTCTTCTTTATCAAATTGCAAAACTTTCGAAAGATCTCATTGAATATCGTTATTATAATTCAGTGGATAAAAACAAGAGGTGTCGCATCCTGATTTCTGATTTTCGGAATAGAAAAAAATCTAGGTAAAATATTCTGAATGAATTGAATAGCTAGAAAAAGTTAATAATAACCTGTAGACAGTTCAAGATGTAAAAACAATTTCTAAGTGAGACAATTTGTTGAAACTTAAGTCATGCAAATTAATACTTTGATCAATAGCTATTCAGATAGATTGTATTAAAATTTCATGACAACGATCAAAAACATGAGAGAATTTATTGTACTCATAAGTTAATGAGTAGAGAACGTTAGCATTTCAATTTTTGTTCTTGCTATTTATTCAAAAAGCCCATATTTTTTTTTTATGAACAGAGTATGCTTCAATAGTCATTTCGTATTTGATTGAAGTTCTGTTCAGATTGTGACAATCTACTTTTCAAAGTTATTTCTACATTTTCAAGAAGCGGCATGATCAAAAGCGTTTCAAAACTTTCAGAATAAATAAATTGCGATTAGTAGTGATAACTTTTTAATGGGCACTGGATCATAAGCTGTTTCTTTCTATGCAATATAAACACCAACATTGACCATGAATTACTCTTGCAAATTTAGAATATTGTCTCTTTTACTTTCGAGAGCAAATATAGTAAAAGTCCTGTCCAAAAAAATACTCTTTTAACTGATAACATTCTTTGTAGTAGAAGTTAAAAAACATACAATCGTATGGTTTGGTACAATAGATATTTATTTTAGTTGTGTTCTATTTTGCACAAAAAAAAAAGAAACGAAGCAAAGTTGAGTTCCGATTTTTGAATCATTTAATGGGTAAACTTGAAACATTCAAACTCTTTCTCATAGTAGATTTCGTTCTTATTCTCATTACTATATTGTATAGCGTATTGAATCTTAAATATTCTGATGTATCATGTTTTATTGTCTTCGTGATAAAAAGAAAGAATTTGTTTCTATACAGATCAATATACGGGATTTCAAATTATAATTAGAACTGAAAACAAAAAACAGAGGTAACCTTCTTTTGCTTCGAGAGGGACGAAATTTATACTAAAAATTAATTATTTATTTTCAATAAAATATTTCTCTGATAAAATTTCGTGGAATCTTGAAAATACCGATGTATTACTATTTTAAGTCGTTGACTTGTTAACTTTTCATGGTTCTCTTCTAAAGATATTTTTATCCTATACGAAGTACTTGTAAAGTATTTATTCATTTTTAATTGACTACAAAATATTAATTATTCAACATAATGACTCGAGATTGCTCATATTAACAAGTCATGATTCGTATCATCAATCGCATTGTCTAGTGATAAAACAGAATAGAGAGAAAGCTGTTTCTTTTTATTGTGTAAAATTCAGAAATCAGTAAATGAATTTTCAAAATGCTATTTAAGCTATTTGTGTGAAGCTAACTTTTCCAGCTTGAATGAAAACATATTTAGGCTAAGAGGGTCGAATGGTAAGAAAGCACTCAATCTGTAGTTTACCGTTGAAAATTAAAATCAGCGCATAGCTCTACCGTGAATTCCAATAGGTCATTTGCTGATGGTTGCATATCACCATTGTATCCTCAATTTAATTATAGAATTTTATTTTGTCAAATGAGACAATTGCCAAAAGTTTGTTCGAATGCCTTAAATTGGATACTTTAACTTAGCTGATTTGAGTGTCTAGATAATTTTCATAATAATTTTCAAAATCTCTTCATAGGGCAAACTCAAATGTCACGGACACGGCCATTGTGAAGTAAATACATCAACTAGAAAACGTTGTAAAAAATGTCGACTAGATAAATGTTTCCGAATGGGTAAAATTATCTTTATAATAATTAATAATTTTATTACGATTTTCTTTATATTTAGGAATGCGTCAAGAATGGATTCTATCAGAAGAAAGGTATGCTGAATTCATTAGTTTTTGGTATTATTAAACGTGAAGAAAAAAATTCAACTTAATATTTTTATTCAAAAGTCAATTTAATTAATTTCTTTTTATCACAAGAGAAGCATCATACAGTACAAAGCCAAAAAGATTGACTGCCTACTCTATTTAATAGCTCCATGATGAATAAATGAAAGAATGAATAGTGTGAAATAGAACTACACTTTGATAAACAAGAATAACTTCAATATGTCATAAGTTATTAATGAAACAAGTCATCAGTAAATATAGTAGATAAATGAAAATGTATTAAAAGCATTAGTGTCAAACTTTCATCTGCTGTGATTTGTTTTAAATAAGTGCAAAAATAAATAAGGAGTAATGTTTTGGTGCTGATAAGGATATTTAATCGATTTACTTTGTAATTAACTCATCTCCTATCGAATTCCTCATTACTGTAAGAGAAAGCTTTCATTTAAAAAAGAAGTACTGAATATGTTAAACATGAAAATTATAGTAAGAAAAAAAGCTAATATTTATTAAGCCTTACAGGATTTATCATAAGTTCTACAGCGCGACTAGATTAAGTTAGATGCCATCGGAACATCCTTCTAAATAAGTTTTGAATTTTAATGTGAATCTTTCAAATAATATATGTTTGTTTGATAAAATATAAATATGAAATATAAAAAACATGCAAGTTACTTTATTTTATTTCTTCACCATCATTTCACCAAAAACAGAATAGAGGAATTGCTCATGTGTTAGAAAGAGACTTTATTGGTATTTATTCTTAGATGGTCCTATGGGTAGTCCTGCTATGTGCTCCCATTTTCTATCCTGTTTCATGATATAGCATAGAAAGAAAGAAAGTAATAACTATTTTTCTGTTTCGTTTATTTTTGACTCTCCAGAATACTTTCATGAAATATTCGACTAAGCGATGCACTGTATAATCCAATTGAGATAGATAAACTATACGAAAACGTCACATAGAGAATGTAAAATAAAGAACCAATATAGAACGACTGATAAAGTATATATTCTTTTCTAGAATATAGCCCATTAAAAGTTTAATTGAAAGAAAATTTCTTTAAGAACTTTAGAGAATATCATACTGATCGAACGAATTTTTTAAATTTAAACAGATAAACTTACGAACTGCTTTTAAAGCGAGACTTTTCACTTTTTTTAAATAAAAAGGGTTTTTGATCGATGATGAAAAGCGATTTGCATATTCATTATAATAAGAGAAGAAATATCATTTGGAACACCGATATGAGTACTCAAGTTTCTTAATAAAACATTTAGTTGTAGTAAATGAATACTGACATACAAACTAATGACTTTTCAGACTTATCAAAACTCGTGTATGAAAGTATGAAATGATAATATCATGTTGTTCTAGAGTTACAAATAAATATTTTTACTATAGTCAAAAATAAAACAGTTAAGTAATGTGTTCCAACCAATTCAGTAACATTGGCATTTCACTGTTAAAATGACGCGAAGATTTATTTATATAGATCAATCAATTTTTTGGCCCACAATGATAAACAAAAACTGCAGGCGCATCATTTATTCTTTGATTAATTACTGTGAAACTATCATCAAATGGTTAGGAGGCGGACGCATGAGGACATACTTAGTTTGATAGATATAGATAAGAATGTTTCACTTAAAATTATTAACATCTGCAACCTAGTGAAAGTACTCGCCCAGCGAGTACGACTGTAGCATGAGTACTCAAATCACTCGAATGACTACTCGATGAATTTTATGTGTAACTATACTTTTTGTGTACTATGACGAGTACTCTAATGAGTTTTCTCTTTAAGAATTACTCGTACACGAAAATACGAGTACTCGAGCTAGTACTACTCATCGTCATTTTTCAGAGGACATTCAGCAAAACATCTATGCGCTAGGATGCATAAAAATGAAATAATATTGCATAACTAATAGCAACTATGTAAGGAAACGAAAATTACGAAAGAACTCTTCAAATAAATTATCAATTGTATCCTCCATCTTTTGTGATGAGTCACGCATGTCGCTTAATCAATTGAATATTTAAAGAATAGAAAAAATAAAGTCATTTCACTTCAGCTATTCGTTTCTCGAGTAAGACCAAATATTTATTTGAAAATATAAAATGATGCGTTAAATTTTACGTCATAAATCAAAAATGTAATATCGTTTCAGATAAAATTAATATTATTGTGAAAATTAATGAAACACAAGACGAATGAGAAAAATTTTCCAAAAACATGAGATTCAATATTCTGAAGAAGCATCAATAATATAGAAGACAGTTCATACATTTTTTTATTTTTTACTAAACGATTATAGTTTTCGGTTTAAAATGTTCATATTTTTTTGTAACGATTTAAAGTGAATGTGTATTGTTATCACGTATCTTAATTTGATCCATAATTTATTTCTTATGCGTTCATCTTTACACATGTTGCAGTGCTCTTAATACAGATTTTCTATTCATTTTTTTCTTACATTCTGCGGATAAATGTTTTATCTCTGTGTCATAATTAAACAAATTTTAAGATGATGAAACACTTCGTTTCTCAGATTCTTATCGTGTAACTCTCTGTTCTATCATTAGTTTTTGAAATAAATAAATTGAACCTAGTAAAAGGATACTGAACAAAATATGTGTCTGAGCATTTTACGAAAAATTCACCAGAGTAATCACAGAATGTATGATGAGTACTCATGAAACACTCGATTTAATATGGTGAGTACTCAATAGTCGTACGCAGACACTCAGATCCAACCACAAGTACTACTAATGAGTACCCAAAGCCCCGAGTACTCATGAGAACTCGCGGCTTTTCCTAGCGTGAGTACTTTTTGAGTACTCACTTGATGAGTACATTCACTAGGGATGTTAATCTCTAATAATACAAAAGATTAATTGCTGTTTCGAAATTCAAAAATATATAATTATAAATGGGTCTGTTTCCTTTAGTAAACTCAAGAAAAAGAATAAAATCGAAGAAAACCGTCTTCGAAAACAGTCGAATGAATTTTTTCGACAACGTCATCGACTTATTTCAAACTCTGTATGATATAATTATTTCGCAATCAAGTATCTATGTATAAAATCAAATGTTTGTTTTAGTCTCGTGTTGACAGAAGTAGTCCCGACGAACGAACCTTCGTAAAAATAACAACCAGTGATGTACTAGCAGTAATGACTATATTCGATTGGTCGAAAATTCAGCAAGTTCAAACAGCATACAGTGAAGCAATGGCATATAATCAAGTTGTTGGTGTACCTCCTTATCCTGCAACACAACCGATTCATTCAACACTTGAACTAATTCGAATTCCAACTTATTTATCATCAATACGTCTTATAACATATCTAAGAAAAATTCCAGAATTCGAATTAATTGATTCCGATGATCGTGTAACACTAGTTAAACATAATTTATTAGCAGTGGTTTTTATGCATATAGTTTTACTGTATGATCCAATCGCCGATACATATCATGAACACAATACTCAAGATCCAATATTTCAAGGAAAAGATTGGATTGAAATATTAGGCAATGAATTCTATAATGAATTGACAGTTACAGCAAGGAAATTAATTCAAATGCTTGAATACGATCGTGTTGCTGTCAAAATTCTTCTATTGATTATTCTATTTACAAAAGGGTTCTGTGCTTATGATATTGAACATGAACCATCATTAAATAATCCATGGGTTGTACATAATACGCAAACTTTATATATTGAACTATTATACAAATATTGTTCACATCAATATGGTTTCGAAACAACGATAAATTTATTCTCAAAACTTATTAACCAGTTATTTGTTATACAACGTTTATCGGCCCATTTGAAACATTTAGTGCACTCGAATATTGATGCTGCACAGTTATCTCCATTGATGCAAAGTGTATTACAAACACAGAATACGACTTGACCGAATTGCAATTGTATTTCTATTTAGAATAAAATTATCAATAAAACACAAATTTGATAGGTCTTTTCTCTATAGTAGGTTTCGGATGGAAATTCGACCGGATTTCTACTGGGCAACAACAAAAACAAATAAATCGAACTTTTTGCTTTTCGAGACAATATTTTCGCTTTTTTTTCTTATTGTAAAAAAACAATAATAATAATAAATGATTCTGTTTGAGAAGAAAAATAAGCTAAAAATTCGAACTTTCCGCACATAGTAATAGGTGACGAGAAGAACATAATTAAGGTTTCTTCAAATACGAAGAAACCTAAAGTAGTCTCTCTCGTTTCTAGTAGCTTTTATCAGCATTTTAAAACTATATCTTGATATTAATACATTCCTTTTTTACTATTTCTAGGGCAAAGTTCAAAAAGCAATACCTCGTGTGAATACGTACGATCATAGTGACATCTATTTTCTATTTTGTCTGTGAAACGAACTAAATCTACTTTTTTATTTGCATGCCTACCAGATGGAAATCTGTTTTTCATATACGGTTACCGTTATTATTAATATTCTATTATGATAAAAGATAATTTTCCGAAAAGGAAATCTTTTTATTTTAAATTTGGCTTAAATTTTTACTGAAACCTAAAAGATTTTTTGTTTTGAGTAAATATTCATATTTTATTCTGAAGATAAGTTGGTTTTTTGAAGATTTTTATTCTCAATGAAAATGAATATTTCTTCATTCATTTATATGCTTTCAAAAACCGAGTCGGTCTTCTCTCTGATTCGTTAATGTAAAACAAATAATTTCGTTTTATTATCATAAATCATAAATTCAATTAAAATTTGATTGACTATTTTTATTTAAGTTTCATATATATGTTAGAACATTCTCCATGAATAATAAATAATAATATTATCTTGATGTACAAAGAAAAGCACATTATTGGTTGACTAACAGACTCTCTTTTTCTTTTTCTCTCCATATGTTAGTAGAGGATTGTTGTTTTAACATTCTCATTGTCGTTCTCGCTTTCATCGTTCGTCATCCAACGTAGTACGAGAAACTGCTGCAGTAAGCATAGGCAAGGATCAATAATAACATTCTTTTCGTTCTGTTCTATTTTTTTTTCTTTATTTTTCTTGCTGAGCTACCAACTTTTCTGCCCTAATTATTCGCCGTCCTTCTTATGCAACTTTTTAAAAGCCACTGAACAGTATTATTTCATCGATCAATTTATATATTTTTTTTGCATTACGGCTTCTAGATTTTAGAAGAGGTTTCAATTCAGAATTGAAAAACAGAAGAAATTCAAAAGCTTTGCATACCATTGACATAATTTTTTTTTCGTTTTTCTGTTCTAAACTTGATACGACAATCCATAATTGACGTTATTTTTCATTGTGTACCTGTCAAAACTATATCATTAGCTCATTACTCTTCTCCCTTCTTTTTTTTACCTCCTAATACTGGACTTTCTTTTTCTTCTATGTATTGCCGCCGGCTTTCTCTAGTTTGATACTGTTCTAAGCAGTCTACTTTCTGTCTTTCTTTCTTTCCTTCGTATTATTGTTAGCTTCTGCCTATTCAAATATAAAAGGATCAGCCTATTGCACCATGCATCTCTGAAAGTTATCACTTCATAAATAAAATATGCATCCAACCAGTACACATCGTCGCAAACGAGTCCTTCATCGTCAGTATAATATTGCCGCAAGCAAAAGTAATAATAGAGATGACCTATTTCCTACACATGACTGCTCACAACCAGAGAATCATAATAATTCTATCTGGAAAAAATCTGATCGATTACTATGTTCTGTTTGTGATGGACCAGCTTTCGGTTACAATTTCGATGCTATTTCATGTGAATCATGTAAAGCATTCTTTCGACGTAATGGTTTAAGATCTGGCGTATGTGTTAGCGATATTGTAATTGATAATATGAAAATTATTTATTTTGAATTTTTATTCGTTAGAAAAAACTTCAATGTCGTGCTCTTGATGGTCAATGTCATATAACGGTAACAACACGAAAACGATGTAAAGCATGTCGATTGGCAAAATGTTTGGAGAAAGGTCTTCTTTTTTAATTTTTGCTAAAATGAAATTATAGGAATCGATCTTCTGGATTTTTAGGTATGCGAGCCGATTGGATATTGTCCGAAGAAGAACGTATAAAGAAAAGGTTGAAAATTGAAGAAAATCGTCGTCTTCGTCAAATCTTTTCATCGAATTCAATGGAATCGGACGAGGTATAGTAATTAGAAGAAAGTTGTTTTTGACTCTTGGTTTTTTTTCTAGTCATCACCTGTCGAATTGAGAAGAAAGCCCGTTAAAATTGAAGATCCAAACCTTTCTCATTTTCTATTTTCAATATTATCACCATATGCAGATTTAGATAAAATTCAACAGATTCAAAACGTCTATAAAGATTCGGTTCGACTAGTAACATTACCATCTTCAATTCCTTCGTATCCACATACAGCAAGAATACAAGCTCCATGGGATATGTTAAATTTTCCAGCAAATATTCAAGCATTACGCCTTATTACCTATTTTAAATTAATGCCAGAATTTACTTCGTTAGACGAAGATGATAAATTTATTTTAATTAAATATAATACATTTGCATTAGTATTTATGCGTTCAGCATTAGGTTACAATCAATCAACAGATAGTTACCATGAGCAAGATACAGATGATTGTGTTTTTTCCGGTGGAGATTTCATTCAATGCTTTAGTCTATTTCAATATGTGCAATTAACACGTGCTATAGTTCGACTATTAGATGCATCGAAAAATGATCGTCTTATTATACAGATATTATTAATAATTATATTATTTTCCAAGGGTTCATCATTATTGACACATATCGATGCAGTTGAACCGATTGTGAAAGATATATTGTCTATATATCGTGCACAGAATATTTTCATTGATTTATTATGGAAATATTGTGAAGAAAAATTCGGTTTTGCAAAAACAATAAAGATCTGGTTAAAGCTTGTTACATCATCAATAGATATACATTTTCAAGCGTACAATATCCGACAGAATTATATTAAAAATGAGTTCGTGGCAGATAAACTTGTACCACTTATGAAATCAGTGACATTAATCGTCTAGAATAGGATCGTACATGTATATTTTTTTTCTGCTTCTTCCAATATGAATATGTATATTTCTGTTACTGTTATTGCGCGTATGTGTAGTTTATTGGCATGAAGTAATGTTGTTGCTTGTTGTTTTGCTCAAACTAAAAATAATAAATCATATAAAAATTTTAACTGTTTCCATTAGAAAATGATCGACGAAAAGTTTTATGAATGAGACGCATCGAAATTTTTGAGACACGATAGTTCACATTAACTGATAAAACATCGTGTTTAGGTACTGCTGACTAATTTATTTTAATAATCCGATTTATTCTACGAGAGTCTTTTGAGTTCTTCCCTATGCGAGAAATTACCAAGAGCGAACTAATGTTGATTCTAACTCTACGAAGAAATGTTATTACCGTTAGCACATAGATTATTTGAATAGAATAATATAAAAATATGATATAGTCTCCACTGCATAGAACCCTTATGGTACATGCTTTTGCTTATCTCAGAAAAACAATAGGATGCTTTTGTCAGAACCTATCAAGATTTAGGTCAAAAATAATGAACACTGTTTAATACTATTTAAATAATGTATGAATTCCCGTAGCAATTAACTTTTTAGAGAATTAAAAGAGACATAAAACTTGGACGAAAATCACAGGATAGACACGGATATCAATTTTTGTTTTTTTTGTCGTATCGCAGTATAAATTACATGTATGTTTCACATAGATATCTATTTTTGCATTTTTTAATGAGTGAGAAGAATGATGAAAGTCGAATCTTTATAATATAATACCGAGAAAGTTACATAAAACTAAGGAGTATAATTTCTTCCGGGATCAAGTGGAAAGACTTTTAAAGAGTTATCTATACTGAATGAATTGTAATAGAATGACTAGTTGCCTACTGATATTTTTCGATTAGACTCGAGTTTATTTTTAAATTCTAATGATACTGATTAAGTTCATGTCCTTGAAAGTAAAAAGAATCTGTCAACGTTTATTGATAACTTATCTTTGAGTCACGATTGTCGAACCTTTATTGCACTTAAATTATATGAGAAAATAATTGTCTAAATATTCAAAATGCTTTTCGTTAACAATACTACACTTAGTAAGATTATTCCCCTGTCTCAATGTATATATGTATAAATTCATTTCGTGGGCAAATAAATACATCGTCAATGTGAATCGTTGCCGACTCGTCGTTCTATTATTTTTGTATTTTTCTTTTTCTCTCGTTTTCTGTTCTATCAGTTGTCTAGATCTTGTACTCCATTGCCATTCTCTTTCTTTCCTTATTTTTCTTGACAAAACAATTACATACAAACTCACGTAAAACCTTTCTAGTTGTGTTTCAGTGCGTGTGCATATGTGGTACTGTAATGCATTGAAGCTTTTCTTTGTTTAATTTTAGTTAAAACTTAAAAACATCTAAAACAAAAAGAAAGACCCTTTTCCATATGAACAATGCAATCAGATCGTAGAGTACCAACCATAAACACAACAGACATGCGGCAACAACATCGAAAACGTTCATATTCTAATGGAAACTTTCGTAAACGCGATCGACATGACCTTATTTGCGTAGTGTGTCATGCACCCGCTATGGGTAAGAATAAATACTCTATTTATTAGTGTGATTTTTTTCCTTGTGTATTTCGTATTTATTTTGATGTGCTTGCATTTTTATCTTCTAAGGTTACAACTTCGATCAAATAACATGTGAAAGTTGTAAAGCATTTTTTCGACGAAATGCACTGAATAATTCGGTAAATTATGATTGATATCTTTGACTTACATTATCATCGGACTTTATTTTGTTTTCACAAATTTTAGAATAGACTAAAATGCCGGGCTGGTATAAATGATTGTGTTATAACGTTAGAAACACGAAAAGTTCGTGGCAAAACAACAAAATTGAGATTCACCATTTCAATAAAGATAATTTCATTTATTTTAGAGATGCAAATATTGTCGTCTAAAAAAATGCTTTAATAAAGGGTTGCGCAAAGAATGGATCATGTCCGAAGAAGAAAAGCGTACAAAAAAACAAAAAATAGAAGATAATCGTCGTTTACGTGCTATATCACAAAGTTTATCGATGCTATCGAAATCATCATATTCACCATTAATTGTACCCGATGATAAACATTCCCAATTTTCTTTCGAAAATTGTGACGACACATTCGATGAAGATTCAAATGAATATAAATATTTTTTACAAGATAATGACCGCTCTTTATTGACTACAATTGAAGAACATTATACTCAAGCTGTTCGATTAAACATTTCGGTTATAAAAGGTTATGATAATCCATGTTTAAGAAATCTGAATGATTTTGTTGATGTACTCAATGAGCCAGCTCATATAAGTGCTTTACGAATGATAACACTTTTAAAACTGACACAAGAATTTAATGTAGGTTTTTAATCTTTTGTTTTTGCTTTTCAATTATTGTTCATCGATATATTTCAGTCATTACATGAAGATGATAGACTTGTACTTGTGAAGCATAACTTAATGGCGATATTAGTTATACATTTTTGTATATGTACCGACATCAATAGTGGAATTTTTCATGAACCAAATACTCCAAATGATTTCTGTTATCATGCCAGTGAATTACGTAATTATTCCGATGCTATTTATATTAGAACAATAGATTTAACTGATGAACTACAAAAACTATGTTGCAATGACCATTTAATAATGAAATTATTGATATTAATTATAATTTTCTCTAAAGGGGCTGATTACACTGAACCAGCATTAATCGAATCGCAAAGAGTATTTCATGCTCAAAACGTTTACATTCGCCTTTTGTGGAACTATTTAAACGTTCGTTTTGGTGATGATCAAACGGCAAGCCTTTTTTCTCGTCTTATATTCTGTTGTATGAAATGTCATTCAATTGCAAGAGAAACAAAAGAAACTATTACTAAAAAAGACGCTCCGAATAAAAAGTTTGCTCCGTTAATGCAATCTATATTACAAATATCCTAGTGAACATTCGAAGCTTTACATGCGAAAGAATACCTATATATCTAGATATATATATGGTAGTGCATTACTACTATTTTACGTTCGATGTCGATTTTTGAAGAAAAGAAAGGCGTTGCTGAAAATAATAAATTTGAACATGTTGATTGCCTTAGATTTTAATAAAACTTATACTTTTGTTGCTTTTAAAAAACATAACCCCAACTCTTATTCGATATGATGAATATTGAACGAAATTTAGTTTAACTGGATTTTTAGCGCTTTGAATTTTGAAGATAAAATAATTTTAAAAATATTTATAAGTAATCGATTTCATTTAGAAACGATTATTAATCGAGAAAATATTCCTTTGAAAGTAAAAATTCTTATCTAGAACAGTGATTTATAAATATAGTGGGAAATTATAATAATAGCTTTTAATTTAACACTCATTAACAATGCGTGATAGGACATGTCATAGGATTAAAGATTTTTGCTCCTTAAAATACGAACGACATCAACTAGAGATAGACTCTTCTTTTTTTTAATAATTGATTTTAATGATCCATTTGTCATTAAGGAAAACATCATAATTCAGCGACTTATCAGGAATTATTTTCTGCGCGTTCCAAGCACTAGTCCGTGAGACGTTAAACGTGGAATCGTATTTTTACGTATCAATTTTTTATTTATGCCGTGTTTGCGATATCTATACAATAATATAATTACACGTTACATATAATGGAGGTCAAAGTCATTTTTGCAAAGTTTTCATGGTGCTAAGTAGTCAAACGTGACTAGCGAGAATGAGCATATCTAATATTGGACCATCGGCTAGGCTATGTATTTTATTTTAATCAATAGAAAAGTAACTTTTCATTAAACATATTAATATTGATAGATATTGATAGAATACAGTCTAAAATCTTGATTTCTATAAATGATATGTTTCGTAATTTTCTGTTTAGAAAAGTGGTTATTTTCCACAAAGCTTGTAAATCTTTTTGCCTTTTCTTAACTCAAGAGTTTTTGATCAAGCATCACAAAACTATTGAAGAAGCTTTATCATGACTAATGACTTTTCAATGCATTCTTTTAATGAAGATGTCAAGATGCCAGGCATGTCAGAGACCATTTTATTAAATAAGCTTTGTTACTATCATGTACAAGAACTCTAATATAATGAGAACGCCATGTTTGAGATTCTTTTCGAGATAGTGACTTTTTCATCTTTTACTTCTCTTTGTAGAAATAGAAAGTAGCAAATCACTATAGGTTATTTGCACCCTACACAGCTTATCGAATAAAAAAAATGTTATACAAAATGAAGGTCAGCAGGATACTTCATTGTGTCAGGATAACCAAATTTTTATTTGCTGCATATTCCAGTTCGAATCATGGGATATGGTCAAAATTTTTACTCGAGTTTTTGCACTATAACCTCGAATAATCCTGAAAACATCATGCAATTGAAATTTACATAATGCAATATTAATTTTTTCTAGAAAAAAGCGGGCTTCATGAATGTTCTTATAGAAAAAAGAATTCGGTCTTTTTTTTCAGAACCTGAGTACTCATCATTTGAACTTAGAAGAAAATCATGGTAATACTTTTAAATGATTCGTCCTCCATGGAACTGCGAAACAGAGTTGCGAATGTTTTCCTATATTTTCAATTCATGTTACACAGTTTCTAGAAAACCAACGTACGAAATATCATACAAGTTTTGGATTGATCAACACGCAATATTGATGACGTATGTGTGCCAAGCGATTATATATATTACAAAATTCAATATCTTAATAATTTAAATTCTGTTCAGCTGAGAGCGTTAAAATATTCCTAGAGTTATTAAACTTATCTATGGATTTCATTTTCAGTTGAAATTTCATAGTGTGATTTTCCTATTAACACCTAACAGTTGACCGAAAATTTATTGGAGCGCTTATAATTCAGCTCTAGAACCTTTTTCGATTGAACCTGTATAGGTGTATAATAGACATAACAGGGATTCAAAAACTTCAGTTCGCTTTCTCTTCTAAATCGAAAATTAAGTTCTTTCTTAATAAAGCAATTAAAATCATAAAATTATTCGAATGTCAATAAGTAAAAATGATGAGAGACAGATCTGTTCCGCGAACATCAGGATTCACACGACAGAGATTGCGACGATCCTAATAGAGAAAACAAAATTTTTCAAAGATATAAAGTCATCCATACGAATATCTTGAGCGTTTCACCTAAGACTTGATCGCTATTGAATATCGCCATCTTGTTTATTCCAAAGTCCGACATGAGTACAACGCGATCTACGGAAGCACAAATGAGTTTGAGTAGTATTCATCTAATTATTTTGCTATTAATCACAAATTTAGCATTGTCACGAAGTCTGAATGGCGTCATTATATCAGCAAAAAGAGGAATATAATTATTCAATAGTATTGTTTGTCGTAAATGACATCAAAGCATATTTGAACAACGAGCATTCTTTACAATAATTAACTAAATTTTGCTCAAACAGATGTGAAGTTATGTATAATGTTTTGAGCTGAAAAACAAATTAGACGCATACAGTGTGCAAGTGTTAAATAATTAAGTTTTGTTTTATGAAGAGTTTATTGAAATTGACGTGGAAATTTTCAAGTTAATTACCATCATGTTTTTCTCTGCTCGCAGCAAAGTGTGCTCCCGATAAAGTATCTTCCATTCATTTATATTTACTAATTATGTATTCTATTTTTAATTTTCTTTTAAAATATGTATAAAAATCTAGAAATTTCGTTACGAAATATCGAGTAAAACAAACACATGAAGTGTAGACTAGTAATATGAAAACATAGTTAAATCTATGTAGTGCAATCAGGATGTTTCTCTAGTGGGATCATCAATTGAATTATTTATGACTGTAACATATTTCTTTTTTTCTCAGTCTGAGGTTAAGATTTATTTGTAAGAGCAGAAACTATTTACTTTTGAATGCAATCATTCATATGATTAATCTATTATTTTATTTTCGATAACAAAATTTCAACGACTAAGATGTTTTATTTAGCTATTTGAAAAATAATCTTTATAGTTCATTGTCCGAGCATACTAGTTATATTAGCCAATATGAAAAAAATGTATCGAAAATAGTAAGTGACATAATTACTCATTCCATTGGATTTTCTTTTTCTTTTTTCTAAGTTTTAATCCTTGAGTTAGTTTTTAATTGGATTTCTTATTATAATTAATTGGGTTACCTTATAGACAAATACTTTATTTGTCACACTTTATTAACGAAATTTGATAGTATTTTGATAGATATCAACTATCAAAGTTCACTGATACTGAGAGCATGAAGTCACACAAAAAATAGATCGAAAGTTCAACATGCGTTCTTTTTTATTGAGTACTCTTTAATGTTGAGTATTCATTAGTATTGGTAATAGTCTCAATAATTAAAGAGTCTTGAAATAGCAGGATTGAATATTTACAATACTGGCTAGTGCCGCCATAATAGCGCTACAAAAGAACTTTTGATTCTATTTTTAAATCTAGTTTTCATGGTTATATATACGTATTTAAGATTGAACCCGATTAAACGAGAATGATAAACATGAAAGATTACATTGATAAACAATCATATTTCATTGTGCATATGCAAAGGCTCTCGTTTGCGGAATGTATAATAGTAGAACTAATAGTTAGTCTGCTAAACAATTAGAGAGCTTATATAGACTGGCTGCCGTACTTTGTTGTCGTAACATGGTTATATATTTAATAGAATAATATATTTTAATATATTATATTTTCTAATGAAGAACTATAACAATAATCATCAATGAATAATATAATAATATGGAAGATGATAATAATAATAATAATAATAATAATAATAAATAATAACACTGATAATAACTGGGAAGAAGAAAAACCAACAACTGCGTAATAGCGAACGAAAATCAATCCCGAGGATTAGTCATAGTAGAAATATTACGTAACAAATCAAAATAGAGATCATAGCAAAAGATAATACGAAGAAACGTTTAGCGTCAGTGAGTGTCATCTACTGGCGCTAACAACATACAAAAACACATTATAAAAGACGAAGATAAAATTCTCGGAAAGTGATGAGTATGAACTGAATTTTGGACTACGACTCATTATTTTCAGTTCTGACAGTATCAACAATTACATTGATAGCTATGGTACCCAGTGAAAAATATTCCTCACAAAATCGTTATTATTTTTGATTATGGTTGAGCAAATCCGATTTCTCGACCCAAATTACCTCTTTTTGTAATATAATCCGATTAAAATTTCAATCTATTCAATCAATTATTGATGATTTACCCCTGAAAATCTAATTTTAATCGAACGATTGATTGTAATCTTCCTAATCAATTGAAATTTCAATCTGTGAAAATCAAATTTATGAATTGTCAATCGGCTCTTTCGAAATAACTTACTTGAACCTGATTTTAATTCTACAATCGATTAAAATTTTCTCTATCGATTTAAATCAAAATCTTTTACAATCGAATTGATTGATCAACAATCGATTTTTTTAAGTAGGGTACCCAGGTCGATCAGTACGGTCCGTATACGGCCATTGACGGTTACTTTACGACTATTTTACGGGCGAAATTTTGCCGTAATATCTGGCGCAGTAATACGGACCGTATTATCATGAGAGTACGGAGCGCAAGCAGCCGTAAACCATGAAAATTCAGTCCCGTTTACGGTGTCGTATTACTGCGCCAGGTATTACGGGCAAATATGGCCTATATTTACTGCCGTAAAGATACCGTTTTGACATCGTTTACCGTCGACAAACAGACCGTAAACGAGTCCGTTTTGATCAGCCTGGGTATCTAAGACCAGATTTCAATTCGTCAATGGATTAAAATCTTCTCAACCGATTGAAATACGAATTTCTAAAAATCAAATTGGTAGATTATCAACCGATTGTTTGCAATTACTGTAGTTGAAACCGATTTTAATTCTATAATCAATTAAATCTTCTTAATCGATTGAAATCTCAATCTTTCATAATCGAGTTGTGTGATTAGGAATCGATTGCATGTGATTAACTCTTCTGAATCAGATTTTAATCATACAACCGATTAAAATATTCTTAATCCATTAAAATCCCAATCTTTTACAATCGAATTGAGTGATGATCAATCGGTTATTTTTAATTACTGCAGCTGCAACTGAAATTTGCTCGAAAAGCCGATTTTAGTGGATCGTAACGTATTTAAAACACTAAATATTAAGGGAATTTACTAAGTAGTAATGATTGTAACTTAAATCTGTTCCTATAATGGTATGTAGTCCAATGATAGATGACTCACATTCGAACTGCAGGTAATGCACTTAGCTTACGATTCAAAAAGTCATTGTAGATATTCTAAATGTCATTTATGTGTCATAAAACTTATAATTAGTTTATATTGAAGGAGAGCTATCATTGGTGGCAAATTTCTCAAATAATTTTTTCGACAGAATTGTTTTTTGTTATTTTTCACAACTTTTACTAATACTTTTGACTTTAGTATAAGAATAAATCAAGATGCATACTATAATTATACTAATATACTTCTTTTTCAGTTCTCCGATATAAAATACACAAGTATTCTGTGATTCGACATTTCTTATAGATGTTACTAGCTGTAAATATACTACTAAAAGAAACAAAAAACGTATTTAAACTCTCTGAGAGTATTATATAAGTAGAAAGCACACATTATATGAGTAAAATATAAAACAATATCAGCTCTATCATCACTATGTATTTAGACCAGTATGCTATACATAAAACGTTAAGTATCTACATAGGACGAATTGAAACCGATTAAAAGTTTTAAGTTAATCGCAATCGAATTTTAATATTTTTAAGCGATTGATTTTGTCATATTGCCATCTAAGTTCAAAACAATTTATATCGAAGCTTCAAATTTAGGTTATCTGTGAAATTTTAATAGTTTAATAACTATAATTTTAAACATCAGAAATGAAAAAATCGTAAAAGTTTTGTGTTAAACACTTGGCTATCAAGAAGAAGCGTTCGCTTTCTATGTTTATGCATTCATTTAATTAACAAGTGATCATCGACTACAATTGATTGACAGGCAAGAAAATGTTGCATGCAATTTATAGTTAACAGTCCTAGCTAAAACATTTGATTTTTTCGATTTTGATCCTTATGAATTCATCAGAGAACCATGAAATATTTGCTATTTTTCTTCAGAAGGTCAGTAAATTCTGAAAGAAACTTGTACACGAAACATTTTGACGATTTAAACAGCAGCTGAGTCAAGATAAACATATTTTACACAGCCGTTCTTCACTCTTAGATCATTATTCTGATAGGATTTAAACCGTTCTTATACAAAAACTTCTTCTCATATTTAGTAGAATTGTACCTGGGTTCCTTCTAAATATGCTATCTCGTGATAATACAGAAGTAGCCGCTTTTCAAAGGTGAACAGGCAACTAAAGAATACAGAGTAGATATATTTAGGTTTTCATTACAGAAATAGATCAACGTTTCTGGTTGAACTGTGGTATACTATGATATAAGAATTTATTGCTAGATATTTAAAATTCTTAATTTATTTGAACTTCTACTTGATCTTCAGATAAAAAGCACTCCACCGAGTTCCTTAAATGTGATATTAGTCTTTTTTTTGTTTAATTGAAAGCATGTCACCACATTTTATTTTATTTTGAATCTAATAATAAAATATTCTCTTTAATGGTCTTTAATGAATAATTGAAATTATAAACACTTTTACTAAAAGATTTCTAACGTGAGGAAAAATAAAGGGGCTCTTGAGAATTTTGTGGGGATTGCTCCAATGAATACTCGTGATAGAAATGAGAGAAGAAATTGTAGTAAATTGTATGTTAAAATAGAGTTTCAATAAATATCACTCGCTAAAAAGGAAGGAGTAATCACATGTAAAATCAGATCGTAGTCAGAATTTTATATTAAAACGTCTCTATTTATTTTCCCCTCACCATTTTACTGGAAATATATATAATTGTAACTTAGATAATCTGAGAATGCCTTGAAATAGATTCAAGTTGTGTCAATGGATTTAACTTATGACTCTTGTAGGACTCACACACGTAAGCTTAGTTATAGATTAAGAAAATATTTTCAAGAAATATGAATCAGACAGATTAAATGATGTCGTTTAGGAAAACTGAATCTCATCAGCACTGTTACTATGAAGTAGAGAAACGTGCGAAGTTTATCATCAGTGCTCTATAAGAAGCTAGTTAACTTTTGAGTCAAACGAAGAAACTGTAACGAACAACTAGATTAGAGTAGCTTGTGCCACGCTCGGCAAAGATGTTTATTAGGCTACTTCAAGTTATCCCAAGTGTAACGACAAAACTAGAGTGTCGCCTATGCCCGTCGGCATGATGGTGTATTGTGTCATCTGACATCTCCAGAGTGTAACAACTTCATACATGACGCACGTGTATATAGGAGAGAGATAGAAGAGAGACAGGAGAGAGATACATTAGAACAATGGAAAGAGAACAGAAAGAAAAGGAAGGAGAATCATCGAAGCGTGCCATCAATATCGGCACAGAAACCATCTATAAGGATGCTTTTCGGACTTGCCCCTAGATTGCATAGACATAAGATGGAGCCGCAAATTCTCCATAAGTTCTGCTCTTAAAAAATAATATCAACTCACTAACATCCACTGTTTCTGATACCTTACGTCTTCGCCTAACTATTCAGTTTGAAAAAGAAAGTCGACTTTGAAAGTTTTTCAATGGTATTTAGAAACGGTAGATGTTGGTGAGCCGATAGTATTTTTTAAGAACGGAACTTATGGGGAATTTACGGTTCCATCCTATGTCTATGCAATCCAGGGGTAAGTTCTAAAAGCACCCTTATAGATGGCTTCTTCCTTTGGCCCAAAAGTTAACTAGCTCCTTATAGAGCACTGATAATAAACTTCGCAAGTTTCTCTATTTCATAGTAACAGTGTTGATGTGATCCAGTTTTCCTAAACGACACCGTCTGATCTGTCTGATTGATATTTCTTGAAAACGTTCTCTTAATCTATAAATAAACTTATGTGCGTGAGTCCGACAAGAGCTAACTTTCATGAGTCACAATTGTACCAATTGATTATTATATTTTTCTAATTGAGTTTTATTGATAATAATCAAAATTATCAATCGGATTATTCTACGCCAAAATCAAAATTTTAATCGATTAGAATCGAAATTGAAATCGCTCTCAGTCGATTGTCGGGTACGAATAATCGATTGATGTTGATTGGAATCTCTATTTCAGTCGATTAAAATTTTGATTTTGTTGCAGAAAAATCCGATTACCAATTTGGATTATGCCCATAGGATTTCGAAATAATAGTCGATTTTAATCCCTAAAATTTTTCAGTGGGTAGGATCCTAAAGTTGAAGTATTTCTGATTATTGTTGACATTTTTCACTATGCCAGCAAATTTTATTTATTGCATTCTGCGTAGCTCTACTGTAATAGTCAAGCTTGATAAAGTTGAAGTTTTGGCTTGCTATTATTCTTTTTCTTCCTTCATGGACTAGCAACGATCACAAACAGTCATATTTTCGATCACCTTCAAAATCAATTTTCGGAACTATACAAAAATGTGAAAATTTCTACTACACGAAGAAAACATATTCGTACATTTATGGATCATATTTTATGATAATAGAACATATAGCTAACAGCATTACCACCAAGCTGCTCTACACATCCTTTTTTCATCATGTCGAAAAATCCATTGATATTATCATCAGTGACGAAGAAATATCCGTGAACATGAATCCTTTTAGTCTTTTATTAGTCGCAACAAACCCTATCTAATAACTGACGACTTATTCGAAAAGCAATTTATCACTTAGGAAAAGCGTCTCGTAAAAACTCAATTCAGTATCAACTCAATCAATTTATTTCTATGCACAACGAAACAAATTCTCTTCTTTAGCAATCTCTATTTCTCCTATATCTCTCGAAAACATCTAGTTGCCCATCTAAAATAGTCTCATTTTCGTACATCACACTTTTCAAGGTCTAGTCTATCGTATATTTTTCTACTGAATTTAATTCAATCGTACTCATGATCAAGTAACGATAATCTCTAATTGACGTGATCAGCAATTAAACATTCGAGAGAAAAAAAGGTTCCAATTAACATACTTTCTAAATTCGTTTTAATCGCGATGATAAAATACACGAGTAGAATTATACAGATAAATAACAAAAAATTAATAATAATAATAATAAAGACAGAAACAATATTAATATTGCATCAGTGAATAAACTCTAACACAGACAACATGGAAACAATTCCAATGCAAATAAGAAAATATGATGTATTTTCATCTATCAATAAAGCAAATCTTTTGATTAACAAAAAATAAATAAAAAGTGCTCATAATATGCTTAGAAGATTGTGCAGATAAGAGTAAAAAGCACAGACACATAGATATATTAAATAGTGAACAAAACCAGACACAACAACAAGCAAGGCAAAACAAGAAATAGATGACACACTTATACATTTCTTTTATGCTTTTCTTTTTAATACACGACTAATAGACACGAGAAAAAATTCGCAGATTGTTTGTCATGAAATTCATAGAAAGCAAAGTAAAGTTTAACTTTTTAACAATGTTTTCGCTCGCTTATTAGCTTCTTCGATACGAATATGACTAATATCCGTCTATGGAACAAAAAAGAAACCAACAAGATTTTAATTAGATTAAGACAAAATATTTTTTTTCATCTTACTTTGCCCTTGATACGATCAATTTGATTATTTTGATTTTCTATTTCATTACCCATATCACAAGCCATATTTCTTAGATTACCAATCACTGTGCTAACTTGTTGAAGATTTTCTTCCATTTCATCTTCTCTTGCATCGTTAGTAATTCTTAATAAAAAAAAGTTGTTAGCAAAACCCCTATGAGATTAAAATATGAAACGCAATATAGTTGCTCTTACTAATCATAGGAAACTTTTTTTATTCTAACTGTTTCCGGACACATTGTTTTTCTTTTCACCATCATCATTCTTTTTTTAGTTCTACGGTAACAGTGCAATATAAAAGTAGCTCATACATTAAAACGAAAGTTTATTGATATACTGGCTATGCCACACGGGAAGAAATATGCACACTTATACTTCATCACTTCTCTCAAATGGCATTTCATAATAGTAAAAACAAAGGTAAAGAAAGAGAAAAAAACATTTTTTTCTTGATTACTTTTGAATATAACCGGAACCCGGGCCAACGCCATTTTGTCCAACAACTTGTCGTGGGCCTGACGCATTGACTTTCCCATCTTCATTACCTTTAAATGTTTTACTGTAAGCAGCACTTTTTTCAACATTTTTCGATCTAATATTGATGCGTAAAAAAATAACGAACATAAGTAGAAAAATAATTTCAACCTTTTCCATGGAAGTACGCATAATCCACAACATTTTTCGAGACCTTCAAGATTTTTTTCTGCATCACGCATTTCAGCATTTATACGATCCATGCCAGAATCAATTGCATCAAGTTGTTCTATATATTGCAACAAAATCATTATTGAAAATATGATTTGCAAAAGAAGTTCACATTAATTACTGTCGATTGAATCATGTAAAAAAGAATCGCAAAGTCTCTACGCAATCAACTATGCATCGTTTACTTAACTTGTTCATGAGCAAGATCGTTACAGCTTTATATAAATGATTAAAAATTCTAAGTTTAACACATTTCTTTCACATAGAAAAAGAAGTATTGGCTCATTTGTATTTAATTTCACGAGTAAAAGTATGTCGTCTTCATTTTTTCCCAGAAATAATTTTTTTTACTTACCTCCTTGTTCATCAAGCATAACCAGAGTTCGAATTCCAGCTTCTTTACTCTATACATATAGATGAATGGTAACTATTAATTCCTTTAAAATAAATTGCAATAACACTTACTTCGTCACATAGAGCAAGCATTCGCCTAGTTGATTCAAGCGACTAAATAGATCAAAAAAACATATGTCCTTTTTGTTCATTCAGAAAATTAAACATTAGAATCTATTTGAAATGATTTTATTATTAGTTTACCTCATGAACACCCTGATCAATAGCCAAGAGAGTTTGCTCTTCTTCTGTAAGTACTCTCGGTGGTTCACCATTATTAGTATTATTGGTGTTTGATTTGAATGGTAATACCATATTTAGGATAAGGCAAAGAAATCCTTTTCTTTGTATATATATATATATATATTTACATTTTCAACGAGTAAAATTTGAACTGTTTATCAAGAATACGAGGACGAGAGACAGAGAAATTTTAGTTATTCAATGATTATTATATGAAAAGAACTGTAAATCAGAAGAGAATAGTAAACGCACTACTTCAGTCGTTTGCTCGCTGTCTATTGATGTTAGAGCAAACGAGTGAGAGAAGCAATGAGAAGTAGGAATCTTTTTTTATGGGCGTACTACAGAAAGAAAAAGGAATAAGAGCGAGTTCTTCATTTCCGAAAATCGTCATCACTCGTCTTATTGATTATAACGAGATGCATTTAGAAACAGAGATGAACTCGTTAAACATTTTTTCTTTTTTCTATTCGAGAAAGCAATTTAAGTTTTAATTTATTTTCTCCTTTTGTTGGTCTATATCATTAATTCTTCAATTATCATATGCTTGGGTAGGTCGGAATTTAAAATAATTGTCACGTCATTAAAGTAATTGCTAAATTATTATTTTTTTCTTCGCCTTTTCTATTTATCCAATCAAAAGTAAATGCAAAGGTTTTCATTCTAACTATTGTTTTGATCAAAAAAAGTTTTTTCTTCTTCTATTAGTCAACAAGAAAAAGAATAGCATGTATAATGCTAAGTGCTAAGTGTATGCCCATGCATATAAAAGCAGCACTTGAGTGGAAAATAAAATACAAATGAGATTGAAAATGGTCAGCATTTTCCCACATAATCGAGTAAATAGAGATCGGTGTCGGCAAAGAAAAATAAGAATTCTAAATTACTCTTTTTAGTTCTAGTTGCATTCCAATAATCGGAAAAGAAAATGCAACGCCTTCGGCAGATGTTTTCTTTTTTTTTTCTTCGTCTTTTTCTTCTTCTTCTCTATTATTATTATTATTATTAGTAGTAGTAGTAGTAGTAGTACTTAAACTGCTCGTTTCACAATATCTAGCAATCAATTATAGAAAGAGTACAAACTAAACTATTTACGTCATTCGTTGTTTGATTCATCTGCATTTGAATAGATGATAATTCATTGCGCATAGTTTCATCATTCATTTTTGATAATAAATATGGAGTACTGTGTCGATGACTTTTGAATTATAGTTTGATATTATCTGAAGAAAAAAAAGAAAGGAAACAACAACGTCATCTTTTTCATATGAATTCTATTATTTGGCATTATAAGTCATGAATATGAAGAATATTATTTTTGCCGACAAAAGTAACTAGTTTGATGGAAGTCGCTAGTATTAATATGGTCCCATGATGACAGTCACAGGTCAATGTTTGTTTGCATGTTTGTTGATTAGATAAGATCTTATTCGCTATTGGTCTACAGCCATAACAAATCTTCACGCATTATTTTGCCTCTAAGTATTTTGACATCCATTCAAATGTTAATACTATTGGAAGAACGGGTGATACGAAGCAAATAGAGTTATAATTATTTGACATGTAAATGTCAGAAAAGGGGACGCTACTTGATAATAAGGATGTCATTGTAGGCCTTCGATGTTTTTTTCGTTGCTCTAGACATTTTATTAGCATACAGTGAGTCAAAACCTATACGTCTATAATCATTTAAAATCAAAATAATAACAAGATTGTTTTATATTGAGTTTTTTTTTATGAATGTTAATTAATTTTTTATATCATGGAATCATTATTCATTTATTATATAGTAAATACAAAAACAAAAAACAAATCTATGAAACTATATATGCCATATCATTTTAGCTCTGCGGGTCTTCAACAATCAGAAGATTGGTTTAGCAGCTGTTTGATGAACTCAATATTAATTTTTATGCATGCATAAAACTTTGTAGATGACTTGTCGTTATTAATTGCAAGATGTTAAACATGATACGGTGTATTTTGCAGTATTCACTGTTGTTGGTATTGTGTGACAAGCCCTAATGAGATATTTATTCGTTAGAAAAATAAAATCCTTCTTAGTTATCTCTCTTCATGAATAATCTTCTTTTAATTTATGCAATGACACAGAGTTTTTCCACAATAAAAAACATCGATCGTCGTTCCAACAAATGAATCGATTCTAATAAAAATGATGCGTCTCCTTTTTTCCTCCTGCCATTTCCATTTCGAATAACTATGCAGACAGAATAAAAACTATAAATTATACAATAATACCAGAAATGAGCATTGTAGTTGCAATATTTTATTAAGCAAAAGAAAATTCTATATTGTTTTGCGATACGATTTCTTTTTTTTTCTGGCGGAAGTACTGTAAATCAAATTTTTATGTTTCTTTCAATGTTCTACGTTTTTATTTAATTTATCAAACAAAGTTCTTTTTTGTTTGCAAGCGAAATAAAAGGAATTCAACATGTGTCATGAACATAAAACACAAATTTTAAGCAATATTGACTTCTTTTTTCAATGACTTAATTATTTTATATTTCCTTTTATAAGATATTATTAAATATTTCATACCCAGGTATTACAGAGGAAGCGCTCGCGGCACAAAAAAACTTTTCAATTGAGGACATTGTGATTAGATAGGGTATGTCTAGGAGTGATATATCTTAGCCTGGCGTAGCCGCGAGCTACTCTTAGAAGAAGTTATGGAATCTTCAAGGTATTATGAATATTTTTAGACTTAATTTTGAACTTTGAATCTCTTGTAGAGACAACGTCATACTAGATTCTTTTCACAAATTTATGACAAAACAACTCTTTGACTAGAATACGCTCTTGTAAAGTGTTTTCAACTTTATATTTTCCTATCTCAACGTAAATAACTTAAATCGATTATTAGAATATTGAAAAACGAATTTCAATCAAATTTAGAGTCCTGATTTCATATATTTGTGCTGAAAGTAGTGCAATTGTTAACAATTAGCATACAAATATTGAGTTTAATTCAATATTATAAATTCCCTAAAGGCACTGACTATGTCTGTCATGCAGGTTGTATTAAAAATCATCGCTTTGAATTAATATGATGATGTTGTGCTCAATGATTGCTTACATGTCAAACATTCGCTACTCATCACATACAAACATCTACACCAAACACACTGTACACTTTTTCAGGATACCTTATTTCTGTTGCTCATTCGACTACACCACATAGAATATAATAAACAAACTATAATATCAGTTGTTTAATATTACCAATCAGAAGCAATCAAGCTAATCACGGCTAATTAGTGTAAACTATGAGGTAAACATAAAGAAAAATTTTCATCATATCCATTTTTCGCTTATCATCCTTAAACGAAGAGTAGCGAGTTACCATTTGACTGTTTCAGTGGATTGATTTTTAGTATAAAATCAGAAAGAAATATAACAGGAAATACGTTGATCGTCTATCAAATTTCGCAATTGATCACTACTTTTCTCCAATGAATTCATCAATGAAATTTCTGCTCTTATGTGTTGCGGTTGCGCTGCTTTGCAACAGTGTTCAATCTCATTCATTACAACGGTATTTTCCGAAACGTGAAGGCGAGAAGAATCCTTTATGTGAATTCGTGATTGCGATTATGGATGGAATCATTCGAGGCGCAGATCTCAATTTAACACATGAACAAGAAGCCTTATTACCAAAGCACGGCGATGTTGCACGTCGATCTGAATTTGAAGACGAGTGCAAAGCAGAACAAGATGAGTGGTTGAATTCATTGGCGTCATTTCTGAGCTCTCTATCAGAAGAACAGCTGCAAAAGTTAGGTTATGCCTTTAATCAATTTGCAAATGACGCCAACAAAGCTCAAGAAGGAGTTGCATTAGCTCGAGGAATGTTAAAACGAGCAATCAAATTGCAACCAAGAAATTTCAATAATTATCGATACTAACAACAAAAAACAAGAGCGTTTATTTATTTAAAAATTTTCATTGATAAACAATCTACAGCAGTTTTTTTAGTGAAACGCTAGAATTTCTTTTCATTTCCCAGTTGCTGAGAGTTTAGTGTCTATGCACAACCTATGTTTTTTTCCACTCAAGTACAATCCAGGGAGATATATTTATCTATGAATAATTTTAGCTTTGTTTGAAAAATAATAAAGTCATCGAAAAGTATGTTGTCATGTGATGTAGCTCTGGCTGTTCCAATAAATGTGATTAGAAATGTTCACACTCTCAAGTTTTACTTACAAGCAATCATCTGTAGGTCATGAATAAAAATATGCGTATACATCAAAAGAACAAAAGAAGCAATGTAGGAGCGATGATCCTTATTTTTTTTATCAAACATTAAAAATCGATTGTGCTATTTATGCAAATAAATAAATATATATAGAACTACCTTATGGTAATTTTCAAGCATATCTACCACCGAGAACTTAATATAATGAATAAGCACCGATGTTTTTTATCGACTATTATAAAATAATGATAGAAGCAGAAAACATTTATCATTGGCATTTATTTATTTATACGAAAAGTCAAAGCATTTGAAAAATGAAGAAATATATAACGTGTTCTACATTCATCATGTCTTGTTGTTCGTATTCGTAATGCATTTTTTCAGGTAAAGAAAGTCAAACATTTCGTGATTAATTGTGTTGTGAAGCCATTTAGGCGCAACACTGTTTTTGCGTTTTCATCAATGATGAATTCTACTGGCTCAATGCCTATCAAATCAACATTTTTTGTATCGAAACACATTTGTTCACTAATCAAATACGTATGCGTATCAAATAAATAAGGAGAACTAGTCACTTAATAACATGAACCAGACTTTATTGTTTTATCTAATTAGAAATACTCGAATAAATTAGTCAATAAACCGTGTGCACATGACAAGGAAGTATTGAAAGAGCCAGCTATTGTAATCCGAATAACTGATATGGGTTTAATATGCGAAGAAAGTATAAAAATGGCTTATTTTCTTTTGTTCTGCGATACAATATCTACTGAATTCGTGTTTAAGATTAATGACAAGGCATAGTCATCTGTTGTTGTTTATCGTACTCGTGAAATAAAATAAATCACAAATTGACCCTGAATTAACGAAAATTTCTTCTGCAATTGATTCATTTATCTAAAGTTTAAAGTCATGAGATATATTCAGGTAATGTATGCTGAATCTTCAAAATGAAAAACCTGAATTAGGCACACTAGCAAGCGAAAAAATGAATTATTTAATCTAGAATATATTCTATTCGCCGATTCTTTGTTTTCGCAGTATCCACATTCATAACGAAACTTGGGTCATTACGATACTATTTCTATTTTACATATTCTCCAAATGAATACTGTAAGAATCGCAATAGTTTTGATGTTCGGAAAACCATTGTTCTAAATACATAAATTTCAAGGAAAAGAACTATTTAGTCGGAGGATTCCGTCAGCAGTGGCAACTTTCTCCTGTTCACAAAATAGGACAATGGTCTCATATTGCAGGCATGATCTGTCTTCGGTACCACAGACACTAGAAACAACTAAGTGATTAGCTACAAACACTTTGATCTAAATGAAGCATGTTCTCGTATTTGTTTTGCGGATGTTTGTGTTTCATGTACATACCCACACCCAGTTGCAAGTTGTGCATGTATCCGGCTACCATCTAAGCATGCGGGTGTATGTGAGGTATAGAGGGTGTGGTTCTATATTTGGTCTGGGTGTACATCTACACCCACATTCCCATACCCTGTGTCGTCATAAATAGACATTGTTTTTTTCGTTTCACCGATAACTGTTTTGATGGTTGGTTGCATAGAAATGTGTTTAATGTCTTATTGAAAGATTTCTTATCTTATGCTTCAATAGTGTTGATAATGCAAATTTCGATAGCTTCACATTACAGTTTGCGTAGCTCATAAGCCAAACTCAAAGACCCTTGAATACATCAACCAACAGAGGTAAAGTAATTTAGGCATATTACAATTTTAATAAGAACGATAGAGAAATGAAGGAACAGCTTGAACTTATGACAGAAACCGTGTAATATGAAGTATGTCAGCAATATAATAACTAGTATAGACTATATTTTGATTAATACCGTCGTCTTTCGAATTTTTAGGTACTAATGTATCACGCTATAAAATAATAGAAAATAGAATAGACAGAAAAGTGATCTTTCCTTGTCTTACAACAAACTGAGATAACGATGTTTAACATTTGTGTGACGATTTTAGATAGAAGAGATGCCTGTACTGGTGGTATTACACTTTATTTAACTCTTCAAAGCATAAATCGCATCGATTACATATAAAGCACACGCTTAAATACTCAACCATTTGAGAGAACGAAGAAGAAGGATAGATAAAGACAAATGTAAAGGACAGAAAGATAAAGGTAATAGGTGTGATGAGAATAAATGGCATCATAAGACCAAATCTTATGTATAGGTTACACTCGAACGAGAGCATTACACCCACGGATGGAATTTGGACGCTCTCCGCATATAATCGTTACGATTTGTCATTATCTTATCAAATAATAGAATATTTAATCGGAAATTTCCAAGTTGGCATATTCCAAGTTGGCATGTTGTTGTTCGTTTTCCTTCATGACAGTATAAAAAGAGCTTTATTCTATCTTTTAGCACGACATTGTAACAACATTGTGTTTTAGACTGAATTATAAAATACTCGACCTATCAGTCTATTCAAATAATCGATGGCAGAAACTAGTAGTGATATTTCTCGAAGTTTAGGACTTCCTTCAACAACTGGCAAGCAATGCGTCTTCAAATATACCAGTGTTAGGACTAATACAACAGTGAGAGCCACTGGTCGTTTGACGACATTAGAACAACTCAGAGAAGATTTTTCAGCTGATAATATTCAAGTATGCCCAGAGAACAATGTCGAGTATTATAAAAAAAATTCTGAAGGAGGTCCTCGGTTCTTTGCGTGCCAATCTAATGAGTCACCAACAAAAGTATATTATTGGGACAATGGAAATTGGTATGGATATCGTAGTTTGCAGTCTGTGGAATTTTACGATATGCAGACCGTCCATGATACAGAAAATATTGCACAGATTCCATACCAACCGATTGACAGTAGATCTTATTAACTACGACCAGTCATGTATTCGAGAAAAATATTATGTCGTTTTATGCGTCATGTAAAATGTGTTGACACTTTGATAAAATGTATATCACTGGTTCAACCTGTTTTTTATTCTCATCTTCAAATAAACTCACATCTATGCAAGATCATCGGAGCAAAGTTTGGGTTTCTACTTATTCTTGATTTAGACTTTCAAGGAGAATTGCTACTTTGTTGCCTTGTGATGCTATGATAAATCCTGCTGAACTCCAAGTAGAATAACAGTTAGATTTACTTCGGTTTCACAGTTAGCTATTACGTCTTGTAATAACTTATAAAGATATATTTTTCGGATTCTTTTCTTCTTGTTTGATTGTAGATTCCTAATCTTCTTTTCATGAATAACACTTATCTATTATCTAAATACAAAGTAAATCAGCCGATTCTTGATTATTTTCTGAGAAACATAACATGCAAATGAATGATATTTTTGCACCATTGTATTAAAGGAAAACTCAATTTGATCAAATTACCTAGCTGAGTGAGTCCGACGCTTGAGGTCAGTCAGGGCCCTGAAATGAGTTCCGTTGAATTCAACAGTAAGATATGATCGAGGCAAAATACTAGAGATCCTAATATCAGTTAACAATCCAGATTTCTATATAGAAATTGACATAAAATCCGATTCTCAGAATGGTTATCCTGAGTAGCCAAAAATAAAAAAGAACCAATGAATCCTGTTTATTAAGTATCAGATGAGATGATTCAGTTTTATTTTAATCTAAGTATATCAGAGTTAGTGACCATTTAAAAATACAAATTGAATTATATTATTTGTATGTTTGATCGAAGGAACGAAATTTACCGAAAACATTTGTCTGAATAGCTGAAAATGGTATATCTCTCTAGCATGTTTCGAATCAGAAGAACTCTCATACTTGATATTTACAATTTTGAATAATGCTTGAACAAACCAATTCATTTACCTTTATAACGAACGCATCTTCTATCTACTTCAAGATCAAAACAAGCAAATTCAGTTTTATTCGATTACATATTCGGTATCAACATAAAATTGCTGATTTTACGAAAATATGTATCAAACTTTCTTGATAATAGCTAGTTAACTTCTAACGAATCTATCGTATACATAATTATTGACAATTATCTACACATAATAGATTCACAATTATTATTTCAAGAATAATTAAAGTAAATATTATAAATCAATTTTTAATAATAAGTGTGCTCGTTTTATAGGTGATAGTAAATGTTTAAGAATCTAAATTTTCTGTTTCTCTATCAGTTTTGAAATAAACTTGAAGAATATGGAATTGACTGAGAAACACGACAACGTAAAGTATGTCACTCTTTATCCTAAGAGGTTGTTTTATAACATATACAATGAGGGCTGTGCAAGTACGGGTACAACTTGTACTCAAATGTACTCGGTTGTACTACCTCTTCTTCCCCCCAAAACCTAGAATTCTACAATTAATGTGCTGACATGAACTCGATGGTACCGCCCGGTACATGAATTCTAGAATTCTAGGTTTTTTGGGGGAAGAAGGGGTAGTACAACCGAGTACATGCGAGTACAAGTGTATCCTCTGTGTCACTAGTGGAGCTTTCAGCCTCTATGTAAATTGCCCAGTACAAGTTGTACCCGTACTTGTGCAGCTATGCATACAATATAAATTTATTATGACAGACCTAGCTGCATATTCTGTTCTCTGCAAATCGTATTAGATTCCCAGATGAAGAAATTGGTGAGTTAGAACTGCTTAAAAAGTATTTTGCCGTCAGCTCCCGACACCTAGTGATTGTTGTATATAGTACATGGACGGGGATGGGGATAAAGTACAATATGGACTCAAATTAATTTGGCAAACGGCAAACTTTATTTATACTTTATGCATATTGCAAGAGTAAATTGTTAAAAGCGTTATCTGGTAAAATTTAGTATGCTATCGTCGAAGAATTTACAGCCATCGAAACAAAAATAATTTTCCTTGTACAATAATATCAATATAAGTTTTTGCTTTTTTCAAACCTCTCATAAATAACATATATGAATAATTATTTATATCAATCTATTTCGAAAACATTACTTTTGAAAAATAGCAGATCTATATCAATGATAACTGGGATTTAAGTGCGAGCCCTTCATAGTAATTTAAAAATTCGTTCATGAAATTCTCGCAACACAATCAATATCTATTATTATTATTCTGCAATAATTCCAACCTGAGATGTTTATAAAGTGTTATACATCAATGTTAATAATGATCAAGCAGATTTTTCGTTTAATGTTGAATCCATCATGAAGAGTCTTCAGTTACATAAAAAATACCTTGATTTGTTGAAAATTGTTGTTTAGAATAAAATGAGTAATTTAGTGTTAAAAGGAACCATATCAAGAAATGGAAAACAACATTGTTCAAATCGGTGAAAAATCGTCAGTTGAGTGTGACTGGTTCACATCCAATTGCGATTCTTTACCACGTATGTTCCGACACAATCTCAGAGCAAACGCATAACATAAATAGTTTACCTGATAAATCAACATACACAACATTATAAATTTCTAATTAGAATCAAATAAAATGTCCTACGTAATGCAAAGTCCAATAAATGGTTTAAGCTGAAAATGTGGCCAAAATTTATATCGATTAGTCGGAAGGTATGAACATAGATTTTTCCGTTCATTGTTGGAGAAAAATTTGAAAAATCAAATCGCATCGCCCTTTATAGTTTATACTAAATCGGAAAGGAACTAACACGATAAGAAAAATATCTTCAGTTATCAAAGAGGATTTCTCACGTTTTCACCCAATAGAATCTATGTATTATGTAGAACCAATACACGATTATACAAATATACATTGTTTTATACATTTGAATACAACATCACAGACATACGCGTCTTAAATAATAATAAAAATGATTCATGATTTACTACATTGACAAGTTGATCCAGCAACAGAGATATAGAACTAACTTTCATTTTACACCCTAAATATTTATATATCGTATTTCCAAAATTAATGCATTTATAGGAAGATGAAACTTAAGATTTTGTATTATTAATAAAATTATGAATGATTTATCTTCATCAAGCATATAGGTTAATGATAACTGTACAAAGTCTTTGGTAAAACTAGTGAGATAGATACATACAAAATAAAAACGCCATGAGAAATTATATACTTACATTATTTAAAAAAATCTCGTCTTCAATATCCTACATTGAATGATGGATGTTAACTCGTTCACTCATTTTTCTCTTTTTTACCTCAAATGTTTTTTCTATCATCAGTAAGGATATATGCATAAACAATTGCTGTCTAAAAAGAGTTACTGAAAAAAATAAATTCTGATCAAAATTAAAGGTTCCACAAAAAAAAATATATTAGAAAAAATTAATCTTCTTTCTTGCTTATCTCCGGCGTTTTGAAATTAGATAAAAGAATTAAGAAATACTAAATCGATAAATACGAAGAAATGATTACAATTTACAGAAGACTACAACTAAAAATGACGTAAGTTTCCGCGTTTTCTTTAAACATTCATTACCGCAACCAATTTTCATCTGTAGACTATTTTCTACGAGCTAGATGCTATTTCATTGCCTTAACCGGTCAGAAATAAAAACGATTCTAAAAATGCTTCCCTAGTCGAACATCTTGCAAGTTAAATTTTAGCCAAGATCTTGGGTACGAATAAGTTAACAGATCTTGAAAATTTAGGTACAAGATAATACGATTATCTTGTACCAATATCTTATTAAAGATCTTGGGTAAGAATCCATAAGATCTTGGATGACGTATTTTGAAATCATGGTTCGAATCAATCATATACAAAGGGGAAACAGCAGACTCCATGACTCCATCGTATTCCATCTGACTCCATCTGACTCCATCTAACTCCGCTTGACTCCACTTGTCTCGAAGAAGATGAAGTCTCTCATTTCCATCTTGACAGTATGACTCAGTACCCGGAAGTTGAATTCCCATTACACAATAAACAGTTCAGATAAGATTGAGTATATAACTGCCACAAAATACATGAGAATTTTAACAAAATTCAAACTTTATTTAATTTTATTTCGAGCTCTCGGCAAGAACTCTTACCACACTGGAAAAAAAGGTACTATACGAAACCCCAAAGGTATCCGATTTTGTGGAACTCTCATATATTTTCGAAGAAAATAGTGAGTGCAAGTTTAATTGTGAGATTTTTGCTGCTCCCCTGCACCCTACCCCCCTCCCTCCCCATTACAGACATAAAACATAAAAAAACTAACACTTCGATGCACTAATTAGATAAGATTTTTATACAGATGGATTNAATTTTAGCCAAGATCTTGGGTACGAATAAGTTAACAGATCTTGAAAATTTAGGTACAAGATAATCGTATTATCTTGTACCAATATCTTATTACAGATCTTGGGTAAGAATCCATAAGATCTTGGATGACGTATTTTGAAATCATGGTTCGAATCAATCATACAACGCAGTTTTTACTTCTTTTTTTTGTAAAAGCAGCTGTCGATATTTTTCAATTTATTTTCATATTAATTATTTTTCTCCTGAATAACTCAAGCAAGTCAGATGTTGGGATCTGACCGACTTTAAATTGGTCTGAGATCCGTCAGATCAATTTAGGGTAGTCCTCTCTCGATCATTGATCGAGAAATAGTTTAAAAAAAATTATTTTTGAAAATTTATGTTTCATATGTTCAATCATATTGTTTATATATAGCTTGTGTGTGCATAAAAAAATGGTGAATGACTAGATAGCCTATGTAAATACGCTAATGATATCGCCTTCTGTTTTACTCAAGATCTTGTGAGAAGATAATAGTAAACGATATCTTTTCCATGATCTTCCCAAGATCTTAGACACAGATTTATCTGATACGACAAGATTTGAACAAGCGAATTCTCTTTTAAAGATCTTGATAAGATCTTACTTACCAATGACAAGATTTCAAGATCTTGCTTAAAAGATGTTTCACTCACTGTAAAAAAAGGGTTTATGAGAGTGCAACATATCATAAACCCTTTTTTTTGTTAAATACCCTATCAAAAACGATTTTTCCGTTTATTATTCTGTGGATGTTTTTTTACACAGTGTAGGGTTATTATTAAATCTACACCAATGTCCTGTAAGAAAACTTTCCTATTTAACTGATATTTTTACTAACGAAATCCTTTCTACGTATACGTCTGTTTTAAACATTTTCTTTTACACAAAACAATTTGTATTGATGACCAGGAGTTTGCAAAAATTGGATGAAGTCTAGAGTTTTGGATTATTTTTTGTCAAAATGTAATCATCAATAATGATAATTATTTATGAACCGCCTATTATAAAAATGAATGGAGAGTAGGGCATAATAAGTGATCATAAAGATAAAATATATGATCAAACCAAAGAAATTATACATTTAAAAGTAGCCATAAACGTCGAGAAATGAGAGGGAACGATGCACAAAATACTGTTAAGTGTTACATCACAAACTTCTAGTGAATAGTTTTGTTTCGTTTTACTGGGTTATGGTGAAAATATTTTGTGCGAATTATTATTTTTTTGCCAAGTACATTTAAACCTTTGGATCAATAATGTAAATCCATTGAATTTATAGGTTCGACATTGTGTTTAGCTAGTTATTCATCAAGTTGGAAGAAACAATAACTTTAATTGCTGTTACCTGTACGTTTCGCTCAGATTATTCTTCTTTAATTAGAATAACTTTTCTAGCAACATCACTGAAACATTTATACATATTATTGACAAACTTCTTGAATCGCATATAATCGTCACTAATTTTTCTAATATCATCAAAGTCTGATCACGTAAATTTGTATTTTCATTGTCTACTAATAATGTATGGATCCTGTTTAGTTTGTAGAGATTCCAAATCAATCAAATAACAGTATGCGTATTATGTATTGTCACACATGGTGCCATCCAGAAATCAAGTTACTATGAGACATCAAATTAATGCAAGGTTAGACCAAATGTTCAAAGCTGATTTGATAGCTAAGGCCGATGATTGATGATGAACAGCTAAATTTGTGATGCAGCGAGCATGTCATTTTCTGAAATAATATTTCTAGAGCAACATCTGAAATTAACTGTAGAGGTTAGCAACTTTGCCATTGTTTGTAAATTGTATCCACGATGTATGATTCAGTGCTTGTAAGTGCTCATTTTGGAGTACAATGCTCCCGGACCTAACAGACACGGTCGTTTACGACCGTATACGGAGACAAAAAACGATCTTTTACAATTCCTGTACATTGAGCCCATATGCGATCTCCGTATTGCTCCTCATTTTACCGTATATGGTCGTATTTCTCTGTATACGACCGTTTACGATCGTATATGGACTCCGTAAACCTCGACCTGGGCTGCTAGAAAAACCTAATTCTAGTTAAAATTTGGTTTCGGAGTGATTTCTGGCTGTTATCACGTTTATCATACACTGTGCACTTGCTCCGTGATGAATTCAACTGAAAATCGCTTGAATCGACCAGATACTCAGCTTTTAACATTGGTCGATGTGCTTTTTCATGTGACTCTAGCTTATCTTAACTCTATCGTTTCGACTTAAGATGACAGTAAAACAAAAAATGTTGTTCTACTTAATTTTTGATAACTAATTGCTCTCTTGATTGAATTGTTTGCCTTTTACAAAGAAGTATGTGTTCTTAGCCCATTTTTCGGCTTTGAAATGAAGCAGCTATACTATCAAAATTAGGTGAGACTATCAATGCATGAGAGGAGACTTGTTAGAGAGCACATACGGTTGGCATTTTATGAATTCTTGACAATACTGAAATACTTATACTCGTACAATTCACACGTAAGCGTGATTATCGAAGGATTTAAAGCTGGACAGATCAAACATATTGTGTTGATCTTATCATTTCTTACTTGTATACACATTATACGATGTTTCCTTTCTTCTTTCTTCTATGAGTTTCATCATTTGGTTCTATTGACGTTTCGTCTTGTATCTCTTTATATTTGGCTTAGACTTCTTGTTTGTCTCATGTTTTATTTTGGTTGCATCGTTTTAATATCTATATTCGATTCTTCAATACTAGATAATATGCATATCGAATAATTTAATTTGATCATGACTGTATCAACCTAAGCTTATATAAATGCTGATTATTTTGCATAAAACATCGTTTCAGATGTTTATCACACAATTTTTTATGAATTATGTAACAATATCAAAATTTATCTTTTACCTATAGAATAATTTCTCATTCTCGTTGTAAGAAACCTAGTCGGAAAAATTTACATTTAAACATTAATCAATTAAATGAAATATCTGAGTACAGAAATTTAATTGTATTTATTTCAATTCCAAAAATTTGCGTTCGCAATTCACCTAGCTATAGTATTCAAGTTGAAATTAGTATTGATTTGTCTTTGTTTATGCAAACAATAACCAATCTGTTTGATTTTGGAAGCAATATCAAAATCTTTAAAAAATTGCTTCACAAAAGTCTACAGTGAAGACATGAATGGTCAAAAGTTGTGTTTTAATAATTGTAAACATTGAGAGTCCCTTTCGTGTTTTTTTCATCCTACAAAAAATCATCAACGAATTGAGAAGTAGCATGCATTTCTTATTTTGTAGCTCTCTATTTTGCCTTTTTTTTGTTAGACGGCTGTTTAGATTTTTTGTAGTGTCAACATTTTATATAAATTCTATTCTATTCTAGATGAAAACTATCTGAAGTCGAAGCTTATTTGAATCATCTGAAATTGTTTTCAAAAACAACTTCAAGCTGCTGTCAGGAAAGAACAATGAGCAACACTGCGATTGATGAACATTGTAAATCTATTCAAAAACATGCAGCAAATATTAGCATCGAACAGTTGAAGACATCGTTTGATATATTTACCGTTGGTTTCAAAGAAATTAATATTCCTGATGTTAAAAGCGCATTTATAGAAAAAATTCTTTTCACATTGGCAAGTTTACCACACAGACATAAAATACTTCTCAACTCTGAACTAGTCAAACACGAACTTTTTATAATTTTACGGGATACTGCAATTACCGACGAGCTTCATCGAAAACAAACAGAAGAAAGTGTTACACAGAAATTCGTTTTGGATGCTACAATCTTGTTTATGAATCTAAGTTATAGCATTGATGATAGTAATGTTGATGAACTTAAAAGTTTACTATTTTCTAAACCGTTGATCGACGAACTTGTGTATTGTCTTCAAGAGATTGGCACTAACGGCAAACATTTGAATGATTCTCAACTTCTTCGTTCAGTGCGCTCCCTATTAACCATATTTAAAAATATCATCAGAAATCATATGGCAGCATATGATTATTCGTTGATCGCACCTATCTTTTCTGCTGTCACGCAATGTCTGTGTTCTCCGTATGCTATTGAAATGATCAAAAGTTTGGATCAATATTTTTATCAAAAACTTGATAATAGTCAAACATTATTCCTTCGCACGATGCCATGGTATTTACAATGGTATCCTGATTACGGAGATCCTGAAAATTTGATTAAGATCTTACGTACATTACTTCATGAATTTACTGCATGGATGACAAGCGGTCAGCCCGAGTCTTATCTTCAATGTTCTCCGCAAGTTAATGCTATGATTCGTCAGCTAACTTATTTTCTCATTCGTCCTGTTGAGTCTGAAAATGTCAATATTTTTAGTGAAGAATTTTATAGTGACTACTGCAAATTAGTGTTGCAATGGTCATCTTTTTTGTCATTAACATTGAAACATCATTCAAATAAAACGAATTTAAAGTCCAAAGCACAAACCATTGTTCAAATTTTGTATAATTTCACACTTCACTTGAATGTACTCAATTTTATGAAAACTATACCGGATTTGATTTCTATGCTTCTGGAACTGACTGATACTGATCATGATGAAATACAATTGAATGCTTATCGGTGTTTGGGGAAACTGATGGTTGAAAATGACATTAAGGCTATGGTGAACCCGGGAAAAATTGCTACTGTCTACATTGATTTTATGAGAAATACTATAGATGATCCTGGAAAAACAGAACGATTTGATAGCTTGCTGAAGAGTTTAAAAAGTAAGTTACCGATTATTAAATATTTCTTTTTTATTATTTCAATTATCAATTCACTGGTGAGCTCTTTCTAGATTTTGTACAACATGATCAAGTTAAAACTGAATTAATAAAGCAGGGAACACTTCCTTTACTAATGAAATGTGTTGTAGAAGTACGATTCGATCCAATCAAAGTACAACAAGTCGCTCTTGAAATTCTTCTCGCACTTTCATTTTTCAACGAAGCCTGTTTGATACTAAAACAGAATGAAGATTTCATGAATCATAGTAGAAATCTTGCAGAAAATTCAAACTCGGGTCAAGCTGGTTTACAACGAGCTGCTGAAGGACTTCTTTGGAAATTGGAAAAAGAAAATGCAGCAGTTGCTAAACCATCTATTTTATATTCACACAAATACAATATTATGATAAGTTATGCGCATAAAAATCAAGAACTATGTCTTCAAATTCATGAAGAACTAGTGAAACATGGATTTAACGTCTGGCTTGACAGAGAATGTTTGTATGGATCGACAATGGTCGGCATAGCAAATGCTATTGAAAATTCTGAAAATGTACTAATCTGTATGTCGAACGCATACAAAGAAAGTGTTTATTGTCAATCAGAAGCACATTATGCATTTGAAAGAGGATGTCGTCTAATTCCAATCATTATAGAAGCCGATTATAAACCTGATGGATGGCTGGGTATCATTGTCAGTGGTAAAATCTACGTGAATTTTGCAAATACTCAATTCAGCTTGGCCTATGAAAAATTGAAGAATGAGATAATTCAACAATGTCAAACAGCTTCAAAACCATTACCAACAAACTCAACGGAGAACAATTCGATGAGTCTGGAACATACTGAATTACTTTCCAATACAATCGAGTATGCATCTTGTTATCATAATACCCAATTGTTTTATTGACTATTATGATAAATCGCGTTATCACTTCACATTTCAACGTGACTGGATTACGCTTAGTAAACTGATTCTAGTGAATAAACGGGATGTTTTCTTATCTCAACTAACCGATACATAAAAAAAAACTTTCTTTACGGGGTAATAAATTCTATTCAAAAATGTTCAACTTCAGAACCTATTTGAGTAACAAGTCAAAAAATATTTTTTCGCAAGCTTCATAAAGAAAATTATCTATGTGTCCACATGACAGTTTATAAATATGATGAATGCAAAACGTGTTGAATATGTCGTTAAAAGGTACTCTATTGTGTTGGCGGAATGACTGTTAAATGAATGAGCTCGAATTATCACTCATTCTCATTTTGAGTGTAAATTATATTCGTTTGTGGCAACAGTACTGTAGCCTTCATTAGCGCGCTTACACTATCTTGGTTCTTGTTCTTTTTCAGAATTGTTGACATTTGTACCTTTAGAAATTTTAATTATGATTAGATACATGTATCTATACACTGTCTCAGATACAAAATACTGGCAAAATGTTCTCTACGCTGGTCGTGATTATTTTCATATATCTAGTCTAATTAGCAGAAAGCTCTATCACAATCTCATACTTTGATGTGATAATTTATTTGTGCTTTTAGGGACCTACCATATTCTATTACAGAATGGACTCATGATCATGTAAAATTATTTCTTCTACGAATGAAACTTGGCACTACAATTCTTCCTCTTTGTACACGTCTCGATGGTGATCGCCTTCTACAACTCTATGAAATGTGTCTTAGCAATCGTGAATCAATGTATCAATCGCTGAAATTTGAACTGAATGAAAGATATCACACATTGCTACCGATTGCCGATTATATCACTTTCCTTCACAATATCAAAGCTTATATTCCATCAAACGCCATCACATATCCATCGTCGTTTTTTCGTTTTACGAGGTGTGATCTTATGTAGAAATATTTGGCATTATTTTGAATGAAAGAAACCGGTATATGCCAGAAAATGTATTTTGAGTTTTTTGTGTCAATTTGAATATTCGGGTTACCGAAAGTTCGTCATAATAGGACTTTCGCCATTGGAGAGCATCCAGTAAACTTTGTGGAATTTAAGTGTGACGATAGTGTTGACTAAAGATATTGACATCAACTGTATTGTTAACTGTATGATTCGAGCTACATTTTAATAATGTTAGATATAGTTCTTCTACTTCACTTACGATATGAATATTCCACTTCCATTAATGAAGATCTATACAACTTTCGTCGATTCTTCCTGCGGGTATTCGCCAATTAATGGTGAAAGTCTTATTGGCGAAGTTTCGGAGCCCTGAATATTCGTGCCTGCTAGCATAGTGAGAGTCTTTCAGGATATTTGTTACAATAAGATTTGTTATACCATTTTGTTTCGGATAGAAACTTGAAAAATGCAATAGTAATACTTTTGAATATCTTAATGAATACAGCAGCCTGTTCTTTATTTCCTATCTCACATAGGACGTCAAGAGGTCAATTGCGAACTAAAATTAGAGAAAATTCGTCAATAGCGATTCGCTGATCAGATCGTCGTCTCGAAGAAATTTCGCTAAACTTGTGCGCAAAATTTAATGGAAAGAATACATGAATAAGACATGCGAGTGTTCACTTCTATAAAATGTTTTGCATGCATTTTAGTCAACGACAAGATCACGGCTACATTCAAATACAATGAATTGAATGTTCAGTGGTGAGATTTCGATCATTGATCAATCAATCATCAAAAAAAGCATAACTTTAAGTGTCGACTCTAGTTTCTCACTGTATTTCGAATCAAAATACATTAAATTAATTCTCTGTTAAATTGATCTATGTAGTCGTTATTGTCATCTTGAATTCTTCTATTTTTATAATAAAAAACGATGTTATCGATTAGGATGAACGAAATCGAAACATTGTTCCATAATTCGAACTCTGCTTCCTTCATTGGTGAGTTCTATCAGCAATTGTGTGATCTATATATGAAACGATTTTTTAAGAAAGCTGCATCATTTAATACAATTTGAACAAACTGCCAAAGTTGATCGGGCAGCATAGTAAACAATGAATACGACAATCGTCTATCTTCTCTACAGAAAACTAAACACATAACTCATTATATATCATCAACATTTACAGTAAAGAATTCGTTATTAGAAAGATCATTTGCAATTTTACGAATTTAATCATACCATACAGTTGATATACAATTAATAAATGGATTTCAAGCAAAAATTATCATACGCTAAATCGATGATAGGATTTAAAAGTCTCACAAGCACATACCATTTTCAGCTTGTAACCAGATTTAAATGAACTACTACAATATTTAGTATCATTTAAATCGAATATTCACATTTGTTCAATTTCTGAGTTACTGCATATATTTACACGTGTAACTTCATGCCATGATTAGCTTGGTATACTGCCGACAAAATCAATTTTACAAGAGATGTGTAGAAAAAGAAGACACTATATGACATTAAAGAATTCAAAGAAATAAACTTCTTGCATTCTCAATGCATGTTATTTTTTAGATGTTCGTCAATAAGTGAACAAAGCAACTCTTTTGTTACCGGATGTTGCATGGCTTCGACGGCTCCTATACAATGAATATAGAAATAAGAATTCAAAAAAAATTTTAAACTTACCAAACGCTGTTTCTAAACGAAGAAGAACCAATGAAATATAATTAAAATGCATTTGACGTCAATAGAGTTCTACACATACCTTTAGCATTAGGAAATGATTTATCAGTTCGTTGTCGATGAAAATGCCATTTATGGTCACGATATGAACATTCGATGATTTTATTATCATATTGACGTAATTCCTTTGACCAAGGTATGTTTGCAAATGGCTGTTGCATACCATTGACGAATAAAAGAGCTTTTTTCTCGGGTAATTGTCTAAAGAGAAGAAAACAACAATAATAATAAGAAACTATTTCGATGCATTAAAACAGAATTGTGATATACCCTATTTTTGATTTATCAACGAAAATTTTTAGACGAAAATCAATGGTATTATCTTCTTTCCATTTCAGTACACGCGGTGATCGGCCAGGTAAATACGGCTAGAACAAAATAAAACATTTACTAAGAAATATGAAAGTTTCCGCATCTTACATCAAGTTCAGGTTGAAAAATAAGGCCATCAACTTCATGAGCTATTTGTGCTTGAAATTTAGGACCAACCAACTATGAAAGAAGTATAAAAAATAAAATTATCATCATTTTGGAAGTCTTTTAGAAAATCGAATTGATTCAGGCATCGTAGCAACAAACTAATCTAGTTTGCTTTGGCTAAGATTTTCTACATGGCAGTACTATAAGAAATGTTCCTCTAGCCCCGTATTATGGTCGTGCGCATAGCAATAGAATTCTATATGAACACTATAGAGATTGTAGATGAATTTTAAAAGAAGAATATATGTGTCATGGTCTCCACAAATTCTCGCACTTCTTCGTATATAATATAAAGAATTCTATGACTGAGCCAAGTAGTGTTTACTTGAAAGCAATCTTTTCTCCTACTCAAAAATCGGTCCTAATCCAGTTAGATTCGAGTTCTCAGGAACTCTCGACATATGTGTACGCCGTACTAGAGAGAGAGAGAGTTACCTCAAATTTTCAGGGAATATTACATTTTTTTTTGTGACACAACATAAAATGTACCGATTGTTAAACTTTAGATTTTCATATTCAAAACAACTATCACAATTTTGATAAACTCTCAAAAGAAGGTCATCTCTACTCTTTCAACATCGCAATAGAAAATGATTAAGTAAAGTACAAGGTGATGTCAATTATAAAAGACCAAATATCTGGTGATCTTCTTACAGACTGATTTCGATGTTAATTGGAAATTTTCAAAGACGATTTAAAATAGTTTTATGAATAAATAAAAAAAATACATGGAATTTTTAGTTTTTTCCCTAGATCTCTTATTTCTTCATACTTGCAATCTTCGCAGTACTGTTCTAAGAGATAGATCGATGATGAGAAAGTCTCTATATTAGCGATATTTTCAATGATTGCAACTGTTTCTCGAAGTACTGAATAATCATTTTTTTAAATTAAAAAAATCTCTTACTTTAGGTACCGCAGCTAAATCCCAGAAATCTTTATTTCGTATTGAAAATGGGTCTAAACTTTTATCAACAAGGCCTTTTGCTATAGCTTTATTGCGAACATCGACAATTGAACGACGTATGATATCAAGACGTTCTCTAAATGGTTTTTTTCCAACATTTTCATTCTAAAATTAAAATAATCTCTTCAAATCAAATCAGATCAATAAATTTCTTCATTTTACTTCATAAGTTATAATATCATAAATTAAATATCTGGGTAGTTTGGTTCCATTTACATTATCGATTACAAGTTCCTAAAAGAGAAAATTATTCAGTATCTTTCAATAGATTCAAAATCATTTTAAAAAAACTTACACCATCAATTAGTGTATTCGTTAAATGACTTGTAGATTCAGCATCTTTTGGAAAACGAAGATGACTTATTTGAAATACATTATTATCACGATCAAACATATAAATTTTATTGTCATCTTCAATCAACATCATATATCTATGATTGAATTAAATATAAATAAGAGAAGAAGAAAAAAACGATCTTCTCACATTACCTAGTTCCATCAGCTTTCCAACTGACCATATACGGAGATTGAACGATAGTCTTATAATTTGTAATATCCATTGATACAGGTTGTGAACCTGGAAAACCTCGCCTAAAGAAACACAACAATTTTAATGTTAAACAAAACAAAACAAGATCATATTCTCTTTCTTACCGAGTCCATTCACACATTCTTTGGCATTTCAATTGAATAGTCACAGTCGATTGAGAGCAAATAGGGAAAACACCGGATAGACTAACAGCAAATTGCGGATTTGAACTCTAAGAGAAGTTTTAAAAAATCAAATCATGTTTTTTTTAACAAAATCAATTAAATACTCGTGGTGCTTCGTGTAGTCGTTTACTTGGTGGTTCAATAGCATTACTAAGTGGCCGTTTAATGCCACTAATACCTACAGGTCGTTCATTAGGTTCATCTTCGTCATCGCTATTAGCTGTAAGCAGAACTCTCAATGAATATTTATTTTTATATCAAAAAAAGATGCTCTCACTAAGACACCATTCAGGTCGTGCAGGTGCCGGAATCATTGTAGAGCTTTCATCACCATATTTTTTCAATAGCTCATTTAAATAATCTTGTTTGTAAATTCCTGGCGGCCGAGCTTTTGAAAATATATCAATGGCAGCATCAATACTAGAAAACCCGACAGATATACGTTTCAAAATTTATTTCACAAAATATTTATACCTCATATCAAGTTCACGGCAAAGATATGCACAAATTAAAAATCCTGTACGATTAAATCCATGTGTACAATGAATACCTGGTAAATAAATCAAGCTAATTATTTTTACGACGATAAATTAGAATTAAGATCTTACCAATAATTTCATTGGGATTATTATTAAAAAAATCATTACAAACGTCCATAAAACGATTGATTTGTTCATCGTTAGGCGTCTCGCCATGCCTAAAAAAAGAAATCCAATAGATCGAAAATAATGAAATTCGATAAGAGAATTAATCTGAATCTATATTATCTTCTATTTCTGTCGGATATTTTGTTTATTAAAGTTTCTTGTTCTATAGAGAGAAAGATATGTGTTTACTCGGACATATTGTGTACGTGGAAATTTCAATCTAATTCATTGTCTTACCCTCGACATCGAATTTTTTCATAACGTATACGTTTGTCTCTGAATTCAGTATCACTATTATAAAATCGTTGCGTATTTGTTAAATCGATAACACAACCGAGAGTTTTCTATAGACGACATGAATATAATTAATATATTGAATGAGGAAATTTCGATCATACCTGTTCACGTTTAACAGAGTCAAGTAACATGGGACATGTCCATAGTTGATAGGAACTAATTTTTTCTTTATATCGATCATCCAATGGAGTTTTGAATGCAATAAATTTATCTAAATATTATGAAAAACACAAAGTGAAAAATGTCAAAAAAAAGTAAATTATTGATATTTACTGGCAATAATACTTGATTTTCTCGGGCAATCAAGCCATCGAGGTGGTAAAGCTGTCGGATCAAATATTCGTGTATTCGAAGAAGAAGCAATATGTCCAGACATCTAGAATGAATCCAGAAAAGTATTGACTTTTGCAAACGAAATCGTTAACATTGTGACACAATCTGTCCGGCAGTCTACACTTATTTATATCAGTACGACGCGATTTATGCTTTCTCTCCTCTTATTGGTGCATTTGTTTTCATCGACATATTGCGCTAACCTCTAATTTGATCTAATGCGCAACATGGAAGCTGATCTTTTTCCTCAGGTACTTACCAATATATTTACTTCGATTAGTTCATACATTTCTTTATATATATATATAGACTCACGAACTATCTATCCGCTATTACCTTGTTTCTATTATAAAGACACGTTGACATAAATTCTTGGCTTTCATTTTCTTTTTTCTCACGGTTCCTTCATGTTGTCGTTTTTCTTATCGTTCTTTTGTACTTTAGAATATTTTTGTTGACTACAGTATTTGTTAACTGCGATGGCTTCGTTTTTATTTCGATCATTTGCACGTAGTTTAAGACCAACTGAAACATCGGGATGTCTTCTCAAGTCCAGCGTTGTTTCGGTCATGTCATCGCACGAAAACAAAACTCGCCAAGGTAATATTTAACTTACGAAAATACGCCTACGCAATAACATAGATGTATTAACAACTGTACACTTTTGTGTATTTTGTTTTTTTTTGAAGGTTTTTCATCTAAAACTCAAATCTTTGTTTTTATGTTTAAGCTTCAACAGGCAAAATACAAAAGCGTATCAAAGTTGCCAATCCAATCGTTGAATTGGACGGTGATGAAATGACACGTATTATTTGGGCCTGGATTAAAGAAATGGTCAGTTATCTTTTGTTTTTGTTTTTGTTTTTAGTTTAAAAACTAAACTCTCTACTTTTGTTTAGCTTGTCCTGCCTTATGTTAATGTTGATTGCAAATATTATGATTTGGGCCTTGAAAACCGTGATGCAACTAATGATAAAGTTACTGTTGATGCAGCAGAAGCTATCCAACGTTATAATGTTGGTATTAAATGTGCTACAATCACACCCGATGAACAACGAGTCGAAGGTATGGAGAAAAAATAGCCGTCGTATCTATATTCATTTTGAAAAATTTTCAGAATTTAAATTGAAAAAAATGTGGCTATCACCAAATGGAACTATTCGTAATATTCTTGTATGTTATTTTTCTATGTACATTTGAAAATAAAACATCTTAATTATTTATTATTTATTTAGGGTGGAACCGTTTTTCGTGAACCAATCATTTGTAAAACAATCCCATTGTTGGTTCCTGGTTGGAAACAGCCCATCGTTATTGGTCGTCATGCATTTGGTGATCAATATCGTTGTCAAGATATGGTCATCAAAAGTCCAGGACGGGTCACATTAAAATATGCACCAGCTGACGGTTCAGCACCCACAGAAGTTGAAGTTTTCAACTTTAAAAAGTCAGGTGGTGTTTCATTGGCTATGTACAATACCGATGAATCTATTACAGGCTTTGCCCACTCATGCTTTCAATATGCGCTTGCAAAAGTAAAACGAAAAGAAAAATCGGTTAATTATAAATTCGTGTTGTTGTTTGTCTCTGTTAGAATTATCCATTATATTTGTCAACGAAAAATACAATTCTCAAAAAATATGATGGTCGATTTAAGGATATATTTGAAGATATCTATCAACAACAATATAAACAAGATTTTGAGAAGAATAAAATCTGGTATGAACATCGATTAATTGATGGTAGGAAATCAATTGGATGTCGTTGATTTTTATCCAATATGAATCCATATTTATTTTAGATATGGTTGCACAAGCACTTAAAAGCAGCGGTGGTTTCGTTTGGGCATGTAAAAATTATGATGGTGATGTTCAATCAGATATTGTTGCACAAGGTACATAAAGAAAATTAATTTATTAGTTAAGACATGCTTTTTTGTTTTGAATAGGCTATGGCAGTCTTGGCCTTATGTCATCAGTACTGGTATGCCCTGATGGAAAAACAATTGAAGCGGAAGCTGCTCATGGTACTGTAACACGTCATTATCGTGAACATCAAAAAGTAAAATAATGATAGAATAATGAATTTAAATTATGATTTATATTTTAATAGGGACGACCAACAAGCACAAATCCAATCGCTAGTATTTTTGCTTGGACTCGTGGTCTTGAACACCGTGGTAAACTTGATGGCAATGAAGAACTTCAACGGTAGATTAATATTTTCTATAAAAAAAATATCTTGTAATTTTGATGTCTGTAGTTGGTGTCACTTACTTGAACAAGCGTGCGTTGACACAGTCGATTCCAAGAAAATGACCAAAGATCTCGTCGCTTGTATTCATGGATTAAAGAAGTATGACAATAAAGATTAATTTAACGAAGAAATTAATTCGTTGTTTCTCATTTGTTTTAGCGTCAAAGAAGGAATGTACTTGAATACGAAAGATTTCATCGATGAAATCAAAATCACATTAGACAAGAAGCTTCACTAAGTCGTTTAAACAATCAAGCAATTTCGATCGTGCATTCCTAGGAGACATCAAATATTTAGAACGGCTTCTTTTTTCAGTGTGCTCCATTTTTCTTTCATTCATACATTTTATATTGATAAGAATAGTTTGATCTTCTTGCGTGAAATGGTAATAAAGCTTTAGGATATATAAGAAATAATGATTATTGATATTATTTTTTGTTCTAAGCAAAAATATGAAGAGAATTTCATAGAAAAAGAACAACAGGAAAAGATCCTCTCAAAGCGGAGGATAATTGGAACATAAAAGATGTAAATGATTAAATCGTTTTGATTATGCTAACAATAATTGTATTCCATAATATGATCAATTTTAATAGGAAAAGAAAGAGCTAATTTTGCAAATTTTAATTTTATATATCCAAGCGTGGGTGTGACTATAGAGATTGTTGCCATTGAAAATCAAGGTCTCGCTCACATTCTATTTTACCTTACAACTGAGTAGAGCTATATTTATCGTTCAGATTAGTAATAAAAAAAAGTTAACATTCAGCATGTTTCTTTTATTTGTCTTCTATATTTGATCATCCGGCATTTTTCTTTTGTGTCTATTCTGTGCGTTTGATTCTTTGATCTAAATACTGGAACAAAGTACCAAGTACTCAAAGTGTTCAGAACTTTATAACAGAATTCATTTGAAAATTCTCTGATTCAAAAACGAAGAAACAAATGCAGATATCGGTTAATATGATTGAAGTATTCATTTCAACCATTATAAAGGATACAAAGAGTTCATTGTCGTCTATTAGAGTACTTTTTTGTAAGGAAAAAAGCCCAATAAACCGTGTCGCCGTATGGTCACTCTGGAAAAAGCCACCAAAAGAAAAGATTGAATATTATTTTATGACCCTCTTTCGATGGATGCTTTCAGATTTTCGTTTCTTCTTTCGAATCGATCTTAATACATAATGACAGACAAGAAAAAGTCACCGAAAAAAAAAAGTAAGTATAGAATCTCCTAACATTGTTTTGATAGCTACTTCTGAAATTAACTATTGTATGTCTCTAATGAACAAAAAACAGCAGTATTATCACTGCTGATGCCATGAATTTATACTTGATTGAGTTGTATTTTTTTTAATTCGTTAAAATTTGCTTTGTAGGAAAATATGACTCATCCTGACTTCAATTTAGAAATAAATAGATTTCATAGAAAAATATTCTTTTTTTGATTTAAAAACATACTATAGCAAACTCAGTTATTTCATATGCCTTGCGTAAGTTTCTTGATTTCTTAAATCGACGATAATAATGCTTGCAAATAAAATAGTAACAACTGCCACCGTATAATGTAAATATAAATGAGTTAAGAGCGATGATGACGAAGGTAGTATATAGAACACGTCATTAGATATGACATGGAGATATATATATATATATATAGGTGAGAATAAAAACGAGGTAAGGATAACAAACTTCGTGTGCATTAGTGCTAGTCCGTAGCGCACTGACAGTGCGCTTACGTGAGACTAAGACCCCAAACAGACCAAAAAAATAAAACAGAATTAAGCAACGTGATTGGTTAATTCACACTTAGGTCATCTTTTTGAGACGATTTAGTGATTAATTCTGTTTTATCTTTTTGGTCTGTTTGGGGCCTAAGTTCATTTCGTCGCCTTATTTATCTATACACACGTATAGCTATATAAGTGACGGGGAGAAAGAAAAATAAGGATTGTGAGACTGATCAGTATAGTGCAGCGTGTGAATATCCAATAAGAAAAGAAACAGGGGCATTATTTATTTATTTTATTAGTATTGTTAGTTGATTTTCTTTGTTTTTACAGATAGTCTAGTCAATATTAAAGAGTACTTTTTTTTTGAATAAATATGGGGCTACGAGACTTTTTTCGAAAGTATACAAATAGAAATGAAATTCCGTCGTGCTCCACTATCGATAAAACATCTCAAATATCGCAGCAACAACAGACACCAAAATCTCGTTATATAAAATCGATTGATCTCAATAGTCGAGTGTAAGTAGAAATGATTTTATTTATTTTATTTTATTTTGTTAGTTCAACTAAAATTGAGTTAACATGTTTATCTAGGCCAGAAAATATTTCTGAAAAATATCGTCAATTTCCATTTCCAACACGTCATAATGCTATAACAGATGAATATGAAGTGTCAGAAGAATCTTTAGGTATTGGTATAAATGGTAAAGTTCTGACGTGTTGGCAACGTGCTACCAAACGTAAATGTGCTCTTAAAGTAAATTAGTTTGAAAACGTGCATTCTTCTTTCTAAATCCAAGATAATTCTAATTCTAATTTAGATAATCAAAGATTCAGATAAAGCACGTCGTGAAATTATTTTACATAAAAAAGCCTGTGAAGGATGCGTTTATATTGTTCAAATACTCGATATTTATGTATGTAGACGTTGTATTGATCAACAATTGCTAACATCTGTCTTTTTTATAGGAAAACATTTTTGGAGAAAACCGATGTTTACTTCTAGTTATGGAATGGTTTGTATACAATTTTTTGTCGCTTTATTTGATTGAATTTGTTGATTTCGTATGTTTTTTTTCTCTACATATAATTAGTATGGACGGTGGAGAATTATTTAATCGTATTCGAAATAAACATGACAGACCATATACAGAACGTGAAGCAGCTAATGTTATTTTAATGATTGCTAAAGCTGTTGCACATCTACATCATATGGATATGGTAAAGAAAATATTGTAATTTTTGTAATTTGATATAGATTTTAATTTTTTTCTTAGGCTCACCGTAAGTTGTGCTGTAGTTTTCAAATAGAAAGAAAAGATAATTCAATCAACATTTGAATAGGTGATTTGAAACCAGAAAATTTACTTTTTACAACTAATGCAGAAGATGCTTTACTCAAATTAACAGATTTTGGATTTGCAAAAGAAGGTAAACCAGAAGAAAAACAATAAACATACATTTTATTTTTTATTCTTATTTGTTTTTATTGCTTAGGAAATAATGAACAACGTCCATTGAATACGCCATGGTAAATTAAGAAAAAATTGTTTTTTTTAATTAACAAATTTTAAAAATATGAGAAATACACAGATAAAATTCAATATCGAAGACTTTCGCGATAGTTGATTCAAGTTTTTAATGCATTTTTTTTTGAAACATTAAATCTACTTTATCGTTAGAGACAGAGAGAGAGAGAGAGATAGTGTTATGAGAACTCTCGTCTAATGAAACACTTGATATATGTAATGTATAAAATTATCAAGTATTCAATTGGTTTCAGTATAGCAAGAATGTAAAAACGATTTTGTTTAAAGATTTCGGTTTATATCAAAATCTATCATTAGTCTCTTGTTTTCCTTTTTAGTTATACTCCATATTATGTTGCACCAGAAATTTTGTCCCATGATAAATATGATAAAGTAAAAAGAAGAAAAAAAGATCAGAATTTCTATATTATTAATTTAACCTAAATTTTGAAAATATTAAGGCATGTGATATTTGGTCAATGGGTGTGGTCATGTACATTCTTTTATGTGGTTATCCACCATTTTTTTCGATAAATGGTGGTACAATTAGTGCTGGAATGAAAACAAAAATCAAAGCTGGCGAATATCAATTTCCAAAAGCTGAATGGAAAAATGTTTCAGAAGAAGCTAAAACAGTTATTCGAAAGATGTTAACAGTTGATCCAGCTACACGCGCTACTATAGATTGGATTCTTCGATGTCCATGGTTAGTAGGCACTGTACCTGAAACGCCAATTGATATTCATTCTATGTTTGATTCTGAAAATTATGAACAAATGCAAGTATGTCAATGATGTTTAAAGAAAAAGAATTTCTACTGTTTTCTAATTGTTTTTTGTTTATTTTAGATTGAAAGTGAGTTTAATTTAACTTAATGTTGAAACTTTAGTTTACACTTATTATTCATTGATAGTTGCCGCTGCAAATCATGCTCAACGTCGAGCTGATGCCGATGACGATGAGCATATAGATCTACTCACACCAGATAAATCACGTATCGCACAACGAGCTGCTAAACGACAACGACAATCTGCTACTGAAAATGCTATACCACCATTATCACAAATCGACGAACGGGAATAAATATTTTATTTCGAATCTATAAAATAATAATTTTTTTCTTACTTATAGTTTTCTTTTACAATTCTTTTCTTTTTGTCATTAATTCTAAGATTCAATTTTCTTTTTTTTTGCTTGTTCATTGTGTTTTTTTTTGGGTAAAGCAGTGAATTTGCTTCTGTCAAAATAGTTTGAGACCTGAACTAGCATTTGTTCTTGTTTTTTTTGCATCAAAACAGACTTTATATTTTGAAAAAGAAAAAGTTTAATCAAATATATATGTATGCGAATGAGAGAGACAATCAAAATTAAATTAAATGTACGTTTGCACATTTGTGCTCATTTCTAAATGCTTATTTTTTATTAAACAATTGAATAATTCAGGCGCTATTGAAATTGAATTAGAAGTATGTCATGAAATATTTCTTTCTTATTCATTTTTGCAGTAATAAAAAACACGACAAACGTTTCTCCAGTTGCTGCAATTCAACAAATACAATCTTCTTTTTTCAATAACTATGAAATATTCCTATAAACCATTTAAATATTTGTTGAATAGCAGATAGTTAAAAATTACATTTAATTACATCAACACAACATTTGACAAAATCAAATAGAAAACAGAAAAACAGCCTATTCATAAATAAATGTGAAGCCTGTGTATTTAATGGTCATTGTTCGTAAATATCCATTTTTTAATGTTTTTTTTTGTTTCTTTAGAACAACGTTGACCTTTCAATTCTACTAGAACGAAATCTCAAATGAAAGTAAATATTAGATGAATCCAACTAGGTATTCTGGAGTTCTTGATTATACTTACTGTTTTACTTAAAATATTGCTCTTTTCAATATAGCATACGATGCGATAGCCGCACCACAAAACATACGTTTATCTTAAAGATGAAATAACTACCAGAAAAATACTATAAACATCAAAATATTGCATCCACATAGAGGAAATACTCTTTAGCGTAGTTCTTATTTTGTAGTTTACAATAGTTTCGAGTTGCCATTATTGTATTGCGCCAGGTTCTATACGAAAACAAAATTCACTTCTAAAATATTACGACTACTTTCAATTTTTGTAATTTCTCTGTACACACACAATACTAATGAATGTTACTTGTAAATTCAACACATACGTACGAGAAAAACATCTCATATAAAATTATGAAAAAAATCTGCTCTCTTTTTGTTTAGAACAAACAAAACAACTAAGATATGGCATTGATCGGGTTGTATAGTACAAATCGTGAGCTTGCTGTAGTAGTTATTGACAGAAAAATAAGTAGCCTATTTCTCAATCTCTTATGAATCTTATCTGTAAGTCATAGTAGAAATTGCATCTTTTTTCGTACTATCTTTCATTTTTAAATATCATTAAAAGTAGCAGTTACGAAAATTCAAGATGATGCTCATATTTTCGAATAAAAACTCAAATAAAAAACATAAAATACTTTAGAACATTAATTTAAACTACGTAACATGTGATATTGCTCAATTAAAAAAACAAACATTAGATTAGTCACATATATTGTCAAAAATGAAAAGCAAGAAAACATGTTCTGGTTAAATTTTAACATACTACTCTTTGAAAAGATAGATCTACAAGTTTCCATCTATTGTATTAACCGTATTAGTAGAACCAAAAGAAATCACATTTTAGGTTAGATTTCTATTAATTGAAAAGATAAATTTAATCATATTCTAAATAAAAAAAAACAAAAAAGGTATCATAACAATAATATGATGTTAAGTCGAAATTTCTGAACAGTAATTATAAAAAACATAAATAAGAAAAATTATCATAGAAAAGTCAAAGTATCACATTGAGATTTTTCGAAATGATGATGAGGATTTTGTATTCTATAATAATTCTCATATTATTCATACAACATAAATTTCTTTCCATTTCCATTGTTGTGCTTGATTATTATTTTGACAAGATTCCAAACTTAAACGTTTGCCATCCGTTACTAAACATTTACTAACTTTCATTGAACGCATTTGCCGTGTTTGATTTTCATATTTCCATTCACCTTTTGGAATCCATCTACCCATTTGTACACAGTGTCTATGAGAAAAAAACAATTATTTTATGAATATCTCAAGACAAAAGGGTTTTTCTTACTGTGTCCCAACAGAATCACCATGAGATACAAAACAATGTTCATCCGATGACCATTCACCTTCGACATTTAAACGAAATAGTTGATTTCCACCTTGACCATGACATCCCGATGCGCCAATAGTTCCGCCAAAACCACTGCCAAGTGTATCAGCACAAATATCATGATGCTGATCATTACGCATTTCTCCCCAAACAAGATTTGCTGTTGGTAAAGGATATTTTTCAGCCATTTCATATGCAACATTATCCAAAAGCCATTTAAAACTCGAACAATTCAAACGTTATCTCAATGCTTTATATTCACTTGTATCACCCATATCAAGTTGAATGTGATTTGGATGACGATGCAGATAATATTTTTTATAGTCACCCATCCAAATCTGATTGAATTAGAAAAAATAAATAGAGAAGTTGCGTTCCATAGAGAAACTAAAGTTTCTTAGGTTTATATCCATGTAAACTGAATGTTTGTATTTTGTAAAAAAGAATTCTCGAATACAGAAAAGTTTTAAGATTAATTGAAACTTTAAATGATTTGGAATTACAGAGATGAACAATTGATCATGTTGCATTGATATTTATTCTTCAATAACTTATTAGTGTATCGTTTTCAATGGTCTTGCTAACTAGAAGTATACAATCATGTCTCTAGTACTTTATTCAACCAAGGGCATGAACCAGAGTACAAACTCATTGAAACAGTGCAGTTTTGAATAAACTTTCATAAACGAATTTGACTCAGCAATTAATGAAATCTTGAAATATCAAGATATTTCTCTTCTTTTCAATTCCTATCGATGTAAAAGAAACAGGTAAGAATAGTGAAAAGCGAAATCATTGTACTAAGAGATTTCGATTTGTTTTCGATGCAAATTTGTCGGTAGACAATGATGAAGCTACTAAACACATGAAGCAAGAGATGAATTGTCACAAAGGAGAAGTATTTTTGGTATATTTGTGAACTCTAGATCAGGCTTACATATGAAAAGCAGAAACGTCGTACTCTGAGTTCAATCAAAAAACTTGATATCAGTATAGAACATTGTTGTTAACATATACTACCAGGACGATATTAAAAGATAGATCAAAATAAAAAGAATTCGTCTAGCAACAAACAAGTCAGCCTGGTTGGCTAATATACAAGTTTTAAATATGATACATTTTGCTAAAGTTATCAAAGTATTAGATAAAATTACGGCTTTTTCAGGGTGCTGTGATCGATATCAGAAGTTGCAGTCTAGTTAAAGCAAATCTAAATTATATTCATGATACTATGAAACAAGTATTTATTGAAAAAACTCATATTCAATGAACAAAGTCAAGATCCATTTTTAAAGAAATCATTTTTTCTTCATTCGTTATTTCCTCTTTGGTAAACTTGAACAAATAATTTCAATGTTCTACTCAAATGCTTTTCAATCGTTACTATAACTTCAACTTTTACTACCGCATATCTATTGTTCAAATAAAAATATAATCAACACTTCGTACTTCAGCAACACGCAAATGATTGATATGACTTTGACGAAGATTTCCACCTCGAGGATGCATACTTCGTCGACGTGGTCCTCGATAGAGATGTCCAACATGACTATAAGTAACCCTAACAGTAATACAAAAAAATATTGACATCAACCTATGAATAGGAAAATTCACCATTCTACTTGTCCACCACACATCCAAACTTTAAAACTCAATTCATACTGTTCACCTAAATAATAGCAAGAATATCAAATGTTAACGTCATTTTAAAATTTCATACATACCACCCCTGAAAACAAAAATAATATTTCTTTATTCAAAAAATTCTTTCTTTCCTTCGTGGTTTATTAAAACGAACTTACCAAATCTTAATATCTGGAGTGTAGGCACCTAATTCAAAAAAACATTTTTTATCAATAGCAAGAAGACCACCAGCATGCTGAAATCAACTTAACATATTAAAGTAATAAAATGTTTATTTTAAAAATTACAGTTGGACTTTTATATGGCTCTGTACGATATTTCATTCTATTACGTTCACGTTCTGGAATTTCTGTTTCTTTATGTAAAAATCTCCATTCCCATATACCTCTATAACGTGTACCACCGAAATAAGCTGAATTATGTTGTAGAGTATTCCATTCGATGCCATCGGCAATTGGTACTGCCAATGTTTTACGATTTAACGCAAATCGAGTCACTAACGGTGGGAACCAATTAGTCACCTAGATAAAGAATTATCCTATAAGAAATTTGAAACAAAAACAAAAAATCCTTACGCATTCACAATGAGCATCTAATATAACAATAACATCACCTTGAGCAGCACGAGCTTCAACAAGACCGACTCTTAAAAACAAAAACTATCTGTTTATTTTAAAATTATATTCTGTGAGCAGTGTACCGTTGTTTAGTTCGAACATATTTCACAAGGCCATTCCATTTTTTGATATACTCAGGTAAACGAACAGTAATATGTTCTTCGTCACTATAATCATCAACCAAAATAATATCTTTCAAAAATTCTTTTGGACTTGTATTTATCACAGAATGAAATGTTCACACCAGTGTTGACCAACCTTCATCGAAAAAAACAAGAACAACTGACGCTGTTGGTAATTTATCAACACTTGGATACTTCCAATATTTACATTCTTCTGGTCTAGAAAAAATTCTAAGATTTTATTTTGAAGATACTATTTATATATTTACCTGGTATCACGTGCATGTCTATCTAAGGAAATCTTTTCACTTGCTACTTCATTAAAACCATAGTCATCAACTGATTTTTCTCCTCGTTGTTTTTCTTCGCCATCTTTTAATGAAACCACCTCACCGGGACTAGGTATTTTTACTAAATTCTTTGGCTCATAATTACCCAAGATACCTTTTATCATTATAGGTTCTAAATTTGATGAGTCATTCTTAACATTTTGATAGATCGTTAGATCGAGAACTTTATTTTGTTCATTCTTTCAATTGATAGCTTTTTCGTTGACAGAAGATGTTGCTATTGTTGTTTTATCAATATCATGATCGAACGAGTGAAGAAAGTAGAGACCAAATGTTACATATAGTGTTAGAAATAGTAATAAAAGCCGACCGAAACGCCCACAAATTATTCGACACATGATGAGTTATGAATTGGTTTTTCAAGAATACGACAAATGAAAATCTAAAACTAAGAGACTAAAGTTTGTTGACTTTCTTTGAGTGGTCGAATATCGATTGAATTCGGTAGTGTTTTTACTTTTTTCAATAAAAATCAATAAAATTTAGCTTATTTGACTGTTAATAAGTGCAAGATAAAAAGATAAACATTCTAAGATTGAATTTATTGTAAAGCAAGTTATAGAAAATATCAGAAGATAATAAAAATATTTTTCACATCGTTGACACTTGGTAGATGTAGATAGTTACACCAAAAACTAGCTTCGTGTAGAACATGAACAAAGAGTTTCATTCAAAATATCTACGTTATTGAAATCAAGAAGCACAAGATTCAAGAATCTGATTGAAAACGTAGAACAAAAGATTGGCACCACCAACTAATAAATTACGTTTTCTATATAAATAACTTGATCATGTATAGTGAAATCAATTATCAATACACTAATAATGACACTTACTCCGAACATATTTCTACTCAGAAACTCTATTCTTTATAGTAGTTTTAATATATATAATGCGACTGTTTTCAGGAATATTGGAAAAAAGGTCACTTAAATTTTGACTGGATAATTTGCAAAGAAACAGTTCTTAATGAAAATAAGCTTTTGTAAATATCTCACATGTTTTCGTCATTCTTGTCTTAAATTAGACTACTTCAGTAAAATGTCTTTTACACATGCCTCATATACAGCGACCAATTCAATATTTTTATCTCAGGATAGAAGTAAATAGAAATACCTATTACTGATACTAATCTATGTAGTGGATTTTAAGTTCAAAATTTTTTAATCAATTTTTTCTAATCCTTCTAAAAGGTATCATAATAGTCATACAAAAACTATATTAAATCATGTTGAATCTTTTTCATAAAAATAAGAACTGATTGGAATTTTGTTAGGTGGCATGCACAGTTAAAATTATTCATGAAAGAATCGATATACGTCTTATATATATGCAGTTCTGTGAAAAAGTATGCTCATAAATTTAGCTCAATTCCATAGATTAAAAAAATAGACCTCAATAAATCTCGACGACCAAAAAACGTAATTCGAATCAGGACAAGATCTTGGCGAAATAATAAATTACTTTCAATCATAATTTTCATTCTTTAACGTTTAAAATAGACTCGATACATTGTTGAAACTTCGGAATTGAAATTAAAACAATCAATATTATTTTTCATTTTCCCACTGTCTTCATTTTCAAACGTTAGAGAATCCATCGATTGAACCAATGACGTTGATATAGATAAATTTATGATTAAGAAATCTTGTGCGAAAATCTATTAAATAATTTTCTCATAGGGAATAAACATTTTCTAAGTCTTATTAAAACAATATCATAAAATCAAGTTTTTATTATTAAAATCAGTTTGTTTTTAAAATTGCTGAATTTTATTAATAATTACTATTTTTGCTTTCCGAAACTTTGAGTTTTTTTTCTTCTAAATCATTTTTGTAGATTAAACATGGTTAATTGTTGAAATTGATTTGGAGCTCTCGTAGGTTCTTTCAAGTGCTTAATCTCTTTACATGGATTTCCAACAGCAACAACATTTGCTGGAATATCTTTTACAACTACACTTCCAGCACCAATAACACTATTATCGCCAATTGTTGCACCGCCTACAATAATCGCTCCACCTCCAATCCATACATTATTCCCGATTCGTATAGGTTTACCATATTCTACTCCATCAAGTCTTCCTTGAGGATCTGTTGGATGTGCTGCTGTATATAATTTTACATCTGGACCCAAAAGTACATAATTACCAACATAAATTGGACATGTATCAAGTGCAATTAAATTAAAATTAGCAAATGAGTTTTCACCCCAATATATATTATAACCATAATCACATTTGAACGGTGTTTCAATAACTGAATTAGATCCGAATTGACCAAATAGTTTTCGAATAATTTCATCGCGTTTTTCTGCTTCATTTGGTCGCGTTGAGTTAAAATCATAAATAAGCTCTCGACATGCTGCTCGTTCACTTAATAATTGTGGCGTAAATGCATTATACAGTTCGCCAGCGAGCATTTTCTCTTTTTCAGTTCTTGTATCTGTCGCCATCTGAAAAACAAAACCATGATCAATTAATGTTTACTTGCTCAGATGAAAAGTAACTATCTTCTTTTTACCATTTCTCAAGTTTCGAATAAAAATAACGAAGACTTTCTATCATAAAACATAGCAATTTTAAATAGATTATTTACTATTGCAGAAAGAAAGAAAGTAGCTATATATCAATATGTCAAACGTAGAAAATTATTAATATTTGTAAACCTTTGTAGATCTGTGTTGGAAAAGGTTTTAAAAATGGTCATTGATGTACACTGAAGAGCACTAAGCATCGACGCTAAATATTTTACTAATAAAAAGGATTGAAATATTAGATATTTTCATTTTTTGAATTTTTACTTTCGATATCTAGCTACCGAACATTAAGCGCAGTGTTTCTAACAGCAAGTGTACGCAGCAAGAGAAAAATGTAAGGTTTACACTTTGAAAAAGAAAATAACACTTTGATTTTAGATCACGAAAACGCATTTCGCCAAATCTTTGTTTGCTTGGACGGAATTCAATTATTGCCATCGTCGTCATCACTTGCTGTATCAACAGATTCACATCGTGAGGTCGAAATTCTACCTAAAAATGAATTTATTAATTCATCAAAAACCGTACATGCTATGAATGAAAAGTATTCAACTAAATGTGATAATATTGGATAAAAAACAGCAACGCCTAGTAATGCTCTTGTTTGGTTGTTTATAATCTATGTGACTTTCTTTCTCTATGAAACAGATAAAAAAGAATTTTTCTTATTATCTTTCTAGATTATCTGAACTCTTTTCGTTGATTTACACTTTGATACACTTTGTTTATAAAATCAAAGGGTGAATATACACGTTTTTTGCATAAACAAAATGTACAGAAACATTTTATTTCAGATTTCTATTAGAAACACTGACTAGGCGATGCATGATATCGTTTAATAGTCTATTCTAATAACAACAAATTTAAGTAGATCGTGTTTAGGTTGATTAACTAAAGCGTAGTCGTGAGTTTTATCAACTCAGTAAATAGTCAACCTTTCCATCTTACTGGTTGGTTTCCATGGTACTTACAGTAAAAATTACAATCTGAAGAAAAAAACAAAAAAATAGTGATTCAAATATTTTAAATTAATCTTCACAAATGAAGACAATTCTGCTTTGAAAATATTTCAGTAAATAGTCTCTAGTTTTATAAGACCTTTTAGATAACCGAAGCTTTTTTGATCAAATATATACGTGGAATGACAATATAGTCGATTCGGAGATACGTATAAACCAATGAATAACTCAGAAAGAAATGTCGCCGTCAATCAATCATAATATATGGTTTCGTTTCTAAATCAACAAGAACCAATTTAAAATTCATTTGTAATCAATTGATTTGGATATTTATCTATCATTGAAAATGAAAATATGTACTATCAAGAAAATTTTCTAGGAGACAAATATTCTTCTTTAAATCAAGTATTTTTCGTTCGATAATGTTTCATAGTTCTATTGTCCAGAAGAGTCAATTTTCAGGGTCATGAACTTTTCATGCTATGTTGACAGATAAAAATTCACACTAAGTTAAAGATGGAGTACAAAATGAGTATCATCTATCGAAAATAATATTATTCTTATTGATTTGTTCGAAATTTGTAAATACTCAGTTTGTGGTATCTCTTAGAAACTCAAGTCATTTCATGAGACATATAAATATACTTTTCCGGGAAACTACTTGTAATCGTCCAACTATTTTCAATGATTGAGAAAAATGCAAAGATCATAAACTTGAAAAAATATTTTTACAAAATTTCGTTCTCAGTTGAAACTTTTTCGTTGATGATTTAGCGAATCCATAATATTTTTGCCATGTTGCATTGAAAAACGAAATCTAAAAAATAACGACGTACTGTCTCTTCTTTTAAAACGTACATTAACGAAAAATTCTAGAGTTTTGTATGCGTCTGACGTTGAACATGCACATCTGTTGTTATTTTGTAGATTCTTGTGCCAAAATATGTTAGAATACGCATGGCTGTTTCATTATCATACCTTTATTTTTAATGCTTCTTCGTCAAATAGAAGCTGCTTTATGTCTTTTTGTACGGCAATTAATTGCGAGATATCAAGTATTGCTCATTGATAAAACATTTAAGATCATACTTGTACAACATTACACACGAGCTAATTGAATAGCAATACAAAAACATGCTTCAATAAGCACTAACAACATACAACATACATCATATTTTATAATTATTTAGCGATACTTCAATGAAACTGTTGATTTGGAACAAGTTAGAGAAGCATTGAACAAAACTGTCATATTACCAATCAAAATTTCACAAACTTTTCATAGGTAAACAATTCCATATATTTACACCTCCAGCTGTAATTCTTCTTTATGTGGCCACTGTAATGACACTAAATCTGAATCATTATGTCGTGCAAAAACAGAATTTTGCCGTGCAAATGCAAGATAAAGTCATTAAAAGGCATGAGTGAAATGAATTTTTAAGATTTGTTTTGTGTTTGACTTCTTATAGACGATTTTATTTAGATATTCTCGATCTGATAATTGCAAGATCATTTTGAATAAGATATACAGCTTATTTAGAACTTCTGAATATGAGACGTGTCTAGCTATCTTTCATTTAGCACAGTTCGATGATCTTCGATAGACACAAATAACCTGAAATGGATCGTGAATGGTTTATATAGATGAAATACGAGACAGAACGGGATAATCAATGCATCGGAGAAAAATTAACATAAGAAAAATAGATTTTGTTCACAGAGAAAATATCACTAAGAGCATAGCAAAAAAAGAAATGATATTAGCATCTTCTTCAACAAAAAAAAGTCTAAAATAACAGAAGCACAAATGCAACCGAAAAGCAATACTCGGTGAAATATTAAGTGTTTATGGCTTTTATTATTTCAATTTTATTGAAGAAGTCATGAGACTCGACATATCATTGCAATATTCAATATAGACTGCAAGTGAATAGACAGTTTTTCATGTTGATCTTTGCAACTCATCGAGTCAAATAGTTATTAACACATTCATGCTCCTGCACATTTAAATACTTCATTTTTTCTAGCTCCAATGCCAATGGAGTGACAGAAGTCCAGTTTGTTTACGAATTCAAGTGAGTAAACCAATATGATCATTTATGACTAATTCTTCTCATATTTGATTCGTTTATTAAAAGAGCTAATACAACTAACATATATTATAAAAATGAATGACTGGATTAATACAGAATAGAATAAGTATTTATTTTGAAAAACTCTCGGAACAATAGATGATAATAGCAATGGTTCGATGAGATACATACCTGTTGTGAAAAAATATCTTTTATACAATAAGTCTAAAAAGACTGCTTCTGCCATCTAGGGTACTTTGAGAAGAAAACAATTTTATTTGGTTCTCAAATTTCGTTTATCATCTTCATTCAACTTTTTGAAGCACTTTTTTTGAAAATCATACAATCTGCTTTTCAATTACTATGCCGTCAACTTTATGGCACATACTGCTGTTGATATCTTTCTATGAGTCATTCTATTCCATATTATTTCTGCCTGTCGGTCTTCCACATATCGGTTAATTGAAGCAAGTACAAAAATATAAGACTTTTTGTTTCCTAACTTTACTCGACTAAAATAGCTGTAATCTTCTGTTAGACGATAAGTTTCATTTTTTCTTCGTTTTAAGATGACTTTTTGAGTTGTAAATTTTAAGTATTTTGACAAGAAGAAATTGATTGTTAAACCACCTTTCATATACTTATTACATTACATTGTCGTCATCACAAAGATGTCAAGTAGTCCACATGATTATATTCAAGTAATAAATTATTTGAGACTATGATTATTTCTTAAAACATATTCTGTTTCAATAGAAAGGAATTCAAAATGCTGAGAGAGCCACAGAAGAAGATAAGGCTCATAACTATGAAGCTTCTATAAAAAATTATATGGCAGCAGCAGAATGCTTAATGCATGCTGTAAAATGTAAGTAGATCCCGAAGAAAGGTTTTATTTTTTTTTATAAAAAAAAAGTTATTCATATATTTGTATATGTAGATGGAGCAATGAATGAACAACTAAAACAAAACATACGTGCCAAAGTGTCTAGTTATATAAAACGAGCAGAAGAAATTAAAGCTACTTCGAAAAATGGTGACGAAAAGAAAAAAGCGGTCACTGATGGAGGAAATCCAAAAGACAATAAAGATGATGATGATGGCGATGATCCAGATCGCAAACGAATGATGAGAAAATTTGAAGGTTTCAATACTTCTTAAATTTCTTAACAATATATTTACTCAAACTACACTTTAGGAGCTATTGTCACTGATCCACAAGTTTCATTCAGTGATGTCGTTGGCTTAGAACAAGCTAAAGAAGCATTGAAAGAAGCTGTTATTTTACCGGTCAAATTTCCACAACTTTTTCAAGGTATACAATTTCATATTCTTATATCTCGAGCTGTAACCTATTCTGGTTTTTTTTAGGTAAACGTAAGCCTTGGGCTGGAATTCTACTTTATGGAGTAAGTCTTATATGGATTTCAAAAACTGTATTCTCTACTTTCTATTTCATTCTAGCCTCCAGGTACTGGAAAATCCTATTTAGCTAAAGCTATTGCTACTGAATGTAAAAGTACATTTATTTCTGTGAGTTCTTCGGATCTCTTATCAAAATGGCTTGGTGAGAGTGAAAAAGGCGTTAAATGTTTATTTGAAGTCTCTCGTGAGCGACAACCATGCATTGTATTTATTGATGAGATTGATGCTTTATGTGGCCAACGTAATGATACGGAATCTGAATCATCACGTCGTGTAAAAACAGAATTTCTTGTTCAAATGCAAGGTAAAAACAGTCAAAAGACATGCTTGAAATGAATTTCTAAGATTTATTTTTGTTTCATAGGTGTTGGAACGGATAATGCAGGTGTTCTTGTACTTGCTGCCACAAATATTCCTTGGGCATTGGATACGGCTATTCGAAGACGGTATTTTGTTAAAATAAAATTCGAATTATTTTAAACGAATATGGCTTATTTAGTTTTGAAAAACGAATTTACATTCCGTTACCTGGAGTAAATGAGCGAGCAGCAATGTTTAAAACTCATTTGGGAACTAGTAGTTATCACACAATCAAAGAGCATGAATGGTTGCAATTAGCACATAAATCAGACCAGTAACTGGAAAAGAGTTTCTTGCAAACATTTATCATTTCATTTATTGTTTAGTTATTCCGGTGCAGATATAGCTGTTGTTTGTCGTGAAGCTCTACTCAGACCAATTCGTCGACTTGGTTCAGCAACACATTTCAAAAGAGTATTTTGTCATGTTTCATTTATTTGTATTAGTTATTCTTATGATTTCTGTTTAGGTACAAAATCCAAGTCCGAATGGCCCACGTTTACTTTGGCTTGCATGTTCCCCAGGGGACACAGACGCTGTAGAATTAAAATTAGATGGTATCAATTCAGAAGAATTATGCGAACCACCAGTGACGATAGTAAGAAAATCGAATACGTGAATCGATTGAAAAAATATTTTCTGATTTCAGTCCGATATGGTGGCTGCTCTATCGACACAAAAACCAACAGTTGGTGAGTCTGACCTTTTGTTACAAAAAAAATTTACAGAAGAATTTGGTCAAGAAGGTTCTTAGAAATGATGTTGAACAAAAATAAATTGCAGAAAAACTTTCTATCAACGACTCAGCTTTCTTCGCGTTTATGAATTGATATTTTCAGTTTCTATTTGTCTCTATGTATCTGCTCTTTGTTCTATTGTTGTTGTAATAGTTGTCGTTATCTTCGCGTTTATTTTTGATTCTAACATTTTATTCAGCATTAATAAAAGACACCAATAAATGATCAATAGGTGATCTTTTGTAAACAAAGGACGTGTTCATTCATACTATTACCATTTAATTAAATGTTATTGTTCTATCTTATGTAATACTGTAAAAATGTTCAGTTTCATGTGTATTACTTGTGCAGTGTTTTTTATTATTTATTAAATAAGAAAAAACAAATGAATATGTTATTCACGTTTGTATTTTTTCTTCTTTCTTTCTTTTCGGCCATGAGGATGACAATTATCAAAAGATCTTATATTGTATTAATGTTTAAAATGATAAATGTGTAATTTAATACTGAAAGTCGGAAAATTTTTAAGATCTGAATTAATCGTCGAAGTGAATATTATCCGTTTCAAAAGCTTTTGAATCAGGAAAACGTAAATTGCGTTTCCCTAAAAGAATTCCTTCAATTGGATATTGCCGTTTACCGAGTAAGATGCCTTCTGTTGGATAGCGACGTTTGCCAATAAGAATACCTTCAGATGCAAAAGCGCGTTTGCCTAATAGAATGCCTTCCGTTGAATATTCACGTTTTCCTCTTGATATTCCTTTTGCCGGATATTGACGTTTATTGATATGAACTTTTTCAGCAGATAATTGGTTTGATGGACCGTACTGATTCTCATGTTTTCCGTTGATTACGTGAGTATTCATATTATATTTAAGTGCACCAGAATTTTTCAAATTAACTGATGCACCATAGGTAAGATTGGCAGTAAGAACAACTAAATAAAATATTATCGAGAGATAATTTTAATAAAATTTATAAACATTACTCGATAAGATGGTAAAAACACAGATAAAATGTATTGGCGATATCATTGGTAGTTGCTGTTGAAGAAAACTTCACTGTTGAAAGTAAACCTATATAATAGAAAAAGTAAATAATATGAAAGTAAAATTGATTGCATTCATATCAACGAAATAATGGATTTATTTAATAATTCTAGAATTCGAAACTAGTAGAAAAATTAGCAAAGCATTCTTATTCATAAGTATATATTCTATTTAGTTGACGTTCATACACAATAAGTAATATCGATAAATGCTCGCTTTCATATTGATCTAACTAATATTGTTAAGTGCAGTTGATTTTGTTTCATATTATTTCGGCTACACTTTCTTCTATATTGTATTTTGTGTGACAAATGAGCTAAGATATTATTGTTGCATGTCATAGCATTTTACTATATCTACTGGCTTATGTTAGTATGACTTATTATTATCCAACCGATCTACGATAAGTAAGTATCACAGATCGGTGATACTCGTATTTTACTGTGAGTAAAAATTCATGGAATATGTCAACTTACTTGGACTAGCTTGAAAGAGAAGAATGATCTTTACTTCTATGAAAATTCCTTTACTATGCAGTATTTATTTTATTACAGAGAAAACTCACTTCTCTTGTAGATTTCTGAATTTCTTTAAATGTTACCAACTGTAAATAGAAAAAAAGCAACTTAAATTACTTTTTTCTGTCTTCATTCCTTTTTCAAATTATGATTTGTGTTGTTGATGACTGAAAAAAAATGATCATCAAGTGAAGTACTGCAGTGTTTATATAAAAAACAATAAAAAAAATACAAGGACATAATTATCAAAGTTGTTTTATACTAACAACATACGAAAATAAGTTTTCGTAAACTCAAATCTAACCTAGAAATATGATATCTCGACACCATTGAATACGATACAAACTATTCTTACACAGTATCAAATGAAACAGAAACTTATTTCTAAACTATAGATTGGAATCAAATAAAAAAGTTCAGAAAAGCTCTATTAAGTCACTTCTTTACTCATCGTCGAATTGTTGAATTTTAGAAAATATGAATGTCCTTTCTATAGTGGCATTTTGTTATTAATGCTAGATTGTTATTGCTTTCTTTTTTTAATTCTCATCCAAGCGTGTCGTTCAATACTAAAGAGCAAAATATGCTGGGCGTTGAAAACAGAGAGAGAGAGAATAATACTTAGAAATAAAGAATAGATACGGATCGTTTGGCACCCATAAAAAACTAAAATTCTGAAAAAAAAGTTTCCTGTACTTAAAAAAATTTATGATGCTATATATACAATGGAACGTCTCACAAAATTATAATGAAGATTTAAAAAGTGTGAAATAGCAGTCCTCTTGAAATATTCTACTTAATTAATCGTCTGTTACAATTATAAAATTATTTTTTATTCTAGACTCAAGTTTCTAAAAACAAAATGATCTATCATTTCTGATTTTTTTCGTAATATTTTAAATTTAAATAACAATCAAGCAGAATATTAAGAAAAAAAACTTCCTGCTGATGTATGACTTTCAAGATAATAGAAGACATACGACAATTGAAGAATTATATTTTTAAACTACCGACTAAGAATCTTTGCCCAAGGAGAAATTTACTGATATTAGCTATGTCTGATGTAGAATCAAATTAATCCATATATGTATTGTTCGATTGTAAAACATAAACTAAACAATTCATATTCAAGCTAAAACATATAACGAATACCATCATTACTATTGAATATGTATGTGAACAAAATTTGTCTAAACACGGCAAAACTATGGATACTTTGACTTTGTTTCGTAATAAGAATTATTTTCCCTTTCAAAAATATCTCTCAGCTTGAGTATTTGTAAAAATATTAGACTCCAAGCTGAAAATAATGTATAAAAACTGAACTTTTCTCTCTAGCAATGTTTTCCCAAAGATCTGGCTATAGCTGAGAGCAAGATTTGTTTTTGTTGTAGAATCATATCGAAACTCGGAATTTCCTGTTTAAATTCTCATTGAATTTTAATTGGATTATTCGTTTGTATATGCATTCTCGCTCTCTCTTGCTTTCTACACCGAACAAAATTTAGTTGCTTTGAAGTAGTTTGGCATATGAAATAAAAATGATGAGTGAAGACTTTTTAGCATGAAGAAATTATCTATATAAGACAGTACTTAGTTAAAAAAATAATTTTCGAGTAGACAGTATTTATGAAAACGTAAAGTGTCTAGAGAGAACTATTCTCTTTTGTTGTATCACGCCACTGACTCTATTCTTGTAATAATTACTCAACAGAACAAAGACCTACGAACCTGAGTGTTCGCAATTATATATAGTAACTCAGTATACATCTATTACAGCAAAATTATGTCACCAGGGAGTCAAAATTCCCAAAGATATATGTATATTTTTATTGATTGATAGGCTAGTACAAAAAATTGAATAGAATGACGAGCTATGAGCCATTCTTTATTTTTCTCTATTTCATAACCTTTCGTTTATTGATATCGGATAAATAAACACAGAGAATGTATCATGTATTCAATGGTGATGTAGAAACCTCATGTCACACGCAACTCAGGTCACACAGATTGAATCAACTGCATATAGAGATTTATATTTATATAAATAATCTATTTTAGACTATGACATTTTAAGAAAAATTCATTTATTTTAAATCATACAAATACTACTCTGATATTCTGATATTGCTCTATTTTCTGCTCTGTGATTCCTTACGTACAGGAAATTTTAGACTGGATATATTAATAATAAATGAACTCTTCATTTAATCATGTTATAAAGACAGATGAACCAGAGTTGGAACCGGTCCGGACCAGTTAAAATGTTTAGACCGGCCGGTCATCACCGGTTTTTGCCGGTTGAAAATGTTTTTATAGATCTGTCATTTTCCTTGCAAAAACTATTAATAACCAATTTTTCATGCTTTTATCAAAGTAACCGTTGAATTTCATGAAAAAAAATGTTTCATTGTTGAAAAATAAAGTCAAAGCTTTGTTTCCTGGGTCTAATTTATTTCATAACATTATTGTTAAAGATTGAATTTAATTTGAAATATCATTCGGCGAGAAATGCTAGGCCTTTTCCGAATTATCAGCTACTACAAAGAAATTTCGCCTGTCATTCATTTTTTATGTGAAAAAAATATTGTAAACTTGCCGGCTTTCACCAGTTTGGAAAATGTTTTGGACCGGCCGGACTGGGCCGGTCTTAAAATTTTAGACCGGTTCCAACTCTGAAATGAACCCTCAAACATAGACACTACGAATCCAAACTTTATCTTTAATAATAATTTGTGCTTAGAAAAATTTCATGATCGCACATAAGCCTTCTTTGATCAGTATGAAAAGCAATCGCCAACACTTTTAAAACAGCAATACAATTAACAAATATAGTTATCCCATGTGCTATAAATCAAGATGCAGTTAAAATTCGTAAAAATGTCTGTTTAAATTGAAATTGTCGCATCCTCATCACAGCGTACTGTCTATGAATAAAAAATTTCAGATTAATAATAAACTATTATCCACATAAATTTTATAAATAGTTAGTACAAGTTGCAAAAACAAAAGGAGAGATATTTCTTCATTTCTTCCTTGAGATGTCAGCATTCAACATAAACTCAATAACTATCAGCGCCAACATATCGAGGTGTTTGTAGCTGTACTACAATTACTATGGTCGGTTTCTAGATATTTTTGCAAATAAAAAATATTGTTCAAAACGAGAATTAATTTTTACGTAAAAGTTGAGCCGAATGAATGATTTTAATTGCTATCCAATATTTTAATGACTACTTAGGTTAATTTGGTAGTATTTTTCTTCTACATGAAACGTGCATTTAAAAAAAACTGCAATATAAGCTATTGATTTGAATTCAATCAAGATTATTACATCATCGACAATTTCTATTATTAGTAAAAACGATTTCGAATCAAGGTACTTAATTTAGATCATTAGCAATAATTGAAACAACGAAATTATGAATCAGAGCTTTAACAATAACGATAGGGTGATGACGTCGATGTAGTGTGAGTTATTAACATAAATTGTGAAGAATTTTAATAAGATAACATACAGAGATTCACCGAGAAAAAAATTCAATGCAAAAGAGCAAGTTTATTCTTATCTTTACAGATCATGAAAAACTTCATTTTACACGTTTATTAAATAACACAGCAACACAAATCATTATAAACATTTTTATTGCATAATTTTCTTATATAAAATAATGATTATATTTATGTCTAGATGTTATGAGCCAGGAAAATAGCTTTCCCATTGTAAATGAAACATTGTTAACATCATTAAAAAGTAGCAATGATGAAGGCAATCAAATTTTATCATCAATTGTATTGAATAAATTGAAGAACCATGATGATGATGATGATGATGATGACGATGATGATTGGAAATCAGTTGACAGTGATCATGATATTAATATAAATGAAAAACAGGAAAATTTAACAATCACTAATAATTGTGGTTGGGCAAATTTCGATGCATTTCAAACTAATGTTAATCCGAATTCAGAGGTAAATTTTACATTGCATTTTCATATATGTACATATGTGGTGCCCAAAACATCATTCGACATAGTGAAATTTGAATATCCTTATGATTATTTTCCTGAGAATAGAGGACAGATAGAAGTATTTATTCTTTTCTCTTTTTGCTTTTAATAGAGTCACAAGTACAAAAGCACGCATGTATGTACACATTATACGTATATCAGTTGGAACAAACGTTTGTACATAGTTTTTTCTTGTATAGAGAATAAGATTTTGCTGGTTTCATGCATACATACTTCTATCTGTTTTCTATTCTCATAGGAAAAAATCGATTCATTTGATTGAAAAGTCGTGAAAATATTTAAATTTTTCTACGTCCACTGACTTTCTGTACACTATATGTATATATGTTGTAGTGGAAATTAAAATTCAGTAGAATTTAAAATCCTACTAGTAGAAATTGAAATTTTAGTTTCTACTATAGGTAAAATTCAGTAGAATTTCAATTTCTACTAGTAGAAATTTAAATTCTACTGCGACATATATATTGTGTAGATTTTATTTACTAATATTTCTATCACTAAAAGAAATTAGTCAAAAATCAGAATATATTTTTCTTCCATAATATCAATTTAAAGGTTTCTTTTTGAACTAGATTGGGCAACCGTTAGTAAATTTTTGTCTAAAATTTCAAATCTGTATTTACAAAAAAAATTAATAGGTTTAAGTTTGTGTTTTTTTTTTCGACTTACTTTTACTCAATATTATTGTAAAGCGTTGCATTCTGTACAAAATGCAACATCACAATCAACTAAATCTTACACTACTGAAGATCTATGTGGTTTCTCTAAAGAATTTCGTTTCTATGGAAATTATAGAATAATTTGTTTTAAAAACGCAAATATCTTAAATTTTGTTGTTCAAGAAAAAATGAACTACTAAATAGTATTATTTGGGAATGACACGTTTTTTTCCTTTTCAATTGGATTTTATATAGTCGTTGCTTCTGATCTCAACACGGTAAATTATATTTTAGAATGCTCTGACCACAACAACATCGAACGTAATAGAAGATGATTGGGGACGTTTCGAATCGAATCAAATACATTCTAATCAATATGCTGGCGAATCATCGACTGAAAAACAATCACTAAAAATAAATCATTATGGCGATATTGTTGGTGATTATGGTCAACTACAAGTCGGTTCACAATCTCTAATATCGACTTGTTTTCCATTAGAATCTATGAAATTGTCTGAAGTTGTTGATAATTGTATTCCGTTGGAATTACCATCTTTTATTGCATGGAAAAATGAAAAACAATCATTAGCATGTTTTAAACATAGTCTATCGTCAGTTGTTCATCTCTTAAATTATGTCTTAATCTATGTATATATTTAGATTATGGACTATGTTATCAAATATAGCAAATGATCCATTAGGAATTCAATATCAATGGCATAAATCAAATATTGAACGTTTATTTCATCGAGCACTAGGTGTTCATAAACGTTTTCATGTATGACTTGAACAAACAAGTTCTTATTGATTCAGATAACAAAACTCAATTCTAGACTAAAGCTGTTCCTCTAACTTCGAGTCTTTCAACATTAGTGGTTCCAAGAACAACCTTAAATAATAATAGCGAAAAGAAAGTAATGTTACCTTTGACTCATATAATCAAAAATGCATCTTCATTTTTTTCAATAGTTATCACAAGAAGCTGCTATGAGTCTGGCTGGTCACTGGCAACAGAGAAGTCCAGAAAATCTACTCACTGGTAAGAATCTAATATTCAATTTTACCATAAAATTTAGATAGAAGATGTCAACTAATCCATTCTTTATGCATATGTAGATAATGATAGCTCATCTCTTTCAATCAAATCAATTCATAGTGAAGATAAAGGTAAGCTAGTGTAATAAATCTGTCTACATATCTGCCGTTTTGTTTTCGATAAAGATACATGTATGTAAACCATTCTATTTAGCAAAAATATTTCTTTTTTTCAGTTATTGATGTAAACAAATCTCTCGATCTTGATTATACTATTGGGCCAATGCAAACTTCTACATTGAATCAAGAAGAACAAACTCATTCTCCAGCAATAGTACATCGAAATACTAGCACAATCGATCAACAAAATTCAACGCCAATAAAAACAATCGATCTATTTCCAGGTTCATCCAGATTATCAAACGAGGATACGAAACCCGTTGGTGACCCATTACCGAATTTTAGTTTTATGAATCCAAAAGCATTAATGTTGCGAACAAAAAATTAATTATAAATCAATGGCTTGAGTTTGATCTCATTATTTTATTATTATTATTATTATTCAGTGATATTGTCAAATATGAACTCTACTTTCTTTTATTACATGCAAATAAATCAAACTCATATTATTGTGATATATAGACACATTTTATGTACAATATTTATATTATCATTAACAAAAGAAAAGCAAATACAAATAAATATTTTACTTGTTTTCTTTATGATACTGTTTGACAAAATTTGTCATTTTGAGCAAAGCATCGGTGAGACCATCGCCTGTTATAGCACAAGTAGATTGAACATGCCACTTATGTTTATCATGAAGTTTATTCATACCTAATTTATGGATGATTTCAGACGGTTTCATTGCATCTATTTGAGAGACAAACTGTCTAGATGTTGCCTTCGAACAATAGATAGTAGAACTTAATAGGTAGATCTTATTTATTAGCAATGGCAGCAATAGGTACATTGGATATGTCAGGAAATTTAAGAATATCTTCAAATTCTTCTCGTGCTTTTTCTATTCTTTCAAGATCATTGCTATCAACGACGAATATGAGACCTTCTGTTCCTCGATAGTAAGACCTCCAAACACTTCGCATTTTTGCTTGGCCACCCACCTTAGAGAAAAGACATGTTAGTTAAATTGAATGTATAAGTTAGACAAACAAAAAAAAAAGAAATACATACATCCCATACAGTAAATGACACACCACGGCATGGATTAACTTGTTCGACGTTAAAACCTAGAAAAACAGATATAAAATAATAAAAACATGTTTATTGATGTATACCGACTGTAGGAATTGTTTGAATATTTTGATCGAGTTTTATTTTATAGAGAATTGTTGCTTTACTAGCTGTATCAAGACCAAGCATTAGGATGCGAGCAGATTTTTCTTCTCCAAATAGAACAAAAACATCATATAGTCGACTGAAAAAAGAACCCATTTGTGCCTGTTATTCGATAGTTGAAATTGAGAAAAACTGATCATACAAAAAGTATCTCATGAACTACTAGTATTTAAAAATATTTGATGAAGTGACACGTCTGCGCAGTTAATAAAAGTAACAGACATGCCAACGGTTGAGTCATATTTACATAGTACAATTTCCTTACCTGGACAGATATATCGTGCAAGTATGATTCATTCGAATTACGATGAAATACATGACGAAGTATTAATTAGATTCTATCTAGTACTTCGTATTCTTTTACTAAGTATCGAATAACTAGAATTATTGTTCTTTTTTCAAAGAAGTAAATCAGTTATTTTTACCACTCTGTTAAATACGGATTCTATCATCAATATGAATTAAAATATGTTCCCATCGTGGTATGTTTTACCTATATGTTCATCAGTCAATATTATCTATGATATCATTCGCAAATAGTAGTTCAGTGTTGTTATTCTACGAAGGATTCTTATTGTTTGAAATTTCAGATGAAATGAAGCAAAAAATAACAGATTATATGTTATATAGCATATGAAATATCATATCTAGTGATAGTCATTCATTTTTATTTGAATTTCTCTTCGTTTTAGAAAAAGTTAAGATGCTATTATTCGTTCAATTATCTTTGATATAATAATACTAAGTAGATTATCAAAAACTACACTGAATCGCTCTCGTGCAAAGATGTTGATTAGAAGGAAAAAAAGTAGCATTTTGAGACTGAAACTCATATTAAAGACGAATTTTATTTCGTCTATCGATATCTTGTTCTGTAAAGCAGATGCCATAAATATTAATTGGTCTTTTAACATTAGATTCGAGTCGAAAATACACACTATATTGATAGTAAGAGATTTTTTAATTGTCGTAATGTTTTCGTTAAGTTAAAGTACGTAACATATTTTTGTGTTTTAACCTATATAACACGAATAATATGTTCATTCTCTATGTCCATTATATCTTTCGATAATGTGAATAAGATTGGAGAATAAATATGAAAATTATGAAATTGATATCGAAATAAAGAACGAAAAAGTAAATTTTAATAAGTTATTTTGTCATCCATATCTTTTTCGTTTCACTGTCATATTCATAGGAATTGTGATGCAATCATAAATTATTTTTTCTTCTTCATTACAGATGAATCCTGCTAGTAAAACATTTTGGCCTGTAGTAGCAGCAGTTGGTTTTGGTGTTGGTTTTCTTGGCTACTGTGTTTATTTCGATCGAAAACGACGAAGTGCACCTGAATTTCGTGAAAAATTAAAAGCTAGTAAGACTTATGAATTGTTTTTTTTTCTGGTTGATTCAGACGTTCAGAAAAGAAAGAATAAAGTGCTGCGTCTTTTTCAATGATCAATTCTTATTTAGAACGCAAGAAACAAAAACAACAACCTGGTAGCTCAAACGAAAATTTTACTGTAAATATTTTTTATTTCTATCTAACAAATAGTTGATAGAATAATTTGTAATAGATTAATTCAAATGATCCTGACGAAATGCGTCGTTATTTTCTTGAACAAATTCAACGAGGAGAAGATTGTTTATCTCGCGGTTTGTATTATAATTTTTGCAAATTAATTTATTTAATGGAAAGTCTATTCGCATAGGTGATCTTGACAATGGAGTCGATCATCTAGCAAAAGCTATTGCCGTTTGTAGTCAACCTCAAAGTCTGATGTCATTATTTCAACAAACATTACCACCTGAATTGTTCCAAGAAATTATCATGCGTTTACCACGAGTTGCTCCAGTAGATAAATCCGTTATATAATCAATAGGTTCACTCATGTTATTCTTCTTTCTTAGTCTCTGCTTGGTACATCTTCATCACCTTTTGGAGGTGCAACCATCTCTGAACCAGATCTAGAATAGAATACTCAAAAACAACAACATCACTAAATATATTTGTTCCTCGATTTGTTTTACTTTCATTGAAGTTAGAATATGTTGTGTGTATGATCTGATCTCGTTTGTTTATATTCGAGTATGATAACGAAGAAATGCATAATAGAACAAGAAAAGTTTGATAGATTGTTTTCTAACATGATAGGATTATTGGAATCTGAAGTAAATATTGTGTTGTTGACTCCATTATCAAAACAAAATTTGCGTAGTCAATATTTTGCTTATGCATTTTACTAAATGAATGAATAAAAACAGAGACACTTTATACGTTCATTGATAAAAATGACTAGACTATCATAATGAATCAATATCGGTTGGCATGAAAAATTCAATAATAATATCAACAACGATTTACTCGTAACGAAACGATTGCTTAATAGTATTAAGTTCATCTAACAAATTAGTCTATCATAAATAATGAATATGATTTTTCTACAATTATTAATTCAAATATAAAACATAGACATAAAATTCTGATCATAATCAAGCTGTCTTCCAAGTCTTTGTATCATGCAAATAATGACGACGTTTGTGAAAAGTAAGTAGAGAATATTATGCAGCTACAGTTATCAATTGAAAATAGATCGTTTTTTAAACTATTTTGGGGTAAATCGTTTTATCATCTGTTTTATTTAAAATTTCGAAAATGCAACACGATAACTATTAATATATTATTATAAAACGTTAATTGCGTGTAATCTATAATAACTGATTGATTATATGAGCCTCAAGATTGAGAGAAACGCGAGGAAATTCAGTTCGAATATCTAATTCTTTACCTCTTTAACACTCAATTTAGAGAGTACTGTATAAATATTTATAATTCATTTTATTATTGACTATATCCGACATCTGTCGTGATTATTTTATATCAATTTTTGTTTTATTTTTCTCGTAAAGACTTTCACTTGGAGATAGAGCTTTTTAACATATTCTCATGAAAGTTCTACATGATTGGGCAGTTATTATAAGAGAAAGAAAGTCATGTCATCACCATTTACGTCTTTGAATAAATATCGTAAATTACCTGTTTCAAAAAATCCCATCATGCCAGCTAATGACACTTTGTATGATGAAAAGTATGGGTTCTTGCTTGTATTGATTCTTTTCTACAGACTATGTTTAGTGCTCCATCAATACCACAAGCAGGAAGATCCAATGTTTATCGATATTCACGTGAGATGATATATCTAAATCTAAAGTGAATCAATATATAGATTTCTTTACAGACGAAGATACTCAATTATTAAATGAAGTTACCACACGTATGGCTATGGATAACATTAAAACAAGTAGAACCATGAATGATTCTCGAATTCGAGGTTGAATCAGATTATTAAGAAATTTTCAAAATCCATTCATCTGTTTTTTTTCTTACAGCTCCGACCGATTTAGATCTTCTTCAACTGACTATGAATCGTATGCAAAAAGCTGAATCAGATGTTCGCTATTTGACCAGTGAAGTAAAAGACAAGGTAATCACAATCAATTTCAATACACTGTTATAGAACCTTTGTCTTCCTGTTAGACACAACGTGTTGCTGTCCTCGAAGAAAAAGTTCATCTGTACGAAAAAGCATTACGTATGTAGTGATTGAAAAATTCTATAACTTCGGAATAGTACTATCTAACTTAGACATTATTTCGTCTATCGATTGAAAGTACATAGCCTGATTGCGATGTGAGTATTTGGTATCGCGAACTGATTAATTCTCATTTTTACTCGAACGATCGAACTAGTTTCATTCACTAATCAAATGAATACTGAAATTGATAGAAAAAATTATCTTAAAAATTTCGCAAACTAAATCGAATTAATTAGACAGCAGTATAGCTATTATTGATTAGAAAATTAGTTCAAACAGAGGATACGGTTAATAAGCAAAAAAAAGTCATAATCATAATAGTTTTTAATTTAGTAAATGATCTTCTATTAGATATATATATATATATGACTATTAGAATAAGAAAGACCAAACTAGTATAATTATACGTGACAGACATTCGTTTTTTTTTCTATAGATCATCAGCATGATGAGTCGTACAAAATACAAACTCTCGAAAAGAAATGTATTCGTTTGCAATCAATTATTGATCGTATGGAGGTCAATAAACATAGATATAAGATTTCATTGATTTTAATTTGCTTAATTTCAGTAGGATCTTCTAATTGAACGTGGTCTTGAAGTTATCGGTGAACTCAATGAGCCAGATAATGTAAATATTTTAACTTTTGATGAAGCTGATCGTGCTGAGCACGAACAACACCAAGAACGCTCAACACTCATATCTACACCGTTGACTTGGCGACCTGGTCAGTTTCGTTCTCAAAATTTAAGTATCATAATCTGTATTTCTTGTAGAAGAATCCATTCCAAAAATATTACTCATTGATTTCAACAGTATTATTGAAAATATTCGTGAACTTAACGTATTAGCAGGTGAAAGTGAAGTACATTTTGAACTACAGAATACTGATAGTCAACGACATATTTCAACATTAAAACGTATTGAACCAATCAGTCTAATACTCTATGCAAATGGAATTTTCTTATTTAATGGTCCTTTTCGATCATACACTGGTAGAATTTTTATTATTCGAGAAATATTTTAAAATTTTTTCTTTATTGATAGAACCTTCTACTCAACAATTTATTCGCGATGTACAAGATGGATATTTCCCATCAGAATTACAAGAACGTTTTCCTGATGGAATACCTTTTAATGTATGAAAAGAAAATCTCCATTTCTCTTGCTAATAAAAATGATGGATATTTTAAATATTTGTTTTTTAGGTGTCTGATAAACGTGATATATATTTTACTGATGAACGTAAACAAAAAGTATTTCAGGGTGAAGGTTATGTTCTGCATGATAGCCGTGTAGTTTTTAATAATCAAAATGACGATCATCAACCGCCAATACCTCAAGGTGCAAGAATTGAATCTAATGATCAGAGTAAATAAATAACTAAGAAAAGAAACATAAGAAAATATATAAGTATTATTTAGGACCAAAAATACCTTTGAATCAATTGCTCAATCGTCTTCCGAGAAGCGTTATCAAGAATGGTCAAGTAATTGATATTCGTCAAAATATTGAACAACACTTCGTTGTAAGTAGAAATCAGAGTATAATATTCTCATGTCCTTATATGAAGATCTTGAATTTCATTTTTACTTTTGTATTGAAATATGTACCATATTGGTTCTCTTCAATTTATTCTATTCATATCAGAAAGCGATGTTAACCATGATTTAGATATTCGATAGGCATTTCATAGTATCAGATTTCTATCGCTTTGTTTGACGGGTTAACAAGTAGCAGACAAGTGTTATGTTTACCTTGTTCTTGAGCTTCTACTCACATCCAATTCTGTAGGAACATGAGTCGATCTAAATCTGTTGATGTAAAAAGTCCACATTTTCTTACATTTATACTTGACAGAAATACGTGCAACAAACAGAAAAAGTACTTTTTGAATTTAATAGAGGAAAGTGCGAAGATCTACGTCCATAAAAACAAACTTTAATCGAGTGCCTTTTTGTGTATAATCTTTTAAAAAAATCTGAATACAAAAAAGATTTGTTTATGCACATAAATTAAATATATATTTTCTTGATCAAAACAGTTAACTAATGACTAGATTTTAAATCTAATTTACAATAATTGCATGTTAACTTTTAAAGGGTAAACAAGAATCAACATCTCGATGTGAAAGGTATTGTAATTTTACTTATACTATTTTGAAATTAAACCTATTGTTTATTCAAGTGCAACAAGTGAATATAAAACTGACGTTGATAATAATGTTCCGTTCAGTACACTCCGTATTCGTTCGCATGATGGTCAACAAACTTATGTCATAAAAATGAAAATAACATGTACTATAAAAAATGTCAAACAAACCATTGCCAAGAAAAAGTAGTCGTTTATATTGTTTTCTTCTAAAAAACAAACCAATAATAAAAATCATATTTTCATTCTTTTAGAAAACTATTATTTGATTTTGATTTGTTTGCAATGGGTACAAAATTATTCTTTACAGATGAAAGTCAAACGCTTGAACAATGTGGATTAGTACCGAACGCAACTCTAGGTATTCGAGAAATAAAACATAATACTGTGAAAAAATAGAGTTTTTATTCATAAAAAAATACAATAAAGAAAATATTAATATGCATTGTCGTCTTTTTCGTCCTCTGTCGTACTAATTGTTTTGATTAAATAATTTCGACATTTTTTGTAAAATTTATCATTTATTTCTTCGTGTTGTTAATATTGAAATAATTTGATTACTTCTGTATGTTCTGTGGCATTTTTTGAATGTGTCTTCGGTTCTTTAACGTGTCGATCTTGATCTTGATTTATTGTTCTATTTGAGAATTTATCAATCTGAATCGTTTGAGAAATTTCTGGTTTTGTACTTGTACATAGATGACGAGGAGTAAAATATTCTTTCAATGTAGGATATTCGGTTGATATTTCACATAAATTTGGAGTTATTTTTAGTGATGATAGTTTCTGTTTACTCGCCATTGATTGTGAAAACATGATATAGCAACCAGTAATTCACCGAGTTTATATGCGTTTATGTTTTTTTACTTCTTTTTTTGGCTCGTTTCGCTTGGGTGGCTTTTTTTATTTCACGATGATATCGCCATGTAGGTAGATAGATAGGTAGAGAGAGAGAGAGAGAGAGAGAGAGAGAGAGAGAGAAAGAGAGATAAAGAAAGTGTTTAAAATAAAGTATGAATAAGAAATATCCACAAGTAAGTTCTTCATGTCGAACTAAATGTGTAAATATCACGTAGCCTTCAAAACGTTACTGAACACAATTCAATCAAATACTTTTTCATTTGTTTTAAATAAACTATTGTTCAACTAAATATTTTATGTAACGAAGAGAGAAACTTTAATATGTATTTAGATTGAGTTAACAATGTGACAAGATTATATACTGATTTATATTGATGTATAAATATAGTCAATACCTAACTTTGTTACATGATATATTATAGTTCTATTCTCGTTCTAATCAAAATATACTTGATGATCTGTTACAAAATTATACGGCACAAAAGAAGCTAATTAATTAGTACAGTCATTGGATATTGTGAATCATCATTGTTTAGGAGTTGGACTATTTCATGAGCTAGATAGGGTTGTACATTTTCTCTTTACGGGATGAAATTTTATTGAGATATCAATCGAAATCTTATATTCAACAATAGTAATATACATGAACATATCTATGAAACATGCGGTGAGAATCGAAGGGTGAGGACAATTAAGATTGAAAATAACTTATGAATAACAGAAAAATTGTTTTAAAAATAGAATATGATTCTTTTTCAATATGCACGGGTCTTTATTGATGTCGTCGAGAAGGAAAGAAAAAAAAGACAGTACTGTTGTTTTTCTTATTTTTTTCGTTATTGCAAAAGAAAAATAAAGAAAAAGAACGAAAAGATTATCAACTCGTATTTTTTCATTCTGCATCTTGAAAAAGTCTAAGCATTCTTTTTGAATACATGGTTATCGAATTACACCTATTAGTTTATTAGATTGATGATCGATCATACGATTTAATGAAAAATATCTTTCTACTTACCTCTTGTAATTGCATACACTCACTATTTCTATTTACTTCCATGACATAGACATGTAGATTGTTATTAGGAAGAAAAAGACTTCATCGACTTGAAAGATTGATCCGACAGATTTAACCTTTATTGGTATGTCAGTGAATTAATCAATTCCATATTGAAAAGATTTGAAGACGATGCGGACTGCTTCTAATTTAAATATCTGGCATTTATCCCATCTGTCTCTTGTTTTGATTTCTAGGTAGTAGGTTTTTTATTTTTTCCTTTATTTGCGTCTACCACATTTTTCTTCGACATACCTTAGTGATGAATCATCCGTTATATTTTAGATTTTGTTTTATGCCATAATTTAATAGTCTAGTCTACTATTTCTTAGACGTATGTCACGATGGCACAACGAACTGTTTTTTCAAGCATCGTGAATACTACCGATGATAGTAGTCCTCGTTCCACCAAAACATACGATACACTCCGTCCTCACTATTATACATCATTTCAAAATTATTGTTGTAGTCCAAAATCGAATCCGTCGACATCATCACAAATTAAAGATGTTTTACCTATTCCAGAAAAATTCAAAATCGAAGCTAAAGATCTATTGACTAGTATCAACTGTTTTCTTATTGAAAATCTTCATGAAGTTACAAAATATACAAGTGTTTTACCAAATACTTTCGTTGAAAAAACAGATCATGTCGATAATCAACGTTATTTAATCGATCGAGCAATGTTCAGAATGATGAATGGTGCTCAAATAATCAACTGGAGCTCATCATTGCCAATGCTCTATCCTATTCGAACGTCAGGTAGAAGAAAGTTTTAAAAGTTATTTCAGTGGAACTATATACGTGTGTATATGCTTGTCATAGGTAATGGCAATTGTCTTCTACATGCTGTGCTTATTGCAATGCTTGGTATACATGATTTGAATCTTTACTTACGTGATCGACTGGTACAATTCATGGATGAAAATAAAGAAATATTGAAAAATCATTGGAGAATAGAACGACTGAAATCGGATAAAAAATATGGTATAAATTCCGAAGATTCGAAACTTGACGAGGTACGATTGAAACTATAAATTCACATTAAACTTGCTTCTTTAGGAATGGAATGAATTATGTAATCTTGTTCGTTATGAAAATACTGAAGATGGACAAACAGCAACTCAGTTACAATATCTTGAAGCCGTACATATATTTTCTATTTCCAATATGCTTTGTCGACCAATTATTGTTCTATCTGAAGATTGGATTCGAAATAAAATTGGCGAAGCTATTTCAGTAAATGATCTTTACGGAATTTATTTACCTACTCTTTCACCACCACTTGAATGTAATACTGAGCCAATTGTATTAGCGTACGATCGATCTCATTTTTGTGCATTAATAACCAGTGATATTGGTCATAGTAAATCATCGAAGAATTTTCTTCCACTCTATCTATCAGTTAACCATGCGTATGATGGAATGCCGTTACCGATTCGATTTTTAGGTGAAGATGGAAGCATTGAATATTCGAATAATTTACTTGATGAATATTTACGAGTCAAAAAAATAGATTATAGTTTTGATTCAAACTCTTCATCATTATCTATTCTATGTACAGAATTAGGTAGTAAACATTTGTTACCGAACGATAGTTTTTTTACTCTATTTCAAAAATATTTGAATGATTTCTTTGAAGTACAAAAACCTAAGTCAATAGCAGATCAACAAAAACGTGAGAAACAACGTGAACTAAATAAACATGTTGCTCGTGATCTCTATAATGATGACAAAAGTCTATCGACAATCAAACAACTTCCATCTTTGTCCTCATCATTATCACCGAGATTGGCACGTTCGAATGCTACCTCTTATGATATTCTATCGCACAATCAAGATAATGGTTCTTATGAACAACGATATGCATATGATGGCACTTACGCTGATCAATCAAATGTACCACATACTAGTACTTTCTATATAGAAAATCCAGCGTATAAATCTCAGCAATCACCAAGACCTTCGGAGTATGTAGAAGTACTACGAAAAGATACGGGTCTTTATACCACTGATATTGAGCCGTCGAAGCAATCATATTTTAATAATAACACAAGTAATATTAGCAATTTGAACAGTTATGATAAATATTTCAATACCGGTAATTTACCGTTACGAGAAGATGAATCAAAACATAGACGAGGTAATATCTAGTCAAGAAAGTTTGTTGATGATTTTTTTTGCAGTACTGGATCTTTGAGCTATTTTAACATAAATTGTAACAAAAAGTGTTGATGATTATTAAATGGATCGAACAGCTATTAATTGTTTTCTTTCGTTGTCTATGTGTTTCATTTATTCATGTTCTTTCAATTTCATCCAAGTGCTGTTTCTTTCTTTACACTAACATTTTTCTTACACGCATTTACACATACTATCTTGCTCGATGGTGAATAGACATTTTTTTATACATAGCAATCATTAACCTAAGCATTTCATCAATGTTGTAGTGCTAGTTGACAGCTTAATTCATCAACCTATATAAAAGAGAGTCATTAAAGTTTGCTTATTTTAGTATTTAGAAACGTAAAATTATTTTATAATTCCATTGAATTATCAATTTAGAACGACAGCAACAACAGAACGTCATCAATAGTCCTGTTCGATATATAGCGCCTCGTATAGTATCAATGAATCACACACCTGCCATTTCTGCAGACAGACAACTTACAACTGACAAATGTATTATTTGTAATCGTAGTTGCAATGACGTCAAATCTAACTATATATGTTCTAAATGTGAGCATGAGCAGCATCTTCATACTTCGCAGTATGAAGCTTCAAATCGGCCATTTAGTCAATTAGGGCGAACAAATCTGTATCTAACAGGAGATAATTTTCGTTCCCCGTCTACTTTATCATCAATACCGAAAATCAAAACTCGTCGCATGATTGTTTGCCCAAATTGTAAAAGTACGAATATGAATTATGCATCAAACAGTTCAAACTACTCTTGCTCTGCGTGCAGACAAACCATAGCTCCCGAATATTTATATTATTAATTGAGACTATTTGAAAGAAAACGAAGAGTTGTGTTCTGATCAAAGGGGGTAAATGCTGACACCTCGGCACCTACTCAGTATCTCAGTACTTGCCCATCACTTTCAAGGGGATAAGTGGTGGCACCTAGCACCAAACAGTGCTGGGCAGGTGCTTAGGTACTCCGCAAGTGCTTAAGTGCCAGGGTGCCAGGTGCCAGCACTTACCCCCTTAGTTCTGATTGTTTGAACTCCTCGTATTGTAACAATGGCGAGTACCGTCGGTTTTTGTTTGCTTTCTGTATATTTTTTTTGTGAAATTTTCATGTTCAATACGACCGACGATATAAATGATTGAAATAAATACGACTGTTTGATTTTTCTTTATTTTTTGTAATCTTTAGCTTTATTTTTGACAACGATGACGCTGTCGTTATTTTACATTTCCTTTAATAGATAAGACAAAAATAGTAGATGTAGGCTAACGGTAGACAATTTTATAGATTCTCTAATCGGCCTGTTAGACAAAATTCACACTAAGCAATTTGATTTACTGGATGGAATAAAAATGCAATCTTTGAGTGAAGCAATATCTGTGGTTGAATATTCAAATCTTAGTAAATCGATGAAATGTTTGGGTAAGATCGATACTGTCATTCCACGTATACATACGAAAGAAGTCTCGATAGTTTTCTTTCCAGAATATCCGTTTTCATATACCAATCGGTAGATTCAATGCAATAATTACTTTAGCAGATCTCGTAATATGGCGTTAGTCGAATTAGTTGTTGTCGTCAACTGAGCTACATGAATGTGTCTATCACTTTAAAAAACGAAAGTAACATATTTTGTATCGTATTACTTGATTCAAAAAGCGTTTATAATGACAACAACTAAGATGTACATGTGTTTGTATTGAATGTTGAAATGGTATTTCTATCACATTTGTCATTCTTCTTCAACTATATAGTCAAACTATCATTAGAGACCATTGATTTTCTCCATTATCCAAATTTGACAAAAAAATTGACAGGAAAAAGTCTATATTATATATTATATATGTAATATCAATGAATATTTCTATTTAATTAGTTCAACATTTTCTCGACATGATACTTTATAAGTGCGATGATTTCTGATGAAAAAAAAAATGTCAATGCCTGACATCAATAGTTTCTATTTTCTAACTGGTTAAGTAATTTGACAAATGTTTTATTTAAGAGAAAAGGAACAGAACAAATAATCAATACATGCATCGATCGATTCAATTCGAATGTATGTATGTCAAACAATTATTCCTGAAATGCATTATTCTATACTATTTATTAGGACTTCAATAGAACAAGTATAACCAAATACAATTGGTTACTGGTGGGAATCTTTGTCATCTGTTGATATTCTAAAAAAACGTTATCAAAGTTAAATCAGTATTTGAGAAATACAACAGACGACATTTAATTGCTAGATACTTTCATGTTAGCAAGTGTCGTTTTCGTCGTTTTTTCATTACCATTTTTCGTCTTGGGATGTGGCATTACAACACATATCGAAGTATCACATCGTGCACAAGATCTTTGGTTACATCAACCTATCTATAGAAATTATGTTCTTCAACATCAAGATGCATTACAAGGTGGATCTCCATATCCTGATGTAATGTATGACGGTGTATGTTATCGTGGTAGTTTACATCAAGTTGCTGAAGATACTCACTGGTAATAAGAATCATAAGATAGAGATTATCTTGTTTTTGTTGAAAAATAATTTTCTAGGTATCCATTTATGAAGATTGCTATTGAATATATGCGTGATCGATATCCACCACCATTACAGGCAGATAATATTCAAGGACAAAAATTTCTTGCATTTCTACTTGGTGTAGCATCTCATCAAATTGCGGATGCCGTATGGCATGGCAGTTTAACAGGTTGTCCCAATGGTTTTATAGATGCAACTGCTTGGGAAAGTTTTGATAGTGACGAAGAAAAAGCACATTCAAGTGTTGATCCTGGTGGTGATAGTGTTATTGATTATGAATTACCTATTGCTTATATCGGTAAAATTTTGTTTTATTTTTCGTTATATGTATTTATTCTATAGGTTTAACTAACAAATGGTATGTGCCTGCACTTGAATTGCAAGAAATTTACAAAAGATACGCCGTGGAATATGATTCGCCATTAGAAGTCAATGCAACAGCTGAACGCGTTCAAGTATGTTCTGATTTAATGTTTATAGGACGCTTTGGTGATGCTTTATTTCTTGGCGTCGAATATCCAAAATATTCTCATAATAATACATTTTTACTTGATAATCTTTATGAATATTACCATGGAGGTTTACTGAATATGGCTCATAAAACGGTCCGATATTGGGATCAAATTATAGCTATGTATGAAAGCGGCACTGATATATGTCAAATGCCATCTAATAATCCATATTATTTAAATTGTTCAATTCCTCCTTTACAAAATCTAGAAGAAAAACAACAGTCAACAACATATATTCGTTCGAAATCATCGAATTATCTTCCATTTTCCAGTCAATCTTCTCTATCATTATCAACATTACAATATAATGAAATACCTATGGGTCTTATATCAAATCAAAGTTATGCATCATTCGGTCGTACAACACTCTTTGCTGATTTTAATAATGATGGATTCATTGATTTTGCTGTATCGGCACCTGATTATTATAATTTTGGTTGTTCTCAAGGTGGCCGTGTTTTTATTATTTATGGAAAAAAAGATCAGCCACCTGTTCCAGAACGTGATATTAGTATTATTGAACAAATAGCTGATCAAACATTAATATCCCCCATTTGTGATGGTGATCGATTTGGTACAGGATTAGCTTTTCTTGACTGGAATAATGATACTTTTAATGATCTTGTTGTTAGTAGTCCATCACATGGTTATGGTTTTCGTGGTGCTGTATTTGTTTATGCTGGTAGTAAAGATGGCCTTCAAACGAAGCCATTTATCTATATCGATGGTGTTGATGAACATGATGCTATTGGATTTGAATTACATACAGCACATCTTGATAATGATACGTTATTAGATTTAATTATTACAAGCCCTTATGCACAACCACATGGTTATGATCAACCACAACAAGGAGCTGTTTGGGTTTTTCTTAGTTCAGATTTCATGAATAAACAGCAAATATCTGATCGTCAAATAACCATCAACAATGCATCGTTCACATTATTTGGTGAAAGTGCTAAATCAAAATTCGGTTATTCGCTTCAAATAATTCCTCCATCATGCATTAGTCATATAACTTCATCCCCGGTTCTTTTAATTGGTGCACCGGCAAATCAAGGAAAACTGTATCTCTATGCGGTTGAGTCTCAACCTCGTCTTATAATGACATTACAAGGTGTACAAAATAATGACCATTTTGGACAAAGTTTTTCTATTCAACCAGATAAATGTTGGTTAGCAGTTGGTTCACCAACGCAATCGATAGATTGGTATGGTGCTGTAGATATTATTCCATTAAGCAATCTGTTCAATAAAAATAAACTTCATCTTGATCGTAGTGATAGTTCTATCCTTATTTCTATTCATGGTGATCGAATATTTGAACGTCTTGGTAATAGTGTTCAGTGGACACCACAAGGTGATTTAGTTATATCAGCTCCATTGGGGAAAGGAAAATTATTACCATTACAATTGGAAAAATCTGAAGGTTACGTCTATATTGTACCTGCAAATCGAATTCCAAGTCGACCCGATCCAAAAATTCACTATATTAGTACGATGAGTTCGATTATATATGTTGCACACAATCGTCTTAATCGATTTGGTTCTCGAATGAATGTTCTTTCGTCAACGTCTGTTTCTTATCTTGTTATTTCATCACCGTTCACGGATATGTACGACGATGTTCGTCTACCTGGAATGTTATATGTTCAACAATTAAAATAAAAATTTTCTATTTTATTTTCAAAATAAATTTCGACATCTAAAAACAAATGCTACTAAAATCTATCATTTGCTATCGGTATTGATAGTAACGAATTGTTATAGTGCACGGCATTTTTTGTGACATAGAGTTAAAAAATAATGAAAGAGGCTGACTGCAAAAAATAGTTCGACGTTGTTTAGAATTATTCATATACGTATAATACAAGTAAAATTCGATTCGAATATCGAGCAAAACTTAATCACTTGGTCACACTCATTAACAGCAAGCATTCTAAACGCAAAATAGTTAAAAACTAAATTTGCACGAAAGTGAATAATATGTGACACACACGTGGAATCATTGGCATTCGACCTTTACTAACTAGTTATAACAAAAACTGTTTAAACTCCTGTTAAAGTTGTAAAAGCATTGACAATAACTATAATCTATGCATCAACGATGGATACACAAATAAATTACATATCTATTTCAAAAACTGAAAATGAATTTAAATATCAAATAGAATATTTTCATTTTAGTTTCATACAAATAGTGTAGAATAATTGTTTGCGACGTATAATAATAATAATAATAATAATAATAATATGGAACAGAAGAGAATCATTATTCATAATATATTGTGAACGATTTAGTAAAGAATCATAAAGAAGTATTTGGGCAATGATACAACAGCAATCGAACAGGTGTTAGCATAGGATTTGAAGCAGTTGATAACGTAAAGAAAAAACATATGCTATAGAAACAGTCACTGTTGGATATATTCTAGGCGAACATGAAGGATGTGAATATCTAACACTTTCCGATGAAACTCATTTATAGTCATATCTTTTCGTATCAATGAGCCAAAATATGCTTTGACCTATGAAATATTTACGTAAACACTCGATCACAAACATAAAATCATCATATCATTGATTTGCTCATGATAAAGATATGTTTTATTCTGAAACGATAAACGAATTACGAACATCAAAATAGAAATATACAAAAACAAAACGGAAATTTTCATATTTAATACAATAGCCAAAAAACTGCAGTTATTACACATATTTATTTAGTCATAAATCGTGCATTCATTGTTATCAACGTTAATAAAGCATCTGTGTCAACAAGATAACGTTTGTTTTCCGGTAAAATACTGGATAAATTTTGTGGATCTCCATCATTGTTCTAAAACAAAACTTTTATATACGTAAGACGATTAAAAAATTTTATACTTTGAGTGCTTCGCGTACGATTTCAATTGTTTCATCACCGAGAACTTCACGTAGCTGTGCTTCTTTTTCACGATCAAGTTTAACACAATGTTCAAGATTATCTTCATCTTCTTGATTGCACCAAATATCATCGTCATCGTTATCATCATCATCATCATCGTCGCATTGTGTTATTGATGCTTTTGATTTATCTGTTTGTATCACAGGTTCACTGGCTGAATATTTTCTTTCATTTTCGTCTTCATTTTCATCATCAATTAGACAACTTTGTAAAGCTAATGATAATGTTTGCATATCATCTTCATCTGCAGATTCTGACGTTTGATCACTTGAATTTGAATCACTATTGCTCTTCGCAGCAACAGCAGTGGTGATTATTCTTTTCGTACTTAAAAAGGATGGTTCTTTACATGACTGTTTAATATCAGTTAGACTTCGATTCAATTTTGTTGATTCCATCATTATTTCTTCAGGTATTTCATCAATTTTATGTAATTCAGGATTGGAAACTGTACGAAGAAGCTAAAATAACAATTTAAAATACTCAGGCGCTGATAATAAAAATGGAATAAATCTATTTTTTGCAGAAAATACCCATTCCACACAATTTATTCATATCATTGAAATTGATTTTCACATTATAGTAATAAAATAATATCACTACGATAGAAATGGTTCAACTAGCAGTTTTGATTACTACTAACCAATACATTTTTCACATAATCTGGTCATCCAATTACAGTAAAGTATGGTAACAGTGGTAGATCTTTACAAATTTTATAGATTTCTTATCTACATTCATTATAATAAAATTTCGATTTTTATGACACTTTTCACGTTTCAAGAGATATTGCTTATGATGGTTTGGAAGAAAAATTTGCAAAGTTCTCATTGTTTTCTTGTAACACTTATTAACAAATACTGTAACTTATTGATCGAATTCAACAATATGTGCAAGATGTTTCTGTTGCCACTATAACTTGAACTAAAACAAATGACTGGCAATACTCATTTCTAATTAGATATTACAGACATGAAGAACTATTTCATGTATAGTAGTTATGATACAACAAAATAAATATATCTTACATGTCTATTTTTAGCATCAAAACGTCCTGTGGTTAAACATTCGACGAGTTCATCCTTATCTTCTATTATTGCAGATCTATTTAAACATAAATACAAATTGAAGAATAGTCAAAAGATCAATTTTTCTTTTACTTTGCTTCTGTGTTAGGTTGCACTTGGGATTTCAATGTTTCATTCAATTCTTCCACGACTAAATCGTTTTCTTTAGGTTTTGCAAGTGTACCAATCACGGGATGAGAAGGTGGGACTGGCTTTGAACTACTTATAACGTAAGTGTCATTTTTTCGATCCAGATTCATTCGATTTGCCAATGCCATTAAACTAACATCCGATGTTTCATTCTTCGGTGCGTCTAATATTGTATGATCATAAACACTTGCTTGTTCAAGTACATTAATAATTGTACCTGGTGATCCACCACCCCATTGTGGGCGTCTAGGTGTGTTTACACTAGCTAAGTTCATTGCTTGCCCATGGATATTTAAATCAGTTAGACTTGAATCATTCATTATAGATTGACGATTAAGAACTGCTGAATCCAGAACGGGTTGTTGATTCCATTGTGAACGAGATTTCGGTGGACCACCACGACTTTGCCAAGCCTCTCGAACACTTCGTTCATTTACATTTTGTAAAATAGCTTTCTTTTTATTTTGATTCGCACTAAAATAAATGCCATGATTTTTTAAAGAATTCATTTAGAATATTTATCGAAACTAACCTAGATGATTGACCACCTATATCATTTAATAGTTCAGTCAAATTATTGTTCACCGGTTCAATCCTTTTTAAAGCTTCTTGAGTTTGCTTCTCCTGAACGAAAAATAAAAAGAATGAATGAAAAGTTTTCTTGTTCTTTACTAATGTTGCATTTAAGTTTACTTCTTTTTCTTTTTGAGTTAGAACAACCTGCTGATCGTATCCTGAACGATATCTTTCATCGACTTGATTGGCATTGATTGGCTAATTAAACAACAGAAATCCAAATATACAGTAAACAGAATAAATTAGTTAGTTACTTTATTCATAGCCAACGGTTTTTTGTATGCAGTTGGTGGTTTACCGTTTATTTCTCGTTTGCCTATAAGATTTTTTCGACGGATTTCTTCAAGATTTCGATTCATTTCAGCAGCCATATGACCAACAACGCCGACATTTGGATTAGCCACAGCAGGAGCTCCCTGAAATGAATTCATTTTTACGCAAGTAAACAAAGCGAAGAATGTCTTACGCCAGCGTAACCTTGACCACGAGCCTTGTTCAACAGAGCCTGACGTCTATTCTCTAGATATTCATTTCTCAATGCAACCGGCCGACCAACATTGGCACTAAAATAATTATAATTTTTCTCTTTCATTTATTGCTTTGTCTAAGATTGATCAGTTCATATGGATGAACATTATTCTATCAAATATAAATTGTCTACTCATTTCATGATGCGATATTGTCGAAGTGACTGCATTATTTGATGTGCATTAACACAGTACTATATGCAAAACGTAGTTATCCCAAAAATGACATCATTTTTAACAAGTCATTGAATGACAGCTATTTATCTTGCTATCACTAGTGCAATAGCACACTTTTACTACATGAGAACATACAATCTGTGCTTGTAGTAAAACGACATGCGTCGAGAAGTCAAAAACTTAGTATTTAACTAACAGTTTTTGTCAGAAAATGAATGCAATGCAATAGTATTCTTCCTATTTTATTCTGTTCGAAATTAAGACAAGAATCAAAAGAAGGTAACATTGAATAGTAAATCATCGAAGTGGGACAAGCCACTATAGTAGAATTTCAAAAAAATACTGTAGCTATTTTCCGACGGAAAATTGATCAGATTGAAAAATGAGATAAGCATAATAACTATGCTATTTATCGTCTTAGAAACAATACAAAACTATTCATAATATTTAATAATGAATATTTATATATTTAGAAATTGAATTCATTCTCTCTCGAAATTTTGACATCATTCTCTTTTTCGTTCCATAAATTACCAGAAATCTGCGAGAAAAACCTTACACACAAGAAGAATATATTCGAAGACAATTTTGTAAGCTTAAAAAAAACGACGTACCCTGGTGTTCGACGTAAATTAGGATTGCCAATAACTGGTTTTTGATATAGTTGAACATGAGAATTAGGTTTTTGAGATTGATTAACTGAAATATAATATTCTTAAAATACATTTCTAATAGTTACTACGTCTCTTGTCAAGTCATGTTTATACGTCCAACGTGTATAACATCAGTATGAATCAAATTGAATAAAAAAAAGATAAGAAAATATTGTCTAAGAGAGACAAAATGTAAGCTTTTGGCTTTTAAAGTTTAAGTTCGTAGGATGCGAGTGTCATGTTACATTTAAATAGAACACCTCGATTTATTCACAATTGCAATGATATAATGTTCTCAAATAACTTAAGACCGTCTTTTCTAAATACACATATGCATAAATATATCTTATTAGGCTTTCGACAATTTCCATTTTTGTTACTGTTGAATTTCAATTATATTCTCAAGGATTTGAAATGTGATCGTGACTTTCAAGATGTTCTGAATATGTATTTACCGATATTCCATTGATCCATATTTCGTTCTCCATCAGTCATTTTCTGTTTATGCTGATCTAATAATTCGTGATATTGATCATAATTAACTGCTTTTGCTGCGCTTGGCATAGGTGATGCTGCGGCCTTCATTTTTGGTTATGGAGAAATAATAGAAAATAATAAGTGAAATAAATCAACATACCGATTCTCTTCCTGATGAAGGCGTAGACACCGGGTTTATTTTAGGTTTTACTACTACTGGTGATGCAATTTGTTGTTTATTATTAACTGGTAGATCCTGTAAAGCAACCATCAATGCAAATATACGAATCATAATATTCTTACCGAACTACTATGACTTAATAGTAAACGATTTCTTTCTCGATCTCGATTAATAAGTACGTGTTTATCTTTTTCAATTAATTCTTGTTGCTTTTTCGCTAAATTCTCTACCTGAAATATTTTTATATGCATCAACTTTGCAATAAGATTTTGATTTTCTTCCAACATACTTCTTCTTTGGCTTGTTTTTCTCGTGCTTCTTTTTGTTTGGCAAGTTCTCTACGTCGTTTTTCGATTTCATTTTCTTTGTCAACAGATAGAACTGGTTTTCGAATAACATCATTTGGCTTTTTATCTTGTGATACTCTGAAAAACAAAATTCAATTTTTGAAATGAAGTGCTATGTTCGCTAACAAACCGATTGACGGCAGCAGAAGGTGTTGCAGAAACTGGACGTTTTATTGGTGATGGTCCTGGATATACCCTTACCGGTTCGTAGGGTATTACTCTTGGTGCTGCTGAATTTGGACGAGAAGAAATTGGTGGTGGCAGAAGAACAGGATTTGCTCTTGGAGCTGAGACTGGACGAGATATTGCCGGTGGATTTGGATGTGCAAGATCAACAGATAATCGTTGTCCATGTAAAACAGTATGATTGAATTCAGCTTGATGTACCTATATAATGTAGAAAATGTAAAAGCAAGAATTCATGACAAGAAAGTTATACATCTTCTGCTAAATGTTTTGGAATCCGCCGATAGATAAATGGTTTTCGTAAAATTGTATTAACAGATGGACGTTCGCTACAAAATTTAAAACAAAAATCATATTCTAATCAAATGATAATTTATGATTTTACCGAGGTTCTCTTTTAAGCATAGATGCTATTAAGTTTCGTAAATCGGCACTAAATTTCGGAGGAATTGAGTTAAACGAACCACTAAAAGTCAAAGATATAGAATTAAAATTGTTTTTTTTCTGCTTGGAAAAGTTTCAACTATTACCGAACGATTCTCATAATAAGGCCATTCATATTATTAGCATCAAACTACAAAATAAAAATCATACAATGAAATTATACATCCAGAATTTCCTACAGCATGTTTGAGAGCAGTTAATTCATATAGAACACAACCAAGACTCCAAACATCTGATTTATTATTATATGGCTTCTGTTGACAAATTTCCGGTGATAAATAATATGGTGTACCTATTTGTGTACGCGCTAATTCACAGGTACTATAAAGATAAATTTGACTTTAACAAAAAAACAAAAACAAAAAGAAATAAGAAACTTACGTATTTAAAACTTTTGAAATTCCAAAATCACCTAATTTTGCACAACCTTCACGTGTTAGAAAGACATTCTAAAAAAAAGGATAAACTTACAAAGGATAAAAGATTTCTTGGAGAAATTCTCCTATTTATTTACTTGTGATTTAATATCACGATGAAGTACTTTTCTATCATGAACATGTTTAAGTGCTAAAGTTATTTGTACAAACCAATCTAATATTAGCTCTTCATTAAATAAAGCTCCATGCTGTGCTTGTATACGTGTATGCAAATCACCTCCATCACAATAGTCCATTACGATAAATAAACTAGTTGGATCTTAATTGAAATATTTTTGTATTTAACAGAGAAAATAATTACTATTAGCTACCTTCAAATGATTCAACATATGAAACGATATATGGATGTTTCATTTCACTAAGGACTTTAACCTAAACTTATATGAGAAACTAAGAACAAAGATAATTATCATTTTATGACATACTTCTTTTCGTGCATCATCACGTTCTTTTTTGCCCATCTTTTTAAAAAGAAAATAAAAGTAAGAGATTAGTTTTAAAAAAATCTTTTACTTTAGCAATTTTGATTTCTTTCATGACATATTTTTTATCATCCGTTTTAAGTTGAATAAGCCACGCTTGACCAAAAGCTCCAGAACCGATTAATTTTTTTTTGTCGTATTTCTCCATCTATTCAAGTATTTGATTAATCTGAAGTAAACTCAAAGATAATAGACATTAATATAAAATGATCATGATCATGAATCATTTCAATTCTCAACCATATCCATGCTCGTTACCATCGATACAACCTTTAGTGCATACGAAAGTGAAATAAAAAAGTGGCGACCTCAATTTTTGTTATCATATAGACCAATCTTTGGAATCGATGGCGTGTCATATTCAATCAAACAGTTTCACTGGCGAAGAAGATTAACATTTTTTTAGTTTTTCGATTTGAAGATTTTTGATCATTTGTACTTACAAAAATGCTTGACATAGAATGGCCATTCGAAACACATATGGTAAGAAGATTCTTAGTTGTTTTTCTAATTGTCCTAGTTTCCCTATTAATAGGATTTTTGTGGTCAGAAAATGGCAGAAAGACTCTTTCAAGTTATCATAGTTTTATTTGGAGTAAGTTTAAATTCAATTTATTTTTATTTCGCTAATTCTTTCTCTTAGATTATTGGTTTTTTTGCTGGCTATATTATGCAACAATTTAGTATGACTATCTATAGTGTTCTCTTCGGAGTTCTGGTTTCTGCAATAGTAAGTTTCTTTTTAAATGATGTAATTAAACAGTTCTAAATAAGTGCATCCATTTTTTTTCGATAATAGCTAACACTACCACCATGGTCAGTTTATCGTAATAATCCAATTCAATGGCAAAAACCTTTGGATTCAAATAAAGAAGCAGCTACAAATAAAAATGGTTCATCTGCAAAATCACCGAAAAAAGATGTTCGAAAAACAAAAGGAAGAAAAGATGAATAGAAAAAGAAAAGTTTTGAATATTTTTTCGTTATTGCTATTGTGAAAAATAAAAATGGGTCTTATTGAAAAGAATGTGCATCATGTATGAAATGATCATAGAAATATCATTTAAAGAAGTCTAACTCGCTCTATTATCAAGTCATTGCTTAGAATACTAAAGAAAAATCAGTCACAGATTTCCTTTTGCCTTAAAATAATTCACACAATTCATAAAATGATGAATATAAGTTTTGCTACATTCATAGTTTTCTACTTAGTTTTATCAATGTCTTCAATTGAAAAACTTGTTTCTAATCGCAAAATACGATATGCGTAGAAGTCATGATTATCAAATACATGCAATAAAACATTGTTTTATGAATAGCTAAGAGCATCATGGTATATGAATCATTCGTAATATGCAAAACATGAAACGAACAAGTATTGACATAATTCGACTACTGAAAATGACTGAAAGCTCTAGTCGCTGCATAGCAATTTCGTTTTTTCGCCAGTAGAAATGAGCGAAACTTTCAAACAGTTGCATAGCAATTAATATTATGTGCGGAAGTTAAAACTATTTCTGTTTCTCCATCTACAAAAACAGCTATTTTCAAAACAACTGTCAAGATAAACATAACTAAATAAAATAATGTGTGCGAGGTGTATTCTCTCATGAATGCCATCATTTTTTCTATCAGGGAATTAATTTTTGTCAACATATTCAGATGATTATTTTAATTACCTTCACGAAAAATGAACTGCTTTTTAGAGCATATAAGAAATCTGTTTGAGTTTTTCTATTTCAATTGTTGTTCTTGAATTTCGACTTTTTACCTCTAGAAGAGTATTTTTCCAGTGAGAACGTCTTTTTTTGCGACAGTAATTTCAAATATCAAAGTTGTTTCATCTTAGACAATACGATAAAGTATTTGATAAAAACGAGCCTATACAATGAAATTTTACAACGAACATTAATTGATCAAATGATTCATCTTGAACTAATTTTTTTATCGCATATCTTCTAATGACTCGATCTATTGAGATAATGTTCTTAGATACTTGAACTATCTTACATCTAAATACAATGCAATAGGTCATTAAAATAAACTACTGAAATCATGTGTGTCTGTTGATTCTAAATTTTCCTCGTTTTTACTAGGAAATTTATTTCTATAAAACCATCGATCAGCCGTTCAAGTGAAAAAGATGTTCTCTTTCATTTACTTTTGTTAAGCTTTGAAAATATGATTTATTTTTAATTCCTCACTGAAACGAATATAAATACAAGCAAGAAAACTCACACATTAGAAATTAAAAAGAAGAAAGATTAACAGCATATAAATGAAAAATAACTGACTAAATACAACCGTGAAATATAGGTTCTATATTAAAAAAATGCACACACACATGCAATATAGAGATTTATATATTCATTATCTATTTAATCTCTTAACGCTTTCGTGGTGGTCGATTTGTTGCTGATGCTGAATTTGTATTCGTACTTCGATCTTCATCAACATCATCATCAGTTAATGCAGCTGATGCAAAACGAGGTGTAGTTGCTCGAATGATTTCGTCAACAGGTGCATTTCGATTCTCGTATAATAGAACATTTAATGTTTCTTCATAAATTCTCGCTTCGAAAAATTCAACCTAATATTTAAAAAAAACTACATTGAAATTGCTTTTGGTTTTTCTTTCGAACTTTATTTTGTTTTCGTTCAGTTGCATAAACAATAGATGTACAGCACACTTCAGCCATTTTTTGTCCATTACCATAAAAACTCCAACAACATATTTCTTCACTACCAGTAACATCTTTTATGAATAAAATTCTATTGTGTAAACGAATACTTAATTTATCAAACAATTCAATATTTTTCATTAACATTTCATCTGATGATCTAAGAAATAAATAGTTTTGTGAAAATATATTTCAAGAATATTTACTTACGCAGTATAAGAATATTTATTATTATGTCGATTAATTGCTAATTTAACAATTGGTTTACGTACTGTAGCCACAATATTTGGTAATTCTTTTGCAGATGTTAACATAATAACTTTACAACAAGAGTCTGTATCACCGGCATTTTTTCTTGAACGTGTTCTTAATTGTTGTTCAATAAGTTCAATAAGGGATTCTATACAATAAAATTTTGCCTCAAGTAACAGTTCATTTAATGCTTGAGTGCATTCAGGTAAATTGATGGTTCTATCACGTAAATAATTTAATATTACGTTGAAATGCTTACCATCACGATCGATTAATACCCAACCTAATTATTAAAAGTAAAACAAAGACATTAATTTTTTTATGATATCAAAACATTCCTAGATACCTTCACTATCCTGTACAACTTCCATACGTCCACTAAACATTGCCTTAAACATTGTATCTTCCTTAGTTAAAGTATCAAAACTTGTTAGAAAAAGATGATTTCCCACATTAAGTTTGACATATTTTCCAAAATGGTTGTTAGGGCCTGCCACCATGTTTCGAGTCGATGCTGATACTGATGGAACAGTGGGTGTCGTTGTATCACTCATCTGAAAAATGTGATTCATATTTTATTTTTCTCTTTTAATTAAAGAAATCAACAGCGAAAACAGTGCATTTTTCATTCTATGAAAACAAACGAAGAACAATAAGAAGAAAGGCATGTTCTTAGATTGATATTTTGTTTCTATTAAGAACATTGACTTTTTTTTAGTGAAAATCAAAAAAACAACAGTTTGATTGTGAACGAAACTAATTTCATGGTGAAAGAAAAAGAAATAGGAGAAAACATTAGATCTTTATTCATTTTAAAGAAAAATATCAATATAACTTTAAATGACGAGTGATTTCATTGATCAGTCTTGAAGGTGCTGAAAAATAGACAAACAAATGGCAAGTAATTTATAAATATTGCATTTCATTCAACTAACCAGGACCAATACCAAGTACTGTCTTACTACCGGGTTCAATTTGCGTTCGACCTGAAGTAAAACTAAGATGAATTAAATAATTAAATAGAATTTGTCTCTGTACCTGCATCTCGTATCAGACAAGTTGTTAGACCTTTACGTTTAGCTTGAAGTCGTAATTGTTCTCTAGAATACAACGTAAAAGAATGAAAGCCTATTTCTTTGTTAAAATGTTTGTTTTTCTTCTTACAAATCATCAGCTGATTCGCATTTACAGACAACTTTTGCTTGACCACAAGTAAACCATGTATCCACAGAATCAGGTTTTTGTTCGCACGCTTTTTGAAAACAACCCAATGTTGCATGAGAACACTGTATGAACGGTGAGTATTATTTTTACGTGACAAAAATTTATTTTCCCTACTTGTGCTGCAACTTTTCCTAGAAAAACAATAAACGCTACTTCAAGACACGAAAAATTTTCAAATCGTTATAAATTTACCTTTTCCCATTTTAAGATCATTTCTTACGACGAGTACCATCTAAATTTCAATTAATTATATGATGAAAATATTAGCTGGATTTATTCTTACTTTATATTCTCCTTCAGTATCGGAACAACCTGGTTCGAACTAAATATCGAAAAAGGAAATAATTCGCTTTGAAATATTTATTTTACTCACACTTCTTTCATCATCACGATCATCTTTAGTAGAATCAAATGCATTTGAAACAGCTTTCACTTTGTTACTAACAAACAACGATGAGCTAAATAGCCAGCCAAGCGCCAAACCTTGAATTAACACATAGATTTACACAATCTTACATCCTACTTTTATTTTTACCTCCAAAAAATCCAGCCACAAGACCAGCAACAAAATTTTTTTCACTGAGCCAAACAACTTGATCCATAAAAAAACTGAAAATGAAATAAATCAATGTTAGCTTGCCATTGGGAAAAGAAACGTGAGACTAGACCTTACTCGCCTGAATATGTAACCATCGTTGAAGAAATATCAATTAATAACAACAAAAGAAAAGGAATGTTTTATCAAATATTAATCTTCAATGAAAATAAACACTTTTTTGAAATTGAAAGATATTTAATACCGAGAATATAACAATATGCATCTATTCACACCGAAATCTGAAGGGAACATGCCTTCTGAAATACTTGTTTAAAGATATTTTATAGCGACATACATCTAGTACGAAGGTCAAAATGTATTTCATACTAAACTGGAAAGAAAAATAAATAATGATAGATGCTGTTCGCTTCTCAGTCATTAGTTATCAACACTTATATAATGTCATTCATAAACTCATCTATATTTCTTAATGATAGAAATAATATATTTATTTTCATCGAATAACAAAGTTTGTTTCTGACTTCTGAATATACAATTGTCCAAGTGCAAAACGTGTACCGTTAGTTAAATTTTCCTTTTGATTATAATCAGCTGTCGTGAGTAAATCGAATGGTAAATCACATATGCCTGTTAGATGAACATATGCTTTAAATAGACATAAGTTTTCTAATGAATCAGTTCTTTTATAAATATTCTCTATTTGTTCATACGAAAGCCATGCATAAGCATCGACTTCGCTAGGGTCGGTTTTAACCGATATTTCATCACTTGCTCTCGATGATTCTACATGTAAATAAATAACAATATGATGACGACGTGGTAAGCCATGATTGAGATCAACTGGAAATGCTGACTAGAAAACAATTTTATAGTTAGAAAAAAAGATCAATTCTTATATTTACCTCCCATAAAGCTAAAATTTTCGATGTTTCCAGTTCATTTTTATTTACTTCGATGCCTACTTCTTCAAATAATTCACGAATACCTGCTTGTTCAATCTACGTTGATCTATTTAACGTCAATATAAAAATAATAAGATATATTTACTGTTTCGTCCTGTTCAATACCACCACCAGGACATACCCAACATGACGGATATGTCCGCATATGACTTGCTCGTCTTGTTATCAAAACACGATGATCATGAGATTCAAATAATACAACTACGCCGATTGCAATGGAATTCGATGGATTATTTGGTATGTTTGACGAGTTATTTTGTAAATGAAGATTCGTAAATGGGCAATAAGATGGACGCTAAACAATAAAAAGAAAACAAATATGTTCAATTTCAAATGATATAGAAAAACAGTTATCGTAATTTCAACGAAATTAAAATATAAGGTATGAGACATATTTATACAGAAAATGCAATAAGAAATTCTTTCATATATTACAATAGAACATTGTTGATATAAACCTATGTGATATATGTCAAAATTTGTGAAATGTGCAAGTTATTATACTTATACCACAAAAATCTGCTGAGATCCTGTTTTGAAAAAATTCAAAAAGAAACATACTCGAAATAAAACTATTGATTGATCATTACGTTGGATAGTTAATTGATTATTTTCAAAACAAATATCCACATTAGCATATTCACTAGTTGGTTTCAATTGGTGAACTAAAGGCTATTGAAAAACGAATAAATTTATTTTTAATCTTGTTTAAACTTACTGTAATAAATTCTGGATATATTCTATCACCATTTTTATCAATCAATAGAATTCGACTCTGAAATCGCTTATTATCTGTCATCTAATATAAACATGGAGATATATATATATATATATGTATAGAGAAAGAGAGAAAACATATCAGTTAAACAGAACACTTTGTACAAACTAAAGGTCTTTTCTTCTTTCAATACACATAAGAAACAAAACAATGGTAATCAGTTTACATATACACATTAAAGTAATTTAATTATATGATTAGAGATTAATGTTGTTGTGAACCATAATATTGAGCAGAATTATATGATGCACTTGTGTATGATTGATGTTGCCGATGAGATGGTGGGTACAGTCCTTGTGGTTGTTGTAAACCGACTGGTAAATCCTGTCGAAGTGATCCATGACTACTAGCGGTTGTATATGGATCATTACAATAATTAGAATAAAGATTATAGGCACTAGAAAAGAAGAAAAATAAAATGTTTTCTTTCTCCAAACTATGTTGAAAAACTAACCGTTGAACGGGAAATTCCGGATCACGTGGTCGACTAGCATAAAATTTTTCATAAAGATCATAGTTATGATATGGATCTACTGCAGGTGAAGGCACTTGAGATACTCCACCACCATAATATGGATCAATTGCTGGTGCGCTTAGATGACGATCGTAGGATCTATAAAACAAAAATGAAAATATGTATCTTCAGAATAATGTTTTTGCTAACCGGCTTGGGCCATAATCATCTACTCGAACATGCGGAGGTAAATCACGATAAGATTGTGCATCTGACGGCCCAATAGGTATGCTACTATCATACCTTGATGCATCATATCCACGATCATAACTATTATCATGTTCATCTTCGTAATAGCGGCGAGGATCCAGTCGTACATTATATGAACGAGGGCGATCATAAATGCCACGATCAATTGGAACACTAGCATAAGGACGAATATGCTGACGAGTCCAAGCTGAGTTATTATTATGACGTATTGGGCCAACACCATCAACTGATGCATTTGAACTATATCGATGTACACCATTGTTATTACTTCTAGTTGGAACACGTGCACGAGAACTAGAGAAAATACATTAGCCTATTAGTAAGATGCAAAAATGAAACAACCATACTGTCTTAAAGCACTAGCAGGCTCCGGTTGACCAGGTCGATGCCGCACTGTGCTCGTTGAAAGCTAATAGGAGAAAATGTGATTAAAAAGAATTTTTGTAGTGCCTTAGCTATCATTTACTTCAACACGTAATCGTTTCCCATGAAATTCTTTATTATTTAATGCAAGTACTGCTTTTTCCGCTTCTTCTATTGAACCATAATGCTACATCATATTGAACAAACACATCAGACAACGCATATGATAAATTATATATATTCTTACCACAAATCCATAATCTTTAATCACCGATGCCTCAAGAATACTACCGAAAGTTGAAAATAAATCATTCAATTCATCTACTTAAACACATAATTCATCAAAATAAAACATATTCTATTGATAGTGTACCTGGCTGTGTTGTTGGATCTAGATTACCAATAAATAATTTTGTTTTCACTATTTTAGTTGGTTCATTCATTTTTTATGTTCGTATCTGCATTTTCAAAATAAAAAAAATATATGTGGATGCATTTCAATAGAAAAATATTTTCGCTTAAAAAATATAAACGCAATTCAATTATCTTGATCGTCGGGTTTTCTATCTTTAAATCAGTCACAACGTTGGCATCGAAACGATCAGAAGAAAGATCACAACAAAAACAAAACAAAACAAAATTACAAAACAAATATACATAAAAAAACAGAAAATAAAAAATTACAGATACATAGTGTTACGTTCTGTGAGAATCAATAAACGGATTCTTTCAGATTAATCGATTCGGCGTTAATTGCGCATAATTATTCGTCATCGTCCGATCGTAGATGAAATACGCAATAAACTGTTAGATCAATGCGAAGAAGAAACGAACATATTTGCGTATTTAATTCGTCATGAAACGCAAACGCGAAGATCGCACAAGCTAGAAGATAATGATAAAAAATGTATCCGATTTAATATTGACTAATAAATAGAAAGTCATTTTTTATCTTTTATATTCATTCATATATCGATATATATATATATAGATATAGATATAGCATGAAAAGTAGGTATTAAGTGAGTGCGTAGAAAATATGAAGCGAAAATATTAAAATCTAGAAAACGATATTGTATGCTAACAATTAAATATATAGAATACTAGATCTAATGGTTTTGAAAATTAACTGATCATTTAAATTAAATATAAATTCATCAAAGTGAATGCTGCGAAAGACTGTTTTGTCATCATTATGCAGTTGCGTATTTAGGCCGAAACTCCTTCGAAGAAAGTACTTTATCTGATAGGAATGCCCGCAATCAACTTTGCTCCGATTCTTTAATTGGTATCTCTTCAGGAGATTTGAAATCTTTTTAGATGAGACTTTTCTCATTAGTTAGTCTATTCGGACGTGGCAAAAACTATCATGATTTATGTATTTATTGCTTTCTTTTCGAGACCTGAACATTTTACTGAGCTGTCAACTAGATCCAAGTTATGCCATAATAAATTCGCATTTACATGGAAAGTTTCAATTATGAATGAAATATTCAAATTGTAACTCGCTCTTTGACTTCATATAATGCCTATAGGAAAGTCGCGGTGAACCTAGTAAAAGAGTTGATATCGATAGCTCTCTAAAGGCAAGTTATTATCATATCACTAAGTTTACTATCGAAATCTCAGTTCATAGATAGATCTTATGACTCTTGAAATAGTTTGCATGTCTCAGCTACAAATGGCACTTCTACTTCAAAATATTGAATGCCAAATTGAAATGTTGCAACATGTTCGTTACAAACATTATAAGTATGGAAAATTTGATGTATGAATAAAAGAATATTCTTTTTGTCTATTTGTCTACAGATTTTTGCAGTAAAAAGGTCACTGTAACACTTTATTTTATGTCACTAAGACGTGCCTATGCGTTCGACTTCTCTGCAAACGGTGCATTGCATTTAGACTGGTTTCTGTTTAACAATGAATATTTTCTAAACTGAAGGCATTTGTTCAAGCTGCTATTTTCAGGATATAAAAGAGAATCTCATTATGTACAAAATGCGGATCGTAACTTTCTTTTTTAAAATTTTGTACTTTGTACGAAGTCAGCAACTCAGTAAAATAGCTAGCAATGATAAAGAAAGCAACAAAGTGTACGAACCAATATAGTTTATATCGATTCTCTGTAGACTCGATCGATGAAGAAATTTTTGTCGAAAAGTATTTTTATTCTTTAAGTGTTTCGTCGCGCATATATATACATGTTTCATCTTGATATATTGTCTTTCTTTCATAATATCGATTTCGATACGACCTATATTGAATTTTATCGAAAGAAGCATAGATAAATATATTCATTGAAGCGAAAACGATCTACAAATTGAAATTCTCACATACCTCAACAATCTGAATAATAGTAATTAGAGTGAATTTTTCTTGCTATAAATCTTCATTCAATTTAGCCGATTGTGCACACTAACATGCAAATTTGAGATCAGTTATATTGACATTCACAATATCATGGAAATCAATCACACCAATGACATTTATGTTTTAATCGACTCATTTCAATTAATAAATTAACTATTTGAATATTTGTTTTTTTCCAAATGTGTTTCAATTATCCAATCACACGTTTCATAGTTGCCGTACGAGGTTCATCGGAATCTAAAATGCAGATATTTGTACCATAGTTATAATTACATAGAAATATTTCGGTTTTTAAATAGTTCCATATCAGATTAGCTTTAAACAGCGCGTACAAGCTCGATGAAAGTGTCCTAAACCAAATGAGAATAGATGTATTGGATAAATATCTCGCAAAAATTTTCAGAAGAAAATGAAGATTATATAGCTTGATAACTAAATTGAAATAGAAGTTAAATAAAATCTACTGACAACAATAATAATATTCTTACAGTCGCAATAGATAGTAGGTGTATAAGATTCAATTCCTAGAAAATGGAAAATGAATCGTAACTTATGAGACTCAAACGAAAATGGAAATCTTATTGAATAGATAAGACTTGATTTAATCAAAAATCCAAGAAAGTAAGTTATAGTTACAAACAAAAAAAATTTAAAAAGAAACTAGTGAATATTGACAAGATTGAAATGAAAAAAATGTATGTATTTATTCATGAATACTAAAAATTGTTGAGGTAGCTTCCATTGAACAAAACAAGAGACACTACTTTTTATGATATTAAACTTAAATGAGATTTCAAAATTCATCATGCATCGCCAATTTTTGTTTTAAAATCATGTATCAAAAAAAATATTAAAATCTTCTCCCAGCTAATCTATCAATTATTTATATTAAATCTTCTTTTATCACCAATGATCTCGTATTTCGTGGAAATCCTAAGAAGAAAATAATTAAAAGATTTATTATTATGAAGTTTTTTTTTCAGGCTTAGAACAAAAGCAAACTAAACTAATAGAAAAAGTTAGCTCCATTGAATAGATTCTTCATATTCAATCAGAATTGTATTACATAAAATAATAAAGTATGAATTGATCTTAGAAGAAAGTGCATGAATTAGATCGTCGTTTATTTTTTATCATTCAACTAATATGATCAGTATTAAATTAAAAAATCTAAACCTATATAAATTTTTTTTTTATAACGATATATTTTGAGATCTGTTCTACCCACACATAGTAGTAAAGTTTTGTATTGCGGTGATCGGTTTGGTTCTCAAAAAGAAGGAGAAAAACAAAAGTTAGTTATCATCCCATTCACGTTTACATAGACGAGTCAACTATCTTCAATTTGTTTATACACATGCATAATATAGTTATACGTACATCCATAAAATAGGAATGTTTGCAAATTGCAATCATAGAATCATAATACATCAGTTGACTAAATTTTCCTGAGATTACGTAGCAACGTATCTATAAATTTATATCGAAAATAACTATAGATATATTCTATCTATAATAAAAACACTCGAAATGTAGCCATTCCAATCGTTTATTGTCCTCTCACCAATCGCTATCGACAAGCATGAGGTCACAGAACAAATTATGGATTTTTTTGGACTCAATCCTATATGAATGAATGAATGAATGAATATACTACGTTTGTTTCTAGTTTAATTTATATGAAATAAAAAACAACGTAATGTCTGATCAACAATCAAATTCAGTTTCGAATGATTTTTCGTATTTATTTTTTCGTAATGGAGTTTCTTTTCAAATAAATTATGATGATGATGAAGATAATACTAATAACATACGCGACGATAAAGCTCAAGTATCAAAATTATCTGATTTATGTTGTTCATTAATTGTACAAAATGAATCTTTAACTGAATATGCATGCGGCATAATACCGAAAGAATTATTTTATCCATTATTTCGTGCTGCATTAAATTGTAGTCAAGATGATTCATGTATAAATATTTTAATAGCAAGATGGCCATACAGAATATTTCGTTTAGGAAATTTTGTTCAAAAAAAATTAACATCATTGAAAATGTTATTGTGTGATAAAACTGCTTTACAAAGAACTAAACAAGCTATTAAATATTCAGTTATTTTAATTCCACGTTTTATTGATTCAATAAGACAACAACAAACAAATAAAACGAAACAATCCAATTTACGTATACTTGATGTGACAAATTTTCCTGTTGTAGAATTAATATTGAGATATATTTCTACACATTGTCGTTTGGCAGAAAAAGAATCGAAACGAAATCAATTAATTGATATTTATCATCAACAACATCGACATTTATTACCTGTTCTAAAATGTGACGATCAGAATAGTAATGACGATGAAATAAAACTGTGTACAGGTAAAATAAAACAAAACCGACTTATCCAAGAGTTTGTTGAAGGCTAAAATGTGAAAATTTTATGTTCAGCAACCTCATTTTACTGATAACGAAAAATTTGAATAAGTAACATCAATTAGAGTATGTTTTTTTCTCATGATGATCGATAGTCAGAGACACGACTTGTTTTATGCCACTATTCTAATTTAACAATAATATGTGATTTCAATTTTGAATATAATTCATACATTTTCTAATGTCTGTTAAGAATTTTTCCGTTGTTACGCTATTCTGCCGGAGAGAAGTTTGATGCATGTTGTCTTCTGTTACTATGGAAATATAATCGATGAATTGAACAGGAATATTGAAGTAAATGGAGTAGAAATTCGTAACTATCATCATCTCTTCCCGCTTCAGGATATACGAAAGGCTAACTCCTAAATATGTCACAGTTTATGACAAACAGAATAAAAGAATACATTAGAAACAGTTCTTCAGAGGCATGACAAGATTTTACTAGTAAAATCATCTTTCCCTCGTTGCAGACAATAATAGATACCTCATGTATGCTATGCTTCAGTTCTTGCATCCATGGGCTGTGACCGAAAGTATTCATATACAATCAAAGACCATAACTTAATTGGATTTCTCTATTGATCTATGAATGAATTTTGCATTCTATTCTTCGAAGATTAAGTACAAGAATAACAAAAAAAACTTTCCCAATGATTGTTAACAGCGTGTGCACTTTAAAAAAAATATGAAATACACATACGAAGTTGGATTCGATTACAAGAATAAATTTCTTAGTCAACTCTTTCGTATAGATATTCAATTAGTAAATTCAAATGGCAATACTGATGATCTCATCAAAACAAGTTCATATCCCGATGATATAATTATTATTCGTTTTGACTGTATTGTTCAAGATTATCGAACATATGTTGAACTTCTATCAGCTCTACGTACATCAACGCCCAATATTCAATTACAAATATGTACCATTGATATACGTTGTATTGGTTTAGCGTTGGTTACCAGTTTTCTTGATCATGTTGATAAACGAGTAAATAATTGTTCGCGCTGTTATTTCTTCTTAATTAATTCAATAGAATTGTTTCTTTTTTTTCTAGTTTGTTCATACACTCCGTGTTCCTTATAATGTATTAACACGACAGAATTTAAAATATTTTCTTCCACGATTGCCAAGTTTAACAAAATTACATACGTTAGATTTATCGTGTAATTTTATTGATTTTCGTCTTAATCACGATGATTTAGAACAGTTTTGTCTTGTCCTATCACAATTAAAATATTTAAAAACTCTTTCATTAAGTGGTTCACCAGTAACAAATGGTCTTGAAACTATATTAAATTCTATTGAACATTCATTAGATGCATTAAATCTTGATTTTTGTTCGTTATCTGAAAATGACCTAATTACTTTATGTCAAATGACTACACGACATCAATTTTTACACTTAGATTTAGGTACAAATCGTTTAAATCGTTTTATGCGTACATTATTACTTGCTATAATGAAACAAAAACGACTTGTTGTATTAGAACTTGATTACAATCGTTTCTCATCAAATGACTATTTAGAATTAATAGCTTGTTGTCAACGTGTATCATCATTAAAATGTTTAAGTGTACGTGGACCGAATTCTCTAACAACACAATTAGCCGCAGCTACATTTATTGGTGAACATTATCCATGTTTACGCTCATGGAAAATTGCGTCACCTATTGAATATTCTTTAAATCGTTTTGTAGAAAATGATGAACAAAATTATTTAATACAAACAATTATGCCTTTTGATATATTTGTTAATGAAATGAATAAACGAGCCAAATGTCTTGTTTCAATAGCTGAACTCAGCGTGTGATACATGCAATTTTTATAAATTGTTGTTTTCCTTTTAAATCCTTTTTCTGGTTTTTCTTTAATAAAATGATAATGTAGATTATATCTGAAAGTACTTTTCACTTGTTATAGTTGGATATTTGTTCGTTGATATTATGGATGAAATGAAACAACTGAAAAGAAACTTCAGCAGAGCAACTCACGAATTACGATATGTGTTTTATACTTACTATTTCTAGTATTCCAGTGTTTCGTCGAGTTTTCCGTCGGTTCCGCTCGATCTGTTGAGTTCTTAGTTGAGTACTAATATGATTATTGAATCAGTAAAAGATAGGAAGAAAAATTTAAAAAAAACTTCCACTATTTATGACTTACAGAGATGAATTCTATGCAGAGTTTTAGAAACTCATTAATCTGTTTTATTTTTGTCCTTCATAAATTTCCTTTGTATAACTTTTTCGGATTGAATTCCTTTCGATAAATCTTAATAATCAAACAAAGATATATTACGAATTCATAATTAATTGTTCTTCGTTCGTTAGTAGACAACAATGTTCACATGTCGTTAAACTAAATCGACCACTGCTATAATTTTGTTCAAGATTTGAACTCATCAAAAGGTTAATAATTGAGATGAGCTTGGAATAAAATTACTTTCCAATAGTTCTATATAGAATGGCTCAGACCAGAAAAAGATTTATATAGGTTCTATTCTAAATTTGATTATGAAATCAATTTATTGATCCAGATTAATGAATTTAAAACATGGAAAAATGTACTTATCTTTTTGTTAAAAGATTTATAGCAGAGATTATGTTTCTCATTTTGACACGCAACCTATATTTGAAGTCTTTTTAAAATGTCTTGTTATCGCAAATATCAGCAAACGTGAATAAAAATATTGAATTGCATTTACTATGTAAAAAAAGCATACAACTTCTAGCCATAGTACATATACTATAAGGACTATGAGAACAATGAAACTTAGTTAGACTACGCTTTTCTTTTATCACTCAAAGCAAACACAAAATTAGTTTTCGACGATAAACAATATTGATTCGAAAGACAATACTATTGTGAACATATTTTTTTATTTATTCATGCAGAAATAACTGTGACCCTAAGATCCTATCAGTACATATAAGTAAAGTAAGGAAGAAGAGACAAAACAAGAACAACAGAAAAAAAGAAAATCATAAAAACAGGTTGTATAAAAAAAGTTAGGCCTACACAGAAAAAAGATCATATAGAATCAAAAGATTCTGGAAAATCCTCGAGGAGTTGGATTTCATCAATCTCATAAACAGGTACGGATGAACGATAAGGAATAGGAGCCATCCACCCAACAATTTTTTCTATAATTAAATGGTGAGGAATGAATCTTTTAGATGTTCGTAGACATTTAATTGAAAATTGTTTATCAATCCAGATCTGTCTGAATACATTCAAATTAGCTTTTTCAAACAACAATTCACCATCAATCGAGTCTGCTAGAGCTGCAAGGTATTTCCCCCAATATGAATGACATCTGTCTTCAAGGGACTTCTCATCCAGAGCAAATGCAAAGAAATTTTCATTCCAATTTAGACAATGCAATACGCGCCTAAGTGAAGTATAATAAAAATGGGACAAATCATTTTGCTGATTTTCAGAAAGAAGAGGGTAAATCGGATAAATCCAGGTAAAAATAGGTAATACATGAGACAGAAAGAGAGTTTTATGAAGATATGAAGAAGAACAACCAAAGATTATAAAGGATTTAATTAACGAAATTCTTTGTCTAATTTTAGTCATCATATATTTTAAGAATTTACCCCAACCTAATTTTGGTGAAATTATATAACCAAGGTACTTATATTCTGAGGTCCATTCAATTATATCCATTGTATCTTGACGAAAATTAATGACAAATTTAGGATGACCAATGGCACGCGCACTAAACATAGCTTCAGTTTTATTGAAATTTATGGGATGATCAGATAAACAAGAATAGTAATCAAGATTATCAAGAAAAACTTTGATTCTTTTTTCCAAATCAAGACATTGAGAAGAAGAATTTATTCCTAATTGACCGGCCATAATTCCGGCTAAATCATCAGCAAAGAAGTGATTTATACAACCAGATAGAGAACTACACATATCACAATTATATGTGATGAATAATGTTGGAGTAAGAACACTTCCTTCCCAGGTCGTGGACGTACGGCGGGAAACGGCCGGAAAGCATGGGAAAGCACTGGAAACTGGAAGCAGTATTCCAGTTGGAAGTTACCGGATTTTCTTCCTGTAGATTCCGATCAACTTCCAGATGTAAAACACAGAAAACTGACCGGAAAACACAGGAAACTGACCGGAATCCACAGGAAAAAAATCCGGTAACTTCCAACTGGAATACTGCTTCCAGTTTCCAGTGCTTTCCCATGCTTTCCGGCCAGATACGGTGATTTTTCCGCATCTTTCCGGCCGGTTCCTACAGTATCCGTCCTCCGGAATCATTGACCTGGGTTATGGACCACCTTTTTCAATAGAGAACCGGCGAGATTTGCTGCCATTGATTTCTAAAAAGCAACATCTGTTATTTAGCCATACTTCGATCCAATTTAGAAAAGATGAAGGAATACCTAAGTTACGTAGCTTTCCAATGCAACCTAGAAACCACAGTTGATCAAATGCAGCGCGAAAATCTACAAACATCGTACAAACTGGAGCACTATTTGACATAAGACTATATATATCTTCAAGAAAAAGAAGTAAACGTGTTTGTAAACGAAAACGTTCTCTAAAACCTGATTGACTGTCCGGTAAAAGACCTCTTCTATATAAAAGATCACGAAATCGAGTGAGAAATAGTTTCTCACCTATTTTCTGAAATGAATCAAGAAGTGAAATAGGACGAGTTAAAGACGGTAGACAAATGGAATACTTTTTTGCTAATAAGATCATTCGAGTATCTTTCCAAGCAGAAGGTAAAACTGACTTTTGAAAAGAATGATTGTAAAGTTTTAACAATAAAGACCAATAATTAACATCAAGAAAATTAAATATATAATTCGAAATACCATGAGCATCTAGAGATTTTTTTCTTTTTAGCTAGAACTGTATTTATAAGTTCATCAAGTTTTACTTCAGGAATAACTTCGTTAATATTATCACATTCAATTGCAGGTGAATCAGTATATGGATGAGGTCTAACAATATTTGATGCTTTAAAAAATTCTTCATAATAATCAGCTGCTATATTGCACATAAGATCACTTTCTTTGACTATTTGACCTGATGAATCCAGAAACGCATGCAGAGAGGAAGGTGATGGTTTGAGGAAAAGTTTACTTCTATACCAAAATGAGTTAGATGACGAGGAGGAAGAATTACGATGACAAAGAAGATTATCAAGTTGAGAAGAAAAAAAAAGATTAAGTTCTTTTTAGCAATCCTTTTTAGGAAACATATCTCCTTTTTTAGTATGTTACATTGCGTTCTTATTTGTCTAAAATACAAAGCTCTAATATAGGATAAGAACGATCTTAGCTCAACAGGTAATGCTGAACGATGGGTGTCTAAGTAAAAAAAGGTTGAACAACGAGCAGACAAAAGATGTAAAAAACGGATGTAATCATTATATGTTATGTCAATAGAAGAGAGATTTCAATTCTCTTCCCAAAAGGAGAATGTGTATTCGGAAAAAAGTGTAAAAACCTTCCAATGAGTATTTTTTCCTAGTTTTTGTTGTAAAACTTTCAAAGGAATAACTGAAAGTATTGGAAGATGGTCACTAGTTGTATTACCATTATATACTTGAATATCAATATTAAAACCTCGAATAAATGCATCATCGATTACTCTATTGGATCGTAGTGAAGTTGAAGAGTTCGGTAGAGCTTGAGCTAGAAATTGATCGTCCGCCCATTGAAACAATATTTCAGCTTTTTTTCCATCCTGCATGGTATTAACATTAGAATCGCCATAAATAATACATTTCTTTGATAAGAAATGGGAGAGATCATCCCATAACCATGTTTTACTATCCGGCGCATATACGCCTATTAATCTAAAAACATCTTCACCTTTAACATCAACTACACAAACATTAGGTAACTTACAGGGAACTCTAATTATCGAAATACCTTCTTTCATAAGCATTAAGACACTACCATTTCTGTTTTCACCTTTCTGATACAGCAATCTATAGTGACAGAATTTTTTTTGATAAAATCAAATGTCTACATCACCGGTTTCAAGAAGAATAAGAGTATCAAATTTAAATGAAGAAATAAGAACAAGAACTAATTGTGAACATATTCAATTGCAACTTAATCTTATTGGATTTGAAAATGAACATTATTTATCAAATTTATATGCCCAAGTCGATCAAAACGGACCACCGTAAACCGGCGTAACATTACCGTAAACTGTCGTTTTTGCATCGTATTCCGCCGTAAAACGGGCAGTATTTGTATCGTATACGACCGTTTACTGATCGTTTTATTCAGCCGGGGTGGTCCAGACAAATTGTTTTACCTCTATCTACAATATTTATTTATAAAACAAAAAATAATCAAACTTCAATTAGTATTGTACGTTCATTTGTTCAGAGCTAATTGATATAATTCTAATTTGTATTCACACAAGCACATAAATATATAAACACATCACAATGTGCGTGTATATTCCAACAATAATCATGACAGATAGCCATCATATAAACACATAGACTTACTTATGATTAAGATGGACAACTGAAGAAGAAGGAGAAACAGATCAATGAAAAGAAATACCGCTATGATAATATTGAAGAAGAAGAAAATCAATTTTTATTTAGTGAAGATGAAATTACAATACACATGCTGTTCTTTTATTAGAAAACAAAAACACGACAACACTTTTTAAATATTCTCATTGTCTTTTTTTTTACAAACCAGAAAAAGAATAATCTGACCAAAGGCTCACAACAAGAAAGCTCTCTTTTGTCTGAGTCAAACTAAAAAAAAAGGAAAATCGCCACAAACGAATTTCATGAAAGTATAAGATAATAAATTGACTTTATGAAATGTTTTATTTCATTCATGCATAATCAGCAGTTGTACGAGAAGATGGCGAATGAATATCACGTTGCGTATACATTGGATAAAATGTTTGTCGAGCATATGGACTCATTCGTGTTGTATGATGATTGTTGGATGATGATGTAGGTTCACTAACTGATCGATAATTTAAATCAGATAATTGAGAATAAACAAATGCATCAGCAGCATAGCTAGCTAAATCAGGATTAACCAATGAATAAGTTGATGGTGAAATAAAATTAACTGTTGGATCTAGGAGCCATTGATACACAGAAAAAGAAAACAGGATAGTGTTTTAATTCAATCTATTTTTACCTTGAGGGTCGGATATAAAACGAGAGGTTATTGTAGCTGCGGTATTAAATATATTCGATGATGTTTGAGAAGTGATGTTTGTTGTTGGAGGATTTGATGTTGACAAATTAGTGTGTGTTGTTATTGTCGAATTATTATTATTCGATTTTGGATGTGAACGAAGTAAACGTTGATTTGAATTTAAATGGTTTAAGACTTCTGCAACACTAAAAAAAATAATAAAATATTTTACTCTTAGCTCGAAGAAACAAATTTAAAAAAATTATACCAATCTTCAGGATCACAATCTCGAAAACCTTTTGCAAATGGATTCGAAGCAATTTTCAATTGTGTTATACGATGATTTTGATAGGCAGTAACTCCAATAAATTTTGTTTCAGGAAATGTAAATGTACGAAATGCTTGCGTTTGTAGAACAAGTAATTCATCAGCTTTTGACGATGGAGAATAAACACAATGAACTCGTGGTTGATATCGATGCATTGAATTAAGAATAATCTTTAGGCAATTAAAAAATAAACCCAACTATTTAGAAAACGAAACTTATGTTCAAAAACAAAAGCAGCTTACATGTCCATTTTCATCAAGTAAATTATTTGTTAATTTAAGTTTATCAAATGATACAACATTTTTCATCCACGATGCACCTGTTTGTGGTGAATCAGGATGCACATGGAAACGACCTGGACAATGTGGATCAGCTTTACCAGCAACTACCCAACTTGAACTATAAATAAACCAATCAAAAATCAGTTTATTGAATTCTGTTTTTTTATGAAATAAAATGCTTTTTTGTAACCTATAAAATGCATATCGATAACGTTTATCATCTAATGGAATAAAATCAACCATTAGTAAATATGTTGCAGTTGGATCCATGCCATAAATTTTCACTTGTAAAGTTGGAAACATTCGCCTAAAATAATATACGTCGTTAAGACTTGTTATCTTGGACGTGATTGATAATCTGCTGTCATAAGGATATGTGCATTCCTCAGAGCTATCAGTAGCACATGTTTGCAAGAGCGACGTGCTTTTCTCTAGAATGGTGTGATGATCTCAAGAGACACCGCTCGAGTGAGCCATTAGCATGAATCTTATCTCTTGTTGTCTCGAATGATATTCAATATGACTTCTTTTCCTTTTCGTTACATTTGACTTATATACAAACAATAATCATTGTGTACGACGAATTAGGAGTCTAATTGCACTTATGAAACTCGTTTCCACTATGTACGAATATACATATTCATATTAATGACTTTTTCATCAGGCACTCAAAATAAAAATAAACACAATTATTTGACATGTTTCATGGTTTCTCGAACAAATTAACTCATGAGATTATCACTCGTCTACTACTTTGCATAGAGATGAATAATAATAATAATAATAATAATAATTATTATTATTATTATTATTATTATTATTATTGACCTTGTTACTTTTTTTAATATTTACCTTCCTGATCGTGTAACAATCATTTCTGTTCCAAGTTTATCAAATTCATCCCATAATGACTTTGATTCAATAGCCATTTTAATATTAGACAATTTTGGATGAAGTGGTTTTTTCATTTCATTATTTCCATTTTGACCTCCACCATGTTCATTGTCAGATTTATTTATATCAAGCATATTACTCGATGTTGATTTTATTTTTTCTGTTGCTGATTGAATATAATCTAAAAAGAAAGTAAATACATTTGTTCATATAAGAGTTATAGATAAAGTTTTTGTCATTTTTTTTTGTTTCCGTTACTAAACTTACCTTCCATATTACGAATTGTGGTTAGACTTTTTTGAAGATTTGTAACTTGTTTATGGTTTGTTGATCGATTTTCTTTTATTGTACCTTGCTGTTGATATTGTCCGTTATTCTCTTCAGTTAATGTTGCCGTACGATAATGATGAAGATCTTGATTTATATGATTATTATAATAATCGTTAGTAATCTTTTCAATAGAGAGATTAGGAGTACAATCAATATGATGATTGTTAGTTGTTTCTATTGAACTCGTCATAGAATGATACAAACTATTTTCATCATCGCAACAATCTGATGTAATCAGTGAAGCGATACTAAAATTACTAGCACGCGGTGTCAACGGATTGTTGTCCATAGAAGAAGAAAAAAAAGGATAGACAAGAAAATTATTGTTGAGTGAATATGGTGTGAAGAGCTTGAGCAAACGCAAAACAAGATGAGAGAGAGAGAGAGAGAGAGAGAGAAAGAGAGAGAGATGGAAAGAGAGATGATAAAGTGATAGCAATTGTTCGATTCTCTTGTACACATAGAATCAGAAAAAAGGCGATTGGCACGCAATGCGAACCAGTCGATTTTCTCTTTTTTTCTCTCATTCGCTCGTTCGTCCCACTATCATCAACAACGACGACTCATCATCGTCATCTGACAGATTGTTTATCTCCTCTTTGCTTGCTTATGGAAATACGCACACTGTTATACATACGATGACTTGACAATCGGTATCATTCGTTTCCTTACTTGCAAACTAGCATCAACATCAGTCGTTTGGCATTTTTCTTTTTTCTTATTTTCTTTTCTGCCAATGAGATAGCACTATCATATCAAAATGTAATTACACTGTTTTGTTTGTCGAGAAAGTTAACTTAGATGAAACAAAGAGGCAACGAAATGAATTAAGTAATTATGAAAACAAACAAAAAAACAAAGAAAGTAAAAGTAAAAGTAAAATAAAATCACAAGATTTAGTTGAAATTTCAATATTTTCGTTAATTTTACACAAATAAATGAAAGGATTTGCTTTTCTTCGGCACTATTACATACTTGATTATTGTATACGTCTATTCGCCCACTGCATAAATAGTAGAAGTGATAAAGAATCAGGGGTTGGCTCTTTCTTTTTACTCCATATCTAAGTTTGAGGGTGTGTTGACATTTTACTAGTTGATGAGTTGATGAAGACATACGAGCTCGACCAATCAACCAAGTCAAACGTAAGACTGATAACACATAAAACAATAAGGAAACGAATTGGAAAGTAGAAGAAGAAGACGAAGCAGAAAAAGATTTTCTCTTTTCTTGTGAACAATTTTCTATAGCTATTACTCAACATTACTCTACAATGTATATATCAGTTTGCATGATGTAAATGACACAGTTGTATATAGAACTGTAAAATTCAATTAGACGATGATATTATATCATATTTACTTCCGGGATGCTAATGATACCTGCAATAGTAGATAGGATAAACACATAGACAATATAGGGAAACTATACAAATCAAGACAAATGAGAATTTGATGAAGAAACAAAAATAAAACCGAGTTGCAATAGAAATAAACGAGATAAGAAGAGCGTATAGTGTGATACGAAAAGACACAAAAGGAATATTTCTTCGTTTGCCAATGAAAAGGGAAACTGACTTACGCTTATCTTTATGTCGGCATCAGACTCCTGTCACGCTACACATACACACGCATAGATATAGACATATCTGTGCTTTGTCTGTTTTTGTGATGGTTGTTGATACAATGGTGTGGCCAAATGAGGAAGGGAGAGAAAAGAGGGAAGACATGTTGATAGAAAAAAATGACAAAAATTGACGCACTATATTTGTATTATATCATTGAAGAGTTTAGGATAGTGTAAACTATAAGCATAGATAAGATCGGAAAATCTCAGCTATTAATAAATAGTTTCGCATTTTATGTTTTTGCTGTTTGAGAAACGTTGAGCATTGTTCATATCTTTCGGGTATATATAGTATATCTATGTACATGTGAATATAATTATATTTAAAAGATGAAAAAAGGGTTTTATTTTTCAATAAAATCGAAATTAAATCAGACCTAGAATATATCGAAGGAAAAAAAGATAACGAATTAGAAATAAGTCAGTTGATGTTCATGATGTAGCAAAGATTATCAAAATGTTTTGAATATAGAATATGATATGTACAGTTGCGAAGAGAAAAAATTTCTCAATACAATCACGAATAAATTATCAAAATGTATTACGTTTCTAGAATTCTAAAAAGCCGTGACTTTGTTCCATAGAAATTGAGTACAGTTGAATTAAATCTAATAAAATTCTCCATAGAAATTAAATTTAAGAATCTCTACTCACAATGGAGGTGTTTCAGGTGATAAGCAAAAACGTTGAAGTTTTTTATGTCAAATGAAAGCTCTCATCATGAAACTAACATGGTTAAAATATTAGCGGCTGTTGGTGTACCCTTATGGGGATATTCGATTTTTCAGTGAATTTTCTCTACAGGACCGGCTTTNCAAAGTTTCTGGTTCAAATTCGAGAATATGATATTGCTTGGAAAGCCGGCCCTGTAGAGAAAATTCACTGAAAAATCGAATATCTCCATAAGGGTACGCCAACAGTCGCTAATATTTTAACCATGTTAGTTTCATGATGAGAGCTTTCATTTGACATAAAAAACTTCAACGTTTTTGCTAATCACCTGAAACATCTCCATTGTCAGCAATGATTATAATTATTAACACGAGAAAAATAAAGCATTTTGCTCAAATTGAATATGTTGCTATTTTTTGTTCGTTTCAAATTTTTGAAACAATGTATTGATTAGAAAATTTAACTTTCTAAAACATCTACCACTTGAAATCTCTAAAGATTAATTCTCTTCGAAACAATATTCCAAATAAACACTGATATAAATTTCAACACTTCTACATGTCTTGTTTTTTTTTGTCTACTTCGTAAATGCTATAAGTTACTAATTCAACTGAGGTCACTCTATCTGTAATCATACCGAAAATATTGCGTTCTATCCATTCATCCGTCTTTCTTAACACTTACATTTATACTAGTTTTATTTTTTTAAAACACGATTTGTATTATTGAGACTATGCAAACGAAGTTTTTAGCTTCAAATGAAAGAAAGCAGCATTGCTTTCTTGATAGATCTGTAAAACTACGATATCGAATGCTCATCTGAGTTTTACTGACCTATTGTCAGAAGGGTGAATATGTTCAATGATGCGATGTAAAAATGGTTACTATGAATCTATTACAGTTGTTCATTTCGAAAAATATATGACTAACTGGTGATCCGTAAAGAATGGCACATTTTTATTTTCTTCTTTTGAAGAAGGGCAACACATCTCAACTGTTCTGTTCTAAGCTCATCCGATATAGGATTTTTCACTCTACAAAACTGACTAATTTATTTTTCAAATAAGTTTTCCTTGTCCGTGCGAAATTGAAAAGTTTAACGCATACTCAACTGTCTAACTGCGACGGTCAAAAACGAAAACGATGATTAAAAATGATTAATAACAGTTCCACTGAAATTTCAAATATGCTACAAGATTCCTGATCAAATTTCGCATTGTTCAATGCATGTTTTATAATTTTATAATAAATATTTGAAAGAAAAATTTTCAAGCAAAAAATGTGAAAACCCCGGAAAAGTCTCTTCTCTGATAGGCTTATGCCATTGTTCTTTTTTTCTCTGGAACAGCGTAAATGATTTCGTTGCTCATTTTAACAGTTACATCACTTTGTTCAGAATTAAATTCTACATCCAATGGCATAATAATAAATATTTCATAGATCAAATCTGGTTTTTCAAAACATGACTTTCCAAAGTGCATCCAAAAATGCTGCCAGGCTTAGTTCCGAACCCTTTTCTCCTGAACACAGCACCCGGAGCTTGAGGGTGTGAGTGTACGTAAATGAAATATTATTAAAAGAAAATATAGCAACATAATGAAGTTTCAAGATTTATCGGTAATGAATATTGAATGATGATTATAATGAGATTTACATTGCTGACTATGATTATATTCGACAAACAACTTGATTCACACTTGTAGTAGCATTTTTGACAATTATTACTTTTACATTCAATTTTGAGAATCAATAAAAATAAGATCTCGCATTATTGATAAAATGTATTTTGTTTTATTTGACATCAATGGCTTTATCGTCAATACAATTAAAATGTGTTCTTTTTAGGTATTTGATATACGTATAAATCATGCTGTATGTTTTAATATTACTTATTAGTTGTTCTTCTATTTGAATCATGATTTTCTACTTCGATTATTTTTGAATGATTTATTTAGAATAAATTAAGTCAATTCTATTTTAGTTTTCTACTACTATCGTTTTTCAACATGCCTATTATATTCAACTACCCACATTATAAATATCGCGTGGGGAAAATTTTTATATTGATTCTATTTTTGGATAAAATATTGCTATAATGAAACACTATAGCAACTTGAACGTCATACCTCTCGTTAAAAGCGAATTGCCGATTGCAAAAATAAATCGATGAGTGTGAAGATTTAAGAAATTCTACAGCAACTTCTCTTATATTTGAATATATTACAGAAAGTTCTGTTCTATTCTGAATAATAATAATAATAATAATAATAATAATAGCCATAACGTAATTTGATTAGATTTCTTTTTCGAATAAAATGTTGATTTTCTAACAACTTCTTTTCTAATAAAGAATTTACTATGATTATCGGAATCAGCATTGGCGAAAAATCACTGATATGAACTAATATTTTAGTAGGCTCATAGAACAAGCTGTAGTAAGATATGTCGAATCATTCTTTTTCTTTCTATGCTCAATGTACCCAAATTATAAATTGTGAAACTTAGAAAAAAAGAAAGAAAACTTTTTGTCATGACATACATTTTGTCTGAAATTAAAATCATTGTTTAGCACTGTCTGAATATATGATACTTTTCGGTTTTCAAGACTTTCAGAAAATATTTTCAACTAAATTCCATGTCATATATTTTTACACTGAACATATTGGATTTTATAGGTAGAAAAGAATCAAATATTGAGAATCTTACAGTGTAACAAAATATTAAAAAATAACATTAATGCAAAACTTTGATTTCATGCATTGATTTAGAGTAAACTATGTTTGGAATGTTATTATGTGCAAAAAATCTTCTTAATTTACAAAAAAAGCATATCATTCAAATCTGCGCATATCAAATTCTATGATACACAACGAATTATTTATTTGGCATATTACTAACAGATGCATTTAATACTCTAACATTAATTTCTTTTTTTTTTTTATAAAACTCAACATATTCTTCACCTTGAGTATGTCTCCAAAAGTTTTGTCATCGAAATAATTATGAATAAATTACATATATGTCATTTAAATGTATAAATTCTCTTGTTTTGCATATTAACGCGGCAACAAAATTGTTCTCTAATTCATATGAATTGATAATAAAGAAGAAAAAGAGTAACATGTATCAGAGAAAGAGAACGAAAAACACAGACGAACGATGTAAGATTTTAACTAAAACAAAGCCAGTTAAATCTCATTAACATGTATCACAATGCGTCACGTGCTTTGAGAAGTTTAGTAAAATAACTGATGTATTAGTGACACACATTACATAGTATATATATATATATATATATATATACGACAATTAAAAAAAAGAAGAATCAATGGCAGTTATACAAGACGAGCAGATATTTAAATATTTTAATTAAATAATGAAAAAGATAGAGTATTACCGAATAAAACAAACTAAAGAATAAGTATTGTTTTGAATTTTGGTATTTATTTTTATACGTCTAGATTTGACAAGAAAAATATTTTGAACAGAGTCAATTAACCTGAAGAATTTCGTTCGGCACCCAAATAATTTCCAACACCAAATGCGACACATGTTAGTGCCGTCCAGAGAAAGAAATGTGCAGCAACACATAAGTTATACGAATAACCCATTGATGTATGTTGAGTTGCCGTTGCTGTTCCATACGGAAAAGAGTACGAGTCAAAATCACGTGAATAAGCTCCCCACGTTGCATACGCTGACATAACAAACATAGACGAAAAATACATCAAACCCAAAGAAATTAATAAAAGTAATGTATTTCCTGTAAATGCGGCAGCAATTGTCGCAAAAATAGAGAATACAAGCAATAAAAGACCAAACACGGACAAACCACCTTGAGTAACACGATTTTCGTTATGACATCCATTACCAAGATTTGTAGCATTAGGCAAATTAGCTGAAACACATTTTCGGAAAAGACCAATAGTACTGCCTTGTCCATCGTCAAGCCATGCAGGTGTAGCTACACTAATAATAAGCAGTAATAATGCAAAAGCGCCAATACCAGCTCCGGCAAACAACATAAGTTTGTGAAATTCTGGCATTGCAGTAGTTTGATGAAAATTACTTTTACGTGAGATTTATGATGAGAATTGTCAAGATCTAGAAGGAAAAATAGTAAATAGAAAAGAATCATGATAAATCGTAGTAGATTTTATGCTTTTGCGTTATTATTCAAGTTGTTTGGGTTGAGATAATATTTCAAAACGAATAACAGCAGTAAAACGACATGAGAGAAAACAGAAAAGGGCAAGATTCCGTCGATGCCAGCCTTATGTATAAAAAAGCTTTATAGTTAATAATATGACTAATAATGCCAACGGCGAATCTGGTTTTTTTTTGCCTTCTTCATTCTCATCTATTTTATCGCTGGCATCAACTGTGGACTCTTTTTTTTTCATTCTTCTGTAAAAATGTCGTTGAGAGTATATACCGATAGTAGTCATTAATAATCATAAGCTTCACGAAGGACTGTCAGAAAGACATGCGTTCATGTATAAATGTTGTAATTCTCTTCCTTGATTTTACTCTTTTCTCTTTCAGTGTTGCCATTCGCTATTACGTTCAAAGTTCGCAGAGAACAAAAGTATAACAAAAATCCTAACTATAAGAGAACGAAGAAAGCATGCAACAAGAAAAAGAAAGGATTATAGCAGATACTTATGGTATCAAACATCTCCTCTCTCTACACAATAGTTCATGAGAAGATATTTCTTTAAAATACTGGCGCGTCGTCAAAGACAAAGAGAGAAGAAAATGTGAATTTGAGTAACACACGCACTGCTGTGACTCGTTGTTTAAGCGTGATAATGAATGCCACATATTTACAGTTATCGTCAGAAACGGAAGAAACCTACACACACATCCATAAAAATAAAGGTGAAAAAAGAGAACAATGCAGAAGAAAAGGGATAACATGAGAAATCAAAAAATTTGTAAAATCAAATTTCATAGATAATTCAATTAGAAAATATTGTCTAACGTAAGTATAAATAAGTCTTATATGAGTTTTTTTTGAATGTGAAGAATAAAAAGAAGTAAAATACTGTACGTTGTGAAAGAATAAAACAGGCCTAATCAGACATACGCCAGCCGGAGTATGTTGTTGTATGTCCTTGATTTCGGATGTGACATACTCTAATGTATATTGATCAGTATAGTGTTATTTTCTAATCGATACATACCATTGCTTGAAAGAAAAACTCGCTTGTCTACTAGAAGTTTACATAACAACTAAAAATTATATCCACAAAAAAAGCTGCATAGATCTCAAATTAAAAATAAAAATTTAACTTATTACATATGCGCGGTTCATTTGACTGGAACGCTTTTTCTCAGTATTTCATGTAGAAGGAAAATTAGCTAGTGAAAAAAGAAACATAAAGAAAAGAAAAATTTAATTACAACACGCGTTATTTCTTAGGGAATTATATGTATCAAAACACCTATCGCCTATTATTCTTTCGTAAGTAAGAGGAAAAGCGCAGACAATTATCGTCTTATGATACGTATCGAAAAATCAAATAAATATTGAGGATTATAATTTCAAAGTTGGCTAGATCAGTAATCAGCATGAAGAATTATATGTACAGACTAGGAAAAATGTCTGTCAACAGAAATGAAACACTTGAAAGAAACATGTGCTTCATCTAGTTTTTTCTTTCATAGAGTTACTGTAAAAACTTTCCTGATTACTGCAATTTACTTTTCTGGAGTATTTTCTTTTTCTTCTTTTTCTGAATGTTCCAACTAGTTGCCTGCTGTCGTATACCAAACGTTTTCTTTTTAAATTAAAGCTAGAAAAAGAACACAAGAACGAAAGAAGAAAAAGTAAATGAAGAATTGACGATTTCATTACACAGCCCTACACAATGTATCGGACAAATAAAGAAAGTTTGAATCGATTTTCGATCTCTTATCAAACTTGAAGAAAAAAAAAGGACTTTTGTTATCGCAAGATTAAGCAAATATTCGAAGAATAATCGATTTAACTTCATCAGATTATTGGTATATCCGAACAAAAGAAAAAAAACTGTCTATTCTTAAAAGAAAGCATCAACTGTAAAACACAACTATAAGTACTCTTTCAGTGTACATGCGAAAAATTTGAAGCAATTAAGCATATAAAAAGAAATCATCAGATGAGAAACCTCTTTTTTCTTTAAAGTTTAAGTGTCTGATTATTACAGCTCGATGCAAATGACAAGCTGGAGTAAAATAGGAACACTTGCATAAATGAATGTTTTATATGATGAAAAAAATAGAATGTTCACTAAACTTAAAAAGAAGATGAAAAAAAGAAAACATTTAATTTGCTGTTATCAACTGTAGCTGTTGAGTTTCTATTAGAAGCAATGTCTATAATGAGAAAAAAAACTCTTGTCTTCTATAATAAACAACATTACATGTTTATTTTATTCAATATACGAGGAAACTGAAAGTAAATAAGAAAAACACTTCATTTGAGTTGAATAGATCGAACTTGATCATATTCTTTTTATCAAATAGTAATATTCTCTTGTCGTATTATTCTAATCCATTCGTCAATGAAGTTGAAAGAATGTGTCCTTCGCTGTAATATTTTTTTCGTGCAAGCGTCGAAAGAACACTATTAAAACGACCAAGTAAAATATCATGTATTCATAAATTTGAACACTTTTCAGTGGAACAATGTCAAACAAAACTCTGTTATTGGTTGATATCAGTGTTGCATTTATAAATAGGATTCTATATTTGACAAAGAAGGAACATATTTTCATTTAATCCTATTTATGTGTATCTAACAGATATTATACAGTTACCATTTTGAAAGTAAGATATTCCTTTTTGAACAATTAATTTCCTTTTCAAATTTCAGTCATAGACTACCAGTAATTGTTCTTTTTCTTCTCTCATTGTCTTTGTTGCTTCTATATACTATGCCTATAGTAATTTGCGTCAATCGATTAAATCCAGATAAGAATATTTCAATATACTTTAACCACATGTGATTTACAGTTAGAAACATGATCAGCAACATTTTTTAAAACTTACGAATGTGTTGACATCGTTTTCAACATTATATCAACAAAACACTTAGTTTCTTTTCGTTAGATTCATGTGAGTCTAAAGTTAAATTATCAAATGAACTGGACTATAGATATCAAATAGAAAGCTAATATAGTGTACGGTAACATGTCATTGCTTGCGTTCACTGATTGTTTTGTTACAGTAGAGTTTGTGATATGTTTAAAAAAGATGTCAGTAACAATACCCTCACTTTTTTAAAGCTATAATCTTGATGAAAGTTTTCGATTAGGTGTACCTTTAGTTCGACAGATTATAATAAAAAACTTTAGGTCTATATAAAGTCTATGGAGCATTACATCGCAATCTTGAATGAAAAGGCGCGTGCCCGTGCTTCCTGAGCTTATTCTGTCTACTTCAAATCTTAAAAAACGTCAAATTGGATTTAAGATAGAATCAAGATATAGTTTTGCACGTTAATAGTACATAGGTTCTTCATTGTCCCTTTGTTGATTAATCTCACAAAAGTTTCTTTGATAAAAGTCTGAAAAGTGAGGATAATCATGTAAACAAAGAATAGTTTGTTTTAAATATCAACAGTAAGAGTAAAAACTAAAATGACTAAATTTTATTATGGAGTAGAGCTAATTTTTGTTTTCATTTCGACACGAACTGTAGCTTTTTATGCAAGGAATAAACACATTTAACATAGATGTCAATCTTTAATTAACGAATATCTTCAATCTATTTTATGGTTTTTCATATTGAATTGTTGTATTTATTTATCATATCGATGACTACTAAAAAGTCCAGAAGGGCAAAACATGCTTTAAAAAAATAAAGTTTCAGAAGAAAAATGTTATTCGTCTCAGCATAAGCATTTCAAAAAAAAACAATGCGGCATAACTGCAATTTCATTCCTAAATCCATTGAGCAGATTTTTTCCTGCTTTTTAGCTAGCCATAAATCACAAAATCAATAAATTTGACCAACATTGACATTTACTGACAGTTGGTCTTCAAAGTACCCTACTTTATTACATCAGTCGTAATGTGTTTAAAAGAGCAATTGTCTATCTGAAAAATGGCTAAAAATAATTAAAAAAAATTCCCACTTATCAAGACCAATCTATAGTATCGTTCAATAAGAAATTATAGAAAACTCGAGGAAAAATATGTTTCGTCGATTCATTCTCTATTGGCACATTAGCTGTTCAATTATTTGAATCTATTGATCATATTATTCTTATGAAGCTTTTCGAAGTATGAATTAAGTCAATTTCTTCTTTTACGAATAACTAAATGAAATAACTAAGAATATTGATTTATCGAAATCTTTTGAAGATGTAGCGTTCGCGAACATATTCAATATTAATGTTACTCTTGGTTATATACATCGAATCGATCAAAAAGAACTTCAATAGAATAATATTAAATTATAGACGTGTAAATACGATACTTGCTAGACTTCACTATTTTTTTACGATAGTTATTGGCTTTGGCTTTTCTGCGACACAGCTTTTATTATATTTTACATGTCTTCACTCATCACAAGTGGTGAAAATAATCGATGATTAAAATCAAATTATTTTCGTCTCATGAAAACATTGAAAATTCTTCTGCGAAAAATATGTACCTGTAAAATTTCACAAATATTTCATTTAATGATTTGTATTAAATAGATAAAACTACGATGTCTATCAGACAACAGTAGCTACGTTATTCTCTTTTTATACAGAAAAATAAAATCATTCAAATCAAAATGGCAATGTCAATGAACAAAATAGTCGCTGGTATAGGTGCTAAAGTTATTTTTTTAAATAAAATTCTGTACAATGTAACTTTGAAAGTCATTGTCAGGATAAACGATACATCAATTTGAAGGAATATATAATCTTTCTTTATTTTATCTACAATCTAAGAATTCAATGAATAATCGGTTGCAGAAGATCATGATTATTTTTTTGTGAATAATAAGATTCATTATTTATATAATTCTGACACGGACTTCTAGGTGTTTTTGGAAAATTAGGTGGAACAGAATGTTCAGATAAGTTATATATTTGATTGTTTGTATTCGACAATGAATTGGAAATAATTTCAGTAAGTTTCTGTGATTGACAATATTCATTAATAACTTTTGTGCCGCCAGAATAATCTGTTCGAATTAATTTTTCGTTGAATTTGTTATCCTTAATCGATGGCAAAGTAACATCAGCTCGTTTTACAGTTGGATGTATTGAGGGTGGCTGCTTTTTATTATTAAGAGAGCCAGAGATTTTTTTCGATTGAATATTATGCGATGGACTTATCGATTGTACTCGTTGTTTTAAACTAGGATCGAAAGCAGGCAACGATGGTCGTCTATTGTTACTATTGTTATTATTATTATTATTATTATTAATATTTTTATTCTTTTTTGTCGCTGTTGTTCGATTAAGAATGTGTGGTAAACCAAGTGGTGGCATACCAGACTCGACTGATTCCGTGAGAATTTCAGGTGATTTATTTCGACCGAGTATTGTGTTTGTGTGCGTTGATGATTCAACGTCAGATTTATTTAGTGATAATGGTGGCGGCGATGGTCGTGTAGGCCGATGTGTTTCTGGTAGATTGGATGTTAAAGCACCTTGCTTGTCTAAGTATTCAACGTAAGCTCCGTATAATGGTCCTCCGTCTCGCCATGGATCAATGATTCGTTTGTTGGTTTTTGTTGTACCAATAAGAGATTTACCATTATTGAATAATGATGGATCTTCTTGTACTGTTTCTAGTTTTAATGCAAAGCGAACACGTTTTTTTGATTGACGTTTTTCTGTTAGGGATGTTGACAAATTATTAGGTAAAACAGATTGAATTGTTTGAAAAACTGATTGTATTGGCGAACTACTGTCCACTGGACTAAGACCTGGCAATGGACTAGCACCTATAACATAAATGTTACTGTAAATTAATTTTTTGATTAAAAACAAAAAACTGAAATATTCTTACCAGACAACGGATTTTTCATTGTAGTCCTTATTGGTTTTTGAATTGGCTAAGAAATCGTTATTTCTTTGCTCCAAACAATCGATCAAACTTCAATAAATGAAAGATAAACTCTCTGTATGACTGTTAGTAGGCTTAATAAAACTTACAATTAATAAAACGTTTCTTTAGCAAATAAAAAAAACTTCGAGCAAAAACATGTGTTTAATCGCTTTAATACGTTATCTAAGTCATTAATTTATTCATCAGAGTGTGTATTTAAATACATTTTGCATATTTGCTTTGTTGATATGCTATTCACAGCTTTTGTGTGCATTTTTGTCCGTTTCTGAATTCTCGACAAGATTCTTTTTCTTCTTTGTAAAGTAGTTAAAAGCATTTTTTGTTTTGTTATCCATTGTCAATGATTGTGTTACTTTTTAGTTTCATCGTTGACACATAATGAATGATCATCATGTTTTAATTTAAACCTATTTTAAGAAAAGAAATAGGAACAAACCCAGTTATTAAATAATTTTTCATTAGTTTAGTTTAATAAATTGTCATTGGATAGCCTGAGCTCGTAATTTGTATTTTATATTATCATAAAATGAAATAAATCGAAATTAGGACTAAAACCAAAATAGGCGTATGTGACTGTATATTTATGGGACATACAGTGGGTGTGCAGTGAATAATATCAGAATCAATAAGTTTTTATCCGCTAATGGCATTAGTTTTGTTATCTATTTAGTATTATGATTTTTTCGGTCACGATAACATTATGTTTCTTCATTTTGTATTTTTAGTATCTCCGATGAATAGAGACGGATAAAACTATAAAATTCACAAAATATCAAAATTACTGAACGTGAAGATTGAATTTATATCTTGTACAAATAACTGACAATTTAACACAACTAATAAACTGCACACGAGACACTTTATGCAGGTCAGTTGTTACTCAGATGTTTCGTTTTGTCTAAGAGAAAAACAAATTTTAAAAATGCAAAACAATGTCTTACAAAACCGAGAAATTCTCTCTGATAAAATTCGTTCTTAGCAAATGGTCATATTTTCTTCTACATTTATTTCTTCAAATAGTTGACTCTAGTTCTTCAGACAAAACAATAAGTAATAATTTGTGAAGCCAAATCTTGAAAAAAAGAACACTTTTTAATCTTCTTTCGAATGAATTAAAATTTCTATTATTTAAAGAGAATCAAGCAAAATGTTTTGCATGTTTTTGTAAACACTGAGTATTACATAAAAGTTATAAGTGAAGTGTATAAATGAAATGACTAGTATAAATTTAGTGTTGGTACACGATCGGACTTCATTAAAACATTAGGGAAGTTTCAGACAGCACTATTCAACTTTCACCTTCAATTTTGGTAATGAATTTAACTAGGAGCTATGATCTATCAGCATTAGAACTAGACAGGGAACTTGTAGATTAGCTTGGCTCTTGTAAACATATCTCGAAAAAGAATACTAAAAGAGAAAGCCCGAGATCTTTATACTTTGACACAAAGTAACCTGATCATTTGATGATGCTTTTCTCACAATTTCTTTTACAAAAGAACTGAACTTTTTTTTATTAAAAAGCTAAATGGAACTTTGGAAATATTGTAAAAAGATAACGTTACAGCAGTCAGATGTTGCGTCAGAGACATTTTGCTCTTCATCTTCGCTAAAAGTATGTTATAAAGTATTCTCTTAGTCCAATCATCTTCATCAATGCATTATTTCTGCAAATACATATGCCTGTATAAATTGATGGTAGAGCTCTAGTATGTTGTCACAGTCGAAGAGTTTGATCCAAGCAATCATGAAACATGCAATTATCTTAGATAACAAGCACTTTTTGTTTCTATCAAAAATTAGAAAACTAATAAATATAGAAAATGCTGATTTGCATTCATTCTGATTAATATCTTCTTAGTAAGATTGTTTCTAAACGATATATCTTAACATATACATAAGATCAATAGCATTAGTTTGCTTTTTTTGTTTGTTTATCATTAAGAATTTTTATGTTCAGTTTATACTGTAAGACATTTTAAAGTAGCATAGTCTTCTGTTTTTTACCAGTAGATGTAAATATATAGAGTAGGGGTATACAATAAGTGAGAAGAAATATTGCTTTCAATGCAGAAAAAAATTAAAAAACTTCGCACTTTGAAGATCACTATTAAAAATCGATTTCCATTGCAGGATTATTTATTTTTAATTCGGTAAAATTTGGACATAATTGCCTGGGAAAGTTCCAAAATTCATGGTATTTCCATGTTTGGATTTTTCTATTATTCCGCAATACCATCCATCGTCACATATTTCAACAATACTAATTATATCGCCAACATGAATTTCAAGTTCATCTGGATTTTTTGGTTTATAATCATACAGTACTTGGCATCTAAAAATAGATAACGAATTATAATTGAAAAGACAGATATGCGTATATTTTCGACCTACGTTTGTAAAGGTAAAGACGATTCAGGAACAATATTATCTTTATCTTTATCTTTTTCTTTTTCTGTTGATTGTAATTGAATCGAATTTTTTAGTACACTTTTTGGCATTTTAGTGGCATTTTTTATATGTTCATCTTGATAGGATTGCTTTAATGGCGTATCTAAAGTTTTAATTCGATGAAATCAATACAAATTACATTAGAATACAATTCATACCCTTGGATTCTTTTACTGTTTCGACATACTCAACAGGAAAAATATCTTCACTATGATTAATACGTCCTTCATACCAGTTATTATCAAATTTTCGTAATAAAATGACTTTATCACCCTATTGTTAAGAAGAAAGAAAGAAACTTATGAAGAGACATTTTGATCAAATTGTATAACAAACTTTTTTTAATTGTAATTCATAACTTTTTACTGGTATAAAATCATTTTTAACAATAGGTTCACCTTCAATATGTTGTTCTATTTCTTTGGCACTTGGTTGTCCAATCGCTTCACATGGAAATAGTTGAACATGATTGAGAGGAAATATACCTGTTAAACCTTGATTTTCACCTTCAAGCCAATTATCATTGATACGACGTTTTACAAGCATCGTATCGCCTTTTTTAAAAGGCAATTCTCTTTTTGAGAAAGAAAATGAATAAATTAAAGATTGTTTCGAAAACTTATTCATCATACTTGTTTGTTTCAGCATAAAAGTTATGTAAAGCAAGTGCTTTATAAATTGGTTGCGAATCATTTGTTCGACTTAAATATGAAACAACATATGATACAATAAAATAAATAAAAATATCAATATCAACTTACAATTGAAGTTTTTGTCGATTCAATTCCAAGAGATCTTGACCAGATTGTTCAACGACTTCGTTTGACTTCTCTATAGAATAAATTATTTCTACATCATACAATGTAATGATTGGTCAATGATGAATCTAGCATTCATGTTAAATGATATAGAAAATAATATTCGTAAGTAACGCATCATTACTCTTGCTAAATATATCGTGGATTACTTTAGTTAAATAGATTCAAAACAAAACCAAACTCATGCAATCGATCATTATTAGAATATGACAATGTTTTAATAGTAGATTTTAAAAGATTTTTTTATTCCAGGCAAAGGATGACTCAATGAAACATCATCATAGATTCTTAGTTATCGTTATCTTACTGGCATATAATTGAAATGCTGTTAGATAAAAATATTACAAATATTGATTTCTATTTTTATTTCTAAATACGATATTTCGCACCTATACAAGTGCTCATCTATCCTAGCACGTTGAGATGGAGTCGAGTGAGTAACTTCAATCATGAAAAATTTTAATTTTCCGCAAAGGTGTTTCAAATTAATTCTAACGGGAATTCATTGTATAAATACATTTTTATAGATATTAGAAAAACAAATATGCGTCTGTAGAAAATAATAATCGTGTTTTTTCTTCTAATCGATTTCGCTGAATCTTTTTTTTACTCATTGAATGCATGATTATATAATATTTCAAGAAACCTATTTATTCATATATCCAGTATAAGCATATTCATCCACTTGAACATTAAGTATTAGCTAGCAACTATTTCGATATGAATTGCGACAAGTGATATATTGCATAAGCATTTTTTTTATCGATAGCGACGTAATATGTAATGTATAACCTATATGCTTTGCTACTACTATCATTCTATCAAAGATGTATAACTATTTTAATGAGACAGTCGCTTTGAAGTGGTCGTTTTTCAAGTTTACTCGATATATGTATATATATATATATCTCAGGGCATAATATAAAAAGAAATATTTTGTATAACTATTACGAAAAGACAAGTGCATCTCTACTCTGTTAAAAAATAATCAGTAACGATCGATTAATCTAGAATAAAAAATGTCGAGAAAAAAAACGAAAATAGTCATGTATAAAAAAAAAGAATGGGAAGAAAGTTGCCTAATTGAATATAGTTTTTTTTTGAATCGCTCAATTAACCCTTCTTCTTTATGGTTTCAAGGCTATGCCTTATTCGTTCGATTACTAATAAAAACATCATCTGGTGATGAAACACCGCTTTGATTCGTAGCTGACGTTGCTGCCGAATATTTATTATTTTGGGATGTTTGTGGATAGTCCCATTCATCAACAAGTAAATTAGACGTTATTTTATATTCGCGTTGTAGTTTCGTACGTAATGGACGATAATCAAATGATTTTGAATGACGAATAAAATTTTTACATTCTGGATTAGGACTACTTTGAACTGTACGATGTTGAAATGGACTACGGTGCGTATAATAAGTTGATGCATGTACAGTTGATGGTGGAATGTGATTTTGATAATGTGATTTAGGCAATGAATTCGAATAATAAGCTGGTTGTGTTGATGCAATATTATTACGATTTAACATGGTACCATACCTTTCTGATTGATATTGATCATAACGTGAGTAACGACTACTTGACGGAAAATTTGGTGATGTTCGCATTTGTTCACTCAATGGTAAAGAATAGATTTCGCTTGGTTTTGATTCACGAAAATCACCACCACGAAATACTTCAATATAGTTACGAGATAAGCCACCATATTCAGGTGATACACCGCGGCCACCGTAATGAACTGTTGGTGGATTTCGATAATAAGATGGACCCGGTGATCGATTATAATAATGATCATTATAATATGGTCGATTAGTGTAACGATATTGGCTATCCGTTGGTCCATATTCATAAGGACGCTGTGTAGTTGAACGTTCACTAATTGTTGAATCTGTATCATAACCAGTAGCACCACCTGGCATTGCTTGTTCTGCTGGATACGAAAGTGGTAGCCAAGCTAATTTAACAGCCTGTTGATTTGGATAATGATAAGTTCGTGGTTGCTGTTGAGATGAAGTTCTTGATGGGCGTTCATGTTCCACAGAAGCCGGTATTGTTCGTTCGGCTGGTATGAATTGTTCGCTTAATTGTGGTACACGTCTATCTCTTAATTCGAAATCTTCACGTGTGACAGTGGTCGGTAATTTCGGTTCACCGTGCCATGTAGCATGTTGTTCATATTGTGGTAATGGATGACGACGATCATCATTAACAGCAATATGTCTACCATAAAGATATGGTGGTTCTATATTATGATATGTATATTGCTGTGCTGGTTGTTCGCGTAATTCAGAAGGTGGTACAGATGATATTTTAAGTATACGCCCTTGCTCGTCCATATAACGATAAATAATACGAGGCTTTATTGGTTCAGACTGGAGATTTGTTTCTGCTTCATTAGGAGATGTTATTGGGCGTTGTTGTTCTAATAGAGATTGTCGACGAACAACTCCGTGTAGAGAAGGCACTGTTGGATTGGAAGTTACAATTGGACGTTGTTGTTCTAATAAAGCTTGTTCATGAATAACTTCATTTAAAACAAATGCTGATTGTTTAGGTGCAATAATTGATTCTTTAGAATCAGTTGCAATGCTAGTTTTTGTTGGTACTCTATGTAATGAATCTTTAATACCAGGTGCACCATGTAATTGAATTGCACCAACAATTTGGATTAGATGAAACAATGTTTGATTCTTATCTTGTACATTAGTATTAGTATTATCTTTTGATAATGTTGCTGTAGTTGTAGTATTTTTATTAATAATTGGATTAGATATTTCTGTCGATGGTATAGATTGAAGAGGCAATGACAACGATAATGGTGGACTAACATTATATTTGGTTAGATAAGAATCTGGCAGACGTATTGATATTGGACTACTGATAATGGCATCAATAGCTTGATAATTTTCAGATTTTGACTTTGATTTAGATTTCACTTTTAATGCTTTTTTCTTTTCTTTATCTTGTTTTTTCTTTTCTTTTGGATCAATTAATGGAACTTGTTCAGATAAAGTCGCCGCTGTCATTGGCTCTACTGTTTTTGCTTGTAATACTTCGGCAGTAGTAATATGAGATCGCACCGTTGCACGTTCAATATTATCATCTGTCAATGAAGTTTTTCTTTTTGATTCTTTTTCATTTTCTCTTGAATTTTGTTCTTTTAGTTTCTTTTCTTTTGGTTTTTTCTCTTTTGATTTCTTTTTTGAATCTTTAGCTATCGCTGCTGTTGTTGTTGTTGTTGTTGTTGTTTGCTTCAATGTATTTAAATATTCTGGATTTCTTAAGTTTGTCATTATTTCATTACAACGTTTATTTAACATATTATTATAATTGTCATTCATCGTTCCTAGCGGATTATTAACTAATGCGTCTATAACTGTATAGTCACTTGTTATCGGTAAATTAGGTCGGTCAACAAGAATATTCGGTGATGATAATAATGATAATGCAATAGGATTTTGATTTGTTTGAGATGGTGAACGTTTATATTCATTAATAGTGGATACGTTATGTTCTTGAAGTACACGAGTTAAATGTTGTATAGCTTGATGATCATCAGTCAAACTTTCGACTTGTGCTTGTGCTTGATCAAGATCTGTTGCATGACCAGTTTTAGTTAATTGAACAATAGATGTACGTGAAGTACTTGGTGTACGACGAACTTCATGATTTGACGAATCTAAAAATACTTGATATTCTTCAGTACGTTCAATGATGAGAGGTGCTTGAGATTCATTTTTAATTGCATTAATATTACTCATTTTTTGTAATTCAACAGCTTGTTCAAGTACACGATCAACTGATGGGGATTCATTCGATGATGAACTTGTACGATCTTGAACATTATATGTCGGTCCTGTAGGTGTTGCTGCTGCTGTGGTTGTTGTTGTTGTAATAGTTGTAACTATTTTCTGTGCTTGCTGCTGTCGTGGTGGACTATCATACGTAGGTGGTGGTGTTTTAAAGCGTTGTTCGAAAAAATCTCGTTTAGCACTAAAAGATTGTCGCGATTCAGGTGGCATATCAACATTTGAACTATGTAATTCATCTTGATTTTGTTGTTGATCTTCCAAAATTTGTCGAACATTTTGATAATGATGTTGTAATTGCTGATTATATGTATCTGTCCCTTCAATACGTATTGGTCCTGAATCACTATCAACTCGACGTTTAGCAGCACGAGCCGATGTACCCATCAATGGTGGTGTATATGTACGCGTTGCACTAGATGTTGAATTTATGGGTGAATATATCGATGCAATAGGCGTAAGATGACTGTGAACGATACGAATAAGTTCATTGACATTACTATCAGGAGTTTCATTTTCGATGTTATTTGTAGTTTTATCTTCTGCCATTTACTTAAGTGAAATGAATACAAAGAGTCGTAATAGTTCCCGTTTTCTTTTTTTTGTGTAAATATGGTTGATCGCACAATTATAATGAATGAATGACACTCATTCGAATCTTCGTAATGTGATGATGGTCCGGTATGTATATTATGTATACGCACTACCTGGTCGTTTGTCGCCTACTCTTTTTGTCAATGAGCCGTGGAAATGATAAAGATAAAGCGAAACGAGTAAAAAAGAAAAGGCTTGTGTCTATATATCTACAAGTGAAGTGTCATGAACGGATATATATAGATATATATAGACGGCCAATGAAGAGACGACGATGGTAATCGGTGTTGTTCTTGGTCTAATTGCGGAGGTACGGTTGGAGTATATGAAGAGCAATTCTCTATTGACTATTGCTTTGTCTTTTTTTTTGTTAATTACTTCTGAGTTCTATTTTCTTTTTCTCTTCCTCTCGTACATATGAAAAAAAACAAGCGCATTCTCGCAATGATCGCCATCGCAGTGTGACGCCGAGAGAATAGAAGAGAATAAATATGAAAAAATTGGTCGAAAAGAAAAACGAAGAGAAAAGGCAAAAAGAGAGAGAGAGAAAGAGAGAACGACAGAAAAAAAAACAAGCGACAAAAGCCAGAGTAAATGTACAACTGTATTGATGGTTATGGCAATATTTCGCTTTAGATTTTTTTCTCCTTTTTTCTTCGTTCTTGTGCCTCTTGATGCCTTCTAGCCGTGTAAATATGTGTAAATAAGTGTTCTCTTTTATGTGCATGCGCATGTTATTGACGTTGATGCTCTGTCTCTGTGTATTCACATAGGCACACATATACAAAAACGTACATCAAGTCATCATCAACTCATCTCGATTGTGTGTACATACTTTTCGATCTTGATTTTTTTTTCATGCAGTTGTTACGATGAACAACGTTCTTATATAGCTATATTCTTGTTCTATATTACTATCATATCGTAGAGTGTGACGCAAAATAGTAAGAGTTTAAGCAGATTGAATACAAGAAGGAAAAAGAAAAAAGAACATTTTTTGAATAAATTGAAATTTAATATTCGAAATAAAAATAAAAAACATTTGTATACCAATGAAAAGAAGAAGAAAAAACAACTCGATGAAATCATTTAATAAGAAAAAAGATCATTGCAAGCATATCGATTCAAGGTTTCATGAAATAGCTAGGCAAACTAATACACAGGTGCAGATAGATAGTCATCATCATTTGTAATTACTCAGTAGAAATCAACTAGTAACTAGTCGGCCGATATTGACTTTTTATATACTCTTCGCTGCCTTACTGTGTTTTCGAGGTCAAATATATTTATACAATCTGTACATTAACATATAACTCTTCCGCTCTTTTACATCCATTTCATTCTCGTGTAATCACGTATTATATTTTCAGATATCAAGCGATACGAGACAGATGTCTCATAGTAACGAGGCCGAGAGAAATATAAAAACCTTCTCACTATCTCTCAAGGTTAGCAAACGCTAACACTTTTATAATCATAGAAAAAGATGAAATTTGTATATTCATATACAAGTGTGCTCGTTGATGTTGTTGTTGTTGTTCATTGGTTTCTCTTCTTTCCAAATAAGCATCTCAATAGGCAGACTTTTTTCTTTCTTCTTTTTGAAAGAGAAAAGTATCTAAAGTATATGCACTGATGAAATTGAAAGAGTCTTGTGTGACGTAAGTAGATAAAAGTGAGGAAAAAAAGAGTAACTATTTAAAAGGTTCAAGGCATCGATTTACCCACTTCTTTGGCACTTTCTTATAGAAATATTTTGATAAAAGTAAACGATAAAAAGAAACGAGTGAAATACTGCAAGATATTCATTATTTTTTTAATTATTCTATTCATATTTTATCTTAGTTTTATATTTTTAAATATTATTCATTTTAAGTGTAGTTTTATAAAGGTACCATGTTGCTTGTTTATCAATAAAAATAAAAATAATCTGTCTTACTATTCGAATAAACATCATTCGGTGTTATAACAAAATTCTTTGTATAATTAAAATCATATATTTGCAGATTATGTGTTGGATGAATACGAGGACGATAAGTTATGACATATCCACAACCATCTTCGCGTATTTGTTCCGATTCATCGTCACTATCTTCGTTATTATTCGTATTTTGAAAATATAAGCATGAATTTATTTCAAAACGCATATCACTATCGGTTATATTATTATTTGAACGATTCGTTTGCTTTTGTTCCCAATGAAGTGAATAATAAGCGAATAATTTTGTTAATAATTTAGAATGATTATCAGGGATGAGAGGATGGTTTATCGAACTAGATGGAACTGTCATCATGAACTTGTGACGGAAAATAATCGATTCTTTTCATGTCTTTTTGCTCATTTTTTCTCTTTCTTTTATATTACAGCTGTCACCGATTTTCTGTTGCAATATTTAATAAAAAAAAAACGAACGAAACTGCCTACCTCGGTTGCTAGTAGAAAGTTTTTGTAAACCAGCTGATGGAATCTCTCCACCACATAATATACGTTTATAGATTGATTTTTGTTCATCATCTGCTGTTGAGGAAGGTGTTTGATTACTAAGAATACAAATAACCATGAAAGATTATTCTGCATCAATGAACTTACTAGTTAGTATTCGTTCTTGAACTAGCCATTGTGGATGATGCCGAAGTATCATTATTCTAGGAAGTCAATGAACAGATGTGTATATTAATATGTACAATGGGTTCTTTTTTGTTTTTGCATACTGATTTAACTCGGTCATTGAATGAAACAGTAGTTGTTGGTGATGATAATTGATCATCAAAACGTATTATTTGTTGTCTATTTCGCTTTGTTATTGTTGTATGATCACTGCGTTATAAAAGGGAGAAAAAAAAATTCTCGATCAATATTATTTGAATAATCTCTTACGTAACACTTGCCGTAGGTTTTCTTGCCGATGATGAAGAAGAGATATTTTCTACATATATTATTTAGTTTATTTCAAAGGATTATTTTAATTCAATCATACTATATTCATCATCAATATTTTGCGAAGCAGCTGTTCGCATATAATTTTCCATACGTTCAAAATTACCGTCGAATTCTGCCGGGAATGTATATGTAGGCTTATATGGATTAGATTGTTTGTCTACAGTAAAAAGAAACATTTCATTCAAGTATGACATTTTTATTTAAAAATAATTATCTATTTGGTGCCATTGAATAAACAAAAAGAAGTCGGAAAAAAAGCATAATGCAATACAAACAATAAGAGATTTACATATGAAGATATCGACTGAACAATCGAATAAAAGGAAAAAAAGCAATTTCGACCTAAGATAAATGTTTGAATACAACATTTAGATAACGGTTTAGCTGTTATCATATAATAGTAGATGAAAAAAAAGAAGTTCAATTTTCAACATTTCTATTGTATTATGTATTATTGTAATAAATGAAATTCAATTGTCTATTAACACCCATGTATAAGGAACCTATCGAAGTGAATTTTATAAATGTAAATATGTCTATAGCATCGACTTGAAATTCATTACATAGTATATAGCTATAGACTAACGTACTGTACATTTAAGCGCAATTGATAAAATGGTAATGTGATTCACTCACAATTTGCCATAGACAATACAGAAGCGGGGAGAAAGCAATATGTCTATTTGTATGAGAATATTGAAAGAGTATTTTTTTAACTAACCTCTTTGCTGATTGTATTCTCGATATCGAGAAAGTGTAGAAGGTAACTTGACAAGAATGACATCTAAAGCATTATTAGAGTTTTAGTAATTCTTCTGGCTAATTTTTATTATTATTTTCTCTCCAAATTAAAACAAAAACAAAATACATGCTGAAGAAAAATGAAAAGCTTTTGAAATTCATTTACCTTTCGGATTTTCAGGTATTTTATGTATTTTACAATACATTTCTTTGTACCAATTTGTTTGTTCCTTTTCAGAATCGATAGTTGGCAACTAGAAAAATATAATAGATTAGAGTATTTATCTATCTATCTAAATATAAATGTCTCTTTTTTAGCTTATAATCGTTCCAACAGAGTATAAATATCTTTTCGTTTCATGTATGTTTTCTCAGAGATAAAAATAACATCGATTTTTTTCTGTATTATATACTAATGTATTTAACATAACATATGACGCTACAATGTCATATTTATAGTTGAAACTAATAACATTGTTTTGTCTTTACCATTTGTTGATTAAAAAAATGTTGTTGTCTATCCTTCGCTAGTTATTATACAATAATCAATTCTCTCTAGACAACAGATCAAACAAACAACAGTAACACAAAGTGTATTAAAAACAAGAAAGAGTAAAGGTGAAAGCAATGACAATATTGTTATTATTACTAAGAGACTGTGTTTGTATGTATGCCAAAAGAAGAAAAACGTCAAATAGCATATCATGCACATGTATTAGTTTATGTGATGATTGATGAATGTGTAAAACATCGAGTAAATTTTAAAAAAAGGAAATGAATAGACTGCAGTTTATTTGAGATGAGCTATGAAATCTTCAAACTAGAAAAAAAGACTCTTTTTGTTAATCATTTTTTTCATTTATTTATCATTAACTTTCTGTCAGCAAAACAAAAACAATCAATTCATACAATTAACAATAAGAAAAATATTGAATTTAATGAATTACATAGGTCAATGAATACATAGCAATATAGTTTTATTTGTAAAAATAAAATATGAAATGAATATCTTGTTTTTTTCCCTATCCTTTAATCATATTTGTACCTACCTGATGACAGCGACAACCAGCATTAGGATTCAGTGTTTTTGTCTGATCCATTAACAGTAGATGAAAATCAAACTTATTTTCTATGATACGATCATGCTGTTGAGAGAATATTAATATGGATAGTAATCGTGGAAATGTCAATAATTTGTATGCACTGATCGAACTCAGATTATTTGATAATTATGCGATGGCAAAAGTAAATTCTATCGTTTGCTCTTTTTATTTCTAGGGCGCATTCGCATATAAAAATAATGAGATTAAAATATGCTGATGGACCACTGTTGTAAACACTGAGGAGAAGAAGAAAGCAAAAGAGAAGATGGTTACAGAACGTCGGCACGCTCGGTGCCGTTGTTGTTGTTGTTTTTGGTCTACAGATAAGTCTTTCTATTTTGCCGTCGAGGATGATGTTGCACCGACTAACTGTAAAAAAAGAAGGAGGAAGAGGGCAACTAGAAAAGAATCGATTGCTGTAGATAACTAAGGGTTTATGACGATGATTTACTTGTTTTTGATGCTCTATAAATCAAACATGCAAACACACGATCGAACCATGAGCGCCACATCAGAACGAAAGAAAAAGAAAATAGCTAACATTCTGGATCGTACTCTATATATTCATTCGAGTTCTGTTTTCTTCTTTGATTAATTTAGTCATTCCTATATGTTTTTCTTCATATATTTTTAATGAAAATAAATTCACTAGATGCTGTAGAATACTCAAAAATAAAACACCATCGATTGTTAACATACTTGTTAATTACAGTGAACGAATGGCAACGAAGGAATGTTATTTATTTTTGACTATAAACAAAGTATCCATCATTCATATAAACATGTATATATGTTAAACAATATTAGTTTATCATCAAACAGTATCCTATCACGCATCTATAGTCTCATCTTGCCGATCTACTCTATATCAACTAGTAAGTGAACGTTAAAATATCATCCTTTCTCTTTCGACACATTATCGATCTTACAAAGGATGTTTTTTCTTTCAACAATAAATTCTTTGTATGAGACGAAACAAATATTTTTGTTCTTACGTACCGTCGGAGAATTGATCAATAATACTCTATCATGTGGATATATCTTATTGTTAGTATTATCATTACTAAAGTAGTTTATATCAATTTTTTTTGACGTTATTGTGCGTGCTTTAGTTGGTGTAGATAAACAACCAATATTTAACCATGGATTGATATCTTCAATAAGAAAATGAGAAGGAAAAAGAAAAGAAAAAGTTTTCTTTTGCACCACTTAAATTATAGATCAAACAATTGAGCATACCTTTATGAATAGGAATTCGAAATTCAACACGATGAGTTGAGCAATTTTTTGGAAATCGAACATCATCCGATGATCGCACATGTTGATTATTCATACTCCTGTTTTTATCCTTTTCATTAAATTTGAAATGAACACGACGTGTAGGAGACGATAATCCTGTTGGTTTCGATATTGAAATATCATTGGTAGATGTTTTATTTAAATTAGAATATGATGATGATAAATTAATTCGTGCCTATGAATAACAAAAAAACAAATCATTTTTTCAAGGCATTGCCATTTAATAGATCTTAAATTTTTTTTGTTATATTTAATCAGAGAAGCAAAAGAGAAAATAATTTTGTTTACATATGTTTATCACATAAATACCATATGGCTCAAGGTTAACTGATAATATTAGTTAATAAATAGAAGAAATTTACCTCTTCAGGGTGTAATGGTACACAAATAAAATTGAATTGATCTAATGTTGCATTATCTAATGTATGATAACGACGACGTGGTCGATGTTCAATAGAATGAAGGAGATGTGTATGACTTTGATGACTTTCTATTATCATTGAAATATGAAATTCATAAATAAAGTCTATGAAATAGAAAAATGTGGTGAGCAAAATCCTCGCTTTATCGAATTAAAAATGAGTTCAAATATTTAGCTAATTATAAAGTTTTTACTTACAATTACGAATAAGTTTCCAAGTGAGTGAAAAAAATCTTGTTTTTCTATTTTGAGATTTCTAATAAAAACATAATGTTAATCAATTTGACTTCGATTAAGAAAAGTGAAATAGAAGTATCTACTACGACAAATCATAATGTGCATGATCATCATTAACGCTGTCCTTCAATTTGCAGATGAAAGATATATATTTTCTATCACAATCTATTATGACAATTCTCTCTTGGCTAGTTTTCCAAGAATGACATCTTTCTACTAATACTCTCTCGTATATAAAGAATATACAGCAGCAATCGGTGATGATAATGATGATGCATACATATGTGGATTGTTCGTTTACTCAGTTGTAGCACAAGATGAGATGTTACGTATGGATTAATATTATTTCTATACTCTTGATGAAAAGAAGAAAAGAAAAAAAAGAAGAACAAGGATACGTTGGCAATCATCGTCGTTCTTCATCGTCCTATGCCCAACAGCAATAGACATATTCTTCATTATTGATTCTGAAATGTCTTATGTTGTTTTGTTTGCCATAGATTGTCACATATCTTTCAAACGGTCATGGACCAAAGGTTTTGGAAGGACAAGGTTATCATATGGCAAAAGCATTTCCTCAAGGCTCTATCAATGTACTATTACGACTGGTTCAATAATGGTTGAGTCGCATTTCTTTATTTTGCATTTTCGATATTTTAACACAGCAAAACTTATCAAATCTGAAAGTTTCCTGATGTATTTCCATTGAACGACTATGTATATCTTCAAACATTTTATTTACTTTAAAATTTTAAGTAGAAATTTTAAGTAGAAATACAAGAATCATGATATAGCAGAGGAAAATCGGAAACTCTGTTCTAACTCTTTGTAATGAATCAAGTAAGTTACTTTAGTTAAAACTATAAAAGACAAACGTTTTTTCCGAAATGATTGCTTTGATAATACGGTATGGATAAGAAAAAAAGCGAAAATATTTTTCAAGACTGTTTTGATTACAAAAAATTCTATTATGTAAGCATGAAATACATATCTGATAGGTCTATTGAAATGGTGCCTTTAATCTTGATAGTGAAAATAGCTTGGAGCTGTAGTAAATGATCTTCAAAATTAGTCAGTATGATGCTAAAATCTCTTCGCCTATGTAAACATATCTATAACAGAACAACATAAAAGAAAAATGTGATTTCTTCTGTTCTACAAAGTAATTTAGTTGCTAGATGATGCTTTTGTCATGCTCTTTTTTAACAAACTTAGAAATTTCGTTAGAAACAATTAGCTATTTAGATAGACCATGAAAGTAGTTGATACCAAATCAGACAAATTTTGTTTTTGTCAAATACTAATGACAACGTATTTCTGTTGTAGAATAAGCTTCATCAGCGAACAGATTTTTAGATATACATATAAGGAACAAAATTAAAAGACGATAGAGTTTTAATCTTTTCTCGTATTTGATTTGTATAATTCAAATAGTTTCAGAATATAGAGTTTTATGTCGATAAAAATGATATTTGTTTATATGAAAAATTAGACAGAAATAAACTTTTATGACCAACATTTATTATGATCGATTCTGTGATGTATCTCTTTGATAACAGAATTATTTTTATGTATGATTTATAAAGCCATACAGATGAAAAGTAAATTTTCTCTACTAATAATATCACGAAACCAGTCAAACATCTTCAGTTTTTCAATTTTATAGTGAAGCTTTTACTTATATAACTGAACCTGCTACAGAAACAAGTCAGTGGACTTGTCACTTTGTGGAAGAGCAAAATATAAATGATTTCTAAAAAGAACGATGACGTCTCCTTCGAAATCTACTAATAATAGCATTTGAATAGACAATGGTGACAGTGTATGTTTTGATTGAATTATGTGAAAAAATAGTAAATAATTGTTCTTTTATTCGAGTACTCAAAGAAAAAATACAGTACAAACAACAACAACTATCAGACACTGATGACTAGATATAGCAAAAGAAAACGATACGAATAAAAATTTTAAATTCAAGTTAAACACTTTTCGTTTGTTGATGACTAATAATTAATACTTGTTGTATTATTTGTCATATTCGATAGTTTATGACGATCCATTCTATTTGATGGTGCTTCATTAAGTAGATCTGTGTCAACCGAAGGTTGTTGTTGATTATCAGACTCATAGATAATCGAACGTTGTTTGCGTTTCTGCAGTTAAAAAAGAACATTGTTATTTCAATTTTTATAACTTGTTAAGATCAATAAGAAGAAAGTTACGGTTTTTATATTTATAAAAGTAAACAAATCATAAATAACTGTTAAAAAGTGTTCGATCGTCAAAGATAAGGTAATATCGAATTCCCCAACGCTCCTTCAAGGTTATTTGCAATACTATTACAATCTATATATGAATTTAAGGAAAAACTGAACTCTTGAATGGCTAGTGAGTTGTCTGCTAGGTTTCGACACATTTTTCTAATGAAATTACTGCGATGAAATAAACAATAATTTACAGTGTGGTCGAAATGGTACCTATTACAGAAAAACGTTCCATCAAGAAATATTCGCTATTTCTAATCATTTAATTTCAGAAACTTCTATATAACTTGTTTAAAAACGATTAATAATGATACCAGGAGAATAGAATAGAATTTACCTCAATTTTCTTCCTCCAATGAAGAAGAGCATTGCGAGACACTTCCATTTCGTTTTCTCGTCTCTCTTTACGTCTTTTAAATGCTATTTCAATAGCAAGTAGAAAAAATCCAGCAAATATTCCACCAGCAACAAGTAGAAAAACGCCTATATTATTTAAATGTGAATAAATTAATACGCAATAAAAATTAAAAAAAACAGGCAACTAAGATATTGTTCTTACCAAGCATATTATTTACGCCAAGTGTGGCTGGTGAGGATGATCGATCCGAACATTGTTTCATTCTAAAAATTAAACGAATATTGTGTACATTTGAATAGGCTAAGTAATCATTTTAACCCTTTAGAAAAAATCCATTGATTATCCAATGTTTCCATAAAACCTTTTTCATGAAATGATAATATTGTGTGAGATAATGGATTAATCCATGCATCTTTTTTTCTTAATGCGATACCATAGCTGGATCGTCCGAATAATTCACCGGCTGTAACTAGATCACAATCTTGTGCTGCCTCATATTCGAGTCTTGGTGAATCCCAAATAAATGCTTTTAATTTTCTGTGCAGGAAAAAATATTATTTCTATTAGTGTAAAAAAAATGAATTTCTTCTCGTTACCCGTCTCTTAAATCCGTTATTGCATCTTCAGCTGTTAAATAGTTTTTCGATTCCATTGTTCGATACATAGTTGAAAGTTCTATTAATGAAACAATGATGTATTTCGCTGTATTCCTTACTTTTTGGAACTTCTTCTATGTTGTCGAAAAAAGATAACTAATTTTGAGTTTTAGATCAAATGCTATGTTTTCCTAGTCTACAACAATTGATGACAACAGGTATCAAACTTCTTTCCTGTCATAGTGAGAGTCAGATGTGAGAGAAAAATCAGAGAATTTTGCTTAAATTTGAATGTTTTTAATGCTACAGCAGATTTTTGCATACAAAAATTCATATTTATAATGTCAAAGATAATTGATTATAATTCTTTGATTTGTCAGATCTCATGGAATCAATATTAAAAAGAAACGTGAGCTACTCACAATGAATTTAAGCGTTTGTCAGTTTAAAGAAATATATATATATATATATATATAATATTATCTGGAGATCTACGATAGGCTTATTTAACAATCACATAAATAATCAAAATAATGATAATGATGGATTAAGCCAAACGGAATACAGAAAACAAAAGCATCAAAGCAAACAGAAAAAAGAAAGGAAGTTATTAAAAAGAAATCTGTTAAAAATACAGCAATAAATCAGACAAATAGTTTCTCGGATGTTCGATTATCCTTGCGAAATAATCTTAGTCTGCTAGCGATTTTCCAATTAACATTTGTTGTATTAGTGTAATGAGACTGAAGAAAACAGTGGACATCTATATTTAAGTCTTCAAGAGACTAAAGTAATCAGATTTTTGTTTTATAAACATACCAACTTGTCGTTTGAAATACATATCAACAGATGATCCTTTTACTGTTGCATATGTAAAACCATCTTGAGGATTTCTCAACTAACAGAATAAAGAATAAAACCTTGAATAATCGATTAGCAAAATCAATAAGCATACTCGAGCATCGTTTATTCCTGATATACTCGCTTCAGGTCGATCAAGTACAAGAAAAGCGGCTAAATTAGCAGTATAAGAAGCTACCATGATCATAGCAAAGCCTGCCCAAACCATACCAAGAACACGAGCAGAGAAACTTCTCGGTGTTCCTAAATAATAATGAAGAATAAAAGAAATGACGAAAAACATTCGTTTTTCAAACCTTCTCCAATTCCTGAATTTAATAAAATTCCCCAAGTAAACCAAAGTGCGCGTGACAGATTAAGTGCATCTTCTTCTGGATTAACTTCAATAGCTGGACCATTTCCACGTTCAGACTTTTGTTGTGATGAAAAACGAAATCGACCAAACGGTGAAAAACGATCAAGTAAATACAAAACAACAGCGACTACATGCACAGATAATAAAACCATCATCCACAAGGCTTCTTTAAATGGTTGTAAGAATGAAGCTAAATTTGATGTACTTGTACTCTAAATTTATCAATCACATTTAAAGTATGAAACTTTCCTCAACGAAAATGAATTTACCTTTCGTACAAGAATTGTGATACCTTGGTATTTAAAGGGCTTGGTAAATTCAATATCTTCTGCACGTTCAGGACTGATGGTTAAAGGAGCTATAATCATATCAGCTTGATAATTTATTAATTCACCTATCATACCATCCCATCGTTTATGCTTATCATCTCCTTCCTAAAAATAATCGAATCACAACTAAAATCTATAACACAAAACAAATTCAACTTGATCTATTCATCGTCATCAATATCTTTAATCAAATTTTAACTGAGATTCTTCGCTTTCCATCGAAACGTTATTGCAATAAAACTTGCCAGGCGATACACACATAGAAAAATGATTATATACTACTTATCTATGAGAAATATTTATGTGAATATCTATTTGGTTGCATTTTGAAAACAAACGAATGTAGGGAATATTTATTTTCAGCACATATCAAAAGTCAGACTGAAAATTAAGATGTCTTTTCAGTGAAGAACTAATAGTTAAAATTTTAATAAGACTAATAAGCCTATTCAATTTGTATCATAATTTTCCTATTTTTGATATGCACGATGTAAAACCATAATTTGTCGAATAGATAAAACAATAGTTATAAACTATAGATAATAAAATACAATAGAATTTAGATGAAGAAGTTACATGATAAGAATCAACATGAACAAAATAGAAAGAAGAATGATTTCAGGATATCTTCTTTTAACTATATAGTATTATTATTATTATTTACTTTTTCATATGATCCATATTTGTTATCGGCAACAAGATGCAATGTGTAAACAAAACTCAAATTTTTTGATAATTCTTGTAATAAATCAATGCAATAACCACGACAACAAAAATATTCATATTCCTCTTTAGTTGAATCTAAATAGAGATTTCAAAGAAAAGCTTTAATTAAAAGTAAAGATAAAAGAAAGTATCTCACACCATTTAATCTTTTTCGTGGACATACGACTTCTGTGGCAAGATTGCAGTTATTGCCTGAACGAGTAAAAATAAATGGTTTTTCAGCAATAGTAACAACCTAAAGTAAATTATACTAATATCGACTTTGAAACGGTATAAATTATTCGAACCGAAACATTTCGTCTTGTTCGCATGCCATCAGGCTTACGATGACTTCGATTAGGCCAAATAATTTGATCTTCATCAAGTTTTAATTCTGTCTTATCGATCTATGGAAATACAAATAAATTATCATAAATGACTTGTTTTACATTGAAAGAAAAAGGCTAACAAATATGCACACAACAAATGGGAGGGAAGTGATCATGATTTTTCATGTTGATTATTAATATTAGGCACAATAGCTCACAATTTGTCGGCACATTGCACTTGTGTAACATGTACTCTAAAACAACAAAATAAATATTATGTAAAAGATAATTATCAAAGAGACCTATCGATTGAGAGCGCTACGATAATCTAAGTTTCTATATGAATAAGAAAACTGTTGTATTTTACAACTTACGTTGGCTTTGAAAGGAATGATAATATTATATTGTGTAATCTCAACTCTTTTACAAAATACAAACAATCGATCATCGATACTAATTCAAACTTACCTCAATATGATTTCCTTGTTAGTTACACAAATAATTGCCATAAATCGAAACTTAATTTAAGTATTTCTTTTCGAATAAATTGAGATCCTCAATTGACACGCCGTTCTTCTGATATTTTCTTTTTCTTCATTGACGCTTTTAATTTCAGATTTGTACGATTAAATTTCAGATTTCTGATCAACAAGCATCTTTCGATATCCAATTCTATTCTGCTTCAAATTTTCTCTCAAAATGAGACCAATCAATAAACGATGAATTAACAGAAAATGTTTTCTTCACGAAAAAGAAAACTTAGTCTTCATAAATCTTTCATTTGTCTACTCAAAATATTTTTTATTTTTCATGTGCACAAGTCAAAAATATTTATTCTTATAATCTATAACTCACTGTATTCGTTCGATAATGCCCAACAGTTTTTAATTGTCCATCTTGAACATTAACTATATCATATAATGATTCAATACGATCGCCTTCTTCATTGAATTCAATATTTCCTGTAATACCGTTTACAACACTCGTATTTAGTAATTCTCTGAGAGAAAAAAAGTTTTTTTTTTTTATAACAGAAAACAAAAAACTGTCTTCATATACCTATAAAAGTCTATTCCATATGTCCAAGCATCTGTTGATAAACAATTGATAGCTGTCGTTTTTGAAGTCCAGAATGCTGACGAATAATCAGTAAATTTATTAAATGCGTTCGCAAGAAGTTTTGTTGCATCAATAAGAAGATTTTCCTCGTTAAATGAACTATGTAATCTAACACCAATGAGACCATCGAACAGTGCTGTACTATTTGATATTATTGCACGTTCATTTATAATCCAAACAAAATTTTCCAAATGTTGTAAACGTACTATGACTGATAGTAATTCATCAGTATCTTCAATTCTATTAATAAAAGAATTTTTAAAATCAAAATTAATAAAAATCAATAGAACGAACCTTGTATGAATAATAAAAACTCGTGCTAATAAACGATCTTCGTATGTTAAATTCGATATTAATGATGTAAAATTTGCATTCGATTCATATTCTTCCATTCGTTCAATCTAATGAAATAATTAATAAACAAAAAATATGTATTTGATGATAGAAATCTCACATGAATCTCTGAATCCTCAGTTAACATTTGAAATCTTGATCCAACCATTCGACCTTCTTCATCTTGACTGTAAATTAATACTACTTTTGTATATTTTAATTTACGAATAATGCTAAACCACGCATCAGCTTCATACAAATATGGTGGTACAAGTCGTACAATAAAATTATAAAATGCCTAAAAATATAAAATTTATTTTTGTTATATCATTTGTTCTCGTTTATTAATTTCTTTATACTTTATCCGAAAAAAGATTTTCTCTCGATGCTATTGTTAATACAGGTATATGATAAAAATCTGATACATATGAAATAGCAGTTAACGTTAAATCATTTTCATCTAAACCTCGACCAGCAATAATAGCTTTAGCATTCGATACGTTTCCTATTTCACATAATTTCATTGCAATTAATAATGGATTTGAATCAAGAATAAAAGATTGAGATGATAGATAAATCTCTTGATTAAACGCAGTTCGATACATTTGATTTGTATTGTCATTAAGAATTTTAATGTGTTCATAATTGGTTAATGCGCCTAATATAGTTATTTGTGGATGATCAAAGTCAATTAAGAAGGTCGTTTCATTTATACTACTAGTATGATTTGCATCGGCTGTTTGAAGTTTAATCAAAGCCAATTTAAGGAAAAAAATGAATAAATACCAAAGGAAGCTCATGATAGTAGAACCGAATGAAAAAAAGATGGAAATAAGAAAACTTTTCCCCCCTCTTCTGTCAAAAAGAAAAGAAAAGAAAAAAAAGAAAGATAAGTTTGTCTGAATGAAGAATGGTTTAGAAATCCACGACTAGAAATTATGCATCAAGTTTTCTTCTTCTCAGAAAATATGATTTACAGATGTCGCAGAGTAGCAAAGGATCAGAAAATCAATGTCAATATCCTTGAATGATCATTTTTTTCGATCAAGAACATTGTGATATTCGAAGCAATGTAGTACTACAAGCTATTGAAAAACCATGAGAAAAGCATGTTTTTTCTTAGTTCTGCTTTATTAAAGCAAAATGACCTGTTACTACCATTTAATGAGTATAACGTTCATTGACATTAGCTACAAATAATGTTGATAAGAACTTTGGAATTACTATATTTTTACAATCGCGAATCTACTTTCCTTTGATAATTATTCCAGTTTTTTTATTATTCTAATAAGGCTATCAAAAAAACATGTATAACACGATAACAGTCTATAGCATCGATTATATTGTACGACATCCAAATATAAAGATAAAATTATTTAAAAGCAAAAAAAGAATACATCTATCCAAGGAAATAGAAAAATTCAATCATACGCCAAGCTTGCTGAGAAAAATCTCATGAAGTATTCAAAATTTTCATCACGTATGTACAAAAAAAAGACTCAGAAAATGCTGTCGTTCAAAGACATTTTTAGCGGTCAAAATAGTTCACTTTAATCAGACTTTAATACAATTCACAATTAACTCAATGCAACAACAAAAACTACTAAAGAATGGGCATTGCTTTTCACTTTTCATGCATAAAATGTGCATGTTGTGTTCTAACAAATATTTTTTAATTGAACTGATCTGTTTTCTACAGAGTAAAGATAATTAAACATGATTTGTTTTTCAAGTTGTTCTTTATTCATAAAAATCTTTGAGAAAATGACTTGAGAATATGTATACGACTCAAGAAAACATTTACATTAGAGAATCATTTTTTCTGTTCAATCTATATATGGGTTTGGCAGTATTGTTTTGATTCGTTTGTAAAAAAATGAAAAAATGATAATAGGAAAGTGTAATTGTACTTGATTAACCTGCTTTTCAAAAATCATATTGATGAGATAATTTTCGAAAACAAAAGATTCAAATGACATATGTATTTATGTAATATGAAAGAATATGACTGTGACATACAAATAATTTGTCAACATAGAATTAGCATTACTTATTAGCTATTCTAACACTAAACTGAGGTAACTACAGAAGTATAAAATAGTTAATAATATTGTTCAATATATTCTTTTTACGATAGAATTTCATTTGATGCTAAAAATTTGTTTATACTATTAGCATCGTCAATTAGTGCATAGAATGTTTCCTTCTTCTTAAGAATCTTTTCTGTTCTATTTCTTTTTTGTTTGTGTTATTTATTCGTGTTTTGGATCCAATATAATTGTATGGAAAAGCAGTCACACATAACGACACTATTGTTTTTTGTATGTATTATTCCATATTACGAAACCTTAAGACAAAATCTAAGAGAGAAACAAGGGGCAAGCTGGCGCAGAAAAAGCAAACATCTCAAGCACCAATAGCAAATATGATTTGCATACAAATACTTGACAAAAGCAAAGAGAGAACAAGCATTATACTTATTTTTTCCTTTTTATTGTATGACTCCCACTACGATTCTTCATTTCGTTAGTATATCTGCAGATCGAGCTATACAATGGATATAAATCAACAAGAACAAAATCGACGGTTAATTACTCGTCATTATTGTCGATAGCCCGATTGACGATACTTTGTTTCTGTGTTGACGACTTGGTAATACAAAACCTCGATGGTTGATGTTTTAGTCAGCAAACTACTTAGATAAGATTGTCAATGAGCATTTCTTATTGTCATAAATTTTATTATTCGATATGCTTGTACTTAATTTAAATATTACAATGGAAGCACTTGACCTTGCCGTTGATGATGATCTTCTTGAAGTTCGAACATCACGCACAGTTACATTTACATTAAGTTCATCGAACTCTTCATTATCATTATGTTCGCAACACGATCATCAAGCTCATGAACGAACAGTAAAAATGTCATGCGCATCGCAAATATCAGAACATCGGCATCTAGCACATTCCCAGTCATTGACACTTGAATGTCAACGGCATCGGCCAATTATACAAGATCCCTATCAATTAGCACCAGACCTTCAAGTTCTGGATGATTGGATGATTGTAAGTTTATTTTTCTAAGATAATCCAAAAATATCTTTCAGCGATCGCATTGCTAGAAATTATTCTTTCATCATGATATACTACAAAGAAAAAAATTGGGTAAGAATGAAATAAATGATATAGATGGCAAATGAGGTCAACGAAGGGCTGTTATCGTCTTTATAGTATTGTGTATCAAGACTTTAACTTATTCTATTTTCATATTCTTCATGAAAATTTGAAAATATACAATCAACTCTTTTTCCATATCATCAATACATAAAATATTGTATTATCGAAGTTTTTTTAAATAGCTCATATAAAAGACAACAACAAGAACAACAAAAAATTTAGTAGTGTCAAACTTGAAACTTGAATTCAGTTGAAAATAGAAAATTTCAACTTTCAACTTTCAACTTATGGCGATATATGTATGAGTCACTATTCTTCAGAATGTTATTGGTTTAAAAGTTGANAAGTGAAAAGCAATGCCCATTCTTTAGTAGTGTCAAACTTGAAACTTGAATTCAGTTGAAAATAGAAAATTTCAACTTTCAACTTTCAACTTATGGCGATATATGTATGAGTCCCTATTCTTCAGAATGTTATTGGTTTAAAAGTTGAAAATTGAAAATTTCAATTTTCAATTGAATTCAAGTTTCAAGTTGGACATATATGAAAAAATTATAGTTTTATTTGACATGAAAAACTAATTTTAATGTCATTGGATCATCGTAAATTCTTTATTATAATGGTTAAGTAACAGATATATAACGAGAAAAGGGTAGAAATAGTACTATCATTTCATCGACATTATTTTTCTATTGTGTTGTCATCATGTTGCTACAAACTATACAAGTCATGCAGACTCAAAAACAAAGATATTGCATTCTGTCCTTACAGTCATTGATAGACTATGATCTTAACATTGCTATTTTGATCTATACTTCTGCCCTACGGGCATAATATCAACGTATTAAACTAAGTATATCTCGGCAACAACAAAGTCTTCTACTATGACTTCAAATGTTTTCTGTATCTTGATAACATTTCCGATAATTTGTCATTGCGAACAGATCATATCTGATATTCATATATATATATATATATAGCAGAGAAACATACAATTTTAGCATAACAATGTTTATGTTATTTTTCGTAGATTTTCGAGCTATTTTAAACGAAAACAAAACGGATTATTTAAAAAAATAGTTGTATATTGTTATATTTTTGTTCTAGACAACAACAGGCAAAACTCGACGACAACTTAGTGAAGTACATGGAGTTTCTGAAGAACAAATTGTTGGTCGGAATTTTCAATAGTTGTTAAAAATTTTCATTTCCTCTTTTTTATTTTCTTGCTCTAGTATATGAGGAATCATTTTCTTTGCTCGACAAAGATGGAGATGGAAACATATCTAATTATGAAATTCGTTCATTAATGAGCTCACTTGGCTATTCAACAAGCCTTGAAGATATTTCATCTGTGATATCAAAAATAGATGTTGATGGTAAAGTTCATGGCAGAAAAGTCATTGATGAAATCATATGAACATATGTTAATTTATTAGGTGATGGAACTGTTGATTTTAATGAATTTCTCACAATAATGCGCCAAGGTGGATCAAAAGGAGAAAGCGATATCGAATTACGGCAAATTTTCGATGTAAATAGTTGAGATTGATCTAATGATTGAATTCTTCATTTTATTTTATTTTAAAAGATTTTTGATAAAAAAACGGATGGTTTTATTGACAAAGATGAACTATATGATTTGCTTGTAAAGCTCGGAGAACATATAACAGACGTAAGTAGCCAATAAACAATCCTGTTTACATAATTTGATCAATCTTTATTTTTTGTTTTTATGGCGACTATAGGAAGATGTGATAGAAATGATTGAAGAAGCCGATTGTTTTGACAACGATGGGAAAGTATCGTATGAAGAATTCAAAGCTATATTGCACTCAAAATAATATTATTTCTTCTTGATCATATGACAAATGAAAGAAGATGAATGAAAATTCAATAACGGCATGTTTTTCCTGCAATATTTTTATATGTAAAAAAGAAATCGTAATAATTGTTTTCTCTCTTTTTTCTCCGTATATCAACTTGTGTGTTAGTCGTCGGGGCAGAACCCTTGAAAAATAGGTCATCGAAGAGTGATATTATATATATATTCTCCATAAGAGAAAAAGCAAAAAAATAGGAATGTTATTAATAAACGGAAAAAAGCAGAGACATACTCGTAGCTCAGCTAAAAGCAAATTTAACAAAAAAAAACAACAACATGTATATGGAAGACCCGATTTATCATTCTTTCGAAAAAGTAATGTTATGTGAAAAACAAAACAAAAAACAAAACAAACGATAATATGTGTATATATTTTATACAAAAAAACCTAATGTTTTCAGATCGTTTTTCAGAAAGAGCACCATTATTGCAAAATGACACGGAAATCAAGAGAGAAAATAGATTTCATTTTTGCTTTCAACACAGATATAGATTTCTTTTTCTCTAGTTGTACAATGTAATAAATAGGAAGATTGTTATGGACGGATTTATATTGTTGTTGATCTGAAAATAAATCATAAAATAGTACAACAAATTCGTTTTTCACGATCAACATCGATTTTATGGTGATCATGAATTTCGATATTTTTAGTTGAAGTATATCTTTGCAATGGATCATCTTTATTTGACTCATGAATACCATTTGGTATCTTATTAGTATTGTTGTTATTATTATTTTTATAATTTGTATCAATTACTGGTAATTCTGGTGGCGTAGAATTCACAGCAGGAGGAACAGTTGATGATGATCTACCAATACAACGGCGTCGCTCTTCACGCCGCCGTTTCACATCACTTAATGTATCAGCAGTTGTTTGCGTGGGTACGGGTGGTAAAGGAGGTGGAAGTTTCAGTGGCGGTAAAGATATTTCTATGACTGGTATGGTTGCTTTTTTTACTATTACTGATGATGATGATGACGTTGCAGTAGTTATTGTTGCAGTTGTCGTTACTGGTTCGCGTATAGTTGATTCACTTGCTGTTGCCACACTGCTTGCTCGTTCTTCTTTCGGTACTAATTTTGTGGTTGATGGTATTGCTGCTGTTGTTACTGTTGCTGACGGTATTATTGGTAATATGCGATTACTAGTTGTAACATTCACTGTTGCTTCATCAGCATCTTCTTGAATTTTATCTTTTGCTTGTAACACATCAAGGAAATTTTCATTCAATTTTTTAACTTTTTCACGATCACGTATTGATGCTCGACGGATAGAACTTGTTCGATTTAATGATGATCCACTTCCGTAAGGTGATGAAACACTTGATCGTGATTCGTATAAGTTACCTGTTCGGGATGTTGTTCCATTCGGTAAAGTATTTGTAATGTTAGTATGACGATGATTTGTTTTTTGTTGTAGTTGGGCAGCAGCAGCTGCCGCTGCAACGGCTGCGGCTTTTTCTTGATTTCGTATGTTTTGTTTCCGAATATCGACCATAACAGAACGTAAATCAGGATCATCACATAAATCAAGTGCTGAACGACCATCTGGGATTTTTTCATAAATATCTGCTCCAGTTTCGATTAATTGAGCTGAAAATCAAGAGAAAATGATTTTTTAAAAGTTTTTCGTTTGCCTTTAATTATTTATTTATCTATTATTTACTGAGAATGGCTTGTTGACACCAAAATGCTGCTGCATGCATCGGTGTCCAACCATCATTATCTTGCAGATTAAATGATACATTTTGTTTTAATAAGTATTCTACAACAGTTTGATATCCATTTGCACTAGCGATATGTAATGGTGTTGCACCTTCCGTATTTCGATATGAAAGTATATCATCAATAGAACGTAATGATCCTTGTGATTTTGTTTTGACTAGATTTTGTAAATCTATTAACATTTGATGTTCAACTTGTCCTCGTGTTTTATCAATCATATCTTGTGTAATACCAATTCGATCCATTTGTGTTTCAATGTAATCAAGAGTTATTTCATCGTCACATATATCATACGGCATATTACCATCAGCATTTAAACCTAATAGTTCAGCACCATTTTCAATTAACATTCGACATATTTGTAAATGACCACATGTAGCTTAAGATAAATGAAAAAGATAAAGAAGAAATTTATTAATTAACTTATATTTCTATTTTTATTCATCTACATCTGGTTGATATATTAACAATTTAAGTTTCATTAGTAGTCAATCAGAAACTCAAGATCGACATAGAATTTTGATGTAATTTTTAAATATTCTCTAATAGGAGATAAAACAGTGACCATTGGTGCATAGATGTAGGCATACATACGCGTATGTACAGAGTAAGAGTGAATGTTTGATCAATCTATAGTGACCTCATATTCATATCGACATTTTTGGATCTAGAAGAAGATTGTTTCAAGAAATCAATTAAGTTTCCCAAAAACTGCTGCTAAGTTGGAAGATCTAAGTTTTTATCAAATGAGAAAATTTAAACAAGTCTTCTATAGATATTCACTCTTTGGTTTCAAAAATATTGAATTTAGTATTATTAAAATTAGCTGAATTCTTGAAATGACATGTCCTATCGAAATGAATACTTGTAAGCCCACATCATTGTATTCCTAGTGGTAAGATAGTCTTTTTCTTGTTTATTCTTACTCAATTTTATCAGACAGGTAAAATATCACTATCGTACGTATATGAGTTTAATAACTTCAATCAATATTTCTCTTGCATATTCAATCTAAGAAGAAAACTGAAATACAGTCAGTTCACTATTGAAAACTAGTTCAAACGATATCTAAACAAGATGTAAAAGAATCTAATCGTTTGGCAATGTTCACTCTTAAAATATTACATGTTAGTTTTTACAGTAATGAAAGTTAATGAAATAGTGAGTATGATACTACAGTTGTGTTCAAATTCTAAAATAAAAGTTTAAAAAAGAATCTATATACATTATCCTTTTGCATAGAGTTCTAAAATATAAATATCTTATTTTTCTTTTGTCTATATTTTATAACATTTCCATTGCACAATATATGATCAAATACGACCAATTTCCGATTGATCATACAAAATAGCTTTCATATCTCAAAAACACGAAATATAAACTTATGGAATTAATATATACATAACATCAGTTGTTTTAAACAAAGAAACATTAAATTGATTCGATGTGTTGGCTTCGCAAAAAGTTAGCCTATCGATATACTAATAAGTAAAATTATACCTGCAGCATGTAAAGGAGTCCATAGATCACGATCTTTTGCATTGACATCCCCACCATATTCAATTAATAATTTTAATAATTTCTCACTATTATCAATTGAACATTGATGAATCGGTGTAAGACCATCGTCATTAGCTGTATTTGGATTATAGTTTCCAGACAGAAGAAGTTGGCAAACTTCATCGGTATCTTGACGTGCTGTAGCTATAGAAAAGAAAATACTTTTGATTAACTTCTATTGAATAAAATTCCTGTCGTCATGTGGTTACATTAGATAACCATAGAAATACTTGAATAAAATATAGATCAGCACAATTTATACAATTACCTTCTAATAAAATAACGCTTTCAGGAAATTTAACAGATGATTTCTTTGTTTTAGGAGTTGATTTAAGTGATTTTGATGTTGTTGTTATGGTACCATTAGTCATACCAGCTGATACGTTTGTACTATTACTGGATGTACCTTGTCGTTGTGTCCAATTTTTAAGTTGTTGCTGCCGACGCCGTCGAGCATGTTTAAGTCTTTCTTGAGCTGTCATTTTCTCTAACAGTACCATTTCTTGAATAAGTTCGGAATGATCCATTGTTTATTTGTTATCTTGATAAATATTACGTTCTAGTAATCATCGAGTTACATGCTGTTGTTCTTGTATATTTTAAAGAGTCACTATGAGATAAAAATTATGAGTGTATGCGTTTTTATCATCATAAAAAAACGAATTGTTTGGCATGTAAATACATCAATTATTTTATGATGATGATGGAGTTTTTTTTTCTGTGTACAAAAACGAATGTGGTTCCAAGGTGAAAAACATGAACTATTCTATTTTTTTCAAAACAAATGATCTATTCAAAATTTGAATTTTTTCAATTTGCCAAAGGTACCTTTAAAACGATGTAAACCAACGCGATGCGATACTTTGTTTGCAAAAAAAGTAAAAGAATGTTGAAGAGTTTTTATTCCTCTCTCACTCAAATATTCACTCGCGTTCTTGTTCATGTTAATCAAACGTTTCGCATGTGTTCGTGTTTCTATCCTTTCGAACAACGACAGAATTATAAGGAGAGAAAAAGAAGAAAAGCGGCATCGCTATGGAAGTACAAGTTGCCCATAGTCCTATTTTAGACTTTACTTATTCGATAAACATAGAAATGCGCATATTACTATGCAATAAAATACATTCTTACCCGTCAAAAATTTGCATAGTTAACAACAGCTGATTTTTTTATAGATCGAAAATACATGCTTTCTGTATGGCAATTCTTAAAGTTTATATAATCTAAAGCAGAAGCACATTTTTTTGACTTATACTACTATAAAAAAAAGTACATTTATTGTTTCTTTTGTTCAGATAAATTGAACTTACCAACATAATACAATAGTTAAAACGATGAAAACATACGACATGCTAATACTAAACAAATGAATGAAATTCATATAGATCTGAAATATTTCTGCTATTCTACAAAATTCTTTCGGATGAGAGTATACTGAAGAACACATGTATCTTGAGATAAATATTGTTGTCGATCATCTTTACTAATAGATTTTTCTGGTTTTAGTTGGGAATAAGATCCTGATGTCGATATTTCAATCTGAAATCCTAATCTTAATAAACGTTGTAAAACATCTGTGTATGCTATTGAGCCAAGATCGAGACGTGAATCATAACAATTATTTTCTATATAAGCTCGTTCAGAAGCTGTTGGTAGAATTTGTGCTATGATTTGTTTATCACCATGCAATTGAGAATCTTTTGAATTTAATGTGAGACTATTTTGTACAGTTAATGATAGAATTTCAAAACGATGTTGTGATGATGACATCTGCAAACAAAAAAGAACAGCTATTGCCAAATAAGATTTTTTTCCTACAAACTATGACCAATTTTTTATCGTTTGAAAAAACAAACACTGTGATAAATCAAAGCAATGAGAATACCTTTGATGAAACAACATGAACTAATAGACTAGAAGAAAACAGCAAACTGGTTAAATGAATGAAATAAACGAATGCGACAGGAGAGCTTCCTGAGAACCAAAAATTGATAGTAAAAGAATATACATTCATTTCTCCTTTTTTGTATCAAGAACTACGTTTGACAAGAATATATTGCGTGCGAAGAAGACCTTGTGTACCTGCACCTGATGAACCTTCAATATGAAAACCTGCTTGAAGGAAAGCTTCAAGTACTTGAGTATAGGATTGTCGATCAGGATCAGCCGGTGAATTATAATAACCCCAACGAAAAGCAGTCTCCGATGATTTAGGTAAAACTTGTCTGATTATTTCACGAGAACCATGCTTTAAAGATAAAATGAAACATAGAAATTATTGAATGCGAATAAAATATTCATTTTATTCTTACTAATTCAAAAAATTTACCATTGCCGGTAGATAACCAAATGACCATTGAAACAACATCGAGTTTGTTTGACGAATCTTGTTCCATGGTTTTCTTTTGTGATTCGAATGTAATGCAATCTAAACAAAAGAATAGAGACTAAGAGCAGAACGACAACAAATCATTTTCGTCTTTTTCGCCCTTAAGTAAAGCTAAGCTCTTTCCCTATCATACTATACTATGTGTATCTCTGTGTTCGTGTTCGTGTGTATATAGATAATGTACATGAGAGAACATGATCTACGAATCGAAATAGTTGAATTCAAAAAATATTTTTTACTGTCATACATTGAATAGACTGAAAGAAGAATTTGTTTTTTTTGCTTGAAAGAAAAATCTTATGTTTGAGTTATAACGAGCAATATCGATCAATCAATACAATTGATATGGCTATGTACGGCATCTGTCGTAGCGTTTATGTGCATGCATTTATCATCAAAAATATTCAGTTGTATAATGAAATATAATTTTGGAATGCATAAGCTATTTGTCTAAATCTTGTAATTTGTTTATATATCATTAATAAAAATAGATTATTATAATATGGAATAGTGATGTATACATTTATATTTTGGAAGCTATATTAACACATAGTAGAGTAGATGAATAATTTCGTAGAAATCGAATAGTCTCAACAAATAGTTGTTAGAAAGATCTTTTTTCTGAATATAAACTAGCACATCATAGACGCGACAGATTGATAACATACGATTCATCTTTGCTGAAATATAGAAGCAGACTTCGATAATTATAGCATCGAATTACATAAAGAGTCAAACGAAAAACTGCCGAGTTAAGATACCCATGTAAAAAAAATTGTAAACAATCTGATTATAATTGATTTTTATGCGATTAGAAATCTATTTTAATGGCACTATTATAATCTGATTTTAATCAGATTTTTCCATCTTAAAGGACAGATTTTTTTTTTTTTAATTTTTTTTTAATTGATTACCTACAAAACTATAATAACCGATTAAAATCAAAATCAAAATCTAAAATAGTCTACCTTTTAAGATGGAAAAATCTGATTAAAATCAGATTATAACAGTGCCATTATAATAGATTATTAATCTGATTGTTAACGTTAATCCAATGCTTTTTACATGGGTAACTTTCAGTACAAGAACAAAACAGAACCTGATTGCTTCTCCTAACATACTAAAGAAAAAAAACAGAGAGTATAAGATCATAATATAAAAACTGATTACTACTTTATCAAGTAATTTGTTATAATTTGTATAGGTTAACAACGAAATACATATATGAAGCAGCACTGTAGAAAAATTACGTACATAAAATAAAACGCTTATTTTTTCAGAACAGAGCATATACTACGAATAATGCACTACAACTATGTCACGCGATGGTATTGATCCGATACTATCAGGACAAAAAGAAAGAGAACTATTCGTATTGATATTGTTTGCATAGTTATTTTCGCATTGATTATTATTCATTGATAGTAGTATATCATGATTATCATGGTCTTCCACATCAATTGAATTTGATAATATTGTTTCTTCATTAGAACTTATCTACGAATGTTCAAGTGAGACATTCGCTGTCATTTGGTGTCTATTTAAATATAAAAAATGCATCACAAACAACTAACTAAGCTTTTTTCAATAGCATATTTACTTTGTTACTCGAACAATTAAGTTTTTTATAAGATCAATACATTGCTTTGATATATTTTCGAATAAATCCTTTGGAAAATCAAATATACATTGTCCTATATTATTTTGTGTATCTAATATATTTGCACCACCAAATTGTGTATGACCACTAACAAGTACATAAATCAAAACACCAATATGTCACATGTCAGTAGCACATGTTACTGGTTCATAATTGATTACTTCGGGTGCTATAGAATAGAAGAAAATTATAGAAAACAAGCCATAGTATGAAGTATTTACCAAGAAAATCTGTTGTACCCGACATTTCTAATAAACATTGATTAGTTAATATACAAGATAGACCAAAATCACATAATTTTATTTGTGTACTTGGCCATTTGTTTGCAAGAAGAATATTTTTTGGCTGAAAAACACAGATTGCTTTTTTTCTGGAGAAATACGATAAAATAGTCGACATTGAGAGCTAATGTCTTAACAATAAATATTAAAAGTTTGTCTTCATTATTAGTATACACATTGATACCAAAAACAAATCATGCAATGAACTTCATAAATATATATATATATATATATATTTATACTCTTCAAAGCATAGTACCACATTAGATGTCAACTAGATGAGTATGTCGCTCGATATTACAACAATCTGAGTTCTCTATCTTGTAAATAGTATGAACAATACATTTATATCAAGATGAACAACTTTATTATCATGAAGAAATGCTACAGCTTCGAGTACTTGTTTAGTAATATTTATTGCTTTTGATTCTTCTAAACAACTTTCTAATTCGAGAACTATTTGTAAATCACCTTCTTGTGCACTTAAATATGCATATAATATAATTATCGTTAATGATTTTCTCTTCTTATTTCGTAACTTACTACTCGAGTATAAAGATAGCTTCACTTGATAAATAAAATACTTGATAAAGCCTTACAAAATTTGGATGTTTACACGATAATTGAAGTATTCGTAATTTATTAATGGCTTGTTGTAAATGGCGTTTTCTAATTATTTTTGCTGCATAAATTTGATCTATTGTATCTTTTCTTATGGATTTTTTCACTGCTGAAAAACGACCACTAAAAAATGAACAATTTGTCGATGATATTTTATCGAAAATACTAAATCATTTACTGAAAAAAATCTTCAGTTAGCTTATACAGAGAATGAAACGAAGCTGTAATGCAATGATGAGTAAATTCACCTGGTACTGCTCTTTGAATCATGATACATATGAGCGATTGATGTCCATACAAAATAAGATATTAGATACAATAAATTCTGAAACAAAGTGTAGTATTAATATCATACATATGAGAGTAAGAGAACTAAATCATGGATAAATCCAGATGATAATAGAAGAGAGTAATTATTGCTTTTACAAAAGAAAAAAATGAATCAATTAAATAAATTAGATTAGCAAGAAAACATGTTATTACTTGATTTTATCTTTATTTATTTATTTATTTACTCATAATCGATAGCAAAAAATTGGACTACGAGTATATGTTTGACTGTGATACACATCGTCTAGGATAGCCGAGGACAAGAAGAAGAAGAAGCAAACTATCTAAAAGTAAAAATTACATTAAATTATAGAATGGTTCGACGTCTCACCAGGATATTATGAACGAAAGATTGACTGTCTTCTTTATCGAGAAATGTTGAGAAAGGAAAATTGATGTATTTATGTGCATGCATAAGATCGACCTACTTCGAGGTTACGCTGTCGTACTTGCGCCTGGTCGTTCATTTAGTTATTCTTTCTGACACATCTATACAGTGTAAGATTCCGTGTGGTGACACATTCCATAATAAACGAAAGAGATAAAATGTTATATTGCACAATATCGTAATTCACATACATATGAATGTTAAACAGCAGAAATCTAATGGATTAACGAGAAATCAATTATATCAAAAATTTATTAATATCTAAAAAGGGATAGCATCACAAGTGTTTCAGTTTGTACTGAACGATATAATTTATCATTGATTAGCTATGTATTAACTGTACTCGTAGGTATCGACTTCATATTGAAGTGCTTAGACATCGATAAATTAGATTCATAGATAAAAAAAAACGTGTTCCACATATAGGTTCAACCTCTAGGATGTATACATATTATAATATCAAGGGGGGAAACTGGCGATTTCCATTAGCAATGTCAGACCATTTCTAATTTTTGAAAAGTGTATGCGCTAATAAAATGAAACACTAACGAACTATAATAAGGTGTAATGTAGTTCTCTCATTTCAATGCGATTCTATATCGGATATATTTACTGATGGCCAGTAAATGTATGCAATCATGAACTAACCGAACTGATTGACTTACGTTAGATACATGTGTAGGATCCAATGTCTAACGTGAACAAATAGTCAGAATTAACCTGAAGTAACGAATATTGACATGAAAACTTTGGGCTTTTGTTGTAAGCAAGAAAATATACACGAGCAACGCACAAATCAAGACATTTCTAACTTGATTCTTTAGAAAAAAATCTTTCTTCTAATGTTTCCTAAATGTAAACATCGGATAAGATACTACATTAGTTTTTGAGAGAAGGAAAATAATTCTATTTTAACAGAATACAAGGAAATAGAATAAAAATCGTTTCATGTTTTCAATTCATTCACTGATTGCTGCTGTTTTTGTAGGGCTCATATTATGTATTAGTTTCATACTTACAAAAAGTTGTTAACATACTTTTTGGAGGAGAAATGAATAAACAAAAATTACTTTTGGTTCGACACAAGCTACTAAATTAGTCATCATTGGCGCCTTTCATAGATCAAACTGAATTCAATGTTGCAAATAAATTCTTGAAAAATATATCATGGTCTACGAGTAACAAAGAGTTTTCTTTTTCGATATTGCTTGTTTGCTACACATTCAACTGAATGCCATACTATACCAAATATATTCGATGGTGTGATACTATTCCAAAATGTATTATACACCTATGATCAATATCCAGACGTTGTAATCTTTTCAATAGTGTAAAAATACAAATTAACACAGATTTAGGAAAAAAATGTTTAGCAGTAATTGTTTTTCTTGTCGTTGTATAGATTGTTTTGCCTTGTATATCGGTATTTATATTTGCGCTAGTGGTAACAGTTGATAGACAGCAGCATCAACTCTTTTAATCGCTAATTTAGTTTTTGCTCTGTTTGCATTCTCAGCTATGCATAATAAAAATATAAATAGAACGCTTATGTTTACCTACTATTGGTCAATATATAGTTGTATAGATTTGAAAAAATATTATCGTTGTAATACTCTAATAGTAGAAGATTTATTTTATAAAGAAAATGTACTAAATTAAAAAAAAAGAAACTTTCTGAATATAAAACAGATATTGTCATATGAATGAATATTGATTTATTTTTTATCATTCACAATATGAAGAGCTCATTATAAAAGTGATTCAATGATATTTGAATTTAAAGATTATTAATTGGCTTTGATGAAAATTTCTGTATAATAAGTAATACTGCACTTTAATTATAGTTTAGTAAGTGCTTGCATCATGATATCAATCGTGTAGCTTATATCTATTTTGAATTTTCGACCTATACGATTTGAACATTTCATATGTTTAGAATCAATAATTTTATCGATGAAAACATAGAAAAATTTTCATTCGTTTCTCTGAAATAAGGATTAACAATATTGAAAAGCGATATACTGAAGTAATATTATTTTTGTAATTAGTTACGTTTGTTCGTCTGGAACAATAATGTTGGTATACAAATTCATTTATTTAAGAAATAAATACAAAGCAAAACTTTGAAATTAAAATTCTTGTAGATGAAATTTATTCATTTTATGTTTGACGTGACAATTACTAAGGATAGAGCAATGAAGGCCAACTGTTGGCCATTGCTGTTGCATCTCTCACTAGCAAATATGTTGAAACCCACTTAAAACTTTCAAAATACCATTGTAACAAATCCTAGCCCTTGAAATTCGGTAATTTGTAATATGACTTTGATCTTCAACAATCTGAACCACAAAGAATTTTGATATGTATAAAAGAACATCAATAAAGAACTATGTTACTTGAGACAAAACATTTATTTCCACTGTATTACCATGATATATCCAATTGTGGTTGATTGTATCGCTGTATCTCTCGCAATAACATGTATGAGTTATAAAATTAAAAAAACTAGATAATCTTTTATATTGTATTTATTTGAGTTTACGTAGTGATAAGAAGAAGAACAAAAAGTAACAAATATGACAGTAGATGGTTATGCTAGATTAAATGTGAGAAGAGAACGCTAGTGCACATCATTCATTGACAACAAAAGATAATAGCTAGACTAGAACGTAACTTTCCATTGAGATGCAAAAATTGAATAGAACATTTTTTTTGAATTTTCTGAAAAAAATAAAGAATTAACAGAATAAATTGGTATGAAAATTTCGTTGATTTTAATTATTTTGTTTATGGTGACGGAAGTTTTTCTTCTCGCTTCGTTCGTATTAATGTTCGTGTATCGATATGTTTAATTCGTCGAGCATTTTTCGCCAAGTCTGTTGTTGCTTCAACCATATCTCTTAGTGCATAAGACAACGTATGAAATGTTAACACGTCACCAATCGATTGACTTGATACAAATTCAGTACGAATAAAACGATTATTAGCATGAAGAAATTGTATTAATGATGTAAACATTAAATCGACAGCATTACGTAATGATGGTAATGGTTCAGGAACTTCTTGTGAACTACGGCAACAAGACAAAAATTTGTAATGATTTGCAACCATTGGTAGTGCTTCAGATTGTGGAGGAACATAAAAAGATGGGCCACGATTTAATCTTCTTTGAGTTTTTAAAAGTTTTATTTGCTGTTCATCATATGAATCTTCCCGACATAATTGTTGTAATTCAAATGAACCAACATCAACTGCTGCTTGTGTTTTGATTAATTGTTCTGTTAAAGATAATACTCTCTGAATTTGATTTTCAAGTGTACGAATATGTTCGAGAACAGGTTGATATAATGTTGTATGTGCTAAACGAAGTGATGCTGATGAATTATTCGATACTAAAGTTTTTTGTTCAAATCTTGCTGTTGAATTTGTAGAATAATTCATAAAAATTGTTAATGGTATGTCAAGATCATTTTGTAATTGTCTTTTTTTGCGTAAATCAGTTGTTGTCCAAGAATGAGATGGTTTGGACTCATCACCAGTGTTTACCTGAGCAATACTTGTGCGACGCATTTGCCATCTAAAGAAAATTTAACATAGAATTTAGATGATATCAAAAATAGTAGTTAACAGAAATATTTGAAGAATGCTCAATAATACTTTTTCCGTATAATTGGTTTGTTTTACACATCATTCCTTGACATCCTTCATAAATTATAATTGAGAAAAAAACGAAGTTTGAAGAAGAGAAAGAAAATACAGAAATAAGTTCATGAAATATTTTTTTAATCAACCGTTTTGATCACTGAGATTTTTATAAGAGCTTGAATTGTCTCGGTCATTACTTTTGATTCACTTTAGATATAGTTTAAGAGAAATTTTTCAAAATTACTTGGCTTCTTGAGCAAAATGTAATTTTGATTCAGCTTCAAGTATTGTTGTACAACGATGAACAAAACGAATATTCGCACTAATTCGACGTAAAGATTTAGCGATGTCATTGTAACGATCTTTCACTTGCACAAATGGCCGTTTCCAAAAGTTCGGTTCATTGATTGCTTCATCAAGTAGAGCAGAAAAATTGTCAGCAATACCTTCAGTTTCTCCAAGAGTTTTCATTAGATTAAATGATGCTTGTTTTGATGATGTATTTGGTTGAGGTGTAACTGATGAACCAATAAATGTACAAAAATCATCGCATGACGCTTGTAATGAGCCAGATACATTTTTAATCATCAAGCATACCTAAATATTGTTCAACAAAACCATAAATTTCTTCTTTTCCAAAAACAAAAAGTAGAAGAATAATTACTTTCTTTTTAATTAATGCACGAGCTGTAATTGGTAGCAATATATTAGAAATAAGAACATGTATAAATATTCCCAGAAATGTTAAACTTGTTCGAGCTAAAACAGCTTTATTGGACTCATCCATTTGTCCCTGATGATTGGATAGAAACGTTATGATCGACGCTGATTGCGCACAGACACTAGCAAAATATTCTTTTCTTGGATCTGTTTTAAGATATCCCATTAATCCAACAAATAAACAAATACATATTCCAACACCTACATGATTCTGTGTGACAAGTACACTAACATATGCATAAGTTGAACCAAGTAAGACAGCCATTAAACGTTGAAATGATAAACGAAGTGTACCACCTTCAGATGAATCGGAAACAAGTGCTGTAGTCATGGGTGCCCAATAAACCCAGCCGTATGCTTGTAAACGTTTACGATATGTGAAAACAACGACAGCAGAAATAAGTACACTTAAACTTGTTTTTACTGCGCGTACTAATTTACCAAACGATGGTCTTATACCAATATAAGTAGCAAGATCGTAAAAAGGTTTTTTCCAGTTGAATGGCTTTTTTGATTTCTGTACATTTGTTGTTGAATCTGTACCAGTATCAAGACGAGCACCAGGAGTTTTACTTGTTTCAGCAGCAGTGATTGTTACATGAACAAGGCGTAAAATAAGTAGAAGAAATGTATTCAAATGAATGGCATCTGTATTTGATATCTTAGCATGACGAGGATTTTCGCGTACTTGTGTATATGTTTCAAAAAAGTCTTCAAGTGCTTCTTCCACTTTAACTCGACAAGCAATGGTTTGTGTTGTATTGAAATAGTTTGTTGATGATGTTGTATATCGAATTGTCGAATCCAAGAAATCAAATGTTGAATCAAGAAGACGACATATTGTCTAAAAGAGAAAAACTGTTAAAACTAATATGCAGAAGATCGTTTCTATTTAAAAATATTTTCTAACATCACAGTTTTCCACGCGGATATAATCATTTTTTTGCAAACTGTATTAAACGATAGAATATTCATTTGTTTTTTGTAGATTATTTCCGAAAATTATTTCAACTTCTTTTATGCATACTTCTCTTTAAAAAAAGAAAACTTACATTAATTAATTGTCGTTGACCAACAAATGCTCGATGATGATGATCTAATGTTAATAAACCGGTAATTGTTCGTTGTATAGCGGCAAGACTTGTCGTCCATATTGATAAACGTGTTTCTAATGTTGATTTTGTTTTGATGAACTTTTTTATAAACGGAACATGTCGTAAGAATCCTCTTATGAAATTGAGGAGTGTCAAAAATATGAAATAGGGTTCATATGAAATTTCAGTCAAAGCACGTTGCATTTGTTTTAGTTCTTCATTAACTAATGCATGCAAATCTTGTATATCACTTTTAAGTAAATGATCATCTTTTAAATCTTCAAGTGACGCTGAACAACGATAAAGATCGTCTTCACGATAAGAATTCGATGGCATTTCAATACCACCATCATTATTATCATCAGAATTACTCGCATTTAATCTATTTTGATTAGTTTGGCCATCATATCCTTCGTTTAAATGTATATTATGATATTCAGATATGAATAAAACAATAGCTGTTATTTCACGTCGTGCCTGTCGAGTAATAAATCTCATACGCATTGTTAATTCTCGATAGGCAGTTGGTATAACTGGCAATGGAATACTTGTAACAATCACGGCAAGTGTAGCACCTGCTGTTAATGACAGCCAAACTTGAAGTACAAAAAAAGTGTTTATATGTGGTTTTGTTATCCATTGTAAAAGTATAATACATGTCGGTACAATAGAAAATCGACGAACAGTTACAGGTAAATCAGTATAAACAATAAGAAGAACCAGAATATTCGTTGCACCAATGCCTACAGAAACCTTTCGTGGACAAAAATTAATAATTAAAAGACAATATGCAGCCGAAATGGCACCAGCAATAAATAAACGAAGGGCTGTTTGAATTGTTGCACCAAGTGTACTTTTAATAGCAACTATAAAACTAATACCCAGCAGAAGTTGACCTTGTATTAATTGAGATGTTATTGGAGAAAGAGTAAATCCAGCTACACACTATTATTTTTAGATTTAACATAGAATAGTTTTTCATGTATAACGTGCATTTTTTCATTGTTTACTTACAGTAATTCCTAGGAGAGTGCGAAACGCTATGATTAAGCGAGCTGAAAATGCCGGTAATATTGGATGCCATAATTTGAATCGTGGTAGCCGCATAGAACGTTGCTTCGATGATGTCATTATTCTATTAGTAATTACAACATATGAGATTATATCTAAAATACACGAAAATATGATTCACATAAGATGTGAAAACCGTAGCAATATTTTATATAATATATTTGTGAATATGATTCTGAATACTCTACAAATGTTTGTTGCATTTTTTTCTTAACATGAATAAATTATTGGCGACACTTAAGTATCAATCAGGTTTGTTAGCTCTCGTTTTGGGGATTATGTATTAATGGTAGAACTAATATTTAGTCTGCCAAAAATAGAGAGCTAAACATGTTTCAATAATAGGTTTTTGTCGTCGTATCATATATAGAATATATTAAGTATCGAGTATTCGATACGATAGAACATCAACAACTGCGCAATAGCGAACGAAAATCAATCACGAGGATTAGTCATAGTCGAAAATATTACGTAACAAATCAAAATAGAGATCATAACAACAGATAACACGAATAAACGTTTAGCGTCAGTGAGTGCCATCTACTGAGGCTAACAAGGTTATGCTTATTTATTTTGTTTTATGTAATTCGATTCTCCGATTACCTTGATACTGGTTTTTTTTCTTGTTCTAACTCAAACGAACAGGTTAGTATGATTCATGTTATCTAGATTAATTGTTTCTCGATAAAATGTCACGCAATGTGTAACATAGAATGTAATAAAAATTTACGCAGATGGAGAAATTAAAGGGAAAAATAAGAAATGTGTATGAAGGTGAGTGCATACTCACATAGAAAAATAAAAAGCCAGCAAAAGCCTGTTTCTTATTGACAATACCAAACTAGATTTTTTTTCATTTGTCTGATTCTGCTTATTTAATAATATTATTCAATCACACGCTACACATACATTTTTTGCTCTTGTCCCCATTTCGCTCTGAAATATATCCAAATATTCACCTTAATATAATAAGTGATATAAAAAAAGAAACAACAACATAAGAATAATGGCTGATCGAACTGAAAAACATGGCTTTGCTAAACAAGCTTATGATAAAGTAAGCAGTAAAATATTTAATAGTTATGATATTATAAACACTTTGGATTTCTTTTTTATCTATTCGATTATTGAGTGGAAAAGAGTTTCTCAAGCCATGCAGCACATTTTTACTTCGATTACAAATCATTTTACTCGTAAATGGAAAGATCATATCAGCCATATCTATACAATAGCCAATTTCAAAATCAAAAATCAATGAGAACTAAATCTACTTAGTAACACTAGTAGAATTTACTAGAGAATAATATATTTGTTTTCGTATGTTCACCAGAATCTATTTGACGTGTCAATATATGGATCTATTTCTTCGTAAATGGTTAAGAAAAATTTTGACAGAAATATTTCAAGGAAGTTAGTATGAGATCATGAAAAATTCTATATACACAGATTTAGCAGTCTTATATATTAGAAAAATAACCAACGATTACTATTTGAGCTGCTCATAAGCTTGTCTTAGATAAAAGAGCTATTTGAAAAAAAGTAGATAAAATATAATTTTATTAGGATCAATTTCATTGTTTGATAGAAAAACTTGATTTATTTTTTATCAATATAGATTCAATCAAAATATGATGTAGCGCAAGCTCAAGAAGCCTTGAAGTGGATTAGTGAAATGATTGGTGAACAATTCGATACTAGTGGAGATATGGATAATGTTTATCAGCAATTAAGAGATGGACGCAAACTTTGCCAGTATGTATTGATCTATTTTTTTTATTGTGACTCGCTCATATATTTAAGAGGCTTCAGAAAAAAAAATGCTGTTAAAAACTAGGCTTCATCGTTATATTAACAAAATATCTTCTTCATACAGTTTGACTTTGCAGTGTCATAGATGGGTTTTTTTCAGGATTTTCTTTGTTTTCTTTCGTTATTAGATTAATGAATACTATTGTACCAAATTCGATACCAAAAATTAATAGCGGTAAATACTTGAAATAATTCTTTCGTATCTTAGAGTTTTATTTCAATGAATTAAGGTGAAAATAATTTTAAATTAATGGAAAATATATCACGTTTTGGTCAAGCTGCTAGAACTTATGGGTTATCGGATTCAGAAACATTTCAAACGGTAGATCTCTACGAAAAAATGAATCTTCATCAAGTTATTATTTGTCTTTTTGCTCTTGGTCGAAAAGTAAAATAATAAAATAAAATTTTCTTTAACAAAAAGAAAGTTAGACTTTTAAAATATTTAGACTCAAAAACAAGGTATCCGTGGTCTAGGTCCAAAAGAAAGTGAAAAAAATGAACGGAATTTCTCACCAGAAACACGTATACAAGGTAATACAGTAATCAGTACTCAATATGGTTACAACAAAGGAGCAACACAATCTGGTATTGTCTTTGGAAATTCACGGCATATGTAATACTCGATTTTGCTTTTAAATTTACACAAAAACGCATATATTGTTTTGTCTACCATATGTGCATTAATCGTTTCTATTTCTTCGGCTTGATTATGAACGCAAAAAACCATTTGACATCTTTTCTTATTCTGCTTTTCTTCTATCACATTTCAGCATTTCAATAATCATATATTTATATTTATATATTTACAATAGAAAAACAAATAAAATACATTCAACTCACAGAACAAAGTCATTCGTATATTTATGTTTGCTCATCAGTAAAAAGCTTGTTCTTCCACATGGCATAAATAGGAAGTTACTTCAGTAAATCTTCAGTGACAAAGAGAGAGATAACATATATCTAAATAAGTATTAAGAATACATATAAAGTATGACAAATAAAAAGTTTCGCCATTCTTTATGACTAATGTCTGACCTCACAATAAAACGAGAATAAACGTCCAATGATGCATAGTATATGAATAATATGTAATAAAAGATATGACATTTCGAATATAACTCGATATTTCATCATATACATGATAATTGGCAATCCATGAGTTCCAAGAACAATTATTAAGAATCCAAATGGTGTTTGAAAACCTTGATATAATTAAACGTACATATTAGAAATAGAATATAGAAATAATAAAATGATATATTCATATATATATACCATTTTTCAGAGCGTTTCGAACAATCAAATCATTACTAGATGATAATTTTAATTTCCAATCAGATCCATGATGATTCAATGCTACAAATGTAATCCATTCAATGGATGTAATGAATATTCCGATCTAATTTTGAAAATAATTCATTCATTATGTTATTTTATTATTTTCTATTACCGATGCGATTCGTGTCCATAGAATTCCCCGTCCAATATTATCAATAACAATATCTAAGAATTCACCAAATTTCGATACTTGATTAAAATATCGAGCAGTCCAACCGTCAACAGCTGCATAATAAAGTTAAGTTTCTAACTAATAAAAATAAACTATAACCTAACCGTCTAGAAGTGCTTGAATTACATAGAATGTTAAGAAAACAATTGGATCGTCAAAATAATACCAAGCAAGAACAAGAAGACATACACGAAAGTAGCCTAGAAGGGTAAAAAGAACTATGTTTCTTTTGTTTTTTAATCAAACAGTAATTTTCTTCCACCGATTAGATTTGGAATATATAAAAGCGTATGGATTTTGTTCATAGTTTTTCTTGAACTAATTAGTATTCTAAAACAATCTAAAGTGACAAATGGTTTTGTTTCCTATAACGTTCATTCTTTAAAAAAATTTCATTAGAAACTATATAAACAAAAGATTTGCCTCGAGGGAAATCTGATTGTAGAATTATTTTGAATGTTGTTTTCTTCCAAAAGTTAAAATATCAGGAGATCATTCTTTGACTTTGTTATTTTCATTGAACCACATATTATCATAAATCTAAAAATAAGACGATCAATAGTATAACTAAATTAATCGTTAGATCTCAAGATTGTTATCAAAAGAAAAAATCATGGCCAGTAAATAATCTCCTGTCATTTATCTCTTGAAACAGATCAAAGGACCACTTCTCTCATATCTTCGATTTCAGTTACATTCTGAAAAAGCTTGCATGGAAGCAGTACAATATTTTTGAATGATGACAAAAATAAAAATCCAGATGTAAAAAGTATCTTTATTTTTTAATAGATAACAAGTAATATATGAGTTAGATGAAGTATTGACGAGATCAACAATAATATCGAGGTTCGTATTGATTCAGTTTGTTTATCAAAATAAAAGAAAGTAATATCGTATAACAACTAGTTCAACCGTCAGCATATCTATAGTAGGATTTCTTTTGCAGTAGTAAAAGTCACAAAATTGAATCTAATTTACTTTATCTAGTTTCACTAATATTTTTCTCAGTGCAAAATTTTTGTTGATTTATGAACAATGAAATAGGATGAATGGAGGCCTTTTGCTTTGTCAACTTTGTTGCATTCATGTTGTTAAGTTTTCAGCTGATTTTGTTTGAGTATTTGTCTATTTTAGAATACAGATATTGTAATTGGTTCATCTGAAGAAAGAAATAATGAATGAATTAAAAATGTGAACAAGATAAACGGATTGTCAATGAATTCGATGCTTTTTACAATCATTAAAAAACATTTCGAAGCTATTTTAGTTAAATCTCAATCATAGAAAATAAATTAGCTTTTTCTTTGGGTCGTCAAGAATCTTTTTTTTTAATAGACTATAAATTCAAAAAAATGAAGCAGTAACTTGATATATTTATATTATGAATAGCACGATCATCGAAATTTTCATATTTTCTTAATATTCTAGAACATGCGGAAAACATCATTTTCAACACTCGACATTAGCTATGCTAAGGAAATAGTTATTTGATAGCTACATGGTGGGAAAGAACCTTTAAGTTTCTTATTACACTAAAAAGCTTGAATCAATCATGCATTAGTGTACACGAGACAAATTGCAAATGTACTGATAGATCAAAATTCCTGTAAATGGTATTATTTCAATGATACACTTTGTTTACTTTCTCGCCAACGATATCAATTTATTTAGTACCAAAAGACTAATTCCTATAGAATATCGACGTAAAATCATAATATATGTGTTTCAGGCATCAAAATTGACACGGGGCGATGACAATTTCTATCCAAAATAAACAAAAACAAATCAAGTTATGACAACGAATTCACATTTAATCTAAGACGATTTCGTTAAACATCTGTCCCAGCGAATACATACATGACATTACATATTCATTTTATTGTCATCTGCTATTTAATATTTATCAAGGATTAGTTAATAACATTTTTTGCCTTTATCAGAAATGTAGACAGATTCATTTATTGGTTTTTTTCTCTCGCCATGAATTTAAGCTTATTTTTATGAATAACAGAAATAGATCTGTCAGTGTTTATTAGTTTGTTTTTTAGTCTTTGGAAACAAATTATGCTGATTTTTATAATTATATGCATACAAATAAGTTGGTTGCTTTAGAGTTTTCCTTTAATTACTAACAGTATTCATTGAAGAATAAAAATAGATTAACAGTTCGTATTATTATTATTATTACTATTCCATATAGATGTTTCAACAGTATCGTCTAGCTTTATCATTCATTTCACGATCTATGAATTATCATGATTTTTGCATTAGTAAGATTCCAATATTATAGATAAAACGATATGATTGAACAAAATCATCAAAAAGATTAGCTAAAACCCATGGGGCCTACATCTTTATACGAAGTACTTTCGACATCTCAAAGCAGTTATTATCAATCTATAAAATAAATATATAAATAAAATGGCGATAAGAGAAAAACAAATCTGACATATTCAGTAGATCTATCTCATGAAGCAGATACACTTATGGATGGTATGAGATGGAAAGAATCCAAAGAAAATTCTATACGCCTTGTTTTCTAATTGAAAGTACGACATATGAAAATATGAGAGAGAAAAAGAGAAAAAAAAGAGGATTAGTTAGAGTTACATACAAAATCAGGAATAGAAAATAATTGTCAAAAGCTTATCGTTTTCTGACATTTCTCTTTTGGTTTCTTTTAACTGTCATTTCCTTCTTTATGTTTTAAAAGAAAATAAGCCACGACAAACATGATGAGGAAAAAATCTGTAGAAAAAATTACAGATCTTTTTTGACTTTCATGTCCTATCTATTCATAAAATAAGTCAGAAATAGGTTTTCTTTATATTTAACGTTAATGAATAGTGATGATGAAGTCCTAGGTCTATATTTTTTTGTCTTCAGCGTAATTACTTTAGTTTGGTATGCGTTAATGTCCTTACGCATGCTTAGAGAAGACATATTTTTTCAATTATTAGAGCTTATCGTTCCGCTTAAGGATGATGCTCTTCATTCGATATGAATGTCTGCCTATAGAAAAGACATGCAACTTGCTAAGAAACATCATGAGATAAACATGAAGCATCAACACAAACATCACAATAGCAGTGAGAAAGAACAATACCAATCATAACTTTTTTTTCTATTATAAGAAATGAGACGAAAGATCGTTTTGTAGTATCCAACGTCCTTTAGATGTTACACATATAGATCTATACACGAATACAAAGACATAGTTCAATAGAAACACCAAGAGGATGTCAACGATCATTTTTGTATGCGTAAGAGATAATTGGCACACTTGACAATATGTGTTGTGCCGATGCAGATTGAGTCTAGTTTCTTTTTTCGATTATGCGAAGCAAACATTCCTCTGTTTTTCTTTTCTTTTTCTTCTTTTTTTTTCTACATTGTTCGTCGCTCATTGTCTCTTTTTCTTTGTTTTCTTATAAAAACTCTAATCTTGTCTCATAGTATTTTTCTTTCGTTGTTAGATCACCATCAGCGTCTATAATAAACATAACGAACTCATTATAGGCTTTCTATTCTTTGTGAACTATCGAACAGAAGTATTAATTATCCAATATAAGGTATTCTTGTTTCTATAGACTTTATCCAATGTTTCTTTTTCGATAATTCCTTATTCTCTAGATGCATAAACAGTACTGAAGTACTTCATGGCTATATAGCTATGCATTTATGCTAAATATATTTATGGAAAATTTCATTTAAAAATAGAAATCAATAGAAATCATGGCTAATCCATTACAGTTGCGAACTTCTCAAGAATACAATAGTACCAATTCAAAAATACGTCTACCGCCAATAACATTAAAATTGAATGACGAATCATCAGGTTTTGTTCGTATCCCATATTCATCAATGGGAACAAGTCAGGGAACAATTCAATCATTATCATCATCTTTTGATGGTAAAATGAAGACAACATCAATGTCAGCGAAACGTCGTTCATCGGCAATCATTCTTAATAGTTTATTATCACGTCGAAAAAGTTTACAAACAACAGCGTTAGCAACACGACGACAAAGTCTTTGGATGAGTATTGCAAAAAATGTTTCATTATCCAATGATTTTCAAATATCACCTTTACCATTACCACAAGGAGATAATTTAATACGAAAAAAAGTTTTACGCTTATTACTGGTTTTTAGTTATTTAATATCTATATCATTACTAGCCATTGCTTTAGCCACATTTTATGGTTTTTTTTGGTCCGGTTACAGTCAATCACAAACAATAACAATAACAGCAACTGTTGAATCTCTTATTTCATTAATATCAAACTCAACATTTGTTAATTACGAAGCGGAAATAGAAGATGTAACTTGAGATCAATCACTAAATTGTATAACTATTGATGTTTTTCTTTACAGAATTTATTAATGACAACTACACCCTGATGTGACAATATTATTCATATCTTATGTTGAATAAATACAAAAAATAATATGGATTTATTAATGATCATACTGTCGTTATTTGGATGCTTGACTATACTTTTACGATTGTTTTATCTGTAGTCAAAAACAAAAGGTAACAGAATGAAAAATAAAAGTTTTTTGCATTTCTCATCTGAAAATCTCTTTAGAAACTGAGAAGAACAACTTCAATCACATCTATTAAAAACCTCTTGGTTTACTGATGATAATTATTAATTTGTTTTTTCGCTAAGTGTCTTTCGTCATCTGGTTTATTTTTGCTTTACTCCATATGCATAGGGATTCTTGTTAATTGCTCAGAGAAAATCATATTAAGACGCCTTAAAGCATGTGACTATCATTATCATCAATTACAACTCATCGTTCGATTCCTATACTCCAAGTTGCTTCATGCATGATCATCTTCAATGTTCTTATCAATATATCTGCCATAGAACAGCAATTCTTTTTTTCTATATTCTTTTGGAAAAATATCTGCAAAAATAAGAAGAAGAATTTTTCGCTCGTGTTACTTTACTATCCTTGGGTATACATAAATATATCTTGATCATGCGTAAATTTATAAATGTGAATACTTATACAATCCATATATGGATTCTTTAGAATAGTCATTGTTAAAAACTACAAATATTGTCCCTTGAGAAATGATCTTTTTTCATATGATCAATACAGAACATAGTAGTTCTTATGTAGCACTTGACTGAATACTATTGTCCAGTTAATTTCGTATGACCTGTCATCATCTGATGAATCTCATGGAGCTAATTGGGAATATTCGTCTAATAAAAAAATCTTCATATTTTACCTCAAATTGATCATTCCCAGAAGCATAATCAAATGTTTCTTTTTGATTCAATTCAATGCAACGAGATAATATTCTCTTCCACAATTGATGATCATCTATGTTCAATATAAATCAAAAGAAAAATGAAAATTAATTTAATTGGAAATTAACAACAAAATCTTAGAAATATACAAATAATAAATATTGCTTCGCATTTATCTAGATCTTCCTGTACCTGAATTTAATGAATATTCGACACAAGAGAACAAAGAAACAACAAACCATGTTTAGAAGTCAACAACAACAACAACAAAAAAGCAATGAAAAGAAATAATAAATAGAGCAAACTTCACTTCCGTATACTGTAATAAAAGATGAAATTAAAGTAAAAACAAGAGTAATTATAAATATTTTTATTTTACAATGAAAACAAAAGGAACAATGAATTTTATACTGATTGAATGAAACCTGAACATGTTGAGCATGTATACAAACTCGAATCGACAAACGCCAATTTGATGCTTGATGAACTATCATGCTGTACAGATGATATATTAGTCTGTTGTAATTCTTTGATTAATTCAAAAATACGTAATTTTGTCTCGTCGCTTAACATTGAAAATTTCGAATCAGTAGGTTTATCGCTATGTAAAGGCATTATCTGATTATTGGTTGTTGATGATGACAACAACGGATGATTCATTGTTCGGAATTCTTCTAAAAGTAAGATTTTCATAAAAAAATCTATTCAAGTAGAAAATAAGACCAATAAAATGGTATTATCATTCATTATGATAAAATATATTTAGAATATAGAGAAATAGAACTTTTCAATGTTATGTTCATTATGACTAAGGCAATGTTCGGAACGCTGATTACAATTTTTCATTCTAGTTCTAAGCGATTATTCATTTGAATTTGTGTCCGCAAAACACTGATATATTATATTAAAAAAGTTCGATTTTATATCGATTCTATTCGTTCGAAAAATATTCTAAAACATCAACTTTATCATCGTTACTTTTCCAGAGAGATAAGTCATAATAGGCAGAACTCTCGAATCTATCCTATTGCCACTAATATTAGTTCGATTTTCGAATGAAATAAAATGCTAGTCACAGTTTAACTAATTCTGTTAAATATTAATTTATAACAAAGTATGGCAGTACGATTATAAACTCAATTGTGTATTGTCAACGACTATGTTACATTTCGAGTTTAAAGCATATGTGAACTCTATTGGATTAAAGTCATCGATTGTCCGATTTGATATACGTATGTTCAGTTTTTAGAACTTACGAATATCCTTTGTATTACATGTTAATTCCATAGACGAATTCATATTAACTTGTGTTAATGACATTTGAGTGTTAGATTTTTCTAATTGAGTTAAATTTGTCATTGGTATGTTTAAAATCTGGACAAATAATATTTCTAATTCTGATATTTTTTTCTAGATTAAAAAATTAAAAAATATTTTATTTTCTATTCTGATGACAGCAAAAGTTAAAAAAAAATTACTTGCAAACTCATTCGATCGTGCGTTAATTGTTGAATATAAATATCTTTTTCTTGATAACGTTTTTGAAGTTGTTCACGTTGTTGCTGATATAAATAGATGTAGTCACCTAGTTTCATTTTAAATAGAAACTAAACAGGAAAAACGTTCAAAACCTATGCTAGATGTATACCTATTGTTTCAGTTTCACTTTGTAATTGTTGAATTACATGTTCAAGGTGTTCTATACGAGCTTTTAAATCAATATTTTCACGCATGGTTTCATTTACTTGATCCTTCAAAAAAAGAAATATTTTCCCATGAAAAATGTACAAAAATAATGTTTACAAGATTCATTTGTTGAACTTGATTGTTATCGTTGATATCTTTTAATAACGATAAATTCATCGATTGATCATCAGTTTGAGTTGGTTGTTCATTGTTCAAGTTTGACTGATATCCTTTTAAATATTCGATTTGCTTTTTTAAATTAATATTTTCATTTGACTAAAAATAAAAAATAATGTTGCTGTTTTTGAAAATATTATTTTAATATTGATTACTATTTTATGAAAATTTTCTTGAAATTCTATTGATGGATGTTGACCGTTTGCATCATTATTATTATTTGTTTCAAGTTCAACAATGATTTCATCTTTTTTACTTAATAATCTAAAAAAACTTGAATCGGATTAACAAAACAATAAAAGATAAAGTACATAGTCATTGCATCTAATTTTGATTTTAATTCTTCATATCGATTCGACCATTGTTCTATGGCGTTACGATAAAAATTATTTTCTTGTTGAAGATTAGTATGATCGACTAATGAACACTGATCAGATAAGTTCATTGGATAAGCTATTTTCATTGCATCATTTTCATTCAGTAGAAAATTATTTCTCTCAGTTAATTGAACTATCTGAAATAGACACGATTCTATAACTGTTAGATACTTTTAATCTTACATACCTGTTGATTTAACTCTTTGATATGATTTTGCATATTTATATTATATTGTTGGAATTGTTCATTATCGGAACGCATTCGGTTGATCGACGAAGAGATCTTTTTTGAAGATGAATAGAAAACGAAAATAAGTTTAATGCATCAACTATTTTTATATTCAATAGAACTAATCTTGTGTTCACCGTATCGTCAATATGAAGATAATCATTTGAAAACTACATATTCTTTACAATCAGCTTGTATTAACTATGTTTAATTTACTTTTCGATATTTCGTGTTACTTAACACAGAAGTTGAGAATCTTATTTTTTCCATCCATATATTTCAAAATTGAGATATTATTATAATTACATTTGCAACTAAATTGAATGCGACGGCTCATGGTAATGTGCACATATAAATTAAGCCAATTTTTGCTACTCATTTGGTCTACTATGATATATTCCTATCTAAACAAGAGTTTTATCTTATATCTACTAAATGGCTGTTTTTTTTCCAGTATGCTTTAACTGTTTTGATCGATCAAAATTACAGATGCCAACTGTTCAGATGAAACATCAAATGGCGGTTCGTGTTGAGTCTGGTTTTAAGTAAAGTGTTAAAATTGAGGTATACCAGACTATTCTCATGAAAAGCAAATGACGTTTTAACACGAAGTTCATCAATTGTTAAGTAAAATAAATGTTTATTTGTTTTTTGTTGGTTTACAAAAAAATTTTGTTCCTATTGACATAGAATATATTATGCGACTATGTTTATAACGTGTTTATAAATATTGATCTATTGTTTAGATTTTCTTTGGCTCGATTGCATTTACTAAGAATCTTTATTCTTTTGAAGAAAACAAATCTTTCTATTATTTTTCATTGCTTAATTAACGTTAATTGATTTTGGCACTATTCAACGAAAGAAAAAGGAAGTGTTTAATGTCATATTTACGTCAAAAAATTTACAGAGCAGATCGTAATACATTTTTGAAGAATCTTTGCAATAGTTTTTCAAGTGCATATTAATAAGATTTTTTTCTTTTCTATCATCATAATAATATTCTGATGAAATATTTAGACCGATACTTTCTAATATTAGGATAGATTGTATCATAGGATATTGACTTGATAATAGCTGTTTAATTGATTCTTAATGAACTACATTGGTAGATATATTACTAATGCACGAAGAAGCTGTACTAATGAATGCTTCCGAATTCCTCTCTTCACTCAACCTGAATGACGCAAAATAAAATGATTTTTGAAACATTGCTCACTTCCTCTATTTGGCTGTCTTTAAATTCAATTGTTTGTTTTAGTTCATTCAGTTGTTTTTCTATAACTGATGTCTCATTAGGTTTCTAAATTATATTAATAGATAGTAAAATTATTTCTTTTTTTAAACTAATAACAAACTTGACATTGTTGTTTTGATTCTTCAAGTTGTATAGTTAATTGATCAACAAGAGTTTGTCGATTATGAAGTTTTTCATTAAGTTCATTGATACTTTGTTTCAAATCTTCAATGGATTGACTGAAATAATGAATTTATAAAATTAATTTTATCCTACGAAGAATTAAACCTTTGTCGAATATTTTCTATTTTCAATCGATCATTTTCTTTATCGAATTCTTTTGCTGCCTAAAGATAAAAAACGCAGCGTTTGAATAAGAAACTTTAAAGAAAATAAGCTATACAGACCAATTCTCGTTTTTGTAGATTTGAAGTTGAATTTGATATTTGTTTTTCAAGTTCTTGTACACGCTCTCGTGAGGCTTTTAAACGACCATGTAATTCATCCATTTCACCTTGTTTACGTTCAAGTTGTTTAAATGATTGGCCTAATTTAGCTGATACATCACTTTTTTCTGCTACTAGCATTCCAATTGTTTGTACATGTATCTAATAAGAATGATTTTCAATCAAATGAAAGCCAACCATCGATGAGTCGTAAATATTTACTTCAAGTTGTTCTTGTAACTGATTTACATCACGGCGCAATTTCTCTTCACTATCAACTGAACTTAAGTTCGAACGACCAGACTAAAAACTAAGTTACCTGTTGTGAACTTTTTCTCATTAGTGCAATAACTACCGTAGTACTTGTTCCAGTGGACGATCGTTGTCCTTCAAGACGAGAAGATCGTTGTTGACTTTGATTTTCAATCGGTCGAACATATTGACGATTTTGCTCCTTAAATATTTACATTTTATTAGTTATTGTATGTCCAAATATCATGACTTTGTCGAACGTCTATTACTTACCTCTGATACAGCGATGGGTGATTTCAATATATTTTGATGAATTCCATCGGGCATACCTGAACCAGTTACCATTGGTTGTCTAGTGAAAGAAAGAATTAGATAGATATTTAGAAACTGAAATAAACTGACACGGTATTGTAATTTAGAGACGAATTGATAGATATTTAGAAACTGAAATAAACTGACACGGTATTGTAATTTAGAGACGAATTGATAGATGTCTAGGAAAAGAAAAAGTCAATGATAAATAGATTGACTAGGAAAACGAAAATTTACTCCATGGATAGAATCAACATCTTCAGCAACACTTGTTTCAGAAGAATTTGACTGATGTTGATCACGAAATTTTTTTAACTTAAAATAAAATGATTAATTGAATAAAACATCGAAAATGAAAACTAACTTGTCGACGGGCATTCGCCAGATTTTCGCGTTTTTCATTATCAACCATGGTCCAAATTCGTTCATACACAACAATGAATGATCATATACTAGAATTGTGTGACATGAAATATTTTCTTCTAAACACTTGTTACAATCTGTCTAGTACATTAAAAAGCGCTAGATATACAATTATATATGCATTGCAAAAGGAAATATGTTAGATCAATCGATTTCGAGCTTTCGTTCCATTGGTACTTATTGGATCGAAATCATCACTTTTTTGAAAAACGGATGGCTGTGTTCAACGATAGATGTCTCTGTTTAGCAAATCTTAAAGAAGATATGTACATATACGTATATATATAATTTATCTTGTCAACAATCAAACGGCATGAACGCGGTCTGCCATGTAAGAAATCTGATAATTTTCAGTATTTCAAGCTGTATAGACTGTCAATATCTTTTTTTACTAATCCACAAATCAACGTAAAGAAGTTTGAAGAAAATGTTTAATATTTCTGTAATTTTACAATGAAAAATTTCAAATTGTGGTGTCGGGGCAGGAAAATACATATACACTGTATAAGAGTGAAAAGTATATCTGTAGAGATAATTGCAGAAGGAATTAAACATTAAAAAAATGTATACTATGAAGCAATCAAAAAAATCCGAAGAGAGACAAACTATATGAATGATAAAATTCTTTTTGTAGTGTTTTCTCACACATTGGAAGTAGCTTTTAATGAGACGGAATACAGGTTCAAAAAAATTGAATTGATTAAATTTTATTCTACGTCATTAAAAATCGATTAAGACTTCCAAATAAATTATATTGATCACATCCATCAGAAGCTCGACAAGATTCAACAACATTGAAAGATTTCATTGAAAAACACAAAATCATCCGAAAATCTCTTTTTTTTGTCAACATGCAAAATACTCTTCGATGAAATTGTTACTTTGACTGTCTTAATTAGGTTCAAATTGAATATACTTTCGTAATTATTTTCACAGTACAAATCGAAATAATTTATATATTTGACGTATCGATCTTCCGGCAGATGACGCTAAAATACGACAATATCGAGTATTTTCAATTGAACTAGTCTTATATTTCCTTGTATTTCCCATGATAACTTGTAATTTACTACATCATTTTTTACTTTAATTTCTGTGATTTCTCTAAATTATTTTTGATAGGGATCAAAACATATCTAATATGTCTCTTCATTTTCCTATTGACAATCGATCAGTGCAATCCATCATTTTGATCAACAGATACAGTACAATGCTCAAGATTAATGAAATTCTAATGAGAGTCGTTAGTTGTCAAGGAACATTGTCAAGGAGCAAAACACTTTATAAAGGTCATATCCGATGAATCATGAACTTGTCGATTGAATATAAATTTTTATTTCAATATTAAGCAGAAAATTTACGACTGGCGGTTCCTTTTTTTCTAATGTAAGTAAGTTTCGTTCAAGTTTTATATTATTTTTTGACACCATAAAACAATAGCTTCCAATGTTTGTTCGTAACATAAAATGATATTACTTTGGAAATCATCGACTACCGTTAGTTTTCATTCGATAAAGAAGCGTTCCTTATTTTAAAGATCAAAATTTATTAAATTTGCAAAGTAATTTTTTCATTTTATTCTAGATTTCAAATGATAGTTTTGAATCTTGAGTGATTGATTTTTATCGTCGTAAAATTGATGCCACTATAATCGAAAAAGTTAACTTTCTACTAGCGTAGACTTTCATGCATAGATGATAAAGTGGCAAATGCTACTGAAAGATGGAATTCCAACGGATAACTTATTGAATTACATAAATTTAAAAAGCATCAACTATGCCATCATGAATTTGTCTATAATAAACCTAAATGAATATTACGATTAGCAAATAAATAAAGAAAAGTTATATTGCTTTCAACGTATTCATCATATACAAAATTATAAATGAATTATCAATTTATTCTTTGTATTATCATCCAAATACAGAACGTATGCATGTTAATCGAGGTAAAATCCGTGTTAGTGAAGAATATCAAATTAATTTCTAAATTAAAACACTATTTTTATAATAGTACTAAAAGTATTCATACTCTTTTCAGGATTATACCGAGTAAAGGATCGTCAATAGAAAAAGAAACGAAGAGAAATCGTTGTAATCAATTTACTTCATCACTTGGTATTCTGTTAATGTTAGAAAAACATTATTTTTACAGTTTTATTTTTTGAATAGGAGAAACATTAATAATTAGCGTATGCCAGGATTTTAATTGACTTCATAAAGCAGTGATCAGCTCACTCCTATCTTAAATTAAAATAAATTTAATCTTATCAAAAGCATAGAATATGAAGTGAACTCTGCTGTAATTTAAAAAACAGTGGTGCGATTGATGAGAAATTAATTAATTCAAAACAATGCCTAAAATACAAATACCCTTACATCTTTTCGTTTCTAAATTGAAATAAAACATCTTGTTACTAGCTATATGAATAAAAGCTTGAAACATTTCCGTATTATCGACTAAAATAAAAAAGACTTGAATTCGATTTTAATTGAATGTGTTGGTTTCCTCTCAACATATAATTCATCTACATCTTTCAAAAGATATCAAGTCAATTTTGCGCTATAAGAAGTTTAGCTAATTATTATCTTTTAATTTTGAATGTTTAAAACAAAAATTTTGTTGCATTGTATGTTTTCCATGAAAAAAATATAAAAGAAATATTGTCTTGTATGTTAATAACTATATTGATATATTGGACTAAATAAATCTGCATATATTTCACTTGTATTTCGAGTCGTATGATTTTGTTTAAAACAAATGCCTCGAAGAATTTGACTTTTGTTCTTTTTATGTTATAAATCAGCGTAGATTTTTTGTATGTTGACTGTGTCGTTTAAATCTTTTTCACAATAAAATAAAAAATTATTCATCACGAAAATATTTTGTTTCTCATTACGTATGTCTATTTGTTGATACACTTGACTGATTTTCTCGAGCGAGCAGTTCAGTTTGAAAAATGTTCATGAACTAGAGGGCCTTTTTCATTGATAGTATCGATCATATGTATACGTATGAGACCTATTTGAAATAGTTAAGAAGAAAAAAACGCAAGAGACAACAAATTAATATTGGTCATAGAACGATGGATCAAATAAATGTTCAACGATGGGCAAATTCTTTACGCCGATTTTATCCAAATCATTCAAAGGTTAGTTTTGATTTTCAAAGAAAAAATATTAGATATTCCAGAGGAACATATATATTAATACGATTGTTTATCAGTTTATTAAAATAGAGAGTAAGGTACACACTTTTTACATTTCGATATTGTAATGATATCGACGACAAATATCAATTGACGAATAGATTCGTAGAAAATGAGAAAAACATGATGAGAGTTGTGCTCCTCTTTCTAGATGATTTCTATTCATCTTTATGAATAATTATGAGATTTTTGTCGGATTTATTAATAAGCTGATTCGTTTCTGTCAATCGATGATGGAAGTTGTTCACTATCGACTAACAATGACAGTGAAATATATTTATAAGAATAAAATTTTGAAGCAGATCATATGAGTAAAGTAATAACCATAGTGAATCATTTCATATCGTAGGATATGTTAACCAAATAGAGATAGGTTCTTGTTTATTTTTTTTTCTATAAAAGATAGGTATGGGAAATTGAATGCATGAAAATAAATCTCAATGCATCGGTTCTTCTCTTTTAGTCGTCACTTTTGCCGAATCCGTATGAAGATGATCAAAATGGTCTTCGAAATCCATCAACAATGATAAAAACAACAGAAAACGAATCACTCAGAGATGTATGCATGAGAAAGATTACAAAAAAATTAAGTATTTTTTCTTTCGTTTTTTTAGAATCGTAAATATTCTTTCATATTACCTTGGAGAAAGATTTTCTTAAAACATTTTATATTTTAAGTTAATTTAGATTTTCCATCTTCCGAAAAAAATTCCTATCGTACATTAATAAAATCGGTAAGATCCGAAAGCATGAAATCGAATGATGATGATCAATCTTAATGTTCTTTCTAGGAACTTCATAGATTTGACAAGATCATGAACGACGAAGAAAATCTTGATTTTCAATCGAATGCTCAACTGTATGATAATGAAATATCGAATTTTTTGGTGCCATTATCAAACCATCATGATGCAGATGCACTTAGCGATGCTGGTACTTACATTATTGAAGATGAGACTGATATTCAAGAAGATTATGAGCCAGAACAAAAAACTAATACTTTATCGTCAATTAAAAAAAATCAAAATCAAACAAAATATCTTCATGAAACATTTTATATGGATCGATTAGGATTCTCAGCAACACCAATGATTAATCGTCCTATTATTGATTTGAATGTTCAAACGAATTCATACGACTCACCATTACTATCTCAAACTTCAGTTGGAAATAACAGCCATCATAGCATACGTAACGAGCTGGAAGATAAGCCATATAATTGTCTCATTCCTTCATCGACTGTTCAATATCAACAAAAACCAGTTATATTACCAAAAATGAAAATAAAACCAGCGGAATGTTTCGGTAAAAACTGTTCTCAAACAAGATAAGAACTTTTCTCATGTGTTGTATTTAAGTTATTTCACCAACGTTGGAAATAAAACCTTTTCCAACTAAAAATACTCTTCGACAAAAAATAGAAAATTCACAGAAGTAAATATTGAATCTTGTATGGATTGCTTATGAATAAACTCATATTAATATAGATCGAAATTGGAAGGAAGTTCTGCTTCTATTAAACATCTGACTATCAAAGCCGCCAATAGTCAATTGATATCTTCTAATCAAAATTCTATGGAAAATTATCTTTTTAAGCCTCAAAAGCCTCTGTATTCTTCGTCTCAGTCTTATAACCAATATCAGACAACTATATATGACCAAATTTGTTCGTCAGACTTATTTCAACACAAGTCAATCGTAGATAAAACAACACCAGTAAATGTTCATTATGAACAACAGACTTTTTCATCAGATACAATCGATCCTAATCAGAGTAATAATACAAAAATAGATGTAATCAAATTTTCTATAGATAAGTTATGTATATTAGATCACAAAAAATCTATTCCTTCATCATTCGCATCAAAATATAGCCAAAAACAAATTTTATTAAAAATTTCACCAGGTAAAAACTCAAAACCAACAACAACACTTTCATCATCAGTTATTCATCCAAGTAGGCAGATGAATCGAACAGTTCACTTACGTCGAGCACATGCAAAAGCGAAAATCGAAGAATTATCTCAAATTACAACAAAACAATTGTATGAAAGCGATATAATGAGTGCTTCGTGTTCTTATAGTCCAAGTAGTCATAGTAAAAAAGAACCGGCACATTTACAGTTACATGTTCAACCAAAAGCGAGAAAAAGTGTTAAACTTCAGCTGCAAGATATGTTAGGAACACGAACAATATTGCCATCATTAGATCAACAAGTTTTACCCGCAAGTTCAAAGCAACATGAAGCGCCACTCTTCACATGTCGGAAAACTGTTATATCAACCGTCAATGATGAAGAACAATATAAAACACTGAGCACAAGTGAATATAGTCTTAAAGAGGTAATCATAATTTCTTTGATTTTTATAACAATGATAAATAAATAATAGTACGTATATCTTAGAAGCAATATGATCTATTACGCGAAAATGGAAAACGATTAGCAAACAAATTAGTTCAACTTTCCGCTAGTATATTGAGCAAACTACAGTAAAATGAAATATTATAATTACATTGATTTTGATTCATTTTTTCTTCTTACTAATTATATAGACTAAATGAATCCGCTACTGATGATCATGATGATGTGCAAGTTCATCAATTAGAACAACTGATTGATAAATTGGCAATGGTCAATCGAGCATTAACCTGTAGGTATATGTGTATATATATATATTGTTTTTATTAGAAGTAAAGTAATGATTTTGAGAACGAAAATGAATGTTTTATTGCAAATCTCTTAAGAAAACATAGCTAATCCATCTTTTATTTGTTCTATTTTGTTGTCGCCAAGAGAATTCTTTTATTATCGAAAATAAAATAGCGAGTTAAATGTTCGATAATTTTTAGACATATTAAAAGTTTAAACTTTTTGGTTGTTAGTGATTCGTTCAACTTCGATATGTAAACTGTAAAAATAAAAGATTTTTACTAAATCAACATATTTGATATGAAAGTATATGATAGAACGGAAGAAAACAATCACGAACAATGTACTAGAAGAATGTTTTCTCGAAACAATAATTATTAACCCTTGAGATACTTTAAAAACATAAGAAAACATATTGCGACAATTATTGCGTTAGTTATAGTTTCTATATCATCAATAAGATAAGAATAAATTGTAGGTCAACCTATTGATGTTTTTAGATTGAAACTTCGAGTTCGTGATATCAATTCTCTAAATCTTTTGTATAAATATGAATAATTAAACAATTCGAAAGAACTAGAACCTGTTGTCCATTTTTTTCATATAAGTCAAATTATTAGCAACGTGATTTTCTTCTATCTCAAACTAGATGAGATATGTAGTGAAACTAGTTCTGGTTGCGAGGATTATCTAATAGAATCGAGTTTCGTTTCTTACTCTGAAACTTATGTTTCTAAGTATACCTGATGAATATTGAATTAAGAAAAACTTAAATTGTTCACCGATACCGACTGTTTTTCGTCCCCATGGATTTATGATGAAGAAGTTTTTTTTTCAGAAAGGTATCGTTCCTTTAAAAAGATGCCAGTTAAAATTAAAATAGTAGAAAGAGCATGAGACTAAAAACATTTTGTTAACTTATGTTAAATTTTGAGCTAACATTGTAGATTTCTACTCTCGATGTTTATTGTAGAAAGTGTTACACTTTTTATAGAAATATAATTGATTATTGAATATACAATAATTGAATAGAGAGTTTTCAGTTTTATCTAAAATTTCAATATATGAGAACTCAGATATTATTTTGTTGATTCAGAGTTTTTAAGGAAATCAAGGCAATTATTTCGTTCGATCTTACTTCGACATTGTTTTGTTTGACATGAATTCTCTTTAGGAAACAAGTAACCCTGAAGATGAATTTTTAACCTAAATTCCTATTAATCTATTTCAGCTATCGATACTTCATTAGCACGTCCAACCAACACTGATCTTTCTATCTAATCAAATCTAACATTTTTTGTCATCTACATTTTAAAGTAAAAATTCTTTATTTTTTAATTTTTGCTAATAAATAGTGGCAGTTAAAATTTCATGTGCTTCATGTTTTACTTTTTATGTTTATATTTAAAACTTGAAATTTTGTTGAAAAATTTATATTTTTATACGTGAAACTAATCAAATCAATTACGATAAACTTGGTGTTTCTATGATAAAACAATAAAATCTTCGTTATAGATAAATAAAACTTCATTGCTCTGAGGTCATGCGACAAAGTTACCATTCAGTTTTAAAGTGGTCACTACTGACAGGAACATCAACAATATTATTAAAATTATGCTATGAAAGTGTATTTAATGTTACTTTAAGAACATCAACCAAATCATTGTCAACATATGAAAGTACTTTAATATCTTGGGCATCAGCTGGTGTGAATTCAAAAAAAATTCAAAATAAACCAATCGATACGACAATGCGTGACGATTTACAATTGATCGGTGCGCAAATTTATTTTCGGCATGGAGCTCGAACACCACTTAGTTTGCTACCTGGATTTGAAGAAGTAAATTCAAACTAATAAACCGCTGAATCATTTTTAATTTGAAAATTTTCATTTTCTTCTAGCCAACTTATACTAGAGAACATATTGAGACGTATCCACCATCGAAATGGGATATTAAACTAATAACAAAATTAGGTAATGATATTGTTTCAAAAGATAAAGTACTATCGGCAAATGATATTATTGGTGATCGAATAAAAAGATTAAAAGTTTGTTTAATATTAAAAACTAAATATTTGTGAAAACTTCGTTTTTCTTTTAGGCAACTTCAGATTTAAAAGTAGTTACAGGTCAATTAACTGCCATTGGTGAAAAACAATTATATCAAGTTGGACAACTGATTCGATCTGAAATTATCAAGCAAGATCAACATCAACTTATACCCAGTACTTATGATTCAGACCTTGTCTAGTATGTTACATTCACATTTTATTTTCATTTTCAAACTACTATCCGTTACGGAAACAATGGATTTTGTGACTAGATTTGACTACTTTTCAAGTTATATTTTGTAGGCAATATATGTTTACGGTGAAGAATTTTAAATATCAAATAGGCGCGTACATATTTCTGATTTTGATGTCTTCAAATTGTAGTAAAATTAGCATAATTTAGCCTATACATTTGCCTCAATTTAAGTGAAGCAATAAATCTAAGAAATTTTCTTGGCATTTAGATAAATTACTTTCAGATTATATATGATAAAATTATTATAGAGTGAGAAAATGTTCGCTATATTGTTTCGCTTGGTGACACTAAATAAATTTATGCAAATTTTTACTTTTTCTCATTATTATACCTTGTATCGATTCCATAGTTTCCGATATTAAACAATGGTTTGATATTTTGTTATTGAATCAACTAATTATGTTGAATTAGGTGAGAACCCAAAAATTTGATATAATTAAAGATATTTATGAGAAAAACTTGTTCAAACGCTAACCTTCTATAAAGAATTAAAGTCAAATGAAAGAGGGTCATGTTCAAGTACTGTTGCTTTTATCTATCTAAGAAGAATTTTGCGTTATTTAATAACGTTAGATTTTAATTTAATTAATGAACGATCATATTGTTCTCATTACTAATAGAGCTTAAAAGAATATCTCTCTATTTTCGAAATAATATCCAAGAGAGGAATTTTATGTTTCAAAAGAAGGAATAATTAAAGCAGTCATGTTCAAGTTAAATGAAACATTCATAGATCTAATGAAGTAAATGGCAATACTAATTTGTTTTTATATATGAATTCTAGCTGTCGATCAACTTATATGGATCGAACTATAGCAAGTGCTCGCTGTTTTCTTGCTGGCCTATTCTCGTCTGAAAAAGACGACAATAAAATAAAATCAAAAGGTAAATTCTATATTATTATTATAAAATATATCTTTTATTTTATGAAACAAGGTCCTTTCGAAATCGAAGTTCAGAATTTTCCCGATGAAGATATGGTAAAGAATGCTTGTTTTGATTAAATTTAAAATGTAATTAGGAAATTTTTTTGAAGTTCCCAAACCCGAAAGTGGCGCCTGAACTTAAAGATTGCCCTACAGCTATAGCATTGTATAAATCATTAAATGATAATCATGATTTGAAAGTAGCTCGGCAAGCATTAATTGATAATATTGGTAAAATTAATTCTTTCAACATTTTTTTGTTGTTTTAAAATCGTTTATTTTTATTTATCAGGTGTTCAAGATTACCCTCATGGTCTTATTGAGTTACATGATGAATTTGTATCAAGAGAAGTTTGTGTTTTATTTATTCAAAAGTCATTTACGCTTTCATTTTATCGATTACTTAATATAGGCGCATAATTTTTCAATTCCAAAAGAATTTATTGAATTAACAAAAAATTTTGAAATAATGACTGCACGAGAATTTGTTTCGATGGCGTATGTCTTTTGAAATAATTCTTTAGAATGCAATTAGTTTCATTTAGAACATCAATTGGCTTTGATTTATTCATACGTTCAACATGTGGACCACTTCTTTATTTAATGAAACAAAACTTTGATTACATCTCAAAAAATTTTAAAGAACAACAAGAAAATCATATTAATAGGTAGGCAGACTCATTATTTTTCTTTTTCTTTTTTCGCACAGCTGTTTCTTCATAAAATCTTTAGACCATATAAAAAACTTTTTGTTTACTCTGGTCATGATACAACACTAATTCCTTTATTAATGGCACTTGAAGTATAGTTTTCTATATGAATTAACAGGTTGTATTTATTTAACTCTATATAGATATTTCAAATGAGCTGGCCAAATTATGCTGCATATATTTTCATCAAATATTATGCATCAAAAACAAATCCAAATGAAACATATGTGGGAGTTAACTATGCTGGTCAAGTAAGTAGAGTCAACGATTAGCTCAATTTTGTGTATATTGTATATTTTGTTATAGCCCCAGATATTACCCAATTGTGATAATTATTATTGTCCTTATTCAACATTTCTAGAGAATTTAAAAAGTCGCTTTAAAAAGCCGAAATTCTTAATAAATCAATAGATTCATTGTTCTAGGAGACATTGTTTTATTTTTTTGAAATCCAGATTCATTTTTCGCTGCTTTTATTACTCAGTAAATAAATTATCATCCTATACTACCGTTTGGTTTTCAAAGAAAAGAACATTTTTATTTATATTAAAAAATAATCTGAGCTTCCTGAATATCAACAACTTGATTGGTATGCATTTCATTGTAGACCTTGCAATATTTATATGGAGAATCTATAAAAAAAAAAAGGCGCCAACAATATTCGATAGTATTTGAGGTCTTGGATCGATTTACGATGAAGAAAGTTGTCAAAATCTAACTAAACGTTGTTGAAGAATATATATTTTTAATGACAAGTTCAAATAAAAAATATAGAATTGAAGAAAACGTACAAGTGTTGATGGAAGATAACTGATTGGTACGCTTTATGTATCGTAAAGTAAATAAGAAAAATGTTTTCGATTCATATGTGATTCATGCAAAAAGTGATTTATAAATGTTTAGCATTATTTTTTACTTTCACTAAAAAATTCAAAAGCAATGGCTCTGAAGATTTATTTTTTTTTGATGAAACTTCTAAATCTTTTATACTGACAAAACCAGATATTTTCGACGCTTAGGTGATATTTTCAAATTCATGATATTATCGATGGTGTTGCGTAAATTCAAAACAAAATCAAATAGATAATCAATTTTGACTCAAACGAAAAACTAGTATCATCAATGGAACTATCAACATAAATCTTATACGAACAGAAATCTCAAGATTAGACCATGCATCAAAGCCATCATACAATTAATCAGTAAATCTACTGTAAAAATTAACAATAAAACACGTATTGAATCATGATAATTACAATAATTTGTGATAATACCACTAATAAATCATATCAAAATGTGACAACTTAGTGAAAAACAATTTTTTATCTATACACCAATGTTTGATGTTAATTATTGTGTAATTAGTTTAAATAATCTTTATTATCAAAACTCAAGATATTTCACACTGATATACTTTAAATTAATTGTATGACTTACAGAGAATAGAAAGTTATAGAATGAAATAAAAGGATGAGAATCTAACTAAGAAAGTGAATAAAAAAAGCAAAAGATGTTCGAAGCACTCTCTATTTTGTTTCTTGAATTGTTAAAAATGTCCAATAGTTTATTCGTCGGCATTGGTATCTTTATTAGCTGCAGTACCAGGTGGAGTAGCATAATTGGGTTTATTTCTTAATTACAACAAACTTTAAATAATAAAAATGATACAAATAAAACTGAGCATACGAAAGTGATTCAGTATTTCCGAATCGATCACCAGTGTCCATAGCCAGAGCTCCAGCTCCGATACCAAATCCAACACCACGAATACCAAATTTACGAGCATAACACTGCTTACAAAACAGATTACCTTCATGTTCAGTCACTGTCATAGGTTCTAACATTTTCTTACAGAGACCTATCGGATGTTTTTAACGAAAAGGAAATTAATAAAGATATATAGAATACAAAAAATAGTCATCGTACCACATCGGTAACAGGTTTTATGCCATTGCTTTCCAGCAGCTGGTAATGCTTCAGCATGATAAACCGCTTGATTACAACGTGGACAACGATTGACTTCTTGATTTCCAAACGGCATTCTAAATAGATGATCCTATTGATTATTGTCTTATCGAATTTAAGATCAAAAATAAAATTACTACTTACATGAGTTTAACTTGCTGTAATATCTATAGAATGGACCTAAAACAAAAATCAATAATTACAATCATACAAATTCAACACGATACGTCGTCGTTCTAGACGTTTAAAATACAAAAGAAGATACCAGTACTAGCACAACATCTTATATACAAAATGTTATTCTAGGAAAAAATATATGAAACACTTGATATATATATGTAAGACTTGTCTAAAGTTAGACAAGCAACAACAAAACGAACAAGTCAATATCAAAGACAAGAAAGTTACTTATGTGATACTACTGATTGTTGGTTGTTCTTAGATTTTCAGTACATGTTTCCATTTACTTCTATGAATATAATCATGCATAATATCCAAAAACGATACAATAGATAAGAAGGAAAAAAATCTGTCAACTTCTATTCTTGTTACAAAGATCTTCTATGGAAGAAGTCAAGAAAAATGTTCTCAATCAACAATGCATCACAGATAATATTTCGTATACTATTCAGTTTTACTAGCTTGAAATCAACCAAAAAAGAAACTAAATAGAATATTTGTGTTGGTGTACATATTATTAAATTATCCATAGAAATATCAGTATCTTTTATGACGCAATAGATTATGTTATTATTATTAAATTGTTTGTTCTAATTGTTGAAGTCAGTACACAAAATAATTAATTGTTTATATTTTAGAGAAAGAAATGTACTTGTCATCGATCCACTCATGACAGAACAACCGATTCATTTTTAGATTTCGAAGAGCACAGTGTTGAAATCTTCTCTTTGCTATTGTTTACATGTAATGCGAATGAATCCTAACCCAATAGGTATGACATACGAATAAAAATAAAAAGTTTCCTAAATAAACTGATGGTACATTTAAAGTAAACTTACTTTTCAATAGTTATACTTTATTGCATAAGAAAAACAATGTCTTTATGATTTTTTTCAAATCCTTCAATAATCTATAATATTCTTGGGCACATGTGATGTATCTCTCATGACTATCAAATATTTGCCAATTTGTATTTCACTATGAGTATAAGTCAAACGACAAAGTCGTTCGTCTTATAAAACAAACTATTGAAATTTCAATCGAGTATTAGAAAAAGTTTACCCACATAGGACATACACGAACATTGTTCTTTCTGTAATGCATCAAAAACGCATATGATTTACTCTCCGATGGCATTCATATCTGTCAGGATTTTTCCATGACGGAATAAGCAGCAAAGATCCTCATAATTGAATATATCGTGAGGATACATTCACAATTGTATACAATGTACCGGGGCTTTTACCGTTGTCTCAATCTATGTCATGATATTTAAAACAAAGCAAGTTGATGCACACATAACCGCATTGACTTTGCTTATTTCCTTGTACTTTTAGCGATAACGATTGCTCGTCTTCAGTGACAGGCTTTACTGTCATCGATGGATGTCTTTGAATATGTCTACTTGTCAACATTTGACCCGCAAAACTTGCCTATTTGTTCTCGATGGTCAATCAGATACGAATGAGTTTCTTGAAAAAAATATCTAACCATATCGAACACTCATGGTTGCTCATATCTTTTTCCTTCTTTTCATATTAAAAGTTAATCAGACGTACCTAATTAATGATCAATGAATACAAAGTAAAAAGAATTTTATTGCATATCTGTTATTTGTGAAACACATTTTCGGTCAGTTTTTCAGCCAGAGAGAGTAAAACCAATGGAATCGAAGTGTCTACAGCTCGTTTAACTTTTCTAATATAACTATGCTTCATTATTATTAATGAACTTTTTTCATTACTAGAATCACCATGAATACAATTAGGAACATTATTCAATATATAGTGTTTTTATCGATTCTATGACAAATAAAGATAACCAAGACTCGGATGAACCTAGCTGTAAAATAAACCTACTTGAAGCAAAGCTTAGCTAATTAACTAAGAATTTTAAGGACTGCACAAGTGTTCAGTCTTGTTCACTGGACTGCGTAAGAATTTCACAGATTGACAAAGATAATTCTTTTAAAGTATTACTAAGAAAAGAACTAGTTCACATTAGCTAGTTGACTTTCGTTTCTTACAAATTTTCGAGTATGAAATCTTTGAAAATTCGTCTCTTGACCACCAGACACACCATTCGATGGAATTTTATAGTTGTCAGTCAAACTTCGAGTCGTTTTGAAAATTGTCCAATTCAATCTTTTATTTCGATGGTAAAAATCAAATTATCCGTGTTTAAATTTTGTTTTTCATATATTTTATATTTTTTGAGCTATAATCACAATTCGTATTGAAATATCAGAAGGCGTTATTCTACTTAACAGGCCACAACGAATGCATCTATACCGAAAGATGAAAAATAACTGGATTTCATCAGTAGTAAAAGCTCTGTCAAAAAATGTGATAATCCATCAGAGAATTGGTATTAATCGATGCATCGATTAATTCGAATCCATATATAATAACGAGTAGATCGACATGCTTTCAAGAAAAGTCACTCTATCAGTTTGCGAAGTTGAAAGAAACCAAAGATAATGGAACAAATTATTTTCAGAAGTCTGCTTCTAATTCACATTCAAATTCAAATTTTTATAGTCTTGAAGCTTTTTCTTTCTATCAACGTGTATCTCTCGAACAACACGAGCAAAATAGTTCGTTTGATCAATCGAGTAGAATCGTATAATATTTTTTTAACGGTTACAACTGTTTCTTACGGAAAAGAATCACAAATGTAAAAAGACAGTCAAAATGTATATTGGTAGAAGTCATTATTGAACATCAAAGAAGATATTATATTCAATCTTCTTCAAACAGTATCTTGATCATTCCTATATCGAGTAATTGACTTTCAGTAAGTCGTTTAGCCTAGAGAAAAATCAAAAAATTTATGTAAATATAATTATTTGTTTCTTACCGTTCCCCATTCAAGTAAAGTTGGAATATTTGTTAGTCGAAGTTGTGAATCTGTTCGAAATGGACTTTTCGGACTCTTCCAGCTACAGATAAACATAAATTAGCCATTATTTAGAGTTTCTCCCATTGTAAAAACTCAGTATTATGGCAAACTCAATGAAAAGATTTACAAAACGATCTCAAAAGTCTTTTTTTCTAAATTTTTCATGAAAACGCTTTTTTTGCACTAGTATACCTTGCTCGATCGCCGACTGAGCATTCAATAAATATTCCATTCGATGGTAATGATGATTTGACCGTTTCGTGTACTGGCTTTTCTGCTACAACACAATCTGGACACCTAGATAAACGAAAATAATATGGATTTCAAAAATTTGATTGAATTTATTTACCAACTGTTTCCTTGATCATCTTTTGAACCAGAAAATAACAGAAAAATCCGCTTATCTTTTCCATAATTATTTAGTATATTTTTAAATTCTTCATATCCTGTCACAGACAATGAGGATGTCATCTAAAAAACAATCCCGAGATTGTTTTATTGTCAAAATAATGAAAAACGAAAATTAATATAAAAATTTAGATTGATTCACACGAGATTAACTTTTTAGTATACAAATTTAAAATAGAATCTGCTACAACTCGAGCATTTGTTCTTTGATAACCACCGGAAGTACACATGACAATTGGAATATGTTTTTCTCGAATGCATTTTGAAAAAACAATTTCGTCACGAATGATTAAACCCTAAATAAATTCAACAATTTCTTTTTCATTTCGATTGATATAGAACATAAAATATACTTGTGGTGTAATATCAAGATTTCCAAGTGGATCTCCTTGAAGTATATCTGTTCCAGCATTATAAACAACAAAATCAGGTTGAAATTCATTTAAAGAATTTTTAAGATTGTTATGTAATAAACGAAGATATGTTTTATCGTCTGTTTGATTGTCTAATTCAATTTTACATTGAATAGCATTTTTAGCATGATGATCACGAGGGTAGATATGACGATTGTACATGTCCATAATGAATACTCTGTCATCGTGCATAAAATCACGTCCATGTCCATTACCCTAAATAAAGCAAATTTATCTTCAAGTTCAAGTTTTACTTAAGAAAAACTCCTCGTACTTGATGTGCATCCAAGTCAACGATGAGAACTTTCTTGATTCGATCAGAAAAATAAGTAAAAAGATTGATAATAAGTAATGTTAAATCAGCATAAGCACAAAAACCACCACCACTGTCCGATGAACAATGATGAAAACCACCACCAACATTGATTGCCCAACCTCTTTCTAATGCTAATTTTCCTGCCTTAAATAATAGCAAATGAGATACACATGAATTTTCAAAACAAAGAAAAGAACAATTATTTACAAGAATAGTTCCACCAGTTTGGTATCGTAACGGTTTCAGAACACTCCATTGAATAATAAAGTTAGGTAAGAGAGCTACTGGCGGTATTTCAAGAACACGTGCGACTGCTATACTCCATTTAAGGCTTGATAAATAACGTTTTGTATGTACTTTAAGAAGGTCTTCTATCGTTGCTTCGTTTGGGTCAACTATTGTTTCATCTATAATCATTTTTGCTTCTAAATATACGAAAGAAATACGTGATAAATTATATTAAATGTGAGTAAATACGTCGAAGAAAATTGATGATTGATCCCCATTTTGAGGAATCAAATGGATGAAGTTTTTCCAAATAGAGAAAACCAATGTTGTAATTCGACGAATAAACTATTGGCCATTGATTACGATCAATATTTTTGTACAATAGATTTCTATCATACGAGAAAAATTATAAATTTTCATACTAACAATATCTACTTTGGAAGCTTTGATAAGTCATCATTGGAATAAGAAGCCATGATACAGAATAAATGGGATCGTTTTTCTATTTACATAATATAATTTCAGTTCGTTTTCAACTATTGATCTAAAAGTACAAACAATATTTTAAGCTTAAGCTTTTTCCATTGAAATGAATTCAAAGATCTTTTTGGCCTATGTTTCAAAGTAAGCAGAATGTCATTCTTGCTTTATAATTTACTTGTATCTCATTTCGATGTATGGTATAGATTCTTCTTTTTCACGATGACATCGCGCACAAGCTTATGAGTCATCATACATTACATGTGATTGGTGGATTTTTTTCAATCTAAGAAACGTAGCAGATAGATAACTTTTAGGCCCCAAACAGACCAAAAAGATAAAACAGAATTAACCACTAAACCGTCTCTAAAAGATGACTTAAGTGTGAATTAACCAATCACGTTGCTTAATTCTGTTTTATTTTTTTGGTCTGCTTGGAGTCTTAGATGGAATATTGAAAAAAATTGTAATCATGTTCTTATGTTGTCTTATCTTTTTTCATGAGATGTGAAGTAACGATATAGAATTATAGACGAACATATATTTTCCAATCAAGAATAGTTTATGTCATTGCAAATTGCAATGAGAGCTCGGTACGCTAGCTAATATTTTTTGGAGCCTTTTAACAATCGGTATCAATTTGAATTTGTTGGACTGCAATATCAACTAGCTTAAAATCGATCGGATGACCCAGAATAAATTTAACCTTCAATATTTTTGTGACACTTTAAAAATTCATCGTGCGAAACCAAATTCACTTTTTGAAAGACTTCTTGTTCGAATGTCTACGAGAGCCAATATTTGGTTTTATTATTACTTCCTATTTTCATTTTATTAAAAGTGAAAATTAAAGCTGTCAGAAAAATTATTTCATCAAAATATAAAAACAGAAAGATCCAACAAACGTGCTTCTTGATCTGAGCAGCCTTCAGCCTGTACACAGATTATTCGAAGAGTAAGTTCAGTATTTTGAGAGCAAGTATGCAGCTTATACTTAAAAACAATCTAAGTATTCGAACTTACCAAAAGAACATTTCAATCACTGCTCATACAAAACGTATACAGCCAAACATATTTGTGAAAGAAAAAGACGCTGAAAATTCTCTTCTTTATTGAGTGACTGTTCGACGTTAATGACGTTTAAATTAGTCAAAATGATTTAGTATGAGTAGTAGATCGTGTTGCAGTTGACAAAAGAGTTGCGGAGATAGAGAAACAAAAGTTTTCCCAAAAAAAGATGGTTTAACTAAATTTGTGTTGGATCTCTAACGGAGGGTCTTTGCATATCTGATGTTTTACTCATGTTGAAATAGACTTGATTTTTCTGGCTGCGACAGTGCACTGTGCTTTTTCGGGTGGGTGGGTGTAAATTTGAAGTAAAAAGCAAAGATTTCTACTATGCTTCGTTACGAAGAAGTTCACAGTGAAAAGCAAAGATAAAACAGCATGAATATCCATTGATAGTCACTGTAATATTGCTCCACATAAAGAATACTGCAATCTGAAGGATAAATAGTTATGAACAAACTGGATTTCCTTTTTTTACATAATTGAATAGATTATGGTGCATAGATTTGGGTGTGTGAGTAAATGCCAATGATAATAAATCAACAAGCCATTATAAGATTCATACTGTAGCATGATTTTCTTAAAAATATTGTTATAGAAATAGATCAATGATCTATTTATCAATTTCATCATAATCAAAGCTAAATTCTTTGAGAGGAGCATCATCGATTCAAAAAGACATGATTTTTCAATGCAATCTTCCTTTTTCTTTCTGTATCAATGCCGAACTCGTTCACAAATTTTACAAACAGAATAACATCGAACATTATATGATAGGATACATGATAAAAATGATTTTGCTGTTCAAAGTAACAGTAGAGAAAAAGAAAAGAATCAAAATTAGTAAATAGAAAAGAAAGTAAACGAAAATCCCACTTAAATAAAAACAATTAACTTTATAAACGTTTTTTCACATCAAGAAAAAAACAGAAGCACCAAAATTAATAAATAAAAATGAAATCATCATTCTTCCGTAGTAGGATAACTATCTGCGAAGTTTATAAATAAATAAATAATTTTTTTTCCTAATCTTTTTTGTTGTAATCAACATAGTAATAAGAAGAATAAAATATGTCGAAAAGGAACGAAAAAAAAAGTTCATATCAGCCAAGAATTAAATTGCTCATCCATATGGATCTTTTGTTTGTTTTTTTACCTTGAATCTAACAATTTTATGAGCAAATTCTAAGTTTGTACTGGAACAACTGGTTGAGAAGGATGCGGTGATAGTCTTGGACGACGATATGTATTTGTTGTTTTACTCTTATTTGATAAATCTACACAATTATTGATTGGCTTTGGTTCAGTACGACGATTGTTATCATTGTGATAATTAAGTATTGGACGCGGATGTTGAAAATTACCTTGAGAATACTGTTGTGTTCGACGACGGTAACCACATAATAGAGCAAAAAAATTAAAATTCTCAAAAATAGATTCTCTTTCAAAAATATTTACTTTGATAATTATTTGTTTCATCATAATATTGAAAAGAACCATTATTTTGTTGTGAAGAATCACAATATCGATAATTATTACCGGTATTATAATCATTCAATTGTTGATTATTGTTAATTCGTTGTGGTTTTGGTTGTTCTTGCTTAACTATAACACCAACTTCGTTTAATGAAGATGACACTGATGATATTGGATGACTTATCATTGATATCTGTAATTTTTCTGAAGTTCCATCTGATATTGTAGTTGGATGTGTTTCAACCAATGCAGATGATGTTGAACGTGTTCGACCAATTGGTAAAATGTGACCAAAATTTTTTAATAGCTCAATTAATTTTTGATCGTACCCAAAACGATGAGATGTTGTTAATTGTTCGCCAAGTTCATATCGACGATCAGTAACAAACTGTTTAATATCATGACGAAGATTATCTATTTCAACTGGTTCAAGACGATCACAACGATCAATTGATTGGCGTAATTCAATAGCATGTTTTTGTCGATTATGTATAATATTTAAGCCTTGTTCTTTAACTTTATCCATCTCTAAGTAAAGTTCAATTTCACGTTGTTTGATGATTTCAGTAATCTGTTTAAAGACATCATCAATATGTTTTATTGATGATTTTATTTCATTGTCAAATAGTATTTCAACGTTTGTTAATGTTGATGTTTGTCGTTGAAGATCTTTAACTGATTTTGTAAGCACTAAAATATAAAGAAAACTCATATATTAACGTATAGAAGTATTCAGCGAAGTCAAATTCTTTATTGAAATATTAATTTACAATAAAATCTTGTTATGAAAGCATATGACTATAAACTAATAGTCAGATAATACTCTATATAGTCTCATATCTCTATTAATGCGAATATCATTCTCTTAATTTCAATCTTGTCTTAAATTATTTTTTACTCTAAACTCAAAATATGGAAAGTGACCGTTTTTGAAAATATTTCTTTTGATTTTACTTTTTTTATTATTAGAAAATTGTATTGTTGTTGTTGTTTGCTGATTATTGCTATTTGTTGATGGTTCATGATGATGTTTTATTGATGAAGTTGAATCATGGCGATCTTGAATATGTTTTCGAGTTTGTAATTGAGATGAGTTTTGTTGCTCAATCACTTCATCATGTATGGCAACATGATTGGCTGTTAAATCTAGAACAAGACAAACTTTTATATTTATACGCGAAAAAAAGATTGTTTTTTTTAACCATGATTGTTATCACTTTGTTCACTAAAAGATGTTGATGGTGGTGAACAAGCAGCTGTATTAGACGTAGTGATACTGCCTTAGATAAAAAAGTTTCAATAAAAAATGACTTTTCTAATTATCGAAATTTATCTACCATTAGTAGTTACAATAGTCGGTGTACCACCTTCTGCAAATGTTTGAAAAATATTTGAAACACGTTGTGATGGTCGTAAAATTCCATTGAACGGTGGTTTTTTCACTGATGAATTCGTAGGTAATGTCGAAGGTTTGCTATTTCTATTGTCACCTTTATTATTTGTCCGTTTCGATGAAGTCTTCGAAAGTAAATTTCAATTATTATATTTTATTTTCAAATAAACCAAAAAACTTACAGTTCCTCGACCATTACTCGTTTCAGTCCATCCATTGAGAGCTTCAATAGCACAATCTGAAAATAAATAATAAAATTTTCCAAAGTAAAATAACAAAACCATTTAAACATACCTCTTTTAAATGCTTCAACGGTGTCGTCGATACTTGATTCATAGTAAAGTAAAACTAATTCAATTTTCTCACGCGGAAGATCAGACAAATGTGGTAATCGAGATCGAACAACGTTCACATTATCACGCATAGTACTTTTTCGTGGCATTATGCTTCTGAGTTCTGTTTTTCTTTATAAATATCTAATAGAAAGATTGAGAACGAAATATATATATAGCAGCAAAATAAATTTTGTCATCAAATAAGAATTGAAGTAATACTTTAAATAGAGAAACAACAATAACTATTATATATAGAGATATTGTGACCTTAAGATAAAAAGTGTTAGTACTCAAGCAAAAGTTTGTGCTAAAAACCTATTTTTATATTGTTTGTTTTCATTAATTGGAAGTTATTATTCAAAACGAAACATCAATATTTTACGAAGAATGTTGTGTCAATAAAAGAGGAGAAGGTGTAGAAGAAAAACAACCTTTAAACATTCTGCTTATTTCGATTGAATTCTGACTCAAAATATATTGGGATGAAGAAGAGTACCTACTTTTTTTTCTATGAATTAAATATGATGCACTTTATTTTGTATGTAAGAGTGGAAATGAAATACAAAAGAAAGCATATATGGAATGTTGAGTAGAATGATGTTGGGCACATGTGTTACTAAGCGTAGGCAGCTCTATGAAAATGTAATACTGACACTAGTACTCAAAAATATGATAGAAAAAAAAAAAGAAAAGAAATACAAAACTTATTTTTATTCCATGAAAATTATTTAATAAAGATGACAATCTCGATCTATTTCATATCAATGATAAAATATATGTCTAATAGAAAATATACTCTGTGCGTCTATAGCTCAACGCAAATTTATTTCTAATTTTCACTAAAAATCTAATCTTACTTGTAGCTAACTAGTGTCGTTCTTTCAATTTTATAAATTAACGATTCATTCTCTACTTCTACTAAAATGGTAAGCCTTCATTTGAATCTATCATATGAACTTGATAGATAAAAACATCGAAAGATAGAATTGATGCGAGTGACGATTTTGAAATGATTTGTCGATTGGTTTGTTAAAAATCTAGCCTCGTGATAGAATCAATTCCATCATCATTAGCAATAGAAGGTCTAATGAGATAGATACATAATATTAGTGTATTCTAACTAAGACTATGTTAATAAACATTGATTTTTGATAGTTATATAGTCGAAAAATAAGTAACTAGTTATTTCAGAGGTCGTTCGTTATTATAAAGTATTCTTTGAGAACTTTTTGAAGACGCAGCATCTAGGTATTTTTCAATTAGAGTCAACGAATGAAACCCTAAATATGTATTAAAATATAAAGAATATGAACTTTAACTGTAAAAAAATATTCCGATCGAAACCTTGTATGTGCTAGAGTATATAATTATATTTTATGAAAAACTTCATACTACACATACGGATGTATATATATATATATATATATGTATTCGATTCTACGACCGTTGTAAAACAACAACACAAGATGCGACACCACTCATAAATAGTTTGTTTTGAAAAGAAAAAAATATTCCATCTGTGTCATTCGAATAGTTCATTAAGATTCCATTATTTCTTTTATAACAAGAAGATAAAATGCTATTATTTTAAATATTATAATGAAATTTACATTCAAAAATGAAAAAAATTTGAATCAACAATCGTCTATAACGTGTGACAAAAGAAAAAGGCGACAGCCGGATTTAGCTTAAAATTAACACAACATATGCGTACACCCTGATTAGAAAAAAATGTACCTAAGTGGCACGGGTAGTTCAATCATGTTGTCATTGTCTATTTATTCTTTTTCTGTTGTCTCTCTTGTTATTACAGTCAGACAACAATGTAAACAATATCTCCTTCTCTTTAGCTTATACTTGTATACTTTTCATCGATAGAAATCATTACCACGATTATCTACAACATAGTAGCATCATCAACTGTATACATAGATATCCAGGAAATAAATATATGTATAGACAATTCTTTTCTAATTCTTTTCTCATCTCAGGCAAAACAAAACTACCCTATCAATATCACTTTTCGTAGCCATCAAATGACACATGTATTTATTCAGAGTATCTATCAAAAATGAATTTCAATTAAAATATCACTTAGTCTATTGTGCTTACCTCATTTAAAAGGTTAATGGTCAATTTCGATTCTAACACTGAAGACAAACAATTTTCATTAGTAAACGTTTCAAAAATCAACTCTTTCGAAAGGTGAAAGACAATATGAAGCAATCGTTTTACAAAGCGAACCACAGTAAAAGGCATGACTGTAAAGCAGACAGAAAAAGAAGAGAAACAAAAAAAATTTACTAAGTAGCTAAGGAAGAATTATGCAATCACCAGGATTAGAACATACTGACAGAATGGGAAAAAAAGACATGAAACATTAATTATTTTAATATCATACATGTAATCTTCATTATTTGTTTTCGTCGCTCGTTTTTTCATTCATTGTCAAATTCTTGCTTTATCACGATCATATCTATTAAACAGAGATGACGACGAACGAAAAATGATAGCTAAAACATTTTAGTTGTGATTTGTAAATTGTCAGCAAGACCTATGCTCATTCCACTAAATTTTTTTATTAACCTATATTGATGAAATTTTGCAAGAATTTGAATGAATTCTTTTATTTAAATTTCTTATTGATAAAGACTTCATATTATAGATGGCATTAGAGTATAGTTTTGGAAGTTCATTTCAAAGAGTTTTGAAACTTTGAGAAAAATCAAAGATAACAATTAGAATACCTATAGCAACATGGTTTGTTTTTCCTCTGGATTTTTATAAACTGAAATTTTAAAAAATTTCAACGGAGAAAATATGACAAATATCGATTATTTTCTTCTAATTGTTTAAAATGAATTTAGTATCATTCCGTTGGAAGCCAAATTTTAAATACGACTTAATAGTTGTTGTCTGTAGTAATAGAGCGATGAATTTATTCTAGTATATATTTTTGGGTAGTGCTTCAAAATAATGGCACGGTCGTATCTTGAACATCACACTTATCGCTATATTTAATGTCTAGATCAGTGTCGTCAAGGAAAAACTCATGTTTCGCTGAGAAAATATTGTTGATGTACGAAAGTTGATCGTGTGTCAATAACTTCTGTCATGGTCTGTGGATAAATAGCTAATATCTTCGAAAGTTGGCTTACATTAAATACTCAACTTATACATCTGATTAAAAAATAATTATGTTTGTATTTGATGCAGTTGTTTATGAATATATAAAACAGGATATTTATTAGAATGAAAAAAAAGGAAGTAAGAGCTGTGGTAATAGCGAATATTTCAAAATATTCAATTTCATCATCATTTAGCCAGATCACCTTTCTTGATTTCATCAAGAACTGTTTGTGATACCGAGCAGCTTAAACCTGTACCATCGGGTTCAATGAATAATTTCTGTACTTTATTATTATCAATGACCATAGCATATCTGAAACATAGAACAAAATGAATATTTTTGAATGCTAATATTGAATTTACCGAGATGATCGAACATTTCCCAAAACAGCTGACAGGTCTTTTTCGAGTCCAAGAGCCTAAAATTACATGTTACGAAAACATTTTTTCATCGTTTGATTTTTCTACTTCTTGTTACCTTGGTAAATTTAGCATCAGGATCGGCTAATACTCGTACCTAAAATTAATAAAAAGAATTGAGAATCTGTTCACTTGATCTCAGATCAAACTTCTTCATCAATCACTAATATCTACATTTAATACAATTGGTCAATGAATCGATTTCATTCAAATACAGAAATAAGTATTTTTTACCGTTACTTCCAAATCACTCGCCTCATGCAATAATGAGGGAATTCAAATATTTAATTGAAGATAAACTAATATTGTCTAATACTTTTTCGAAAAAAAAAGAAAGAAGACCTCGACAACTTAGTTTTGTAAAACTTTTACCAATGGAATATGTTATCAAAATCAAATTTAACTCAAATTATTTTTAGAAGCACACTTGAACATAATTTCAATGAAGATTTATTAGAAAATCGTTTGTTACTATGATTTTAAGCAATAATATTCTAGTAAGCTCTTAAATATACTGTTGATTATATTTTTAAGCAATTGAATCCAATTGAAGAGGGAGCAAAGATTTTAAGACTATGCTTGCGTTAGAGAATATGTTTTATTAGATTCGCAAAAAAGTGTCTCAGATTTGTGCAAACACTATCATCATCTCAACATAAAAGTCAATTATTTCTGACCTTGAAGAATCAAAAAAGCGAACCTTTTATTCTTAGGAATGTTCAGAGAACCATTCAAACTGATACCTATCATTTGAATATATTAGGATATCTTTGTAAGGTTAGTGAAGGACTAAAGTGGCTGGTCACAATAGATTGTTTAAGCTACGCTAGAATCCTTATACTAGATTTCCAACTTCTATTGAGATATTGACTTCATTTGCAAAAAAATTTCTTTTTTTTCTAAATCTACATCCATTTAAATTAAAATTTGTACTACTGATCAAGAGCAAAAAATATCATCAACCTTACTTTTCCTTCAGCTTTATGCTCTTTTGCCCAAGCCTGACAAACGAATGGGTCGTTAACAGTTACACAAACTATTGTATCATAACCTAGTTTTTGAAATTCCTTTGCTGAATTTACATAGCCAGGTAAATGAGTCTAAAATGCAAAATTAATAAACTATAGAAAAAAAAACACCTACTACAATTAACCTTTGAACATCCAGGAGTAACTGATAAAATTTTGAAAAATGATTATTTTATATTGGTGTATTATTTAAACTTACATGCACCTGGCACACCGAATAGAACTAGACAAAAGCAAACTCACTGATTGATTGATTGGCAGAAGAATAATATACGTACTTCCTTTTTTTCCAGCAAAAACATCTTCAATATTTACTTTATTTTTAGGTTCATTTTCAAACAATGTATGTTTTGGCAAAGTTGCTCCTTCCTAATAATGAACTATTTGTAAAATGAAAAAGATCCTTACTCTTTACTTTAATGGCACTATTACTAGCCAAGAATAAGGGTTTTGTTGCGTGAAACGATCGAACAGCTGTTGTTGCTGATAATTGAATAGTTTTAATAGCACGAAACATGATGAGATGATTCGAAGAGTTTATGTGAAAATAAGACATATATTCTCGATGTATTTGATTGGTTGAATGAGAAGCGAATAATATTTTATAGGCAACGTTGTTTTTTTACTGAGATGAGAACCATATTGCTGTGCTGCGGTTTATGGATTATCAAAAATAATGTGGTTGCTATCAAACGTTCTGTTTGAATTTACTATTTATTTAATTGTTGATAATATAACAAAATTTATTCTTATTAATACGAAGTACGTTAGAATTGTTTTTCCTTTCAATTTTCGCACAGTTCTTTTCTGCATTGGTTTAGAAAAGAAAACCGTTTTGATGTATTTCTATGGGAATGTCTATTTCTTGGCTTTTCAATTTGTTTTATAACAGTTTATCATCATACAACATTCATACTTACAGTTTTTCTTCTTCTTCATATTATTGGAATACTTCATACAGAAAAACGTCTCAAACTAACAATAAATAGGATTAAATTATTTATTCATGTTTTTCTTAGACTATTCCAATTAACAATTAATTGTTTATACAATTTTATTTCAAATTATACTCATCATTATTCATCTTCGAAAGTATTGATAGCAAAAAAACTTCCAGAAAAATATCTCTATAGTTATCATTTAAAACTGACTAATGATCTTCGACTTCAACAGGTAACTATGCATACAATGGTTTCAAAGTTTTATGAACGATTCTTTTTGTCTTATTTCTTTCTGTCTAGTCATCGCTTGTTCAATTGTTACCAAGACCTGGTATTTTAAAGTTGCATGAAACAACATGTTCGTTGAATATTCTTTTACAAAGTTTAGCATCACTCAATAGCTTTTATTCATCGTTACAAAGAAATATAAATGTAAGAAATGCATTCAAAGAATCGGTTTTCTAGATCAATTAAGCAGTAAAATCAGTAGTGTAATTTCAAAGAGTTTTTTTTTCTCTAATCCTGCGATTGATCTGAAGGTGACTATTGACAGTCATCTATCATTTAGTACAATCTTATACAGCTTTTCATTAATTTACTGCAGTATTTACTCAGGTTTAGTTACAAGACAAAATTGAAATGATACTAGACCTTCAATTAAAATCATTAAATAGAACCGAGAAAACGCTTGTCTAGTCACGGTTTAAACTACACCATTGCATTCATTGGGATTATTTTTTCAGTAGCAAATGGTTAATATGTTCTTTCATAAATGTCTTCATTTTAAATAAATAAATTATTGCTTAAGTATCAATTTGTCACTCTCTTCATAAAATAAACATGTTATTTGAAAGTGGAACATTTGAAAAAGTTTTGAAAATTTTTTCAAATTATAGTTTCATTGGACGGAATACATATTTTTTCCTTCAATTGAAAAATATTTTAAAACAACTATGGTGTAGGCTATTGATTCAAGGAGAAACGAAAGGCTTTTGAACTTGAAGAAACTTTGAGCTAATTCAATTATGTACTTTGACCTGTTTTGACGTACTTTTCAATTTCAAGTCCGCTGTTTCCCATTTGTATTTATTAGTGGTATGATATCTTTCAATAGAAATGCGAGTCTATCCTATAGTTTTTAGGCTTTTTCTCTATGAAATAACATATATTTATGGTACTTGTATTCTTATATATTATATGGACGTTGAAAGACTTACGTTTTATTTAGCTGTCACGTTTCAATTATGATCCAATTGTATCTACTTTCCTTGATCTTATTTCTCAATTACGAGCTAATCATCATACTACTGAATATAAACATGCGAATACACTTGTTGGCCTATCATCATTTATCTCAAAACTCAGTACTATTTATCCAGACTTGTTAACAAAACCTACAACACCAGATATTGCAGAATTATTTCAATGTATAACTGATGCACTAAATCAGTCTCTATCAAAACAAAAACTAGTCTATTCAAAAAAGTAACTAAACACGTGGATTTGTCTTTGCATATGTTTAGCTTTAGTGTTATTGGACAAGTACACAACCAAAAGTTAACAACATTGTCACTCGATTTTCTAAATAGAATGTATATCGAAACTGAAGCACAAGTAAATAAAGTATTCCGCTAAGAGTCGTAAAAAAGTCATTGTTCTATTCATTTAGCTTCATAATAAAGTAACAGTAGACAATATAGATGCACAAACATCTTATATAATTCAATATATTGATCTGACATGGTTACTTCATCATATACAACTTGGTTCCATTCTAAAGCATACGTTTTCTGGACAACTACTCCATGCATATTGTTGTAATAAGTAAGTAGAATAACATTTTAGCCTTTTCCCTTTTTTTTAAACAAGCTCTTCTAGATGTTCTCATGTACGTTTTTGTGCTGAACCATTTCAAATATTGATATTGCCCGTTAGTAAAACAACTATAACTTTAGAACAACTTCTTTCTCAATTAACAAAAATTGAAGACGTATGAACATTCTTTTTCTTGCTATTCAGTCACATAAACTCCTTTTAATTTATCTAGGTCGATTCAATATCTTGTTCGTATTGCTCAAGTCAAACAAATCAAGATCTTGAAAGAAAATCAACAGTAATTAAAAATGGAACAATCCTGACTAAAACTATGTATGTTTCATTAGATTTTTCTTCGAAAGAAGGAATGACGGAAGGATCATCTTTTACATCAACCTCATACCTCACTTAGAAATCAATCAGTTAATAGTTTGAGCTATACATTAGTGTTGAATATTTAACCTATTTTATATTTGAACAGTTTAATTTTTTTGTAATAACAAAACGTAAAAAACATGGAATCTCTACATTTATTTAGACCTACTCTGTCACCTCTTGTAAACACACATATTCAACCATTTGATCAAGCAGTGTCATCAACAGCAAATATATCCAGTAAGTCATTTTTTTTTAATTAAAACTTTTACAATGTTGATCATTTTCTAGTTCCTCTTTCGACTCATACCTCTAACTTAGCAACAAGTTATAAGTCTGATAGAATGAAATGTCAAACGTTGATTGCAAATTTTCCTTCTATTCTTCGTATTCAATTAAAACGTCTTTTTTATGATCCTGTTTCACGAACTACCACAAAATTAAACACAAATATTATAATAGAACCTGAAAAAATACTTGATCTATCACATATTCATTACACAACATGGTTAGGATTAATAGATTCATCAATGATAATACCTGCACGTTATCAACTAACCGGCATATGTTTAAATTCATCAAACAATTTTCATTCGTCGTCAATGAATCAAACAAATTCTAACTCTAAACAATACGTTTGTTTATATCGTACAGATAATTCACAGTGGTTTCTATCCGATAATGAACATAAAACAGAAATCAATGAAATTGACAATATTTGTCGAACATTATGTGTCACAGAAAATTGCTATCTTTTATTCTATGAGCGATGCTCATGATTGCTCTTTTGTTAAAATTAATTATTTCATTAGTTTTCTTTCTCAGAGTATTTTTCCCCGTTTGATGTTGTCTTTTCTTTCAGTTTTGAATTAATATTAGTTTTCATATTTTTAAAGCAACAAATATACAAATGGCAAAATATTGCTTCGTTTTAATGCTTTTTTTAATTTTTCAAAAACTTCTTCCCAATGGTTAAGTTATAATATGTTCGATGAAAAATAAAATATTTTAGTTCGTAACGAAACTATGATAGCTAGCTGTTGATATCTAGTCTACGGTGTTTACTATCAAAATTGTTATACCGGATTGAGTTAGAAAGGCTACATCAATCACATGATATAAAAAAAAACTGATTATGTACAATATTCTTACGTTTGAAGAATTTTTTTATTCGAGCAGTAAGAGAATTAAGCTAATCATTATCAACTGATAGTCATCTTGCTTCTGTACATATTTTACCAAAAGTGATTTTTGACAAAAATAAAATTCAATGCAAATTTTAAACGGCTTTACAAGGTATTTTCGATGTTATCGTTGAGATAATCATTAAAAACTATCCATTTTCTTTATGTCTGGATATAAAAGAAGCCGAAATGATATCACATCAAATGAAACCTAACGATTCTCTGTTGTATGATTCATTATATTATTTTGATGAGTCACTCAAGTTTATATGTAATAGTAAATTCTATTTTTATGCTTGTACGTACTATCAAATATTTGAGAATATAAAGACATTTTACTTTCAATACATTCATTTTTGTTTTTGACCGAATTTCTTCAGATCTAATATTTATATTGAATTGTCATGCTACTACAAATATACTTCGCACGGAGAATACAATGAACTTGTTGTAAGAAAATTAAATTTTGATTTTGTTTACCGGCATATATTATTTTGTTTATCTATTTGAATATATGCGATAATTTGTGTTCATCTCTTTGGAAGTCAATCGAGACACATACGAAAAAAGAAAATGAAAAACAAGCAAGCATAAAGAAACTCACAAAGATAACAAACAAAAGAGTTGCTAAATGAAAAACAAAAACAAACTTGTTGACAATAAACAAACGAAAAAGTATCTATTGTTATTTATAACCTTTGATGTAATCCAGATATAAGATTGTCTTTGTTAGTTTTTATTGTCGTATGAATATAATTCTCATTTAAGTTCTGAATATCATTCTGATTCTTTTTTCTCCGTACTACTATGAATAAATTATCAATATAAATAATTTGTATGTATGTATATATATATGATAAACGACAACAAGTGATAGAGAAAACAAACAAACAAACAAACAAACAAAAGAAAAGAATCATTATCATGGACATAAAAGGAGTACAAGATAGAAGAAAGAAGACACGAAGAGGCCATCAGCCGGATACGGAGCTAATAGATAGAGAAAAAAATAAGACTTCTCTTTTATTTTTGTTTATATATGCATGTGATCAACTGTTTAATTTTACGAAAGATTTCCATCATCAGCACCTGATGTTGTTGAATATGGCAAAAAGGTTCCATTTGTTAGCATATGTGTTTGACTCTGTTGCTGTGACCAACGAGAATTTGCCATGAGATTATTTCCTGAGGTTAGTCCAGAAAGCCCCTGGGATTGCATAGGTGTAGACCATTGTGATGATGGAGTTTCAAGTTTATTACCAAGTGATATAATAGCTGGATCTGTCCAAGGTAAATTTATCCATCGATCATTTGATGGTACTAATGAGGAAAAACATGGAATCAATAAGATATCTCTTTGTTTTTCTTACCATCATTTGTGATCAGAGTACTATTAGAAGGATAAGTATTATTTATTGCCCGTGAAAATTGTGGTGATGGTGATGGTGATGGCTGTCGATGTGGAAGTCGTTGCTGTTGGATTTGACTTGAAATCTGTGATCCGTATTGTAGTGATTGCTGTTGCTGTTGTTGATTCCCACTCCAAATCTGTCTAGGCGATGATCCATCTAAATTTATTTAGAAAAACTTAATAAATAACTATTCATAATCACGGAATCGATAGACTTCAAAAAAGCGGATAAGATTTTGACTGAGATGCGTACTGTTGATTGGTTTAATATAAGAAAAGATATTGATTTTTCTTACTGATAAAAAGAATCAAGTGCTTTTTAATGGTAATCATAATTCTCATTTCAAGGAAGATAAATATTTACTAAATGGGAGTGGATATCTTTGTTGTCTTTGTGGTGTCGTTGGTGGTTCTTGATAATGATGAGACTGTTGTTGCTGTTGCTGCGGGTGTTGTTGCATCATCCAATATGAATTCATCTGCCCTTGAGATGAATTATTGGTCGTTGAAGTGAATTGATTTGATGGAAATCCATATGAATTTGATGTTGGACGATATGATACAGATGTTTGTGATGATAGTGGTCGTCTTTCATCTTCGATATCAGATGCAAGTGCGGACATAAATAAACTACATGGATCGAAGCCTAAAGTTGAAATGAATTATTTTCAGTCGATTATAGAAAAAAATATTTATTTACCGAGTTCATCATTTTCTTGTGTCTGAGTATATGATGTGTTATCAAGACTACTTTCTAGAACGAATAAAAAAAGAACTCTGATGAAAATAATGCACTCAAAATGAACGAAAAGTAATACCGTAGATATTTTAATTCTGTATCACAAGTGTAAAGAAAATTTGTGTTTAAATGATCCGATATTAAAAATTATGCTCTATAGAAGAATTCATCAACTTTAGTATTATAATAATGAATTAAAGTGCAATCACATTTACTCATTACGATATATGCTAGCAATCTATCATGTGTACGTTCACTACTCTTGATGTACTTTTTCTATTGTTTATTGTCTATTGGTCTATACATTCTACTGCGAAGTACTTATGCACTTTCAGAGAATCTCATGGACACTAAAAGAGAGTATATCTCATCTTAAAGATACTACTCACACTAAACATTAGTTAACTGCAGTAAAAGAACTTCTTTGAAAATAAATATTTTCACGATTTATATATGACAAACTGATGTGAAACGTTATTGTTATTTCTTTTTCGGATATCTCAATATTTTTAATATCGATGCCTTTTATGTCTCATCAACTATTTGTTCTCTATCTGGTTCTTACATTTGTAGTTTTTATTACCTTATAATGATTCTAATATAGTATTAGTAATTGGCCTAAATATATTAGTTGATGCCAGAAAGAGAAATCGACAGAACGAATAAGAAATTAAAAAAAACATTCCTCAACTCTTCAGTCGATTGAATTATTTGAAATTATTATTCTAATTTTTCATAACTAAGATGTATAGCCATTATTGTCAATGATAGCTATGAGCCTTCGACATACATTCAACTGACTACATCGAGTTCGTAGTCAGTAAACTGAAACTACACACTGGCTGAGTCAATTAAATTCATTTATTCAACATTTGTCTAAGTCTTCTTTATCCAAAGAACTTATGAATTATTTGAAAAATCAATTTAACGATGTAGAATCGCTTTAAGCTCTGATATCTTGTTTGATACGGTTGAATACTTCACATTCATATATGCATTAAACTCAATGAATTTCCCTTAGGTAAAAATTTGATGCACTTGTTTCTATACGTATTCTAAGTTGCACTCATATCAGTACTTTGTACACTTTAATATGCATTGATAGTAAGTCATTCGAAGAAAACAAATATTTGAGGTATTATTTCATTTAATATCCCAGTTACATATCATTATGGGAAAATCTTAACGAAAGCTTATCTTTATAGTATTAGTCAAATGATTCAAATACAATATTGTCACTAAAATTAGACCATATAGATCGAAAATTTTCTTATAAGGAATTAATTTACGCACGCCTCTCCTATTCCCATGTCCTAAATATTTTAGTTTACCTAGTAATCTTTTTTCAATTACTCTTAAATCATGATCAATCCCGTTTATAACTGGTCGATGTGACTGTTGAGTATGTTCATTTTTACCAAATAATATCGAATGTATAGATGGGCTATTTGAACTAAATAGTTTATATTCTGGTATTTGATCAAAACCATTCACTGTATTAGTAATTGTGGTTTCATTTGATTGAACATCTTTTGCTGGGTTTGATATGTTTGAAACAGATGATTTATTTATCAGTTGAGATGATGAAGATACGAGATTATTAGTATTATTATTCGTAGGATAAAAATTTCCTGATTCGTCCGGCCAATTAGTTAATAATGATATATTATATGTTTGCATTTGCGATCGTAGAGATGGCTCATGTTCAGATGACGTTTGAGATGATGTTGATGATATGTCAGAATCACCATTTAAAGTATCAACATTCATAGTAGTTGTACTATTGAGAAAAAAACGAGAAAATTCTTTCACACAAGAATGTAAAATCCAAGACAAGATAACAGCAGATAATAATCTCTACCATCTAGCTTATTTTAAAAAAGACAAGATTTTATTTTCTAATCAAAGCAGAAAACAAGAAAGTTACCATAATTTATTCATTGAACTCTTAATATTACATAAGTTCTTTTCTGTTCACTCTATTGCTTAGTCTAACAAACTTGATCATTGTGAACTATCAATGATACTTATAAAATAGTAACAGTACGACTCTGATGATACACTGTATCTTTTCTAGTGTTGGTGTTCAATCCAAAAATAGTTTAATTTTAACTCGGATCGATACTGTCTTGTGATTTTGTTCTCTTGTATAACTACGATCTCATTCATCAAACCATATATTGAGTATTTACCTAGTGAATGTATCATTGTGATATCCATTCATTGTATGATGATTTGATGTAGTACTAATGCTATTGTTATTATTTGTTTCATCTCCTGATTCTAAATCAGAATGTCCATTGATTGTATTTGATATCGAAGCATTGCAATCATTTGTCGTTGTCAATAATGGTGTTGGTCCTTTTTGTTTTTGTGAAGATACTGATTCACTTTTAGTTCTATCATCAAAAAGTAAAAAAACAAAGTTAATCATAATTCAGAATGAAAAGCTAAAAATCCTACCCATCGACTGTCGTTCGTCCAATCTTTGGTGTATCTGATAATAATTTATTTGTGTACTGTTCCATAAGTTTTCGTTCATATTCAAGATGAAGACTGAATAGAAAAAATAAAACGTTTTGCTATTCATATTAAGTTTTTTTTTAAATTTAATTTACCCTTGTTGCATTTGTTCTTTAGTGAAACTTGCTAAAGGATCGCCTAGCTCATGCAAGTATAAGCAATCAGCTTTTTGACATGTCGCACCTTTTAAATATCGACTGCAATACTTTGTAGTACCCAATGTAGCTTTTAATGTTCGACCATCAACATGATAGTTACATAGAGATTGTATAGCACGTAAAGCTTCGTCTGAACGAGAATATGTTATATATACACATATAGAATTTAATTGTCCATTGTGTGCTGGTGATGTAACTAATTTGACTATTTTACCATATTTACCAAAATGATCATTTCGTCTCAATAATTCTGTATCAGCTAAACGTGACGGAAGTCCATTAACAAATACAAGGTTTCGTTGAACAACGCTATAGAAACAAAAACATAGTAAATAGAAAAAATACAGTGAAACAATTTGATCTACCGTAGATTGGCTAAGTGTTTCCGACTTTCGGTTATCTTTGGCTTTTTATTTGATTCTTTTAGTTTTCTATCACGTTTTACTTGTTGAATTCTAGGCAAAGAAAAGCAATTATCATAAGAATTTAAGAAAAAAATTGAAATATTATCAATCATTACTCTTCATCAGTCAACGGTTTAAATTGTGCCGGATTTTCACTGTATGGCTGAAAAAAATTGAAATAATTTAGTAGATTTTTTTTTTTGTAATATTAAATATGAATGATCAGTAGACAAGAAAAACAATTTCTCGGAGTCGAAAATAAAACAGAGTAGGGAATACACCATTGTTCTTTTATGAAGCCATAGATTCCATTTTCTAATTGATTAGAAACGAACATTATTTACAAAGAATTAAGATTATTTCATCGCATCAAAATGCTATAATGAAAACAATGTAAAACAACGGTAGAGTCAATATGATTTTCGAACTAATTTGATTTGAAATTCACAGTTGTATGATTCTCTGTAGAGTTAATCAAATCATCATTAATGAAAACATAAGTTAGATAAAATATTTTACTACCACTGAATAAAATCACCCTATGATAATGTAGAAATAGTGACAATTACGCTATCGATATACATCATTACTGAACTACTGAAGTTTTGATAAATAACTAACTTATGTCTGACTAGTAAATAGTATATCATTGGAAAAAAGTTATTCATAGTTTAATATGTACTCTTAATTGAAAACATCTTTTTTAAATATCACATAGTCTCATTTCAACCAATAATGATATAGAACATGCAATAAAGTTACAGACTTATTTTCATAAGTTTTTTCACATTTTCCACTAATCATAATCTGTTTTGTTTTGATGGATTATCTGACAATACATTTTTTTTCGTTCTAAAACATGACTCATAATAGTTTATCTTACTTTTCGGCATGCTGGACATAAACCATTTTCGTCTGTTCGAATACGATGCCAGCAAAATCGGCAAATCTAAAACATTTGAACTCGATTATGTATGATTTCTTTCGGAGTGTTTTGTACCTGATAACAGCATGTACATGGAAAAAAGGTCAAATCATCAGCTTCGAGTACCTCCAAACATAACGGACACTAAAAAAATTTTAAAAAAGCACCGAACTATATTATGTCAATGTAGATAAAACAAATTTATTTTACTTCTGCTGACTCTTGGTCACTATCCATTGTAGATGTTTGTATTAATTCTGCTTTTAAATTTTTCTATCTATAAGGTATGATCAAGTAAATTGCACTGTCGTGCTACTATTTCTCAACAAAAATGTAATCGAAGGAAAGAAAAAAAAGAATAACTAATTCCTCGCGTCATTTTTTGTTTTGTTCTCATGCACAAATTTATTGGTAATATAGATCAACCTATGAATGTTTTCTCTAAAAAAAAGTATATTGTTCTATTAAACAATGATGTTTCTGATATTAAAATAAATAAAACTACTTCTTAAAATAAAATATTTGAACAATCTGATATATCTCGATAGCGACATCTACCATAAGTGTAAGCCAAAACAAAAAGATTTTTCAAAATCAGATCTTTGAAAAATTTTAATAAATATTAATGAATTTCATTAAATAATAGATAACGATTTAAGACTAGTACATATGAATTTAGCGCGTATAAACAGAATTCTTTGTTCTTAGAAAGTTCTTTGTCTCTCGAAATCATTCTTTTCTCCTAACTGCCTGTAAGTCCATGTATTTATTCCAGGATCCGATAAAATGGAATTGGCAAATTCAAATAAAGAAATTGCCAGCTGTGTTAAAGCTGCTGTTCGGTAAGAAATTCTGATATCTAACGACATAATTGCTCATCAAGTAACACTAAAAAAATACTATTTCGTCTTAGTATTCGTCCATTATCAAATAATGAAAAACAAGATCTATGTCAAACATGTGTTGATATTCAACGAGCAACAAATGAAATTATTTTAGCTAATAGTACAGCTTTTACATTCGATCATGTTTTTTTACCGGAAACAAATCAAGAAGATATCTATCGTGAATGTGTGTATGATATGATTGAAGGATGTTTTCAAGGTTATAGTGCATCAATACTTGCCTATGGTCAAACTGGCTCAGGGTATTACATAAAGGAAGTGAAGTTCCTATAAATTTTCTTTTGATTTATTTAGAAAAACGTTTACTATGGGTAGTGGAATTGAATATATGGATCCTTCGAAAGAAGGTGTCTTACCTCGTGCCATAATACATATATTTCAAAGATGTGCTAGATATGAACATGAAGCTGAATCAATAGGTATTTCTATGCCGAAATGTATTGTTTCATGTCAATTTATTGAAGTAAATATCCATACAGTTTGATCATGTTTATCTTCATTGTTTTGTTTTTTGAAACAGATTTATAATGAAAATATTTATGATTTATTCAATAAAGAAAATACTGATTTTCGTTCACAAAAAACCATTGATAAACATGTCGTATTTGAAAATAGTAATGGAGAGATAGGAGTGACAAATATTACTACAAGATTTGTGACAACGGCAGATGAGGTTTGTTATTGACTTTTTATCAAACAAGTTCAAAAATATCATAGCAATCAGAGATGTCCACAGGGCAGGACTATATATTCATGCCCTGTAAATTCTGCATATACCTACTTTAGTTCGGAAATAACAATAATTTTATTTTTCTCGGAAACGTGAAAGAAACTAAAAAATTCAGATGCCGTTATTAAACGATAAATAAATGCAGAAACATCGGATTTGCATCCGATTGTTATGTGCACTTCAAAAACTGAGTCGATTTATATATGTTGTGAATAATTCTGAAAAAATGTTTCTTTGAAAGAATCCCTGTAACCCCCTCCCCCCTCCCTGTCAGGGATGGTCTGGTCAATAATGACAATTTTCTCGATAACTCAGCCATTTCTTGACGGATCCTTCTCATTTTCGAACTCGACTGAGATATTGATGAGATCATTCTGTGTAAAAAATTTCATGACAATTGGATGAGACTTTCAAAAGTTATCGTGTTAACGGCCGGACGGACACACTGACCGAATCTAGTGTACTCACTTTTTGAGTACACAATAGAATGTTATATTTGTGTTTGTATGACGACCGTATGAGATCCAATCAAATTTGTAAGAAAACAAAAGAAAATAATAAAGTAATCATAACAGTGATAATAGTGCACATATATTGAAAAACATAATTGTAATAGTTGCTCATGTTCTTATTATTTCAATAAAACTATTGAAAATAAAACTATGCATCACTATCATCGTCGATAGATTCATGTGCTGATATTTCATCTATCTCTCCTGGTGATGAAAATGAAGTTTCTATTCTCTCTTCGTTAAATATATCTACTGATGGATCACCAGTGATGATGCAATATCATCATATACACTTTTTCAATTAGGGCTAGTTTATTATTTGTTGATCATTTATCTATTTGCTGAACTATCTTTCAAATAAAAAAGATTACTTAAACTTGAATTAAAATATGAAAAAAATTCTTAATTAGCAAGGCAGGGCAATAAAATTGACCCTGGGGTCACCTCTGATAGCAATCATAATTCGAAATTTGAAATAATCTATATCATGATAAACTGTTGCTATAGAGAGATATTTAAAGTCTATATTTTTCTAACTCGAAACTATCGAAATTAAAATCCCAGTTCTTACTAATTATCATCAAACATTCTGTATGCACTAAGTAAACGTTCAATGTCATGTCATATGCTGTTGCTCATTCCTTCTATATCGTTCTTTCTTCTTGCACAGATAAATTATTTGTTATGACTTAAAAATTATAGTGTTATCCAAAACTAGTCAATAAACAATATGAACTTTTTATTTTGTTGTATATGTATAGGAAACTGATGTAATAGTGTTGAATTGGAGACCTGACGAAGAAATAAGCAAATATAAAAATAGACTTGCAGTAACTGGATAGTGAAATGTTGATGCGAATCTGCCAAAAATACTTAAACTACAAATCAGCCACTTAAAACGAATGTTAAAATTCGTAATAGTCTGTGTAAGTTTTTCGAAGGATTTCGAGTTTGCTTAAAGCTGTTTGTTATCATTATTACTGCCGAGAAGCTGAAGAAATAGAGCAAACTGAGTAACAAGAGTAAAATATCAAAACACAATGTTTCAGTCTGATCAAACAATACCATTCTATGTTACATTTGTAATGATTAAAATAACTATTTATTATCAGACATAATTTTATTTCTATTCGTATTAAATAGAGTAGTTGTCTCCTGTTTGTAATGATTTTTAACCCAAATATTACGAAGTAAGGCTTGCATTCTCTTGCGGCATTCATTATGCATGTGTAACATACGTGACAACATTCTTATTTAACATGAAACTAAAATATTTTTTAATACATAATTTAACTGGTATGAAATATGCAAGAACATTAGTTTATAGTTTGTGATGATCTTTGATGCGTCGACCTTGAAATTATTCGAATTTTAGTTCGTCTAGAAACAATACCTTAGAATGAAATTATTGCAACTTTCTGTTAGAGATTTCATAACTTTTTATTTAACAATTGAACTTCATCGTTAAGAGAATCAGAAATATGTTTGTCATAATGAATCATTGGCCACTTGGATTAACACCTATTAACAAAATACTTTATTTAGTCTTTCGAACTGTCACTAGCACTAATAAAAAGACGATGGGCCATTCGTAGACTTACCGATCGTTGATCATTTATTTGATAGTATTTCAAGAGAAATTCTACCTCCAGTCAACTTCCTATTGATATCTATAGAGCTAATATCAGTTGTATGAAAACTAGCTAATGAGTGAGTCTCTCACTGATGAGAACTTCTCTTCTTTTTTTCTTAATATGCCTTGAATTCACAAAAGAGTTCATTTTGATTCTGTAACTGAAATATTAAAGCGTACTAGAATAGAACCTATTTTATAAAAGAAGCGAATTGTAAGCTATGACATGTCTACCATGTACATGAAAATTTATTTTATTATTCATATTTCTATTTCTAGACACTTGATTGTCTAAGAGAAGGCGCACTTTGTCGAACAACAGCATCAACACGTATGAACAGTGTATCCAGTCGATCACACGCCATATTTACTGTAAATTTACAATTTGAACGTGTTATTGCATCGATCTCGGTAATTTCGATAAATAAACAAAACTATAAGATATGTTTATTTATTTTATTTCTCAACTCAGAAACCTGATACAAATATTCGTGAACAAATTCGTGCTAAAATTCATTTCGTTGATTTAGCTGGTTCAGAAAGTTTAAAACGAACTGGTGCAACAGGTCAACGTGCTAAAGAAGGCATTAGTATTAATAGTGGTTTGGTTCGTACTCCAGAACTAAACTTTATAGTTTCATATAGAATAAAACATTATTTTAGCTTGTTCTTGGAAATGTTATTTCAATATTAGGAGATCCGATGAAAAAAGGAGCACATGTACCTTATCGTGATTCCAAATTAACTCGTCTATTACAAGACTCATTGGGTGGTAATAGGTAAAGTGAATATTTCTTTAGTTGAAATAAAATTAACTTGTATGCTTTTTTTTAAATTGAATAGTCGAACATTAATGATAGCTTGTATTTCACCAGTTGATCGTGATTTTTCAGAGACCAAAAGTACACTTAATTATGCTCAACGTGCACGTAATATTCGTAATCGTGTTAAAGTCAATCAAGACAAACATAGTCGGCAGATTGTACAATTACAAATGGAAATTGAAAGATTACGCGCATTAGTTGATAAAAATGAACATTTACCATCGGTAAGAAAATTATTATTTTATTGTTACAAGACATAAATATGAAGAAAAGAAAAATAAATTTCAGGTTGAATTCGAACAAACTAGTAATAATGCACTAAATCAAGAACTTGAACGTATACGTTCATACATATATACAATACAGCGTTCAATCAATGAAACAAGTGCAGTATCGCAAACATTAAAATATGATCTAGAAACAGTTCGTGATTGTCAACGAATGAACGACACAAAATTTGATTTTGATCAAGCATTAAATCAATGTTTATCAAAAAGTGATGAAATTCAGTAAGATCATTTACTGTTTAAATTCGATAGAATATATAAATAAATTCATATAATTCTAGATCTCGATTGTCACGCATGAATGATGTCAGTAATGTATTACGTAAACGTAGTCCTATATCAAATCGTCGTAAAAGTCGTTTATCTACAAGTGAGTAGGCACAAAGTATTGCCGAAGTTTAAGATAGAGAATTATAGTGAGTTTTATGATAAATATCAATTAGTTCATTATAAGTTCGATTGTTATACAACCTGCTTGAATAAGAAATAAATTGTAGTACGACAACATAAATACAAGAGAAAAAATTTATGTAATCGTACTTATTTCAAATAAAATCTTAAGATTAAAAATGACATATTCCAGTATTCATTATTTAAAAGTCAGAATTGTGATTTTGATAATGATCCTATCTTGTGTCTGAGACTAAATTTCGCTGAAAAATGAAAAATTTTCTAACAGATACACAATATAGGGAAAGTATATCTCTCTTTAATATTTTATTGCTCATAAAAAATTTATTCAAATCAATTTCAAATTTATACCATCATTATTACTATTCTCAAAAGTAATTTAATCTAAGTTGAATGAAATTTTGAATGTATTTAGGATCGTTTTCAATTGATCAATCACAATTACATGAATTCAATCAAAACACAATGACGCCAGATGAATTGCAACCATGTATTGAAGATATTCGCCTCGAAATACACCGTTTACGACGACAAGAACAATTACTGCGTGACAAGTTTGTTCTATAAAAACAAAAATTCGATTTTCTTAATCGATTATATATTGTAGTGGTTCGGTAAAATCAATTCCGGTTTGTCTTAGTACTATTCCAGGTTCTCCTCAAGAACCACATGAAATTCATAAAAAAAGAAAGATCGAACATCTTTATTCTCTTTCAACTAATCCTTCGGCTGATCCGATTAATAACCGGTCAAGTATGCCAACAATTGAAGAACAAGAAAATGTTACTAATAGTGAAGATGATGATGATGATGATGATGAACAAGTACCACCAGCTGTCGGTGATGATGCTCAAAGTGAATGCAAAGGAGTTTTTCTGTTTAATAACTATTTTTCTTTCAAATCTTTATTTCTTTTTAGCTGATACACAAGAAGAAAAATTATTGATAATAACAACCGAAATCAATGCAAAACAAAAATGTCTTGAAATGCTTGAAAATGCACATAAACGTAGTGAACATACACGTCAACGATATGAAGAACGTATCAAAGTTCTTTCCGAACGTATCCAAAATGCTGAAGATGAGAAACTAGTAGCTGTAGCAAAACTAAGTAATATTCTTATGTTCATTCATGAATAGTTATAGATCTTTTTTTGAATATTTAGATACTGTTGGACGTGATCAACAAAATGTCGAAGAATTAAAATTAGCTAGACGTGATTATGAAGAAAAAATTCGTCGATTAGAAATTGAAAATAATCAGCTATCTACACTACGTGCACAATATTCTATCTGTCTAAAAGATGGAGAATATTATAAAAAAGAATCAACAAAACATACTCATGAATTACAAGATTTACGTAAAATAAAAGTTCAACTAACACGTGAATTACGTCAAGAATTTACTCGACATAAACAAGCTGAACAAGCAAAAGCAAAAGAAATCGCTACACTTAAACGAGTATATTTCATATACAGAATAATAAAAGTCAACAAACTTTGTTTTACTTTATTTTTATAGACGCAAATACAGAAAGACAATGAGATTCGAACACTGCGTGCTCAACATAAACAAAAAGAGCTAGTTCTTAAACGAAAACAAGAAGAGGTAAAATATACTGATCACGACCATTCAATTACTTCCTTTTTTTTTACATTCAACGAGTACATTCTTATCGAGAAATAAACCTTAAATGCGTACAAGAAGTCATGAACTAGAAGATACATTTAAAAAAAATCATCCGGATTATATTCTTAGACTTGATCTATTATGAACTTATACATGATACTGTACAAGTCAACATCGACTGTCAGAATACGAATCAATAACTTCTAGCATTGCTAAATGTCTGTGTTATCAACAAAAAGTATCAATGCTTCTTTGCATACTTGCAAATCAATGTTACGAGTTCCATTCGTAAGACCACGAATGACAAAGATTGATTCGAAAATTTCTCGAATGTTGATTGATATTTTTTTCAAGTCATATTTAGTCAATGATTACAATCATTGATCGTCGGAAAATTTTAGTTTTGATCTTTTCAGTTGTCTGTACTGATCATTGTGAGAAAAAAACAGAAATGTTGAGTTAAATAGATGATACCAGAATATGTATATTCAAAAAAAAAAGACGTGTACATCTCTATTTCCTATATCTCTATCCACAATAGCTTTCTAGTTATTGATATTTTATCATTGATATGTTTGCACCTAATTTAAAAATCTTTCTGCTCAAGAAATAATTAGTAAAGAACACTCAATTGGAATTTATGCTGCTCTCTATCCATTTTATCATTTTCCAATAGAAGCTGTTTATATTCACTATATTGAGATCATATTTTTTAGTTTGGCCCGTCACTAAAATAGATTTTATTTAGAAAAAAAACCCTATAAATTATACTCTTTTTTTATAGGTACATCTTTTACGACGTCAAATGCGTTCAGGTCGAGTTCGTACAACAACAAAAGAGATGACTGCACATTACGCTGCTATTCAACAAGGTGTAAGTCATAAAATCGTTCTCGTTTTTTGATATGTAGAATTACTTCTAGATTACACATGCTATTCGCCGTCGAAAATTGATAGCTGGTATCAGTCGTGACATGACTTCACTAATTGAAAATCGTGAACGTGTGAGTCGTAAACGTGAACGATTCTGTAAACGATTAAGTAATGCAATTGTTATTAGTACAAGTCATACACAACAATCAGAAGATTCAACGTGTACACCGTTACGTGAATCAATAACCAAATTAGAAAGTACAATAGCGTATCTTAATTCAGAAATTTCATCATGCCAACAAGTATTAATGGTTTATGATGATGAAGAACAAACAAATGAATTAGCTCAGGGACCTGATCCACTATTAATTGTTGATTGTGTGACAGAGATTGATGAACTTCGATATTTATTAACAAAACTTATTGAACAGACCATTGAAAAAGTAAGTAGAGATATACTTGTGTTTTGCTTTTTTGTTAAAGCATAATGTTTTTTTTCTTTGTTCCGAAGGGTTTTGAAGCTGATGAAGCAAATGAATTAATGTCGTATGTTGATCTAGTTGAAACATTTCTTGTTAAAAAAGAAGATAGTAAACCGACTGCAAAACATTTTAAAAAATCTATTTCAAATACTTATCAAGATGATTCATTGGATAGAACACCTATCGGAGAAGAATTACCAGCATCAACAACAATCATAATTAGACCATTAGGTGATTCTTCAAATTTATCGAATTATTCAACCGAACATAAGTATTCTGACTGAGCTTTTTTCTATTTATATTCTGTGTCGCGTTCATATTTTTTTCCATATAATCTTTTCTCTATCTATGTGTTTGGCGATGGATGCTAAATGACTTTGTATATTACTATATTATTTGTTGAATGACTTTAGCATACTATTTTATTGAAACAACGAAATAATGTTTGTTAGATTTTTTTCTCGTTAAATTAATAAAGAACAAATATATGGATACAGTTTATCAATGCTCTTTGCATTTACATCAACGATAAAAAGAACGCACCAGAGAGTTTTGCGCATCACTACGCATCTATATTTTTGATTTAATACGTAGAAATTTAACCTCCTTCAGAACTATGTGTATTTATAATAAATGGATTAATTCAAAAGAAAAGGCTTTGTTGTCATTTGATTTTGATTTGATTTTATCCACCCAAGTTGTAACAGAGTTTCAGCGCAACTTTTATCTATTGAAAAATCAATACAGTTGCTGAGACATTTTGATCGGGCGAAGTTTTACTTTTAATTAATTATTTCAATGCTTCAAAATAATTCTTTTTAAATAGATCTTCTACTGTTTCAAATATTCGAAACAGTAATGAGGATAATTTATGAAATATTTGTAATAAGCTATTTTTATTGATTTATTTTACATATCACGGATGAGAGATTTTGTATAATCAATGAACTGTGACGAAGAGATATAGGTCAAATTGAACACAGAAGTTCATTCCTCTTTTTTTCCTCATACTAGATCAATTCAATAGTTTACATTAGTGTTTTAATCCGAAATGGTAAAGTATTTTGACAATAACGAAGAGTTATGAAAATACAAAAATTTCAATTTTAGCGTGAATGCATTAGTGTTCATGTTGGTCAAGCTGGTGTACAGATTGGAAATGCTTGTTGGGAATTGTAAGACTCTTTTTTCCACTTGTTCTCAATTTTTGATGTGCAAAAATAAATATAGGTATTGTCTCGAGCATGGTATTGATTCTGATGGACAAATGAAAAAAAAGGGCAAAAATGATAAAAATGATTCATTTGATACATTTTTTCATGACACGGGTAATCGTTATGTTCCACGTGCAGTTTTTGTCGATCTTGAAGAATCCGTAATTGATGTTATTCGAACCGGTTCTTACAAATCTCTTTGTAAGTTTGAAAGAAAATAAGTCCCAGTAAAATAATTAGCATATTTAGATCATCCTGAACAATTAATTTCTGACAAAGAAGATGCAGCTAATAACTATGCTCGTGGTCATTATACAATTGGTAAACAAATAATTGATCTTGTACTTGATCGTCTTCGAAAGTTATCTGATCAATGTAAAATATTTTCAAATCACTTATGAGTCAATTGCATTTTATTTTCTTTCCTAGGTGATGGTTTACAAGGATTTTTGATATTTCATTCTTTTGGAGGTAAGCTTAGGTATACGAAAAAAATAATAAATGCTTATCAAACAAGGGGGAAAGTGCTGGCTCCAAGCACCAAATTTTACTATAAAGTGCTGAAAGTGCTGAACAGGTGCCAGAGATGCTGAAACATGCTAAAGATGCTAGTAGTTGTGGAAAAGGATCAGTAAAATAAAGGAGTAGTATACAACAGGATGACATAATTCTCTGTTAAACTCATTGTTTTCCCTCGATCTTGGTGAATACACTAATTTCACAGTAAAAACAGAAGTGTGCCAAATTAGGAACCTGAGTTCACTGAAAACCTGCATCTAATTTTATTAGCTTCAGAATCATCATTGAATTCTGATTATTTTCCACGAGTTTATTGTGTATTTTATGAAAAATCAATTTTTAACATCTGGAATACCCCTCAAGGATCAAAAAAACGTTTTGTTCAGATTTTAGTGCAAGCAGTTATATTTGGATAAAGTTAAGTGTCCTGATCACAAATATCATCGTAGATTTTAAAATTCATTGGATATTAAAAAAAATCCGAAGCACTCTCGGGAAGACTTAAAAACAGCTATTGGTCCACAGGTACACGAATATTCGATTTGTACTGTTTGAAAATAGGTCCGTTCGATGCACAATGTTTTTTTCTATCAGAATATATAAGGACGACTTCGATATTCAATCTTTTTTCTCTCGATAAATTCCAAATATCACCCCGATCCGGTCATACAGTTACGCATACTGCTTTTCTCAGTATTATTAAGTGTAGTTTTTCGAGGTATTAAATGTGCTCTTTCCAATGAAAGAGTTTTCAACTTAAAACTCGATGTAATGTAAAGCGTTTTCGCTCCAATACTAGTGTTGAAATCGAATTTCTGTCATTGCTTGGCTGATACTTGATGGTTTCAAACAGATTAATTCCCATTTGACTGAATTTAAATATTATATTTGTTTTAAGCACAAAATCTAATTCGGTTTAATTATTTCTACAAATGTTGCTTTCGGTCAGATTTTTACGTGCGGTCCCCTTCAGCATCATGTGAAAACAAAATATATTATTCAAAACAACTATTTGATTGATTATTAATTCATCTACTTTATTTCAAACATCACTTCCAAAGTTTGGAAACTTTCAACATTGTCCACATGGCTTTTGGAGCAAGTTAATTTTTTCACTCTCCATGACGGGAACCGCACGTAAAAATCTGACCGAAAGCAACATTTGTAGAAATAATTAAACCGAATTAGATTTTGTGCTTAAAACAAATATAATATTTAAATTCAGTCAAATGGGAATTAATCTGTTTGAAACCATCAAGTATCAGCCAAGCAATGACAGAAATTCGATTTCAACACTAGTATTGGAGCGAAAACGCTTTACATTACATCGAGTTTTAAGTTGAAAACTCTTTCATTGGAAAGAGCACATTTAATACCTCGAAAAACTACACTTAATAATACTGAGAAAAGCAGTATGCGTAACTGTATGACCGGATCGGGGTGATATTTGGAATTTATCGAGAGAAAAAAGATTGAATATCGAAGTCGTCCTTATATATTCTGATAGAAAAAAACATTGTGCATCGAACGGACCTATTTTCAAACAGTACAAATCGAATATTCGTGTACCTGTGGACCAATAGCTGTTTTTAAGTCTTCCCGAGAGTGCTTCGGATTTTTTTTAATATCCAATGAATTTTAAAATCTACGATGATATTTGTGATCAGGACACTTAACTTTATCCAAATATAACTGCTTGCACTAAAATCTGAACAAAACGTTTTTTTGATCCTTGAGGGGTATTCCAGATGTTAAAAATTGATTTTTCATAAAATACACAATAAACTCGTGGAAAATAATCAGAATTCAATGATGATTCTGAAGCTAATAAAATTATGTACCGGGTTTTTTTACCAAGAAGTATGGCATTTCGTACAATTTTTTTTTTATATCTGAGATGAAAGCAGAAGCGGTACAAATGCAAGGGTGATAAAATGGAAAATAAACTTCTGAAAAATAATCGGAGCTCAGTGTTAGTTCTCACACTAATAAAAGAGGGATCAAACTTTGTGGTATACCATTTTGCAATTTGATATACGGTTACTTTCGAAGGATGTTTTTCTTTTTTTGTTGGCATCTTTATTCTGCAGTAAATCTCATTCAGATTCTGTAAGTAATTCAAGAAAAAATTCACCTCTACTATTAAAAATGAAGGTAGTTGTCCCGATTCACTTCCATACGACTGAAGTAAATCTCACTATAGAAAAGGTGCTGAAGGTGCTGGGGTTCCAAACCTGCACTTTCCCTCTTGTTATCAAGACCTTTGAAGAAAATCTATTTTATTCAGAACAAATTGAAATTTATGTAAATGAATGCAAAGATAGCTTGAGGTATATTTGTTGGTAAATGAGACATTTCTTAAATTTATGATCAGATTTATTTTTGTGAACATTTTGAATTAATACAGTATTTGAGATGGATGTGAGTAAGCAGGTGACAGAAACTGAATCTATCAAGATTCAAAAACCAGAAAATTGGATTGAGAACTGTATGAGAAACTTTGTATTTACTACTGATACATCCTAATAGGTTTACTTGCAATAACTATATTAGACTTACATTGTCGTCTTTTACTTGGAAAATATGGTCTTGTTAGAAAAACAGGAAATAATTTTTGTTTTCTCTCTGTTGACATTTGTTTCGAACCTATTTTCGATTCTTATGTGCTAAATAGCTCTTGAACACATCATAATAGAAGATCAGAAATTTTTGTACCTTCACTCCGTTACAGTTCGAATATATATTTTAATAGCTACATAAATAAATTTAGTCACGGATGATTTTACAAAGAAGCATATCCAAAAGAGATACAAAAACATTGACTATATTTTTAGGTGGCACTGGTAGTGGTTTTACTTCATTACTTATGGAAAGACTTTCACTTGAATATGGCAAAAAATCTAAACTTGAATTTGCCGTTTACCCTGCACCGCAAATTTCAACAGCAGTTGTTGAACCCTATAATTCAATATTAACAACACATACAACACTTGAACATTCTCATTGTGCTTTCATGGTTGATAATGAAGCTGTCTATGATATATGTCGAAGAAATTTAGATATCGAACGTCCATCTTATGCAAATTTAAATCGACTCATAGCTCAAATTGTTTCGTCTATAACAGCATCATTACGTTTTGAAGGTGCACTTAATGTGGATTTAAATGAATTTCAAACAAATCTCGTTCCATACCCTCGTATTCATTTTCCATTAGCAACTTATGCACCGATTATTAGTGGTAAATAATAATAATGATAATAATCATAAAACAATATATTGTAATCGATATCTCATGAACATATTGTTGTTTTATCTTTATTTCTAGCGGAAAAAGCTCTGCATGAACAATTGTCAGTTAGTGAAATTACGAATGCTGTATTTGATCCAGCAAGTCAAATGGTTAAATGTGATCCTCGACATGGTATTTAAGAAATAAAAAAGTCAATCATTCAATATTCTCAAAAATACGAATATTTCTAGGAAAGTACATGGCTTGTTGTCTATTATTTCGCGGTGATGTTGTGCCACAAGATGTAAATAGAGCTGTGGC